TCTTTGCGGGTGCGGTCATCCTAAGATGATGGAAAGAGTCAATTTTGCCGACATGTCCGGCCCAGCGTGACCGAGAGGATTCCTGTAGCAGGAAGGATGAGCGCTGAAGGGGGGGACGATGAGCTCTTGATTCCGTATCGCGTCGGGTGGCCGCACACATCTGATTGGGCCACGTCGTGATACAAAGGCGCATGCTTCTGCCACGTATCACACGCACCATGCGATCAACAGTGCATTAACAGGCTCCAACAGTGTCCCGCGCATCTTTCTCCAGCCAGCCCTCCTCTCCGTAACGCTGCCCCACGAGGTATTTGAGGCCTGGTCCTCCCTGCTGCTCCTCCGTTCTCCGTTCTCATCCGCAGTAATCCTCCTTCAAGACTTGCGAGAACCTCCAGCTCCCCACCCCCGCTTGGCCATGGCTGGTTCTCCAAGCCGGGCTCTTGCTTATGATGACGAGGCTAATCTGGCTCTTGCCGAGATCGGTTCCTCTGAAGAATGGGCCGCCTCTTATTCAGACCTTACCATGTCCAATCCGACTTCGTCAATGGACACACTTACTGGCGGCTGGGGGGTTGACGCAACGATCGATCCAGCACTGCTGACCCAACCCTGCATCTCGAGCGACATTTCGACCTACGACGCGCCCATGCGGCAACCTTGAGGCGCTGACATGTTGTCACCGCCCCTCTCAGGCACACCCGACGCCATCGAGAGAGCGGAACAAACGGCGTGCGATCGTGTCGAGCGTGGAAGAGCGGTAGATGCGGGATTCCCTATCCCCTCAGGACCTCCCTTGGTTGGAAGAAGATCTCAAGCCCGCGTACGGTGCACGTGGAAGGACTGTGACCATCGAGAACCCGACGTCGACGAGATGAAGTGAGTCATGTTTCTCGCCCACCCAGCGACCAATGATGCTAAACTTTTGTCTCAGGAAACACGCCGCCACTCACCGACGCTGTCCCAAAGAGGACTGCAGTTGGGCTGACGCTCGGGATCGGAAGGAGATGAGGCGTCACGTTTGGTACAACCACAAAGCATGGGCCAAGAGAACCAAGTACCCTCCCATGGGTGCCCAGTGCGATGAGTGCCCCGCGGTCTTCGCGCGCGGGGACGGTGTGAGTCGCCACAAGAAGGAGGTGCACGGGGCTACCAAACGTGTCAGGAGGTCGGGGGGCTGAAGAAATCAAGACCTAGAGTGATTAGGATGTTCAACGATGCACTATGGATGACTGGTTCCAGATGCCCTCTGCAACTTGAAACTCGGAAAGATATCGTTAACTACGAATTTCGTAGGGGGCCCTCTTACTACAGTAGCTTAATATTAGCTCGCTAGAATTGCGTAGTTGGCATTGCGTATCTAGATAGACGGGAATAGCCTGGGACATAATAACGAGTCCCGGATTGCAGGCTGGGGTATACGGCGCTTTGCTTGCTCCTATTACGATTAAATCTCTTTATAGCACCAATTCGTACAGCATAGGAGCACTGCAATTATATGGGCTGTATACTAGTTATTTAATAGCTATTATTGGCTACGATATCTAATTATCTTCTTCTTTACCTGGGTAGTTAAATACTCTAATTTTCCTTTTATAGAGGCAATTATTAAATATAATAGAAAGTTAATTTCTTATATAAGAATGTAAAAGAAATAAATTATTATTAAATTTATAATAACTCTATATAAGATTAAAATAAACTTATAACTAGGCTATATTAAAACCTTAAAATATATTATAATATTTATATTTTAAGTAATTATTTAGCTTCTAATATACTATCTTAAGAAACCTTATAATACTCTTAATTCTATTCTTTATATTTATAACTTTATATAACTCTATCTAACTACTATTTCTCTTTAAAGTAGTATCTCTAAGATAGTATTATATAAGTTTAAATTCTATTATATTCCTAAACTTAATACCTCTAATAAAATCTTATATATATTTAATTATAGTAGTCTGCTAGTTAGTTAGTATAGTACTAAAAATAATATCTTAAAAAAGGTATAGTAAGGCTTTAATATTAAATTTAATATTAATAATAATATCTATAATATCTAATATAAATATAAACTTACTGCTATTTAAAGAAGAAGTATCTCTAAAAGAATATAAATTATATAGAAATTTATAGTAAGTTTAATTTAAGAGTAATATCTCTTTTATATATTTAGGATATATTTTAGAAATCTAATTATAAAAATAGTATTTAAATAAAAATCTTTAATTTCTTATATATATTAATTTAGCTTTATTAATTATCTTAAGTATATTTTATATTTTAATATTATTTACTTTAATTTAAAGTAGATATTAGATATTTACTAAATAAAATATTTTTTTTATAAAGATTCTAAGTAGTAATAGATACTATTTAAATATCTTCTTTTATTATAATATCTTACTATACTATAAATAATACCTTAAAGTATAAATACTAAATATAAATAAATTTAAGCTAAGTAAATTTAAGATTATTATTAGAAGCTTAAATAATTTTATTATATACTAATTTAATAGTACTATAAAGATATTAAAATACTACTAATAAAATCTATAAGTTATTAATTTAATTTCTATATATTACTTAAATATACTAATAGTATTTAATTATTAATAATAGTAAAAAAACTCTAGAAGTTAGTATAAAATTTCTACTATTAATTTAGTATAATAGTTATATCTTCTAATTTATTATATATATAGTTTAAAATAGGTAGAAGATTAATTACTAATAGATAAACTATAAATTTATATTAGTAGAGTAATTAGAATATTACTTATAAAATAAATATTATATCTAGTAATAGTTAAGTATAGTAATATATAGTAAGTTAAGATAATTAAAATAATTAAGTTATATTAATAGCTAAATAGCTATATATAGTAAATATATACTGCTTAATTAGCTATATAATTATAATAAAATAATAAATTATAAAAATTATCTAATAATTCTAATAATTCTTATATTATTAGATTACTATAATTATTTAATAATAAAGGTAATTTATATATAATAAAATAAAATAAATAAATATATTATTAGTATATATAATAAAGTTAGAGTTTAATTTAATATAAGTTATAATATAATATCTCCTTTCTATTAGCTTTTATTTTTAAGATTAGTTATTATATATTATATACCTAATTTTTTTATTTAATAAATTCTTTTTTTTTCTTATTATTCTATTTATAATATCTAATTATATTATTAAGAAATATAAATTTTATACTTTAATAATTAAGTATTATAATATTCTTCTTAAGGTTATTTTATCTTATTAAGTTATTATAAAAACTACTTATTTCTTTTATATATAATCTAGTATAAATTATATAATATCTTCTAGTAATTTTTCTTAGTATTTTAAGTATATTTATCTTAACTTATTATATTATAATACTTATAGCTTTTTTTTTAAGTAGCTATATAAAATTACTACTTATTATACTTATTTTAAATTTAAGCTAGAAAAAGCTAAAAATACTTATTATTAAATAGATATTAAAATTAAGTATCTTTAAAAATAAAAGAAATTATAATTTAAAAAAAAAATTATATTATATTATATAGTATTAATAATATAAAAAAGCTTAAATAGATAAAAAAAAGAAAATTAAATAGAAGGTATAGTATTAAGCTACTTTTTTAATTATCTCTAAAAGTTATTTTTTTATAGATAGTATATTAATAGAGAATTTTAAGTTAATTTAAAATACTATTTATCTAAAGATACTATTAGATTTTTCTTTATTAGCTACTTTTAGTTTTATTACTTTTACTAGAGGAAATTCTCCTATTTTTTCTAATAGTAATTAAGATTTTAAATTTTATTTTAATATATATTTTCTAAAGTACTTTTTTATTTAAAAAAGTTCTTTAATTTAATTTAATAATATATAAGATATTTATAAATTTTCTATATATTTTTTAAGAGATTATAATTATTTTATTTTATAAGATATTTTATTTTATTATTTTTTCTTTTTATATTAAAAATTATTTTAACTGTAAATTCTTAATTATTCTTAATTTTATTTTTTTAATTATTATTTTATATTTTAATATAAATAGTATCTATTACTAATTTAAATAATAAAATATAAAAAATTAAATAAAACTTAACTTTTAGTAGTAAGTTTAATTTATAGTTATTTTCTAAGATTTCTTTTAAAATTTTATAAGATTTAATAAATTTAAAATTTAATTTATTATTTAGTTTTTTTATTATAATATTTTTTATTATAAAGTAAATTATATCTCTCTTTTAAAAAATTAATTTTTTTAATCTTTTCTAATTATAATATTTTTTTATTTACTTTCTAATAAATTTCAATTCTATTTTTATTTTTTTATATAGCTATTATAATTAGTTAGTATTAAAAATTACCTTAATATTTAAGAGTTTTTCTTATAATAATCTATAGATATTAAAAGTAAATTTAAAATTAATATAAGCTAGTATAAGCTTTATTATCTTTAATATAAATATATTATAAGCTAGTTATACTATAAGTAGCTTTTAAATTTAATTACTTTACTTATAGTTAATATAGTATTATAAATACTATTTAACTATTTAATTAAATTCTTTTATTTATTTATTTACTTATAGTTTTTAAGCTATTATAAGCTTATAATTTTATTTTATTTAAGCTATTAATATATATAATAAGTAAGTATTATAAATAAGTAAATATTATACTTTTCTTAACTTTTAAAATAAAAACTTAAATAAAAAAGTAACTAAATATCTAATTAATTAAAATTAATTACTATACTCTTTCTTTAATATATTAATAACTATTTAATATATTCTTATATTATAACTAATCTTACTATATATTCTATAGTATCTTTCTCTTATTAGTATTAATCTTTCTTAATTACTACTTTTTAACAATTTAGCTACTATCTATATATTAATATCTTTTTAATTAATTATATCTCTTTTCTTATTTATAGTTATCTTCCCTCTATTCTATAATTAAGTTCTTTTTACTTTATACTATTTATTAAGAGTCTTATTTATCTATTAAAGAATCTAGATCTTAGACTTTATTAATACTATCTTATATATTATTACCTTTATTTTCTTAGAAAAAAACTTAAGTATTTTAAGAATAGATATTAAAGAGCTATTTTAGTACCTTCTAATCTGTTTTTTAAGGTATTTAAATTAAGAGGTAGCCTTAAGTACTATTTTTAGTATCTTTAAGATCTAAGAGTTAGAGAGGCTAGCCTTCTTTTTAACTGATATTAAAGTCTATAGTTATATATTAAGCTTAGATATTATAATTTCCAAATTTAAAAAAATAAGCTTAGTTTCTTTAAAACCCCTTTTAATATTACTTTTTATTATAGTAGCTTAATAGATAATATAAAAAGCTAGAAAGAACTTAGTTTTTAAAATATAAATTATTAAGTATCTAATTAGATATTTTATTTCTTAACTATATATCTTTTTAAGTAGCTTAAAGTATCTAATATTAAGAGGCTAAAGTAAATAAGATAAATAAGATAATATATAAAATATAATAATATTATTCTCTTTATAATATTTCTTAAAGTTAATTAAGTAGTAAATTTTATATTTATTAAAAATTAAAAGATAATAGTAACTAGTTAATTAATTTTTTATATATTAATTAAAGTATTTAAGCTACTTAAGATTTATTTTATTATTAGTCTAGTTATTTTAAGTTATTATAATAGCCTAATTACTTAAGAGGTTACTTTTTTAGTATTAACTAGTAAGATAATATTAATTTATAATTATAATAAATAGCTAGATTATTTAGTTTTTTATATTAATTGCCTAAATAATTATAACTTATTTTTAATTTTTAAGCTAAATTAATTTCGAGTTTTTATATCTATTTATACTTATAATAATTATTCTACTTATAATTATACTAATTATAAAGCTAGTTTTATTAAAGTTATAAATATTAATTAAGTTAATACTATATTTTGTAATTATATTCTTTATAAGCTAAAACTAATTTTAAATAATAGTTAGATTTTTATATTTTACCCTCTAATAATTATATTTATAAAAAAAATATATCTTAAGCTTTAATTATTGCCTAATAAAATTAGAAGCTTAATACTTATTAATAAGTAATATATTGCAGTTAATAAGTAGTTAATTAGCTATTTCTTTAATATTATATAATTATAGAGGAAATTCTTATAAATCTAAATTAAGAATAAACTAAATAATAATTTATTTCTTTAGATTAAAAAGCTTTTATAACTTAGAGATAATATTATATTAAGAAAATATACTATTTTATTAGTAATATATTATCTATTTAGATACTATATAAATTATTATAGTATATTAAATACTTAGCTTTAAGTTATTTTAAAAAGCTTAAAAAGTAAAAAGAATTCTTATCTTATTATTTAATTGTAATATATTTAGTAGTTAAAAAATAATTAATTTAATAAAATAAGAAGTAATTTTAAGATTTTTATAGTACTTACTTATTTATAATACTTACTTATTATATATATTAATTCTTATTAAAATTTAAATATAAAAGTTATTTTTTTATTAAATATAATTTTTTTAGTAATTTATATATATTAATAATATTTCTTATAAATATATAAAAAAATTACTTTATATTAATAAACTTTTAATAAAATAAAAAATATATAAATTTTATAAATTTATTTATAATAATAAATATATTATTATAAAATACTTTAATTATTAAATTTTTAAATAATAAAAACTTAATAATATAATTTATAATAATAAATTTTTAAAATTATTATATTATTAATATAATAAGTAATTAAAAATACTTAAGCTAGCTAATTATTAATAAAAATATCTTTAAAATAATTTAAATAAAATTAATAAAAAAATTAATATTATTATTAAAAAAAAATCTTTTTTTATTAAATTTTTTTTTTAAAAATTAAAGAAACTAAAAAAACTTAAAGCTATTAAAAAATTAATTAATTAATTATCTTTATTTTTAAAAAATTTATTTAAATCTTCTTACTATTATTATATTTTCTATTTAACTTCTATTTTTAACCTCTCTTAAATATTAAGCTACTATAAACTTTATTAATACCTTATTAATAAACTTTCCTATAAATAACTTAATATTCTATCTTATAAAATACTTTCCTATTAAAAAATATAAGCCTCTAATTAATCCAACCTTATATACATAATTTAGTATAGCTTCAGGCTAATTTAGCAGCAGAAAGAGATAGAAAACAACACCTAACTCATTAACTTACCCTAGGGGAAATATACAGAGAGTCGTCGTATAGGCATCTTAGCCGGTCAGCCTGAAGCTACACCAGATTACACATATAAGGTCGGATCAACCTGAGGCTTATATCTCCTGATAGGGAAGCATCTCATAAGATAGAATATCGGGTCGGTCGCAGGAAAGTTCGCTGGCAAGGTATCAATAGGGCCTGCGGCAGCCCGATATCTAAGGGATGTCGAAGACGGAAGTTGGACAAGGAGCGTAGTGACGGCAAGAATGCTCAAATAAATCTCTCAAAAATGAAGGCAATCAATTAATAGACTCCCGAGCAGCCTCGAGCCCTTTCGGCCTCTCTGACTTCTTGGAAGAATCCCTGATGAATGAAAAGACGATGGTTTCCCCCAGTGACGGCACTGACCTCCCCTTTTAACCCCATCCGGGTCACCCTAGAGACATCCCCGCTAGCGACCAGCTAGCCCAAGTGTCCCTAACCGCCTGTCACACTGACCGGCTAAGATGCCTGTATAATAACTCTCTGTGTATTCCCTCTAGGGTAAGTTAATAAGTTGGGTGTTATTTCTGTCCCTTCTTGCTGCTAAAATAACCTCTTTATAATTTATTTATTATATAAACTAATTGAAATTAACTTACTTTATACTTATAAGTATAAGGTAGTATTTAACTGTTATATTTAAAGCTAGTTTATTATACCTTCTACTTATTAATTTAATAAAAGCAGGGTGTTTTTCTATTTAAGCTTATTTTATACTAATTCTTTTTTATAACTCTTTCTAATATTTAAATACTAATTATTTTCTATATATAATCCGTATTACCTATAGATACCTATAAATCTACTGTAGATACCTGTAGGTACCTATAAATAGAGCCTGAGCACTCGTGGGTACCTGAAGTCTGAGTAGTTTACACCCTACGTCTATTATCGGCTCGATTACACCATAGCTTTTTAAGACAACAAGAGCAAGTTAAAAGTATGCTGGACTCAAAGCCATCAAGTAATGTCCTTCTTCATAAACACGGTCTTGAGACCAGGGGCGTAAAAGTCATCAACAGTGTGGATTAACTCGTAGTGGCGTTTCTCATACCAGCCATGGGCAGTCATCTAGAATTCGTCAGTTACTCATCTCCGCCCATAAGACGATGACTTTTGAAGAGCCGAGCATACCTTGGGCGATTGGCCAGTGTTTTCAATTGCCAAAGCAATCGCGCTATCTTTTTGGACTGTGTCGAGAGCAAGAGTGCGGGCACTTAACGGCTTTTCCACCGCCATCATCTCTATGGTGTCCATGGCAGCACGGCCAATGCCGGTACCCCGCAAGGCCTTTGACACATAGAATGTTTTTATCCAGTAAACGCCTTCTGAAGGAATATCCAGGCCGAACCCTTCCGTGCCGGGGTTTTCAGAGTCCAGGGAAATATGACCAACTGGGTAAAAGGATTCATGGGTCGGGGCGCGAGGAGTACCACGAATGGATGCACTGGTGTCTTGCAACGGTCGCTTATCCTAAAAAAAAGTTAGGTATTAACTTAAGGGGTTTTAGTCAACACATGTGGTTTCATACCATGGGGAACATGTCGAAATGCAGCAGCAGTTTTCCGTCTGCATCAGGCTCATCGGTTGGAATTGGGAGTGTCTGGTCATTGATCAGATTGGCAGTTCTACACTTGCGTCCATCAAAATTGGGGAGCAATGAGGAATATACTCACAATCCAAAATATGCATTTCCTACCCAATCTTTGTCTCTCTTGCCAAAGTGGTTGCACTTTCTCGCTGTCCCAACCACAGTCCTCCCGCTGCTTGACGAGCCTGTCGACATGTTCGCTGGAGTTTGGATCCCAAGGGATGAGATGGACTTGGCTAGTAGAAGACATGCCTTTTGTAGTTTCAATGTTTCCGACGAAAGCGTATTGATAGCTTGCATATGCACAATTTTTTAATCAGGTAATGGGAATGGTGAAGGAGATGAACCAGTGTCTTGTACTTGGAGGGTGCACCAAATGACTCACGACCGACGGGGACCGACGGGCTTCGACTTTGGACTTTGAGGAATCTACTTGCACCGAATAGGCAGGTTGCAAGGGCGATGACAAAACGCAGTTTGAAATTAGCTGAATAATCGTCATGTGGGTAGGATTTCGAGATGGCATGACATGGAATTTTATAGTCCTCTGATTAATGGCCAGTCTGTCAAGCTGGTGGACACCCATGCAGTCCAAAGGGCGTGGTCAGACGGGCGTCAAACGGCTCCAGTTTTACTGGGTTTGTCGGCGACCTTTGAGCTGTGATTGCCGGCCCAGTTGACCACAATGCGCTAATTTAGGGCATCCCGGCGCTACATTTGATCGGGCATCACTTCGTTTTAACGTCGCCTGGCAAAATTATTCCTTTGTGGTAGGAAATGCCAGTTACCGCACCAATCCATGATAATGAGCGATGTTTTCCGTAACCGTTCCTTTGTCTTCCGGCTCCAAGAAGCCAGAGCTCTGACCTCAATCAGCCGCCGGACCCCCATGCTCCCTGTACTTGCAATCAACATCTAATAATGGCGTGAATGCTGACTCGAAGCGGACCAGATACTAATGGATCAAATTCGCGGACAGCAACGGGGAGACGAATGATTGAAGCCGAATAATGCTCACGGGAATCGTCACGAGCTAGAGCGCTTTGCAATTTGAGACAGTCAACATCGAACTTGAAAGGTCCGCTTGCCCTTGGCCTACCCAAACCAGCCTATCTCCTTTCATTGCGCAAGATGTCTGGTTCGCAGAAGTTCAGGGTTGCTTACTGAAGGAGCAGATAGCAGTAAGAATGCGGAGGGGTTCTCGGACGTTGCGCGTTTCCATATCTTTAGCAGCCTCGAGGCTGGGATAAGTTAGCACGGTCCCCGGTTCATTAAGACGGGGTAGAAAGGGGGCGAGTCGTACCTGCGCCGCTAGAGGTGCAAATAATATTCCGTTATATAAGTACCTAGGTACTGTAGGTACGCACAAGCTTCCAGCAGCTATCGGCTGCAGCACCCTAAGCTTTGAGCAGGTACAGTGGCTACAACACTCTAAGCTTCCAGAAGCTACAGAGGCTACAGCACCTCAACCTTCCAACAGCTACAGCATCTTAATCTTCTAACAGCTACAGCGCTTTAAGCCTCTAGCAGCTCTAGCAGCTATAGCAGTATTAGCGTCCCAAGTTCCTAATTACTGTAGTGCCCTAAGCTTCTTATACCTATAGCAGCTAGAAGATTGAGGTGCTGTACCCGCTGTACCTGCTGGAAGCTAAGAGTGCTGTAGCTACTGTAGCTGCTTGAAGCTTAGGGCGCTGCAGCCGCTATATATGCTGGAAGCTTGTGCATACCTACTATCTAACGGGATATTATTTGCACCTCTAGCGGTGCAGGTACGGCTCGCCCAGAGAAGGCATTCGGCTCACAGTCGCCGGATAATGTGGATGAAAGAGGGATATATATAACAGGAACCAGTCGGCGGCGAGAACCTAGATTTGACATCATCGTCGCAAAGAGAGTTCCTTTTCCTAAAGTTAAACAGTCAGTCCTTTCCGTCGATATCGGATTATTAGATATATCGAAACGCAATTTTCCCCAGAACTTTCTACGATTTTATTTTTCTACGATCTCATTACCTATTGTCATCGGGTTGTCAATACCCAGCCCGATACACTTCCAACCCTCGAGACAACACGATCAATTCCTGACGCCTTGCCAACGTCAATCTCAGCAATTGACTAGATAAATCACACCATGAGACGCCTTACTTCCTTCAGGCTGTCTTACCGCGCAGATGGTGCCCCAATTAAGTTCATTAGATAGGTCCCTGACTGATCAAGCTGGACGGCCTCGAAACTCGAGTCGCGAAAGATCCGACCGTAGGGAGGTGAGCGATTTAATTGTTGTTCCTGACCTATTCCCCTTCCAAATGATCAAGTTAATAGCCCTACAGGTCCCAAACTGTCAAGCGAACGGAAAGGCTAGTCGGTTGAGCGATGGCTGCTTCAGCCGAGGAGACCTGCGCTGAAACCATGTAAAAGTCGTTCTTGCAAGGGTCACGTACGGTTGAAAGATTTTGGAGAGTACTTTTTCGAGCTTACAGTTGATGTCGGGAGTTTCCATCAGGATGTTTTGCGGTTTTCTGTAATTTGAATGAGCACCTAGGTACGAACTAACAAACTAAACGCCCGACTGACCAGTGGGAATAACGCGACATATGTCATGGAAATGAGACAAAGCTCGTGGCCGTTGTCTTGAGGTATCCTTCACAAAACGCGGCGTATTCCTCAAATTGGATTAAAGTCGCCTATACTTGGACAAGTTTGGCCCCATGGCTTTGAAGACGAGATAGACACGGTTGTCACGATGCTCATATTGGCCAACACCTCCAGAATGTGACTCACACTGAAACGACCGGTAGTCTGGACGCCAATGAGCTTCAAGGTATCCAGTTCGAAAGGATTTCTTCCATGGTCGAAAGATTCGGCAGTGAGGACTTTAATGACAACGTGTCCTGAGTACGGCTTTAGTTGAACCGAAACGATTGCCAGGGAGGTTCCAGACTCACTCAAGATTCCAAGTTAGCCACGCTGTGACGTAGGCGTCATATCCAAGTTTGGCAATGATCCTGTACTCGACGTTTTTAAAAGCTGCCTCCGACGTGGACTGAGTGGCAGCCCTCTTGACGATACATGGACAGGGTTTCCTCAGAAATGGAGTGCAAGGGACGTGGCTACTTCGAGCAGCAACCAACAACCTCAGGCGGCTAGCACCGGAGCTCAGGGTAACTGCCAAGGTCATTGGTGTTCGCTGGCCTACGGCACATAGAGAGCGTCGTATTTGCAAGGGGGTCCCATGTCACATAGAAGGGAGGGGTGGTTGGAAGAGTAGTCCCAACCAACATGCTTTGAGATTATCGAGATTGGTTAAAAACCCCACAACGGACCTGGAACTTATAATCCCTCTTTCTTTTAAATCCAAACCCAAAATTAAGCACTCTACAAAAGCCGGTACCCAAAACGAGACCCGTGAGCACCAACCATGGCAGCCTCGACGACTGGAATCCCTCACCAAGTGAGAGGGGTGATGAAATCAAGCGACCCCCTGCCTCTCACCCCAGAAGAACTCACCGCCGCTTGGTTCACCAAAATTCTGGGCAAACCAGTCAAGGACGCAACGATTGGTAAAGCCATTCATGGCACAGCTTCCAAGATCCTCGTTGAGTTGACCTTTGAGGACTCTGCCGATGCCCCGACCAAGGTTTGCGTCAAGGGCGGCTTTAACCCAGCTCTGTTGGCCAGCCTCCCCTTCATGTTTTCCATCTACAGACTGGAAGCCGAGTTTTACTACTACGTCGCCCCTACGATCTCCATACCTCTTCCTCCAACAGTATATTGCGGTACAGATACGGTCAAAGGGCAGGGTATTGTTGCAATGGCCGACCTTGAGGCTCGCGGATATACATTCGGAAATCCCCTTGAGGCCTGGCCTGTCGATCGTGTACAGGCAGGCGTCGAGCAGCTGGCTATTCTACACGCTAGAACTTGGGATAGCAAGCCTGAGGACTTTCCATGGGCCAGCGAAACCGTTTCGCTCAGAGACGCCGTCGTGGGCCTGATGGCCCCGGAGGAATGGGGCAAGCGATTTGCTGGAGATGCCAGACCTCCAGTGCCGGACTTCATGGTGGACCGCGAGCGGATGACTGCAACGTTCAAGGCCCTCTGGAAGCCATCCAATTCAACGCTCAACTGCCTCGTCCACGGAGACGCGCACATCGGCAACACATTCATTTCGCCTGCTGGAGAGCCCGGGTTCCTAGACTGGCAGGTCATACATGTCTCGTCGGCCATGCACGATGTTGCTTATTTTATCATCGGTACGCTATCTATCGAGGACCGCCGGAAGCGTGAGAAGGAGCTTGTGCAGCATTATCTGGACGCCCTTCACCGTGCGGGAGCACCCAAGTTCCAGATAGAGGATATTTGGAATGAGTACCGGATGCACGCTTTTCATGGGTTCGCGTGGGCTCTCGCTGGGCCGATGATGCAGAGCCGCGAGATTGTAGATGTTATGACGGGTCGCCACTGCGCGGCGATTGTGGACCATAAGAGCGTGGAGCTACTGGAGGGGCTTGAGGAGTACATGGTGTTGGAGGGAACTGGTGTCTAACTCACTCTCTAGCTGCCCTCCAGTGTAGTTATGTCTTGTCTATAGGTATATTACCTACCAAATTTATTCGTACTTCCTACATAAACCTGAGCATGACTCAGTTAGAGTCAGCGTGGATGTTAGACTGCAACACAGGAGGTGGCCAAGTCCACACAGAGCTCGGGTGGCCGTTCAGCCGCCCGGTCTCGAATCCTCCTCCCCGCCATACGGAAGACGGATGGTCTCCTGAAGTCCTGGGACCCTGGGCCCTGTCCCATGCTTGGGGCTTTTATTAGGCCGCTAATGAGACTCGGCCCGGGGATCACCTCACAATATCCGGCGGTCCCAGGGGTTCTTACAAGCTCCGACCAGGATATGGTTGCATCAGTCAGCATGACGATCCAAACTACGGAATTAAAACTCATCTGTCTGCTAGCCAATATTAGTTAGGGTGGGCTGGGATAAGCTTCAGACTAGGCTGGCTCTGGCCGCCATGAAGCGCACCGGATCGCCCTTAGTTGCTCATGGACTGTCACTCGGTCCCTCTCATTAGCTATCAATCGCACATGGCTTTGCAACTTGGAAAACCTAGACCTTAAACTAAGGGGATAAAAAGCTTGCATCCCCACATTCTATCCTCAAGAATATCCGCAGTAGTCGAACAGTTTGAAGGCTCCCGCCCCGAATGAGGCTCCGATAGACAATCCAGTCGAGGCCTGGATCCAAGTCCTAGACAATGACCTCGCCCAGCTTGCCCTTATAGCTCAACAATCTCGTAGGTTGCGTATCTTACGCATGCAAGCCTGGAGCTCTCCATCTCCTGAATCCGTCGATAGTCCCGAGAATTATCTCTCACTACCCACGATGGAAGCCCTACTTTCGGTGAAGAATCTGAGCGTTCCAGTGCTAGATCTACCCGCCAGCTTTGTGGTTTCATCAGGAGAGCAAGGGAATAGCGGTCATATTTGTCCAGCTATATGTGCCCTTCGTGGCACTCTCAGAACCCTTCAGGTACACATGGGCAGCATCTGCCCCGAAGTTTTGAAGCCTCGAGACCCTAATGACAATCTACCCCTGAGCGTGGTATTCATCAAGCTGAGCCTGATCAGGGTCCTACCGTGGGTAACATCGGCGGCTCACTCCAGATGGTGCTGTCCCCTTGATGATCTCTTTCTTTGCGACTGGATTCCTTCCGACAACTTAATTGACCACCCTGATTAGGTTTGCTAAATTTTAAAACGAGTATTTCTAAGAGGAAAATAATAGAAATTATAATGTATGGGTCTTGAACAAAAAGTAGTTTTATCTAAATACCGAGACACAGCCACAGTGTGCGTGGTAAAGCCCTATTGCTTCTAATTTCGACCAACCTCATCAAGACCTTAACTGCCGTATAATTATTTACTACTTGCCGTTGATGGCATCCAATGGCGTAAGAATGCTTTTGTGCATGCTGCCGCTGTTGCGGCTGCATACTGCTGCCATATCTTTGTCTTGTGACTGTCCGCGTAGTCGCAAGCACCCTTGATGACTAGACAGTGAGGAAAGGTTTCCCACACGCCAGCGCCCTCCATCTCAAAGGCAAGAATATTCTCGCGTTTTGCGATGGAATCTCGATCCTCACCAGACTTCATAACTGTATCACCCGACGCCATAAGACCGAAATGGATTGCTGGTTGTGTTGCTTCTTGAATGAAGCGGCGGCGGCGTACTAGCTGGCCTCGACACCCTCCATCTTGACATGTGAGATTATCTTGAATATGTCGATATGATGCCTCAAACAATCTGTCATTTTGTGGGCCTGGGTATTCTGCTTTGAGGTCTGACTCATTCTGCAATTTATCAAGATGGCTCACCATCTCGTTTCGCAACCCGTTCTTATTGCGGTTACCCTTTAGTTTCGCCAAGATCGATCGAATTTCGGCGTGTGGTCTCCCCAATGACTCCCGAGGGGTATCTTTACGAGCAAAATGCTCAGGCCACCGGCGTCCAAGGTCGTATTGGACGATGCCTTCGCTCACAATGACGTCTCCTAAGATGATTTCGTCTCCACTCTCCGGCGCAAAGGGCACAACACCACATATACCCACAACAATTGCAAGCTTGATGTTTGGAAAGCTGTTGAAGCAATGAGCCGCTACAGTCGCAGCACTTCCCTTCCCCATACCTGGCATGTGGGTGAGCACGACATTGTGACGGCCGATGGAGCCTGTAGAGTAGGCGTTGGGATCTCCACTAGCCTTGTCGTAACTCGGCCCATCGTCCCAATTATGGTCGAAGAGAACCTCAACAGCATCTGCCTCGATCGTGAGAGCGCATAGTATCCCAATATCAAACTCATGTCGACTCTTTGGACGAATTCGCTGTTCGGGATTGGACGACTTCTTCTGTTCCACCGGTGACAGGCTGCGTCCGTTTATCTGACCGCTGTCATTCGCGAGCTGCTTGGCGGAGAGGTATCTCGTTCTGTCGCTAGATCCTCGAAAAGCCCTGCTGAGCCACTGTAATCGCGACACAACCTTTTCGTGTAGTAGTTGTCTCCGAAGGATATGTGGATCTTCGATGCGCGATAGTTCCCCCTTACCCATCAAACCCTCGAATTTGAGGCACTGCTCCACAGCATCAGTGAAGATGTACTTGTGTGCAAAGTTTTCCCATTTTACTCCTTTCAGCTCTTCTAAATATTGAGCAGCCTCTGAGTAGCGAAAGTTGAGCAACCGGGTGCGGCGATCAAACGTCCTTTGCGCAAAGTGCCTCCCAAGTCCGATTTCCAAAAGTAATCTGGCCAGAGCTTGAATTCGGGGGCATCTGTGAACAAGCGCCGCCGTTTCTGTAAACTCGCTTGCATCAAAGTCACATTCAGAAGCCTCTGGGTCAAAGGAGATGTACGCCTTCAATGGGAGAAGCTCGGAGTCGTCGTGAAGATCTGGCTGAGGCATGAACCAGATATTGTGGCTGTTCCATGCCCGGTTCATGATTTGGGAGTCGTAGAATTCCCAAAAGGCTGACGATATGATGTAGGCTAGAGCAAGTTTCTCTTCAACTTTCAGAGTGTATTGCTGTAGGACATCTGCAAGAGACAGCCCTTTGCCTGAGGAAGCTCGGTGTTTTAACATCTCAGCATCTAGCCGGAACAGGACTTTATTTTCAAGCTCAAAGGTGAGACGGCACCCGTCATCTGCCTGGAAAATGTCGCAAAATCGTTGAAGCTGCTCTCTTTCTGTTGTATGAGTCAACTGACAGGAGCCTTGGTCGATCTTCTCAATGTTGCTTGCAAATCCCACTCGCTTTTTGGTCAATCTGTAAGTAATATTCAGTCCACAACTCTTATGATTTTGAAAACGCATACACATACGTCGACACCTTGATACAGAGATCTTGCCACGATTTACTGTCGACAGATGACACGATTATGTCGAACCCCACCAGATCATCCTCGCTTTTCGTTGGGCCTGTCAGGTATAATCTTGTAGGGTGAGAAGAGGCTGGTTCTTTAGGACCAGAGTTCAAATGACAAGACTCGCAGACTGTGTATTCTGAAAGCATATGAAACAATTCCTTGTGCGCACGGCAATGATCCGGAGGGCAAGGGATTTCGATTACTTCTTCCGAGTCATCCGTCTGCAACTTAGTTGATAGCTCCTCACACTTTGCAATCAAGCCCTCTACAACAAATGGTTGCCTGAGATAAGACATGATATTGCTGCGAAGAGTTTCGTGATGACTTTCATCTTCCACGAGCCTGAGGAGACTGGTAAAGGGTTGTTTGCCTTGTCGTATTAGTCCATAGGTAGTATTGAAAGGTCGCGACCACTGGCCGAAGAACGTTAGCAAACGTGATTCCAAACATCATGTTTGGATGAGCGCTGACTTACCGAACACATATCCTCCAAGATCTCCCAAATTTCCAGTGCCGTCTTTTCAATTTCGGGGTCAAAGATAGCCCCCGGATCAGATTCTAGTTGAAACGAGATCATCCCCAGCTTTGTTTGCATGCTCAAACAAGTACGGCATAGTTCGTTCGTTGCTTTGTTTGGGCGTCGCTGAGAGGCGTGTGGACACCTGGGAGAGTTCCGCATCACCTCGCTGATCTCCCAGGCGCATTTCTGGAGGCCATCAACCGTAAAAGACGAGCCCATTGCGAATAGTCAGCAGTCGGAAGTTTGTTGTTGATCATTGAGGATTCCCCCGCTTCAGCTTCGGAAAGATGAGGGCTTTTGCTGACAGCCTGATATTGGTTCTGCGATCAGGCGTCCAATCACAGGTGCAGTCCACGTCTTGTACACGTCAACTTCCCCTCTCGAAGTTTTCTGTCGGCGGCTTTATCCCTCTACGAACTCATTGCTGAAGTTGGCTTGTTCGTTGGTCAATTACAACAATCCAGCATCCAAATCCGACCATGGGCGCTCCTCCCGCGTCGGAGCTCGCAGTTCAATGCCTGGCCCAATTTGACGAGTGTCTCCTAAACCATGCCCTAGCACACAACCAATGGGCCGACAATCGACGAGCGGATTTCAATATTTGGGTCGATGGAGTAGGAGCAATGGCTGGGAAAACGGCCTCCTTGGATGCCAGATTTGAGTCAAGGCCTCGCGAGTTGATTCTGACAAAGAATCTACTCTTTCAGCTGGGATATTATCTCGAAGACGCTCTGACAGCCACTGATGAAAGAGAGCTAGAAGAAGTGAAGAGAAATGTAGATACATCCATTGAAAATCTCGCTTCGATGGCCATCGCAATCCGCCGAACTGGGCGCAAGTCTCGACTTGTCAGAGCGGATGCGAGCTTCAATTCTGCCTCGCTAGATGACTTCAGGAAGCATCTGGAGTTCATAGTTCGTCTTCGGCCTACACTGCCCGGTTACAGGCACCCGTCGCATCACAAGAATCATCCTCACTGGTGGCAGAGGCATCTTAGTGCCAAGCTCAATCCTCTGCAACAGCGACTCATCGAAGCGAATTTGAGACGGAGAAACCGGTTTCTTTACGCTCAGAGTCACTCCCGGAAGCTTGCGTATCGTCAACTAGCTGAGAATCCAATAGAGCATCAGCCGCAGGCAGATGGGTTGATAAAACATCGATCATCGAAAGGAAACCCCACTTCACAACTTCCAGTGCGTGGTGCATCCGCTCAACCACACAACATGAGTTCTGCAAAGCACCGCAAGATCATGCCAGCACTATCTGAGGCTTTGGCGTCTACTCCAGAGAGCAAGCTAAAATGGACAGAACCAAATAACCGTGTTCGGGTAGCTATGACGCAGATGAGTCGCGTTACTGGAACAACCTTGTACCCCAACTTAAGAAAGCCGCAACAATCAGAAGCTCAAGGAATGGACCAAGACGAGACTGAGTTGCCAAAAATGCTGAAATGTCCGTGCTGTTGCGAGGCGATACCATCCAGCATGCTGAAAGTTGAATCAGCATGGAAGTGAGTCTGGACTCGATTGCTTCTAGTTGTTGTATTCAGTGTTGACAAGATTTAGAAAGCATCTATCAAAAGATCTTTGCCCTTACACATGCATCGCCACAAACTGCCCAACGCCGCACGTCCTGTACTGCACACGGGCAGAATGGGAGGATCACTTAAAGGAACAGCACCCCAAAACCTGGAAATGCCAGCTCTGCGACGACCCAGGTGATATTGTCTTCCACACTGACGACCAACTTCTCGAGCATGTCAGCGAAGAACACATGGATTCATTCCCAGCAAGTCTTCTCGGAGCAGTGCGCCTCTGGCCTTCCAGTCCCTCCATTGGACTAAAATCCTGTCCTCTATGTTACAAGACGGGGCCTCGAGATGCGCCAAGCTTAATCGACCATGTTTTAGAACACACTCACAGCTTTGCGCTCCGTTCGCTCCCTTGGGCAGACCTCTCAGTTGCCAATTTTGAAAAGCCCGGGACGTTTGAATGGTACAATTTTAGCTGCTTGAAGTATATGAAGCCAACGGAACCAACAGCATCGTCGCATCAATGGCTACTGCATGACTGGTTCGAAAAGTTTGAAACTCCGACAGTCGAAGAGGGTGAATGGGAGAGAGCAGAAGCTGCTTTGGGAGATCTAGCAGCTTCCCGAGCTAGGATGAAAGTCAGGGACCAAGATGACTACTTTGCGACGAACGACTATTTCGCTTCTGATGCCGAGGGCCCATCGCAGCCTTTGAGTCGTAATAGTTTCGATTCAGAACCGGAGATCGAGCCCGCGGAGAGTGATGGAAACGCACCGCAATGGGGCGGTTGGTCATACGGGACCCGAAATGAACAGTCCCAGGGAGACACTCACCGGCTCCCAAATAATGATGGTTCGTATCACAGCTGGAAGCTTCATCCCCCCAAATTCCACTATCACTATGCCTCGTGTTAACCACAGACTGCACAGCCGATCTCGATACCGAATGGTATACCCCAGACAACGAACCGACGACATGTGACTCCGACCAGGACGTGCCCAAATACTCAAACAAGCCGAAAGGCAAAGACCCCGAGACTGAGCCTTTAGAGACTGATGAAAACGAATCGCAAGGAGAGGATTGGTCACATTGGATCTGGAGTGAAGACTACCAGAGGCACTATCGCCAGCGCCACAATACCAACGGTTCGTCTCACAGCTAGAAGCTTAGAGGATGAAGCTTCCCTCGCCGCTATGCCTCTTATTAACCACAGACTGCACAGGCGATCTCGACACCGAATGGCATGAGAAACAGACGACGTACGACTCCGAGCAGGATGGATCCGAGCTCTCAACTGAGCCGAGGTATGAAGCAGAGCTATACACTGCATTAGATGACATTGAAGACGCCCTGGCATCAACAGAGGAGGCCCAAGATTATGGCACGGATTTTTATGCGCCCGACGATGAGACGACGACAGCCACTGTGGCTTCTGGTATGTTACTAGCAATCGAGCTTGGCGCCCTAGAGACTCACTGGCAGCCATAGGGTCAAATGAATACGAAGCCGGTGGTCCTCTCCCCAGCCATGTTTCTTCGACTGATGAGGAATGGGAGGAGTTAGATCCTCGTGTGTAATACACATCCTCAATCATACCTTCTTACTGATTCGATTCATAGGTTTTCGTGTGGAGCCAGCTCGCAGATTTCAGCCTGGACAGGTACGTTTGCTTTATCCTTATGGAGCGACTCCTAATTCGCATGCTTTATAGATCTTCAAGATTTACTGGTCCGAGCCAAAACGAAGCGGTGGTAAAACCGCGCTGCCTTTCTTGGATCAAAATGTGGCCATGGGCTTCCGTCGATTTATTATCATTGCCAACGATGCCGGGCACTGCACCTGCGTGTGAGTCGTAGCCACCACTCCCTGACATGAATCACAGCGCTAATGTGATAGACCTGTTCTTACGTATCACGGCAAAGCATGTAAGATGAAAGGCGTCAAACCCATGAAGCATGGGGTCATCTACGAAAAGGGGAAGAAGCCACGACTTCTCTCCGGTGAGCCTGAACTTGGCTTTCCCCCTGTTCAGGCTCAGATAACTGAAGCTGGGGAAAGGCTCTACAGGGAACATCGGGTGGACTACTCCAAGCTGACCACGGTCGAGCACAGCGTTAAGGTCTTCTTTATTGGGCACATCGAAGGCAGAGATTTTGATGTTGTTTCGGATGCTGTCAATCAATGTTGGGAGGAAAAGATACATAGACACAAGCGGGGAAAGGGGTCCGACGAGAGAGAATCTTCAACTCATCCGTCATACAGCTGAGGATCAATCTCGGAAAAGGGTACATAGAGCCAATACCTATCACGAAGGCGCTGAAAACAGGGTTTCCAAAGTACTGGCATGAACATTCAAGAACCCATCCTCAATTGAAATCGAGATCAATGTCCCATGTGTAATAACGGACAAGACTCCATAGCCCAGTCTCCTGATGATTCAGTTGGTGGCAACCACGCCATCCGCCCACGTCGACACGGCATCGGGTGACGGCTATTATGTGCCCCCGGTCCAAGGGCAATGCAACTCCAGGTTCCCCGCAGCCCGTGCCAACCCACTGAAAAACGTCCAGGGGTTCTTTCAGTGGATGCGGGGCCCCGGCATTTTGGTTGTTGGGGAACCAGCGACATCCGCTTCTCGGGCCAAGTTGATACGAGTGAGATATTTTGGAGCAGTGGAATGTGACTTCTATAGCCAGCTTGGGAATCATTTGGGAGACTCTTCTGCAGCTCAGAGGCATTCTCCATGGTCGTAATGAAGTCAACAAACAAACCCCTCTTGGACCCTTCGTGACTCTCCACTTGGAAATGCCGTCCCCTCAACCCCAGGATCCCACTGCCACCCCCCCTGCGCCTCCATGGAGCATTTTCGCCCGGTGGCCTGATGTCGAGTCCATCTCACTCCACTTGTACTGCGGAGAAGCGATTTGGGGGCACAATTGCTGATGGTCCCTTGCCACTCCGGGACGTCAGCCGCGAACTGGCCGCCAAGCGTTCAACCTCCGTCCGCCCGAACCACGCGTTAACCGACATACCCCGAGATGCTGGATGCGCCTCAGTCCACGGCGGCGGCCTGCTCCGCGAAATTAACGTGCGCGTGCCTGCTCTGGGATCTGATAAAGACTGGCCTCCAGCTGCTCACCTGTCTCTGGAAAGGGAATCCTTTACACTCTGGTCCTGGAATTTTTGGCCCTGGAATTTTTGGCCCGACTCCAGAGACTTACACGCGCATACTTCGGCTTGGGCCAAAGAGGACTGCCTTCGCCTACACGCATCCAATTAAGCCCTTTTATCATACCCTAAAATACGTCGCAGTCTCATTTCTATTTCCTTCTTACAAGATGCGATACAGCGTCGTCGCCCCGGCTCTATGCCGATCCGTCCTTCGGAACCAACGGCTCCGCGCCCAAGTGTGCGAGCGCGGCGTGAGGAAGCTCTCCAGCATCAAGACGGCGCCGACATTCGAGGAGGAGAAATGCCGCAACTATGACCCCAAGGACTTTTATCCTGCTCGCATCGGCGATACCCTCAACAGCAAGTACGAGCTCGTGTCGAAGCTGGGATGGGGTACTGGCTCGACTGTCTGGCTGGCGAGGGCCATGCACTGGTAAGCGACTTCGGCTCCGGGGTTTGATTGACCAACTGCCGTGATTGAATCTCACATCGTGTTAGGCTCCCATGGCAGAACGAACACCATGTCGCACTAAAGATCACGAATAACACACCCACTGCGCAGGCCGCTGCGCGTCGAGAGCTAGACATCTCGGACCAAATGTTCACGGCGGAGACGACACACCCCGGCCGACAGTACGTCCGCAGTGTTCTGGACTCGTTCGAGGTCGAGGGACCTGATGGCACACACATCTGCATGGCGTTTGAACCGCTGCGCCAGCCGCTGTGGATGTTGGGCCAGCAGAGCGGCCTCACCAACCTGGTGCAGCCGCGCACAATCAAGGCCCTGCTGCCGAGCATTCTCAAGTCTCTGGATTTCCTCCACTCCGAATGCCAGGTCATTCACACTGGTATGCGCGCACCTAGTGACTCTTTTACGATTCTTGACTTGAACCGAGGCTTACTTGATGTTTAGACCTCAAGGGCGATCATTTCATGGTCCCGTTCGAGGACGCCAAGGTCCTAGAAGACTATGTATACCGCCAACAGGCCAACCCCGCCCCGTGCCAGGAGCGAAACGGCCGCCCGGTTTACGAATCCCGATCCAACTTCGGTCACTTGAGGGGAGACATCGGCTACGTCAAGCTCACCGACTTCGGCTTGGCTGTAAGAGGCAACGTCGCTAACAACCATGATATCCAACCTCGAGAGTACACGGCTCCTGAGGTCATGCTCAAGGCTGGGTGGTCCTACCCTGCCGATATCTGGAACCTGGGGCTTGTGGTAAGTCTTATGGGCGAGAAAGTTCTCTTGATATTATGTATACTGACACCTTCTACTCAGCTTTGGGAGCTTCTGGGAGACATCAATCTGCTCAGCGGAAGAGTGCCTGGACACTGCAAGTTCTCCAACAACACTCGTTGGGCTCAAATGATTCGGCTCATGGGTCCCCCTCCCTCTGAGCTTCTCGCACGGGCCGACAGGGAAGCGCTCTCCAGATTCTACGACAACCAAGGTATGTGCCTTCCAGTTCGCGCCCATTCAACTGCGTTGGGATGCTAACTATATGTAGGAGTCTTCAAGCACCCCGAACTCATCCCCGACGAGATGTTCACCCTCTCTAACTCGACACCGATGCTGGAAGGCCAAGAAAGGGCATTATTTATCAACTTTGCCAAGAGGATGTTGACCTGGCTGCCAGAGCAGCGCGCCACCGCCAAGGAGTTGCTGGATGACCCGTGGCTGAAGTCTGTAGGGAGACACAGGGCGGCTGGTTTTGGATATCTTGAGGACACTAAACTAACTTGAAAAGGATGGCTAATGGTATGAGTCTGGAGCAATGGTCTGGAATTTCTGGTTGTTTTATCTGTTTATGAGGTTTTGGAATCCATGAACGAGGCATGAATACCACGGGGAAGAGGCGTTAGCATCTAGCGTAATCTATCTCTACTAAGTACCCAATCCCTGGTATCCTCAGTGCACATTCAAATCATCTGGTCTCACGGTATGGGGATTCCGAACGCTTCTCACGGCTTTGAGGCGCTACTGTTGGCATTGGCGAGGTGTTGCTTGCGAAGTCGTGGATAGTCTGAGTCCCGAGTCAGTGAGTCTGGTCATCGTGGAAGCAAGCCTTGGGTAGGAAATGCTTTAGTGGCGGATAAAACTGTGCTTTTTTTTACCTAAACTGTGCTTTTTTTTATAACCCTAATCCTGAGTTTGATGGCTATGCCAAGACGAAGAGATAGAGTAGAATGGCGAACGATGACGACGAGGATGCCAAGGCCACGCCAATGGGAAAATAGAGAAGGCGTGACGGCGAGAACCAATGGGCGGCCGAGCGCGAACCAGCAAAACGACGTTGTCGAGGCTTGTGAAACCCGTGACCAGGGCCTGCCAATCCGATATTTCGTCCATCAGCGCCTCCATGTTTCCCTCGTTGTTGGCTGCGAAGTTCTGGATAACGTCGCTCTCCTTCTGGCGCTCGATGTAGGTGTCCATCTGTCCTCCCGGGACGGTTTTCTGTATGTTGACGAGTTGCTCCTTAACGTTCTTGATGATTTGGGCCTGGTCTGGGAAGCGGTGCTTCTCCTTGAGCGACTCGATAAGTGCGAGGTGCGTCGGGTCGTCCATGTGAGGCGTATCCCTTGCCTCGGGGTCTATATCGTGGATGGCCTTGTTGGTGGTTTTGCGCAGATTGGTGGTCTGCATGGCATGCATGGCCAGCTCGCCCAGCTCGAATGCCGCCAAGACTTTGAGTTCCCTCACACCCTCCATTTACATTCCTTCTCGTGGGAAGCCGGCTCCCAGTCGAAGAGATCACTTGGGAGAACTCCTTATCGAAGGCGCCTTCGTTCCAGTCGGACTTGGGCGAGGAATACCAGAAGATGTCGAAGGACGGCTACCAGTACTACGGAGACAGCGTCGTGACCAAGACCAAGAACGCGAAAAATCTGAACTTGGAGGCGCCGGATGAGAGGGGAGTACTACCAGACCTCGGCCTCGGACAAGTACAACTTGATCTTGGCCTCCTTCCAGGAGATCTCCTCGAGGAGCAAGGAGAACGGCTATGCCAAGGAGAAGATCCGCATCTGGAATTGGTTGGTGTTTGTGTCAACCGGGATGCAGACCTTGCCGAATGTCATGATCCTCAACTTGGAAATTGACAAGTTGGACTCGCAGAAGATGAGGCAGCTGGCCTACGCGACCCTGGGGAGGAACTCTTTGGTGTTGAAAAACATCACCCTGTTGGTCGCCAAGGACCTCGAGACCCCCAGAACCGAAGCCGCAGCGAGCTAGTCCTCCTAGATGATGAGCTCATAGTTGTTCTTCTGGAGAAATTGGGGTTGAACCTGGAACTTTCCAAGTTCTTCTTGTCGAGCCTGGTCTTCACCTACGTGGTATTGGTGACCTACAGCGTGTAGCACGTCCTGTAGGGGTTAGTCGTTCAACTGAATGAACTTGAGCCTGGACTTGGCGGTACAATGAAAAAATATGTTTTTGTCGCAATACCGCTGCAGCAAAAGTGAATAATTACTCCTCTTTCTGGTAGTACAATCCTAGTCCATGTCTCCGTCTGACAGTGAAATCGGTTGCAGATTGTACTGCGTAGGAGGCATTTAGATACTCTATTAAAGTTGTCAATTATTCTACGCCCCGCCGCTCTTATAGTAATAGAGCCGATTCTGTCATTCTCGCCTGTTCACCTTGCTCTAGGATACGCTCTGCCATACCTCATATCCCAGATATATCCAATTATTTTTCAAGGGAAACACTCTCGACGATGGCTTCGAACATTAAGTTTTTATATTGCATAGATTATCACGGCCTCTCTCCTGAAATGGCAGGACTTGCATATCTCCCTGGTAAGTCTATCAAGCTCAGTAACCGTCTTATAGCTAACAGTCATTTTTAGTGGCCGTTGGGACCATCTTCGCTTTGGTTAGCTTCTGTACTTTCACTTGGTAGTATTCGATCAGCAAAGGCTGGGAAGCCGTGGGCTCAATGTGAAATATATCGACGCTTGTCTATTGCTTGCTTTACTGCGCCATAATTTGTTTCCGGCCCTCTTTTTATCTTGAAATACAATTCTAACACCCAACAGCATATTTATCTCCCTTATTTGGCCAGGCTGGAGAGTGTGAGACTCTGTCTCCCCAGTTGTGCCCGCCATCGGCGGTCTTTTCTTTGGCACCGGCTTCCGACTACCATTCATAAGCATGTTAAATTCCTCACTGACGCTTTCCGCCAACAATCCGTCTCAGCGCATGGCAAGGCCATCTCCGATCTGTTGGAGCAACCCTAGTTCGACTAGCAGCGGGCCCCATGTCCAGCAGACTCAGAATTCACTGGGCACCATCCGTTGTGGGCTCACTTCAAAATCTATCGGCAATGTTCCATTTGCCTTCATCTATTACAATGAGAAATCAAGCGCTAGAAGCAAGTCTAGGCAAGCTCTGTGAAGATTTTATGTGGGCTATATTCTTTAGATTACTCGATTCGCATGCTCAAGATGCAGCTGAAATATGGCTGTGAATGATAGCGTTACTCTTTACGTACAATACTAAATAACTACGTTTGAATTAGTTGAGAAGTTTTGTATTATTACGTGCCTTTTTCGTACTTTGTCTCGTTTCTCACTCACACAGTTAATGAATCTTCTGTTTCCGCTATTTGACCACTCTGCACAAGTGTAAGTAGAATGATAATGTAAATCACGGTGATTCATAAATTAAAACATATCTACCGAGTCAGAGAAGTACCTCTACTCCCCACTCCCCTGTCTGCTGAGTTTGGAGTTACAATGTGTTGGGATTTAGGGTAGGTCCGTGGGGGTGTAATTGCAAAAGTGGAACGCTCCACCACAGAACTCACGTATTTCCGGATGTTCCTGTTCACCAGGGGGCGCGCTCAAAAATAAACAAATTAAATCATGTGGATGATATTTCTAATAGACTGTGTATTCTAGCTAACTTGGGAAATACGACAAAAGCCTTTTCGGATAAGCTAAGGCTTATTAACGCGTGATATTTTCTTAGGGCCGCTGAGTAACTCAGAACTTTGAGTGTAAGGTGGATTATTTTTAACAGTGTTAAATGATAGCGCTGAAGTGTCAAGGGGAATATTCAAGTGTCTATGGGCGATTAAACCGAATCTAAATGACAATTCACCATTTATCCTTCTATCCTGACCTGTTCCATTCTTCCAAGCGCCCCCACAAAACCTTCGATTTCCCAACCTTTACCCCGACAAACTCCAACAATCACAACTCCTTTGATTAAACCATCCTGTCACCCAGTTGGCGTGTTTTGCTGTCCTTGGTCTCGCTCCATCGTCGCTTTAGCAATGGCGCAATGTGCAAGTCGTATAAGCTCAGCGACAAAGTCGTTTACTACCTTCATGTGGCTCATCTCGTAAGCCGTCATCTTGCGGACCGGCATGCTTCTGACCAAATAAGCAGCCTCGCTGAGTAGATCTATGTCGAATTTGGCCTGGGGGTCCAAAGGATACATGATGATATTGAGAAAGAGGGACATGATGGCGGAGGTGGGGTAAAATACGATGATCCTGTAATGTCCGGGAGTTAGTGATCCAGATACGAACTGTACATGAATTTTGGGGTATACACAGATGGGCCTGGAAAAGGTTGGACAAGGTTGTTTACTCACCAGAATGCCTCGCCAGCCAGTCCCCTCACCGCTGCTTTCAAGAAGATGATGGTCGAACGGCTTGCTTCCAACGAGAGTGCGATACTGGATCGAACACCACCGCTCCACTCAGCATCATTAGAACCATTTTCGGATTGCATCGCAAAACATCTGCCGCTCGCTCTGTGGATTGTTGTCATGAGGTGGTGGTACTCGACATGCAAACCGATATGTCGCATACTTCGCGGCAGCTGCATATTCGGGGGAAGGAATTTTGAGTTCTCCTTTATCGACAGTGAAGGTCGAAAGTCGGGAGGAATAGACAGTCGCCAACTCTCAAGTTCGTCGTCCAGCTCTCGGATGTCGCGGAGCAACTCGGCGTCTGATTTCTTGAGAGACTGTGCCGAGTAAAGCATACGACAAGTTTTGTCCTTGAGATGGCTCAAGAGTGGGTCCCCAGGAAGGTGAGGTGTGAGCTCTTCATTCCTGTGGGAAACAGAGTTATTCTCATCCATGTCCGGGAGGTAAAAGTAACAGTTTACGTAGTTTTCTGGAAGCGTCAGGTCACAATAGTCGTCAGTCATCAGTGGCGGTTGGCCTGTGCGAAGCGCGATGTCCTTGTCGAAAATGTAACACAGCCAGAACAACATGCGCAGCTGGCGAGTTTCCCGTTCTTTCCGGGTTGCTTGAGAACCGAAAGATTTGATAGGTTGGTAAGTATGTCCCCCGAGCATGAAAACAATACGACAAGCAATCGCATGCAGCATGCTCGCCGATTGCAAACGGCCCGAAAATGTCTGGTGCATGTGCTGGAAGTTATGTTAATTTATGCTTTGTATTATGGCGTATATTTGGCGGAGCATCATTAGACTTACCAACATGAAGACGGTTTGAAGGCTCAGGAGGCTTGAGTCTTCAAAAACATCTGACAGCAAATAATGCGCCCTGACAGCGCATGCATCGCCGTCTATAGAGGGTAATAGCTCCCTTTGACCTCCTGGAAACATGACCATTATCGAGACGAAAGCAAGGACACAACCTTTGGCGCTGATGCATTCAAGAGATGGTGGTCCATCGTATGGCTCGTACGCTAAAGCCATGGTTTCTTCAAAGAGAATGCGATCTATCACGGGGAAAACCAACCTGAACGCAGAGGTACAAAATACGTCGAGGACTAGCTCCACAAGGCTCCTCTCCGGCAGCTCATGGAGTTCGCTTTCTGACCTGTAAACGTGGGAAGGCGATAGAGCCGAGGGGAGATTCCGGTTCTGGTATCCGTGGTGGAACCTTCCAAATGAGACATCCTCGCCGGTTCTCGATGATATCCAGTTTTGACCTTCCTCGGAGAGTACGGGCATGCCGTTGTGGGAGCTGATTTGTCCAAGGTGATGCCCGGCGTAGTGAATATGGCCAAAGGAGACGCTGGTGGTGAAGCAGGTGCTAGGAGTGGAAATGAACGGTGACCGAGTTGACTCATAGGCGGCAAACTGCTCCCCGAGATTGGCTGGTTCCTTGATAACTGGGTCCCTGCTCAAGCGCTCTTTCGTTTGAGAGCGAGTGTTGACGGAAGGGGTTGAGGCGAAAGGACTTGATGCGAATGGTGGCGTTGAAGCTGCGGAAGGTGCTGAAGCAATTGACGATGTGTTGGTCGACTCATGGTGAGCAATTGTCCTTTTTAAAGCATTCTCGATACGCTCGAGTCGTTCGGTGAGGCTCTGTTCAGAGCTCAATTTGGACCTGAATCAGGAGAGACGGCACCATGCATGTTAGACTGGGTCCCTTGGCCAATGGGCAAAAGAACGAAGAAGAAGGGGGGCGAGTAGGACCTACTTTGGTTTTGGCTGCTTTCTCCTCCCCCTCACTCTATTAAAGGTGCATGCAAGACCGTGATGGTCACACCAATTGCAGGAGGCGTCTGCTTTTGCTGAATCACATTGAATCTAGTTGTGCGTGAATCAGTAAAACCCTCGCGGTGGACTGAATCGGGAACAGGACTGTGTGCCAAGGGACAGAAAGGAAACGGAGGGTCCTAGGGTATGAAATGTTGGGTCTTGGAGTCCCTGAACTGACATGGTACCTACTTTCCTGGCGTGGCAGGCATCACAGGCGCGTTTCTGGCCCATGGTGCCGTATGCGAGTCCCCGATTAAGTAAGGATTCCTTGGACAATTGGAGACCGACAGAGGCCTGCGGCGCCTTTTGTCAGCGCTGTACGGCCCTTGTAACTGCCGACACCGAATGGATTCGGCGGCGGGAAGAGGCAGCCACCGGGAGAGATGGTGTAGACACTCGGGGATCTGATCTCGGGAGTAACGCCAAAACCACAGTTAGGGCGGCATGTGGCAGCGGGGCGCAGGGCGTATACTCAATGCTCAGGTCAGCTCAGTCGGCGTATTGACGTATACGCTGGGTATGCTTACTGAGGACACCCTGGAGCCTCCAAATTCGGAAGATGTGGACTTGAGAAGAGTCCGACGGACAAAAGGCAGGCCGAGGGCGGATTCCGCGGACAACGTGTGGTTGTGAAGACGAGCATGTTGGTGGGAGTTTTGGATCACCGCTGACTCAGCGGAAGTTGGCCCAAAGGGGGTTAGCGGGCGTCCCCTTCAAGCGGTTGATGACGCCAGGGGGGCTTCAGGCGCCCCGCCAGAAACACCAGAAGAGGCTTGATCGCGGCTTCACGGTACTTGAGGCCTGGGGATGGAATCGGTTGGGTGCCGCCGAAGCCCCCTGCGGGCTGCTAAACGAGTTGGCGTCAGCGCTATCACTGCCCCCGTATCTTAATCGCTGGCCACTGTTGGGCGGGAGGCCCCGTTTTCCATGTGGGAGGCGGCCGTGCTGCTCCCAATTTTACGGGGCTGGCTGTGCTCAAACTTCTCCTTCGGAAGTTGGCGGCGGTTTCAATTGTCCAACTTCCGCTTAGTCATTAGTATTTGATCCCTGACAGCCTCCTTTTGTTATTGATGCCTTCGGCCATCGGCCTTTTCATTCCTCCAAGAGATCTGGCCCCTCTGACTTCCCCAATCCTTCCCCAATCATGGACGTCATCGCGGCATTGTCGGACATGGGAGTCACCCCGATGCTCGTCCCCCACGGCGTTATGGCCATCGCAATCGCGAGCTCCGGCGAATTCATGCTGAGTTTTGTCATCACTCCGAGTTCGTCTTAACGACGAGTCGACCCGGCCCTCCGGATCGGCCCCACACCTGGCACCCCAAGAACGTGTCTTTTCATTCAGCGCAAAGCACCCTTATCAGGATGACGACATTCTGCCGTCCCCAGCGCGATTTATAGACTTTGCCTTCGGATGTAATATATAATGTGCGTGCATGACTCAGCGGAACGGGTCCCTTTTCCTTTGCGAATGCGAACCTTCTGTCCCAGATGCATCTAGGCATCGCGGCTCTTGTGGAACCCGTTGGACCCGCCAAGCCGACCCGTAACGCCAAACGATCCCAGTCGATCTGGAAATTCATGTCTCATTCCTCGTGGCAGTACACATCACGCCCCGAGAATGGCCGGCAGGGGGCTCCAGATGGGTCGGGCGGATCCCTAGTCGGACTTCTTACAAGTCCGATGCAAATTCTCCCATGTTTGATAAATACTCCTGGCGGCCATCCTGGCTGTAGTGTGTGGCATAGCCTTTAACTTCTTCAACTTCATCCACTCCTTCTCTAGTTAACTCCCTTGGCGCCTCGTTTATTCCGATTACCTGAAGGCGCTGTGGCTACATCTCTCCAGCCACATTGGCACGAGGCCCACCATCCATCATGGACTCCGACGGTGATGGATCGCAGACGGTATACGACAAGTCTGTCTTCCACGGTATCGACAATGACGATGCCGAATGGGCCTTGAAGCCAAAAGTTGCCGCCTTCAAGGAACGAGACCAGGCTGGCGAATTCCCCAACCCTCGAGAACTCGGTGTTACTTGGCGCAACCTCAATGTCGAAGTCATTAGTGCCGATGCCGCCCTCCACGAAAACGTCTTCTCTCAATTCAACATTCCGAAACTGATCCAAGAATCCCGACACAAGGCCCCGCTCAAGACAATCGTCGATAACAGCCATGGCTGCGTCAAGCCTGGAGAGATGCTGCTTGTTCTTGGGCGGCCAGGCTCTGGATGCACAACCCTGCTGAACATGATCGCCAACAAGCGCAATGGATACGCCAGCGTCTCCGGTGATGTCCACTACGGATCCATGACAGCCAAGGAGGCAGAGCGATTCCGCGGTCAAATCGTCATGAACACCGAGGAAGAGCTGTTCTTCCCTTCACTCACGGTTGGCCAGACCATGGACTTCGCTACCCGCCTCAAGATCCCTTTTCACCTGCCCAACGGTGTCACCTCTAAGGAAGAGCTACGCACTGAAACACGCGACTTTCTTCTCCAGTCAATGGGCATCGAGCACACTCACGATACCAAAGTCGGCAATGCCTTTGTCCGAGGTGTGTCTGGTGGTGAACGGAAGCGTGTTTCTATCATCGAGACCCTGGCTACCCGTGCCTCGGTTGCCTGCTGGGATAACTCGACTAGAGGTTTGGATGCCAGCACGTATGTGACTGCCTATAATTGAACATTTAACTGTTTTTGACGCTAACTATTCCCAGCGCTCTGGAATACACCAAGGCAGTTCGAGCCTTGACCGATGTTCTTGGCCTTGCTTCCATCGTCACTCTGTACCAAGCTGGAAACGGCATTTACAATCTGTTCGACAAGGTGCTTGTCCTGGATGAGGGAAAGCAAGTCTACTATGGTTCCATGAAGGAAGCCAGACCCTTCATGGAGAACATGGGTTTCATCTGCCAACACGGAGCTAACGTCGCTGACTACCTAACTGGTGTCACCGTCCCAACGGAGCGAGCTATTCGACCCGGCTTTGAGGATCGCTTCCCGCGCACCGCCGAGGCACTCCGCGCTGAGTACGAGAAGTCACCCATTCACCAGCGCATGATTGCCGAGTACGACTACCCTACTACGGAAGTCGCCAAGGAAAACACCAAGCGTTTCCAGGAGGGTGTTGTGAACGAGAAGGACAAGAGGCTTGCGGCATCAAGCCCCATGACCGTGGGCTTCGTCCACCAGGTCGAGGCTTGTGTCAAGCGCCAGTACCAGATTATCCTGGGTGATCGCGCGAGTTTCATCATCAAGTTCGAAGCCCCTTACCTATTAAGACTATCAGGATGCTAACAATCCCCAGGCAAGTCTCCACGATCGTCCAGGCTCTGATTGCCGGATCACTATTCTACAACGCACCCAACACCTCTGGCGGACTCTTCATCAAGTCCGGCGCCTGCTTCTTCGCTGTTCTTTTCAACTCTCTGCTGTCCATGTCTGAGGTTACCGACTCCTTTACTGGACGTCCGGTCTTGATCAAGCATAAATCTTTCGCCTACTTTCATCCTGCTGCCTTTTGTCTCGCGCAGATCGCGGCTGATATCCCGGTTATCCTCTTCCAAGTGTCAACATTTTCCGTCATTCTGTACTTCATGGTTGGCTTGACTTCGACGGCCGAGGCATTCTTCACCTTCTGGGTTCTACTCATTGCCATCACCATTGTAAGTTGGCCCGTTCTGACAAGCCCCCCACCCTACTACACCCCACCCCCACGCGCCCCACTATTTTAGCTGCACGTACCCTAACCTCCATCAGTGCATGACCGCGATGTTCCGAGCTGTCGGTGCCGCATTCAGTACATTCGACGGCGCATCAAAGGTATCCGGTTTGTTGATCTCCGCTACCATCATGTACTCTGGATACATGGTCACGAAGCCTCAAATGAAAGACTGGTTCGTTTGGATCTACTGGATCAACCCCATGTCCTACGCTTTCAACGCCTTGCTATCCAACGAGTTCCACAACAAGATCATTCCTTGTGTCGGGAACAACTTGGTCCCCAATGGTGGAGCGTTTGCCAACGCAGCAAGCCAGGCTTGTGCTGGTGTCGGTGGCGCACGCGTGGGTCAGTCATTTGTAAATGGAGATGACTACTTGGACTCTCTGGCATACAGCCACTCGGATCTCTGGAGAAACTTCGCCATCATTTGGATTTGGTGGTTACTCTTCGTTGCTATCACTATCGTCGAGACCACTAGATGGAAATCATCCTCTGAGAACGGCCCGTCACTACTCATTCCCCGCGAAAACCAGCATATCGCCAATGCCCTCCGACAAGTCGACGAGGAAGGACAAGTCTCAGAGAAGAAGGTCGAGAGCGGCCAGAACACCGGAGCCATGGTTGAGAGCGATTCCGAAGGAAGTTCAGATGAACTCGTTCGCAACACTTCTGTCTTTACCTGGAAAAACCTCTCTTACGTCGTCAAGACTCCCTCGGGAGATCGTACTCTGCTGGACAATGTCCAAGGCTGGGTCAAGCCGGGCATGCTCGGTGCCCTTATGGGATCCAGTGGTGCTGGAAAGACTACTCTCCTCGACGTTCTTGCTCAACGTAAGACCGACGGTACCATCCACGGTTCTATCATGGTTGATGGTCGCCCTTTGCCAGTCTCCTTCCAGCGATCCGCTGGTTACTGTGAGCAGTTGGATGTCCACGAGCCCTATGCTACTGTTCGAGAAGCTCTCGAGTTCTCTGCCCTCCTCCGCCAAAGCCGAGATACCCCTCGAGCGGACAAGCTCAAGTATGTTGACACCATCATCGACCTTCTCGAGCTCCACGATCTTGCGGATACCCTCATTGGCGATGTTGGCGCTGGGCTAAGCGTCGAGCAGCGCAAGCGTGTCACTATCGGTGTCGAGCTGGTTTCTAAGCCTAGCATCTTGATCTTCCTCGACGAGCCCACCTCTGGTCTTGACGGCCAATCTGCATTCAACACTGTCCGTTTCCTGCGCAAGCTCGCCAATGTTGGCCAAGCTGTTCTCGTCACCATTCATCAGCCTTCTGCCCAGCTCTTTGCTCAATTCGATACCCTGCTCCTCCTCGCCAAGGGTGGCAAGACTGTGTATTTCGGTGAAATCGGTGAGCATGCCAAGACGATCAAGGAATACTTTGGTCGTTTTGGTGCTCCTTGCCCCAAGGAAGTCAACCCCGCCGAACACATGATTGATGTCGTGTCTGGTCACCTATCTCAAGGAAAGGATTGGAACGAGGTCTGGCTTGCATCCCCCGAACACGACGCTGTGAGCAAGGAGGTGGACCGTATCGTCTCCGAAGCCGCTGCTAAGCCCCCTGGTACTGTTGACGATGGTAACGAGTTTGCCACCCCTATGTTGGAGCAGATCAAGCTTGTCACTCATCGCATGAACGTCGCTCTCTACCGCAACGTCGACTATGTCAACAACAAGGCCGCTCTGCACATCACATCCGCGCTGTTCAACGGCTTTACCTTTTGGATGATTGGAGACGGTGTCGCAGACCTCCAACTGAAGCTGTTTACCATTTTCAACTTTATCTTTGTTGCTCCCGGTGTCATGGCCCAACTTCAGCCACTGTTCATCCACCGTCGCGACATTTTCGAAACGCGTGAGAAGAAGTCTAAGATGTACTCATGGGTGGCCTTCGTCACGGGTCTGATCGTTTCGGAGATCCCCTATCTGTGCATCTGTGCCGTCTTGTACTATGTCTGCTGGTATTACACTGTCGGCTTCCCTGGCGACTCCAACCGTGCCGGAGCCACCTTTTTCGTCATGCTGATGTACGAGTTTGTCTACACTGGTATCGGTCAGTTCGTAGCTGCCTACGCACCCAATGAGGTCTTTGCATCTCTCGTCAACCCGCTCCTACTCGGTACCCTGGTCTCATTCTGTGGTGTTTTGGTACCATACCAGCAGATCCAGTCGTTCTGGCGCTACTGGATCTACTGGCTGAACCCCTTCAACTACCTCATGGGAAGCATGTTGGTCTTTGACATTTGGGGGTCCGACGTGAACTGCTCCGACAGGGAATTTGCTCGATTTGATCCCCCTAGCAACATGACGTGCGGCGACTATCTGGCTGACTACCTTGCACAAGGACTCGGCGCCGTCAGCAACCTCGTGAACCCGGAGGCTACCTCCGGGTGCAAGGTCTGCTCCTACTCCAAGGGTGAGGACTACTTGCGCACGCTCAACCTGAAGGAGTATTACTACGGCTGGAGAGATGCCGCGATTGTGGTCATCTTTGCCTTGAGCTCCTATGCCTTGGTGTACGCCTTGATGAAACTCCGAACAAAGACCTCCAAGAAGGCGGAGTAAGGAAAACACTTGCTGAAATATATTGTCCGGTTTGATTCCATAGACGATGGGAACGCGAATGATGGAGCAGCAGGGAAGTTGCACCGTCTCTTAATATTTTGGTTCTCGCGCCATAGAACATAGAATTTTCACTCATAGCTTTATAGAATGTAGACTTTGCTTTTATTTTCCTTTACAAATACAGATAAGATTCATCTGAACTGCTGTGTGTTGGACCCCAATAGCATGGTGAGCAGTTTAGTGGAAGGGCATCAATGTTTCACTCTTTTGCAAGTTTTTTTGTCAACAACATTATGGCCTATGGCCCAACTGCTGCTACAGCAATCAATTTACTTTCTTCTGCCCGAATCTTTGAAGTTCTGAACTCTTCTATGTATTATCACATGAGTCCAGATTACTGTCTTTTGGAGGCTGCGTTACTCCGATCTTGGGATCATTAGTAACTCGTCTAGGTAAATTGAGGACATCTTGATGCGGGCAAGTCTACTTAAACGGTTTTTATAAAAAGGTACGCCGTCCCAGTGCCCTAAAACCGTAGCGTCTAAAAGCTAAGCGCTTAATGCGCTAAAAGTTAGAGAATATGTGCACTACATGCTAAGGTCTAAGCGCTAACATTAGGACTGGCTTAATTAGGTACAGATTTGTTAGCGGTTTGGGAAGGGGGGGGGGGGGGGTTGGTCACTTGCACCGTTGCATGGCTTGTCTAATGAGCGGCTGTAAGCGGTCATGGTTAAAATGCTGGCCTTCTATCACTTTCAATGATGCACAATTATATATGAAGCACTTGCTGATAAAGTGAATGGTTTAAGTCAGCCTTACTATGGAGTTCTCAAGTACGACCCCATGGTCTGCTCTCCCACTCATTCCGCGCCAGCTCCTTTGCAAAAGAGAGACAATTTCTGGAAATCTGCATGACACCCTTCTAATTGAATTAGATTGGATGGTTCGATCTAGATATAGTGGTTCGGTGGTTTAGTTATGTAGAGGGTGTCGAGTTGTGAGACATTTTGTTTGGCTGCATGTTTTCGAACGAGCAAAGACATTTAAATGAAACCGCTAACGAGTTGATGAGGATGGTACCGAACCATCGCATATTTGAGAAACATATACCATCAATTAGTCTTTGCCATTTAAGCCATGTGGCATGGACGTGGACGAACCAGGTTTTGGATGAAGATATCAAAAGGCCTACCGGCCCACATCGGGATTCTTGATATCATAGCCGAGAAGGAAGTGTGTCAAAACTAATTTTTATTTCCATGTAAGAGAGAAGTCAATGTAGCAAGCGCTCTTTCCAAGGCCCCAGCCAAGGAACTCTTTGCTGGAGGTGACATAGCTGCTCGGCTTTTGGTTGCCTTCGGATGAGCTTAGGAACCTCCAGGGGTCAAAGTTGTCGGGATTTTCAAAATATCGACTATCGCGGTGAAAAGCGAATGTTGGCATTTTGTTTTGTATATTTTCGGGATATATGTCCATCTGGCATTGTCACTAGTGCCATGGTTCTCGTTTGCATGGTAGCTTGAGTGCTCTGTTAAGATTGGGATTCGATAGGATTTTGTATCGCTCACCCAAATTGGGCGCGGATAGCCAATTAACCCTCTAATAAAACCGTCCAATTTATTCATCTGGACCATCCCGGCCTTCGTTAATTTTCCATTATACTCGGAACGGATAGCCCTAACTTCCTCGCGCAGTGCGGGGACAATCTCTGGATTTGCTCCCAGATCAAATATGCATTGAGTAAGAGTGGCGACCGTTGTATTAGCAAAGTTCCCTTGCCACTGAATCTGCTTTTCAAGATGAGATCCAGTCTGCTCCTTGGGATCTCTGCTGAGGAGGTATGGCACAGGTAGGGGCGATTCGACATATCCCCGCGAGCCTTAGTCTCTGTATTCACCGAACATGCCTTTGATCATGTCGCCTCCCTCAGCAAGTTTCTTGAACATATCACCGTATTCGGACAGCAGCCGGTAGACAAAAGGGCATAAATGGTGGCTATCGTTCCACGGCGGTGGCGTATTCAATTACTGTTCGTGTACTCGCTCCCTTATTTCGTGTCTTGGTCGTTGAGGGCAACCATCGGAATATTCCATAGTAGCCATTTTTGCCGCAGAATAAATGTTAATGCGACACTGGAGGCCACTGCTATCGATGCAGGCCTATTGAGAGGCGGGTGGCTTGCTTCCAAGATGCTATTTTTGATCTTGGAAAGCAGCCAACGAGATGTATATTGGATTTTCACAAAGTTGGATTATAATTACGTGTCGACCCCGGAATCCGCGCCCCCCGTGGAGGCCATTGTCGGTGTTTTACCCGATCGCGCTATGCTTGTGAATTGAGGAGTGAAGTTGGCCACTCTCAACATCCTCTATGATGAGCCTCATCAGCTGAGGAGTCAAGCCACCCGCTGCTGCAGGCTACGATTCTAAACTGCCATTGCTAAACATTTTTTAATATTAACCCCCGTCTCAGACAATGATAGGTAGCTGGAATGTGTGGATAAACCCATGTGTCCGGCGGCTAGAATTGTTGAAGACGCTGTAATGCACGTAAGCAGTACCGGGGGATGGTACACATCGAGAATTTTCCCTTTGGCCGCTTTAATTGGCTGCCTGATTTATTTGTCTACTTGCCAGCCATTGGCTTCATGCGTCCTGCAGTCTTACAGCTCAGCCGCACGAGGCTGGCGGCAAGCGGGATTTCAAGTAATCTCCTTGCCCTTTCCCTTCCCTTTCATCTCCTCCTACCTTATTTTCCTCACCCTTTCAGTCTCAACTTCTCTACGTCTAGTATTCTACGCCTCTAGGATCAAACGCAGTGTCGTTGTCTTGGCGTCCAGGGCAACAGTGATCCAAGGGGCTCAGCTCTAGCATCAACGCCTGACGACCCCGCCTCGCAAAGACTTCCAAGCTATCCACAACGCAGATCCAGCATCGAACACGCGACATCTCTAAGAAACTGATTGTCATCACCAAGTCTCTGTTGTGCAGAGCCTTATCGACTTCCGGCCATAGCAATTTACCCTGCACGGAAGTACCAGGTGAGTCGCTTCCCCTTTCAACCGACGACCGGCCGAAGGCCCAGTTTTGAACATTACCGATTGACACCCAACGGCAGAAGAGCACCCGATCCTTTCACGATGCCTTCCGAAACGACCTCCGAATCCCGAACTCATAACGACTACACTGTGGGGTGGGTTTGCGCGTTGCCAAAGGAGCGGATCGCGGCGACGGCTATGTTGGACCAAAGGCATTTGGAGAGTCTACACAACCCACCAAATGACCACAACTCGTATACCCGAGGATCCGTCAACAACCACAACGTTGTCATAGTCTGTTTGCCTAAGGGCCAGATCGGCACCAATCAAGCAGCGACTGTTGTAGCTCGCATGGTCATTACATTCCCGTCTATCAAGTTCGGCCTCATGGTTGGCATCGGCGGCGGTATTCCACCCCATGTTAGACTAGGCGATGTTGTCGTCAGTTCACCTACCAATGAACATCCTGGAGTGATTCAATGGGACCTTGGCAAGGCCGAAGAGGGTGGCAGTTTCAAGCGAACCGGAGCACTGAGCCCTCCCCCAAGCGCCCTGCTGACAGCATTGACGACCTTGGAGACTGACCACGGTATGAAGGAGTCTAAGATACCCGGGTATTTGAAGGATTTGGCAAAGAACTGGCCAAAGCTAGCGCCAGATTATACGAAGTCTGACTCCCTCAAAGACGTTCTTTTCAAACCAGACAATCCTCATCGCAGCCAGAGAAGCTGGCATTTCACAATTACAACAGTCTGGAAATCGATCATCGCATTCTTTGTCTTCTTTTTGGGCTGGTGGATTGTTGAGCCCACTGAGAGTGCCACTGAGCAAGTGACAAGCACTACGATCAGCACTGCATTTAGTGGAGGGCAGGAAAGTGATGTTGGGGCCGATGGAGACGACGAAGAGACGGACTGCCGCTTTTGCGATATGACCAAGGTCATAAGAAGAAAGCCGAGAGACACGACTGTGCACTACGGCCTGGTGGCATCCGGTAACCAAGTCATCAAGGACGCCGCTTTCAGGGATAAACTCAACGAGGATCTTGGTGGCCAAGTTCTCTGCGTCGAGATGGAAGCGGCGGGACTGATGAACAACTTCCCATGCATCATCATCCGAGGAATTTGCGACTATGCCGATTCACACAAGAACCACTCCTGGCAGGAATACGCAGCAGCTGTAGCAGCAGCGTTTGCGAAGGAACTTCTGGAATATGTACAGCCAAGTGACGTGGATCGAGAGCGGACAGCGAAGGATATCATCAATGAGGGTCAGTGACTTCATAGAAATGGCATTTCCAGAGATGCTGATGTGTTGTGTAAACAGTCCAGCAAGTGAAACAGGCACTCGGGAAGGTCAATGAGCATCTTCAGAATGGTATAATTGATTAACTTTACAAATATTTTACACAAAGCTGATTTCTGTGCAGAAAAAGATTGCCAAGTTCTTGAATGGCTCACAACCATCAATTACGGTCCTCAGCAAAGCGACTATCTCAGGAAAAGGCAACCGGGGACTGGCCAGTGGCTTCTAGACTCAGCTGAGTTCACGACATGGGCGGAGACAGCCCAGCAGATGTTGTTCTGCCCCGGCATTCCAGGAGCTGGAAAGACGATCCTCACATCGATTGTAATCAACGAGCTTACTACCCGTTTTGAAAACCAGGAAAGCGTTGGAATTGCATATGTTTACTGCAACTTCCGGCGGCAACACGAGCAAAAGGCTGAAGATTTACTCGCAAGTCTGTTAAAGCAACTTTGTCAGGGCCAGCCTCTGCCAGAGAGTGTGAAGTCACTTTACCATCGCCACAAGGACAAGCATACGCGGCCATCGTTTGACGAGATATCGAAAGCCATCAATTCTGTGGTTACTCTATACTCTAGAGTATTTATCCTTGTCGATGCACTTGATGAGTGCCAAACATCTCAGGGCTGTCGGATAAGGTTCCTTACAGAGATCTCTAGCCTCCAGCTCAAATGCCGAGCAAACATCTTCTCCACGTCGAGATTTCTTCCAGACATCACAGACCAGTTTAAGGGCAGTATATCGCTAGAAATACGCGCCAGTGAACAAGACGTGCGGAGGTATGTTGATGGCTATATGCCGCAGCTGCCATTATGCATTAGAGACCATCCAGAACTCTGCAAGGACGTCAAGACTGAGATTACTAAAGCTTCGGCCGGCATGTATGTTGTTCCTGATGTGCCCGCATGAAAATGTACTGACTTCGACAGGTTTTTGCTTGCATGGCTCCATCTGGAATCATTAACTGGGAAGGTATCCCCCAAAGATGTTCGAGCGGCACTAAAGAAACTGCCCACGGGCGGTTTGGAAGCGTATGAGCATGCCTACAAGGGTGCAATGGAGCGCATAGAAAGTCAGTCAGTCGACCAGAAACAGCTTGCGAAGCGGGTCCTCTTGTGGATAACCAGCGCAAAACGACCCTTGACTACATTGGAACTCCAGCATGCGCTCGCAGTAGAAGTTGATGAGCATGAACTCGACAAAGAAAACCTGACACACATTGAAGATATGGTGTCGGTATGCGCTGGGTTGGTCACCATCGATAAGGAAAGCAACATTATCCGACTAGTCCACTATACGACACAGAAATATTTTGAGGAAACACACAGTCATTGGTTCCCGACGGCTGAAACTGAAATTGCAACATCGTGCATTGCCTATCTCTCCTTTGTGGCCTTTGAGGGTGGAATATGTCATTCCGCCAAAGAGTTCCAACAGAGACTACAATCGAATCCTCTGTACAATTACGCTGCAAAAAACTGGGGTTACCATGCTCCCGAAACTGCAATCTTACCTCGCAACCTTATGGACTTTCTGGAGTGCGAGGCCAAAGTGGAGGCGTCATGTCAAGCACTGATGGATGATGAGCGGGACCCTTGGTTTGCAAGCGACGATAGTGCTCCGACAGGAATGACCGGGCTTCACTTGGCGGCATACTTCGGACAAACTCAAGTGGTAAATGATCTACTAATGAAGGAGTATGGCCTGGATTCGAAGGATAGTTATAATCGTACGCCGCTATCGTACGCCGCTGAGAACGGGCAAGGAGCCACTGTGAGGCTACTACTCGACAATGGTGGGGACCTAGAGTCTAAAGATGTCAGACTTAAACGTTCAGCACTATCGTGGGCATCATCTAAGGGGCACGAGGTAGTAGTCAAGATACTGCTTGAAGGTGGAGCAGGCCTAGAGTCTAGAGATAATGAAGGCTGGACACCACTATGGGAGGCAGCAGCTGAGGGGCACGAGGCAGTAGTTAAGATACTGCTTGAAGGTGGCGCAGACCTAGAGTCTAGAGATGATATAGGCTGGACACCACTATTGCGGGCAGCAGCTAGAGGGCACGAGGCAGTAGTCAAGATATTGTTTGAAGGTGGCGCAGACTTAGAGTCTAGAGATAATATAGGCTGGACACCACTATTGCGGGCAGCAGCTGGGGGGTACGAGGCAGTAGTCAAGATATTGTTTGAAGGTGGCGCAGACTTAGAGTCTAGAGATGATATAGGCCGAACACCACTATTGTGGGCAGCAGAAATGGGGTATTGGGCAGTGGTCAAGCTGCTGGTTGAGGGTGGTGCAGATATAGAGTCTAGAGATCGAATGGGCCAGACACCACTATCGAGGGCAGCAGCTGAGGGGCATGAGGCAGTAGTCAAGCTGCTGGTTGAGGGTGCACACCTAGACTCTACGGAGGAGAAACAGGTGACATTATAAGTAGTTGTAAAGAAGCATCAGACAGCGATTAAGCGACTGCTCGTGAATGGCCATGACCTAAAGTCTAAGAACGACTACGAGCGAAAACTAATAGCCGCGAAGAAGAGGTATGAGCCGTTGGTGAAGCTGGGCTTAAATATACCCGCCAAAGGCCCCGCTGTCTTAGAGTGCCACTTGATGGTGTGCCGTTCAAAGTCGGCAGTTCAGGGTGTTTACCTTTGGTCAGAAATTGTTGGCGACTCACTTCTTTCCCCTTCTGGCTCATGACTATCTTCAGCAACCACACACCACCCAGTTATCTATTCCATTACACTTTGTAAACATGGCACAGCATCAAACCTCGCAGTATTTCCAAATAGTATTTGTAGTCCAAGACCAAATATCAAGATGCCGCTGGCGAATACAAAAACCGAAGCTAACTCTCGTTTAACCCATCTCCCAGTGGAAACTCAGCAACCATCCATAGTGTCTTGAACCTATTCATGGTTCGCGTCTACCTACATATAATATATCCTCTATTAAGCCTTGAGCTCTACGAAGTCCAAGGCTTAGCCCCGGGAAAGGCAGGTCGTTCGAAAAACAGTCATAATGATTAGCAATCCGATGTCCGTTCCTAGTGTCTTTATTAAGGAGCGTTCTGAAATTCCTATCCAAAACCTTTAGTTACAGCATTCCCATTCGCATACATGTATATTGCTACTCATATATATGGGTTTTGCCATTCGTATATAGATATTGATTGTCACTTACACATCATAATATATTTGGTTTTTTTTTAGCTTTACTCAATATCATCAGATAGATCAAAGCCATACAGTAATCTCAAACAGTAGGAATAAACAATAAGGGCTACACCCAGCACCAGAAGAAACAGTAGCTGAACAATAAGGTTGTTGCCCACCGGTCTCTGCCTGAAGCTTCCATTCAACCCCTCTGACTTCAACCCTATTGTCTGCAGTCAACGACCTTGCTGTCTGCAGTCAACAACCTTGAGATAGTAACCTTATTCCGAGCAATAGGATATAAGGGAGACTGACGTCTCCCATCGTCAAGAGACCAACTTCCCTTCTGACACTCATCCCATCACAACCAATTTTCAATATGGCGAATTTCATTCGAGCAGCTCTTTCCAGGGATAACTCGTTGTATCCGCATTATAGATCCCAACTCCAACATGATGTCGGATTCTCTCACACACATCATAATATATGTATATAGTCTTTTTTAAGAATATTGTAAATATTACTCTCAGTAGTTAGCCTCTAACAATCCTGTGGTTATATTGCTTTTACAAAGTAGACATTTGCCTATAAATGTACCTTTCACCTGTATATCTGCTTCAAGTTGATTAATTTGCCTGAGATTTAGCTAAAGGGACTCGTACCTGTATGCAAACAATAAAATGCCGACCTACGTACGAATAACAATACTCGTTAGCAAACCTACTAACGAGGAAACCTAAAAAAAACGGGAATTCTCCAGCGTCCTTGGATAGACCTAGCTCGGAGTATTTGGACCATGTTTCCGCATTGATAGTCTGGAGGTTGGTTGCTTCAAAACGGGACCCGAGAATCCCGCGCCCCGAAACTTCAACATCAAGACCATCAAGACTCGGACCTCGCACTTCACACCTTTCCGAGCCCCCGCTCGAGCGCTAAATATAGTTATAATTTAGGCATGCCGTAGCGGTCGTACACCCCGAGGATCGACCATATATATGTTCGAGCCTTTGACTTGAACTGCTGAGGACGTCAACACACAGCTGAATACCAATCCATTTTTCAATATCCTACACTCAACATGGCGCCTTCCTCCCTCAAAATTGAGAACCCTGCGCTCCCTATTGACAGCATTGTTGCTGTCTCGGGAGCCAATGGCTTTATTGCTGGCCACATTGTCGACCAGCTCCTAGCCGCGGGTTACCGCGTTCGTGGTACTGTCCGCGATGCTTCTCGTACCGGCTGGCTCCAGTCCCACTTTGATGACGCCTACGGGTCGGGACGCTTCAGCCTTGTTGCCGTCCCTGACATCACCGCCGATGGGGCTTTTGACGAGGCACTTGAGGGTGTCCATGGGGTGGTTCACACCCTTGCCATCACCAACCTGGACCCGAACCCGGATAACGTTGTCCCCGTCAATGTCTCCGCAACGCTGAACATTGCCAAATCCGCTGCCAAGTCGTCGTCTGTCACTCGCTTTGCGTACACGTCTTCATCCGGTGCGGCGGCGATCCCCAAGCCTGGAGAAGAGTACGTGGTAAACAAGGACACTTATAACGAGGAGGCCGTGGCCATTTCATACTCGGGGAAGGGTCCCAAGGGAATGGCCGGAGGGTACCTGGCTTATTCTGCAGCCAAGACGAAGGCAGAACAGGCACTGTGGAAGTGGTACAAAGAGGAGAAGCCCAGTTTTGTACTAAACTCAAGTTTGTTCCCACCGATACAACTCTGCGTGGCTGCCCAAGACTGATTTTGATAGTTATCCCCAACGTTGCTGTTGGCAAGGTGCTCAAGCCTGAACATCAGGGCTTCCCCACCACAGTTGGGCTTCTTCAACCCATCTGGGAAGGCCATCTGGCTATGGAGATGGTCTACATGTTCCCCGCTCGTAAGTGCATCTACCAAGATTTCGGTTCCATAAACTCATGAAAATGCAGAGTGGTTCACGGATGTGGAGGATATTGCGCGAATGCACCTCGCCTCTCTCCTCTTCCCTGACGTCAATGGCGAAAGGCTGGTCTCATATGGAGGCCGTTTCAACCTCAACGACGTTCTGGCTGCATTCCGCAGAGTAGACCCGAGGAGAGTCTTGCCAGATGATATCCCTAACCTCCCTAAGGATGTGGGCAAGATTGACAATGAGAGAGCAACCGAGTTGCTTCGTCGGCTCGGCAGACCGGGCTGGGTGACCTTGGATGAGAGCTTGAAGCCGTTGACAGAGCAATATGTTAACGCTAAGAAATGATGTTAGTAGTATGCAGATGAGCCTTTATTTACGAATGAATACATGATCTTTCTCGCTCATTGTTGCCACCACCCTGGTTTTACTCATTTATCTCCATTATAGACACTGCAATCAACTCAAGTACCTCGTCATTCTGAACTCGTCTCAACCTCGTTGTGCTGCTCATTGCGGTGGTCCATCTCTAGAGAGTAATATCACATGGATTGTATTATCGTATGCTGTGGAAGAAAATTTCTAACCGGATTGGCATGAAATTGAAACATCCGCGATTTAGTCAGAACTGTTCGTAGGTAAGACGTCCGACGGCTCCGAATTGCCACCATGCTTGAGGTGAGAAACCCATCTAGTCACTAGAAATAACGACAGTCGGGGAGTTCTTAGCAACCAAATGCAATATGCTAATACTAGTAGCCTTACTTGTACGCCACCGGCTGTAGTTTCGAGCTATTACAAACTGGTGGGTTTCTTGGACAGCTCTAAAGATAGGGCGATTTTTAACCGACCCTGGAGTCGCAGCTTTCTACATCGCTACATACGTCTACCAGAGTGCCGGTGCACTCAATACCATGGACAATGGAATCAAATGATCGTGAACGAGGTATGCTTCCATATCCATATCAATCCTAAACCACTGTCATACGATTCAGCCTGGATAATCCCAACCTATGATTTTATCTCCTCTAACGGGTTCGCATTAATAACTAACATCAAGATGGCGAACTCTATGTTTGATAGCGCAAGCTTGGACACCACTGTTCATCCGTACCGACATAAATATCATGTCTTCAACCAAGGATTCCTCAAGGTAAGTGCATAGATCCTATCAGAGATTCTTGGGCGGGATACCCGCTTGCATTCTTACGTCTAGGTTATCCTTTCGCATTTGGCTCACTGGTTCTGTAGTCCGTGATGAGTTTGACTATCTCTAAATTGTTTGTAACGTCGTAGACGGCAGCTAGATGAATACAATCTAGATTAATGGCACCGTCCATAGTATCACGTGAGCATCAAGCTATTCCCCATGCGATCTACAATGCTCCGCCAAGAACTCATCAATTGCCCATTAGACGTTGGGCCTTGGCTCCAGACCTCGTGGACGACCTGGATCCCCGTCCTCACAGCCTCGATGCCGTAAACCCCCACGTTTCCATACCACTTTCTAAACCGGTCTTGATGCTGCGGCTCAAAAGCTTCCGTGGCGCTGATAAAGGCCGGCCAGAAGAGAGGTGCGGCCAGGATCTTGGTCTCAATCTTGATCCGCTCGATGGCTTCAATGCTGTCGAGAATCGTCTCTACATAAAATCGCATGTAGCGATGTCCAAGCAGACGAACATTTTGAGAAAAGTATATGATGAGAGCGTTATGGAAGGCTCTCGTCTGATGGTAGATTATTTTGGCACTGATGCCTTTGTTCGTCTCCCTGCATCGTTTGAGCCGCTCCTCGAGAGGCCAGTCCAAAATGTCCTTCTCGAGATCGTCGCACAGGCTCTCAAGAGATTCGGAAATATGCACAGTTCCTGTTTCGGCGCGCTCATGCTCAACTTGGTCAATCACCTCGACGGCTTCCTTGAGCATCATGAGGAGACTTTGAGGTATTCCGTAAATGCATTCGTAGGCCGCCATTTCCGCAGCGGGGTCCTGAAGTGGAACGATGTCTGATTCCATGGGCACCATAGATGAGGGAGAGTCTTCATCCTCGACGAAAATTCGCTTCGGGGCGGCAGTGTACCCTGGTGCCATGGTCCTACGTGAACCCAAGAATGAAGAGAAACGGGAGCCACCGTGGTTCCGAGTCTTCACGGCCGTACTTTCGTATATCACTCGTAGGTAGAGATAGATTCGATGGAGAGCGTGTGCCTTTCTGGAGAATTTTGCTTTCCGGATGCTCATGTGGGTTATGAGCTGCTCGGCACCATCTAAATGGACGCTGCAGGTACTCGTGTCTCCTGACATTACCTGGAGACGGTCAGTACTGACTTGATAAGAGTCGTATAATTCAGCCTACATTGATGGTAATCATGGACAGCATGGTAGCAAGAAATTCTTTGTACTTTGGCCTTTCCTTCCCGTATAGGTCCATCTCGACGCCCTCTTTCAGGAGTCCGATGGCATCGTAGCGATATCGTGAAGCAACTTCGCCCCATTTCTTGGCTTCAGCTTCGCGATGGGAAGTGTGGCTGTCATTGGATAGATAGAAAGCACTGATGGAGAGAAGGGCGTTTCTCAACGCATTGCGAATCCTAGTCGTCTCGCCGGCAAAGGACAACTCGCCCGCGCCTTGAAGAACCTTGGGGAGGTGGATAGTCTTCCAAGGACTCTTGCCGTTGTCTATGACACAGAATAGATTGACTACTCTGTTCATGTAGTGACTCATCAAGAACCGTTCCTGTTCGGTTATGGCGTTGGGGGCAATGGAGCGAAACTGAGGATAGGAGACGAGATGCCAAGTCTCCTCCGGCGTCAATTGCTTGGTTTGGTTCGCGTCGTCAGCAAAGTAGGGCATGTCTTGCTGGGTTGGGCGCTGGGGGATATGGCTAAGGGCATTGCTGAGGACAACGTCACTCGCGACGGAATCTTGTTGATCAGTAAAGTCAAGCGATTGGAGGTGAGATTGGTCGCCATGCAGATTGCACAGATCCCATGCAGCAGCCGTCTCGGAATAGGAAGGGGAGGCGAAGGACTCCTGGGGCTCTAGGGGCTCTAGGAACACCGGAGGGAGTGGATCGGTGGTGGAGTCGAGAGTGACGTTGTTGCTGGGAGGAGAATTGTCGATCTCGTGGGGGAGATTCGGAACATCTGCAGGACACGGGCGCTCGAGGCCAAAGACTCCAAAATTGTGGATGCTGGCGCAGACATGTTCGCTGTGGGATGACGCCCAGCCGGATTCAAGGGTGTCGATGAAGCGGAGGATGGCGTCGACCTGGTTCCAGCTCAAGATGGACGCGGGGGGTTCTACAGCGAGTGTTAATGAGGTTGAACCCCAGAAACTAAATTTAGTTCAATGCTGTGGGCCTACCAGCGGGTATGTGACGGCGCAACGCCTGCTGGGTCAAAGAAGGTATCTCGGAGCGAAAGCCGGTCTTGGATCCGGTCTTGGAGCCAGTCTCCGGAGCCAGCCATTGCAGGCGCGAGCCGTATCCCTCGCAGGCCAAGCTCTTATCGCGACACTGGCGGCAATGCGGCCGGGCCTCGTCGCACTTGATCTTGCGCGCGCGGCAAGTCCAGCAGCCGGTAAAGGTCTTGGTGCGCTTGCGGCCGAGGCTGGTGGTGATGGGGATTGCGGCGGCGGTCGTCTTTGAGGCCGGCATGTGGCAAAGGACACATGTCGGCTAGAATCCGAGATGAGATGCGATGCGATGCGATGCGCTGCAAAGGCGGAACCCTCGCGAGTCGGAAGAATTGCCGAGACGATGGGACAGGGACGAAGAGGCAAGAGAAAGGGAAATCCAGAGCGTGAGAGGACGACGAGGAGGGATAGACGAGAAGATGACCCCATTTCTGGCGTCTGGTGCACGCGCTCTCCAGCGCATCTCGTCCGCTGTAGGGATGCCCTATCGAGCCCTATCGCCCAGGACCACCCCGCGCACTACGCCCCAACGGCACAGGGGCTGATCGCTGATAGCGGATACCTACTGTACCTAGACAGCGCGCTAGAATCGCTCTGTATTGCCGTTTGCCGCGCTCCCTGCACGCCACGCTTTTCCAATGGAGAAGGCCACCGCGAACGCTAGCAAAACACACACGCTGGAATCGCCGCCTTTACTCGCCCTGGCCCGGTTTAGGTAGGTGGAGGAGGTGGAGGAGGCAAGAGGAGGCCGTTGAGGATAAGTGTTTAATAGATCTTATCTCGACCTGAGCCACCCTTGATGCATTCATTCATCACATTCGCAGCTCATCCAGTCTTCGTCCAACAGTAGACAGTAAGCTGCGATACCAACCAACAGCCACAGAGCCGCATACGCCGTCACGCACACATACAGACAGCCCTCCCACACGCCTTGCAACATGTCCACCACTACCACCACCACCCTCACCCAGCCCGCCGAGCCCAAGGTCGAAGCCATCATCTCCTCTCCCGCCGCTGTCGAAGCCGTCCGGAAGACCGACCAGCAGCCCCAAGAAGCCGCCCCTCCCCCCCCTGCCACCACCAACCTGGCCGCGCTGGCCACGGGCGGCTATACCTTCGCCGGCATCCCCAACATCACCGACCCCTACAAGAAGCGCCAGTGGCAGCTCGAGCACATGGCCGGCGCCTTCAGGGTCTTCGCCCGAAAGGGATACACCGAGGGCACCAGCGGCCACATTAGCGTGCGCGATCCCGTCGACCCCAACACCTTTTGGATCAACCCGTGGGTTCCCCTGGAGAGGTCCCCTGGAGAGGACCCCTGTGATTGTGTATTGTTGCTCACTCTCGCGATAGACTCGGAGTCCACTTTGGCATGCTCAAGGCCAGCGACATGGTGCAGATCGACGAGGACGGCCAGGTCATCGGCGGCAACAAGACGGCCGTCAACGCCGCCGGCTTCATGATCCACAGCGCCATCCACCGCGCTCGCCCCGACATCCACGCCGCCTGCCACACCCACTCCAAGTACGGCAAGGCCTGGTCGACCTTTGGCCGGCCGCTCGACATCATCAGCCAGGACACGTGCAACTTCTGGGGAACCCAGTCCGTGTACAAGGCCTTTGGCGGCGTCGTGCTCGGCGAGCAGGAGGGCCAGCGCATCGTCGAGGCGCTTGGCGACAAGGGCCGTGTCATCGTGCTGCAGAACCACGGCATCCTGACCGCCGGTGGCACTGTCGACGAGGCCGCCTACCTGTACACCCTCATGGAGCGATCCTGCGAGGTCCAGCTGCTCGTCGAGAGCGCCGGCCTGCCCAAGAACTACATTGGCGAGAAGGAGGCAGAGTTCACCGCCAAGGTCAACGCCGATCCCGTAAGTCTACGTGCATACCGCAATCCTTCGCGAATCATCACTAACACGCCTACCTCAAGGAAACCCTATACACCGAGTTCCAGCCCGACTTTGAGTACGAGATCTGGAAGTCCAAGGGCGAGCTGTGCAAGGGCGAATAAATCATCACATCTACCATGTTGTTTCCTTTTGTCATCAGCTCGGCCAACACTCCGAGCCCGCATTTAGAAAAGCCGATAGCCCAGAGCCGCAGAGCCGGGGATGGAATTTAGTCATACGATATTGATTGACGTTTACTACTTTAATCCGTTTGTATGGGGAAGACGCTTGGAATAAAAGTCCACCTGTTTTCTACTTCTACTGTCTGTGGCTGTGCATGCGGTGGTTGTACGTACGTCTTTCTCCCACTCTCATACACGATACACGGAGATGTCTCTGTGCCAAAAAAAAAGAAAAAAAGAAAGAAACTCTTTTGTCCTTACATGTTCGTTAAATCGCCAGTACATGCCTTAAGTGTTCTGCTGTCTGCGGCTCTACTTACTGTAGCTGGACTTACTGAGATGGCTGGTTTGTTTGCCTTCCCCCCCGTGCACGGGGACGTCTCCACATTAAAGCACAAAGAAAGAAACTCCTTTGTTGTTACATCTTCTTTCAACCGCCGGTGCATATATTCAGCCTTCTACGCTCTTCCAGGACTTGTTTGGATTGCTGGCACGAAGCGCTTTCTTTGCCCTCTAACAATAGCCACTCAACTCGGATCTTTAACCACCTGCCTCTTCCAAGAAGTTCCAATAGGCGCCCATATCTCGGGCAATCAGCCCTCCCGTCCTTGTTCTCCAGCATATCTCGTCGCCATGGCCCCCAATCGACGACAGAAAAAACTGCCTAAGGGCTCAAAGAACAAGGGTGCGTGTCTTTTTTTCTTTATCAAGTGCCGTGTGATCGATGCTTTTATTCACCATATATAGGACAAGATGGATCCCAAGGGCACAAGAGTCCTCAGCAACTCCTCCCCGACAGCGCTGGACCTGATCCATCGCCTCCATCTCCGTCTGGGAATCCTCTGAAGCAACAGGTAAGAAAGACATGACTATATAATGTTATCTACAGAAGCTAATAACGATGACCACCAAAGGGCTCCCGGACAGCTGAACCGCGTGGTACGAAGCGATCCGTCGATGGCAAGCCAATCCGGCGATCCCCTAGATTCACCCCAGCCAAGGACGAGCCCGTGGCACCCGCACCACCAGCACCACCTGCACCACCAGCCAGCGATATTAAAAAACCCATCGATCCCGTCGCATATTGGGCGAGAGAGCAAACCTGGCCAAAAGCATTTTCACAGACCAGCAAGATGGCACATCTACTTGCCCGACCTGGCTCCCGGGGGACGCGGACCGCCACGCCAAACACCCCAATTCCTGTTGACCTCAGGCCGAAGAAGGACAAGGTTGCATATAGCAGCCCGTTGTATTGTCGGCGTCTCGCACTCAAGGGCAGTTTCCTGAATGATTCGGATCTGGGGATAGCAGATGAGAGTAGGCAGCTCATTCGGGATCTTCTCGATCGTGTCCAACCGGTTCCCAACGAGTCTCTTTTCGACGACGACATTTTCCAGGCTTTTTGTGAGAAATTCGCATCCAGAAATGAGGCCCGGGTGGTTCGTGATGTTTCTCGGCTCATCGTTCCTTCGGCAGAGGCGCATGCCCTCCGTGCTAAAGACCTCAAGTACCTTTACGAAACAAACGACGAACTCTGGAATAATTCAATCCCTTTGATCGGCCCCATCCCAAAGCCTGACTACGCCGTGGGGTTCGGATTCGAGGCCTTCACCAACGAGCAGTGGGCCAAGCTGGATCCTTTCATTGGCCTCTTTGAGGAGGGTGACCAATCCTTCTTTGTGGGCACGGGTTCGACCTTCTTCCCATTCCTAGCGTGTGAGGCAAAGTGCCACTCTTCGGACCTAGTCGTTGCAGAACGCCAGACCGCGCATAGCATGACGCTCGCGGTACGGGGCGTTGCCGAGCTCTTTCGTTGGAGGGAGCGCGAGAACGAGGTTGATCGACAGATCTTGGCCTTCTCCATCACGCACGACCATCGCTCCGTAAGTATTTACGGGCATTACCCGGTGATGAGGAAGAACGATATCCAGTACTACCGCCATACGATCAAATCTTTCGACTTCACGGTGGATAACGGGGAGCATAAATGGACCGCGTACCAGTTCACCAAGAACTTATACGACACTTGGGTCCCAGCTCATCTCAAACGGCTGTCTTCCGTCATCGACGAGATTCCCGAGGACCTGGACTTTGCCCCGGCTTCTAGGCACAGCGACTTTTCGATAGAACCACCAAATGAGTAGGATGCATTGTCTGCAGATCAAGCCGCGGGGGAGCGGAAGAAGAAGCGCAAGCAATACTCAAGTCTCCCGTATGGCCTCTGTATGAGCGGGGGAGAAGGGGGGAAATAAGGCATGGATTTCCTCTATTTACCTTCTCCATGAGGTTCAGTTGACGAATGATGGTGTTGGATATGTCATGGTACTAGAGGATTTTTAAAATGATTTATGCATATCCCCCTATGATACTTGACTACTAAATTTAATTCTTCTTGAATCGCGCTGGCAAGATTGTGTTGACGACCCTCCCCGACCCTCCACTACCTAATCAAGAAGGGTACTCTACAGTCATTGGCTTCGGGATGAATGTTAGACCAATTCCCATGCTAGAGAGCGTGAGTTTGACTCCTTCGATTGAGAGCATGAACCCGTGCGGCCTGAGCAGGCCACCTTGGAGAAGCGCGGCGCTGATCCTCGGGAGCCACGCCGACGCGAGGGGACGCGCCGTGTAGCACTAGCTAGGGATGATAGAATACTGCAATTCAGCCTGGATGTGTACGTGCATGCTCTGACGGCAGCTTCGGAATATATGCATTTTCTGGCATCCAGTTCCGTAGCTGCGGAAGACATCCTGTGTCGTACGATGAGGCCGTCGCCACTAATTCCAGAATCCCCCGCAGGCAAGTGACAGAAGAGGAGCAATTGTACAGATGCTTTGGATTGAAAGCCAATCACTACAGGTAAAAGGCTCAGTTGCTCATCTTCTTAAGCCCCCGGGTTTCACTCATTTGTCCGTCCTCAGATCTGTAGACCACAAGTCACTCTCGGCCGATCCAATCAACCCTCCGATTCCCCCCCAGACTTCCCTCAGTAACCAGAGCCATCATCAATCATGGCAAACCGCGGAAATAGCCACGACTCGGAGGTGTATGGTATTAAAGATCTCGAGCGACTCGGATCCCCCAAGTTGGATAAGTCGGCAAAGGGTGAGGCCCAACCTTCACTCACAATCCATTCCAAAGGCCGACGGATGACTTGAGAGAGGAACTGACCAATCGCAGAGTACTACAATGAGGGCGCCATGGATCTCATCACGTACTTCAGCCTCACAGCCTTCGCTGCAAAGTCCATCACTGACATCTCCGCCTAGACTGAGGGAGAGCGAAGCCGCCTACGATCGCTACAAGATCCGACCTCCGGTTCTCCGGGACCCCACTGGTCTCGATGCCAGCACCACCATATTTAGAACCAAGGTCACCTTCCCCTTTGGTTTCTCTCAATCTGCCATGCAGGCATTGGCGCATCCCGATGGAGAGGTCGGCAAATCCAAAGCGGCTGCTACTTTCGGAGTTCCCTTGGGTCTCTCCAACGACTTCACCATGACACGAGGAAGTCATCTCCCATGCCAAAGGAAACCCCTACGCCATGCAAATTAGCATGCTGAAGAACAAGGAAGCTACCATCAAGTTTATCAAGAGCGGAGAGTGGGTTTATATTATTCCAGGAAGTATCGCTAGCTAACCTAACTCCAAGAGGCGGGCTTCCTTCTAACTCTTTATGCTCCCTACCAAGGTCGAAGACTGAACGAATTCCGAAACAGTTTCGGTGTGCCCAAAGGCATAGAATACCCTAACCTCGTCCCTGACGTAGACGTTACTAATCTTGAAGATACTGACGAGTCCATGGCTTACGGTACTTCCCCTCCTACATTGTACATGTACACCCACCCTGTTCATAGCTATTGTAGATTCATCAATTGAGTGGTCAGAACTCTTGCCCTTCTTCCATGGACACACCAAAATGCAGATCTGGGGCAAGGGAAGTAAGCAACGCTCTCTTGCGAATACAGACACATGGAGATCAGGCGCTGATTCAATCAAAAACTTTACACCATTCAGGATGCAGAGCTCACCATCAAGTACCGCCTTGACGGTATGACCATCTCTAACCATGGCGGTTGACAACTCGACACTGCCCCCGCCACTATCAACGTCCTTCGTGAAATTACCCCCGCCGCCAATGGACGTATCGCCATAGCCGTAGACGGAGGAATCCGCCGTGGTGCCGACGTCTTCAAAGCTTTGGCTCTAGGTGCTGCCTTCTGCTTCGCTGGACGGCGCGCGACTTGGGGACTGGCTGTGAGTGGTTCTTTTAGACCGTCAAGGTTGCGCCTCGCTGACAAGATGCCCCTGTGGCGGTACAATGGATCCAATGGCGCAGAACTCGCTCCAAAGCTCCTCTATGACGAGTTCAAGACTACCATGGCGCGGCTGGATACGCTGGGCAAGTAGACGCGTATCCAGACACGTACGTAGACAAACACACGCAGCTGTCGAAACGTCCAAGAGCTTTCGAACCAATACCTGTCTCTCTTGCAACCACATGTAACTCTGTCGGAGCTTTGGGTGCTATTGCAACTTGGAGTTTGAAGCGGTAAGGCTGGTGGAATCCCTTGACATTGCATACAGCGAGTAGTGATTCAACGCAACACTACTTCTATCTCAGCATTCTCGTCACGGCCGCAATCCTCAGAGCTACATAACTTTTAGAAATTTAATAGACGATCATCTTAGGGGATATCTAGATGCGGAATTGATATGTCCAACAGGTCGTTAACAAATTACTCCATTGGCTAGATTAAACGAGTCATGTTGCCTATTCTATGCGGTATGTGCTGATCACATAATCCAGGTCCAGACAAGGGTTACCAAAGGACTCCAAGTCCACAAACACTATTCCATCATCAGCAAGAATGATATTGGCCATTTTCACATCACCTCGTGCAAGGCCAAGTGTAGAAAGCTCTTGGTATGCGTCCTCCAGTCTCTTGAATTCCACGGAGGAAAGGCAGGGGCATTCTGCTCAAATGGAAGAACCCAACAACGCGGGAGAGAATGAGGACACGGGTCTCTCACACCGCCCTTCGCCATACAATGTAGGTATTAAGCGGCCTGGGTGACCCTCTAGCCGTCCATGCGTATCCTTCTTGTTGTCGGATTCTCCATCCCAGTCTGGCTTGAGCTTCTTCGGCACCAGAGTCGAGGGAAGGACGAGGAGGATCGTGATGATAACGCGGTCGATCGAGTTCCGAATGATACTCGGTTCTAGGGCAGGGAGAGCGCCTGAGGGGTCGGGACTCGTCCATCCTGACGGTTGCTGGTCCCGGAAGAGACAGATAATTGTCAGATTGTAAATTCTGCATCTTCAGGCCATTCGCCGTCAGGAAGAACGGCCGCAGCTCCAGATTGACTCCCTGATTACTGCTGAAGCCCAACGTCGCCAACTGCGGCTGTGGCCTCAGGCAGCCGACATCTCATACAAGCCACATTTCCCTCGCCTAGCAGGCCAGTGATGGATCACAATACACACATCTCAGCCTTCTTGATAATCACCACGTGTTTCCTCCACGTGACCCTATCATCGTGTTGTTAACAATATTATTGTGAATGTTGCGAGGGAACTGAGAATTGTGCGTGGAATTCACATCTACTCTACTGAACTGATAGGTAAACCAAAATGAAATAATACAAAGCATCCAATTACCCATCAGTTTAGTCCCAAGAGAATAACTACATTTATCTTCTTTATTTTGTGTTGCGTGACAATGATAAAGCACTTAGGGCTGAACACCTCCGATGTAAGACATGGCTGAATTGCACTTCTGTGCGGGGTATTTGAACTCGACAGGCGGTCTGTTCCAAGTGAACCTATTCTTAGACTGAATATTATCATCTCACATCATGGGTGAATTTCATGAAGTCGCCGTGGAAGACACGATCTTCTCGCATCCGAAGAATTCGGTCCAGTCGACCAACCATCAGTCGGCCGGTGACAAAGCGTGGGCAAACAATTACCTCCCAATCACCAAGTTCACCCTCCATTCGAGCACGCCCGATGTCCACGTAATGGACACCATCAATTCTACGTTTGGGCGACTTTTGGGGGATGATATAGTTAGGGCCGGTCAAGGCAGCGCCAATCCGACTCATCGAAGATGGTTGTTAAATTCAACGGAAGACGCCGTCAACTTTTTCAGTGCTGAAGTTTCCGACCCTGTCCTTAACGGGTTCAATAAATACCCAGAAATCGTTTCGACATATCGTCAAGGGCCTCTTTCAACTGATGAGGATGATGACACGGTCGATGTCCATTACTCCATGTTAGTGGGTGATGAGAGAGTCCCCGTGCTAATTGGGAAGTTTCAAGATTGCCTGATCATGCCAGAGCAATGGGAACGAGGACGCCTGACCGGCAGTCAAAAAAGCCTCTCTCGAGAGCTGCGAGGGTACGTTGCACATCTACCAATACGAATATGCCATTGACGTAATGGATACTAACCGATATAAATGCATCAAGCTACGCGGATATGTACGCCTGTCCCCATGTGTTCTGCTTTGACGGTGAGCGCCTTTTACTGCTCCAGTTCAGAGCAAGGACAAAAGCGGAAATCAACGATTCCGATTGCGACGTCGACTGTTGGATAATCCCTCGCGATGGTCCTTTCACTCCCGATGCTATTGACGACGAGTGCGGATTGCGGTATGGGCTTTACCGATTTCTAGTCCAGGGGTTTCGAAGATGCCAAGGGTTGGCTGCTCTCGATGTAGTTCTGAACGGGTGTCGGCCAGCCATACGTGAGTGGTACAACGGACGGCCATTGTGGGACATTGGTGGCGGCAAGTACGATGCCAGTCCGTGGGGATACCACCGCAAACTCGACGGATACTCGGGGGCTTGGTACTGGACTGGTGATGACAAGAAGAGCAACATGCTCTGTGAAAACAACTTGGTCGCGTGGGATACGCCGAAGTTCTGGTAATATTGATGAGCCGTTGAAGCCGTTGAATCTGTTCCGGCTCACGGATGAAAAGTGTGAGGTTCTAGTAGTTACCGATCGGGCGACCCGGGTCCGTCGCCTTCGAGGGTTTGTACGGCCCGAGGTAGTCTCACTTTTGTCAGAAAGTGTTAATCTAGTGTGTTTGTCAGAATTCTATACTTGCCGCAATGTGCTAGTGTGTGCGTGACTCTAAGATCGTCTTGAAGTATTTGAGAGTGTTGCTGTCCGCCCACTCCCGCATGCCCAGGCCTAAATGACTTCACAACACACCAAAGATCGATATCAGTAGAGCAAATTCAGTACGACTAAGTCGTAGCATTGAACCCTCCCATTATTGATTTTTTTTTTCTTCTTTTTTCATAAAATTATCAAGAGGTTAGGGTGCCCTAGTACACATACACAGAGGGGGGACTAGAGGCTCAACAGAAAAAAAAATACAAACAATAGTATCAACAATATTCCATAAAATTATAAAATTAGACCTCTAGTCTAAGATTCATTTCCACTGTGTGCATGTGCCTTGCACACTGATTCGGTCGAATCTTGAATAAATAATCTATGCATGGGCCGTGTACAATGATTCGGCAGGATCGTGAACAAATGATGTGTGCATGGGCTGGAATCTTGAACAAGGGACGCGTACCTATGTGCGAATACCAATTCACCACGCTGTTCCTACGACCCCTCTGTTCCAGCGAAACATTGTTCTCGCGAAGCGACTATTTAAGATGCTTCACTGACCAGTGCGAGGCGAATAAACTCATCACCCTTCAAACCTTTCACCTCACTGACTCACCACACTTACTTACCACACTTACTTACCATGGAGAACGAACTTTCCAGCTCCGGCGGCTCCTCCTTGGAGTACCTCAATGGTCAATGGGAATCCTTGTACCCTGACAACATCAAGATTCGAGACGACGACGAGAAATTCCCAGACGACATTGCTAATCTCATTGATCAGATGCACAAGGACCGAAACGCTCCGGGACCAGTGCTAGACAACAGTGGACCTAGTCCCCAACCCGACAACGAGCTTGGTGAGCAATCACCCGAGACTAGTCATAACCTCACTGTTCAGATACGTCAAGGTCAGAATGCTCCGGGGCGACAGCTGGACGATGCTGTGCAGAGCCCCTGGTCAAACCACCTGTCTTACGGCGACACGGATTTTCGGGCCGGAGACTACATCAACGATTATCTGCTTCCCAGTCTAGGCCTAGTAGGACATGTTGATCTTACTCCACGGGTCCCAACACCCGAGAAATCTGCACTGATCTCTGCTTCAGGCAAGGTCCCCGCACGTATCCCCGATCTGCTCTGCGGGTATAAGTTCGAGCCCGAATTATCCCAGCAACGAACCCCGGTCTTGTCTACGGGGATCGAACTTCTCGCCAACCACATGTTGCTGCACTGCCCGTTCCTCGTCATCAGGTTCATGGATGAGATATGCTCTGAAATCGAGTGCACTCACTCTCAGGATGTAGCAGGCAAGTGCGCCAGTGATTCGACAGTCTGTATCGAACTTACCGAGCGCCTCAATCGCGGAAATCAGGAGGACCAATCCCCTCTGATCAACAGAGTTGCTTTTAGCATTGCTATGAGCGCCACGCGGGCCAAGATCTCCATCACGTGGAAGCACGATGATGAGTATTCGGTATGCAACATCGGCACCTTTATGCTTTACAATCCTCAGCAATACCAGGGCTTCTGCAAGTATTCTCGTAATATCATGGACTGGGGCATGGGTGAGCGACTGAAGGAGATTCAGGAGTCTGTTGGCTTTCTGCAGAACGTCGGGTTTCACCAGGACACTGTCGAGTGAGTTCAAGCGGTGTTCTTTCTTGTGCTAGGGATTTAGGGGAAAACAGGGGAAATTGGAGTTTTCTGTATTTCGGGAAGAGGGCCACAGCTGGCTGTCTTCTTTGGGATATCTCACCTTAGCTAGGGATATTGGCTCGGCCCGATGAGTCAGTCTTGTGGTCTTTAAGGGAGGATTTTGGATCATCAGATTGATCTATCCGCAAGTAACATTAGCTACTATTACCAGATTGTAACATTGATAGTCTTTTGGCCCCTTGATGCGGCAGTCTTTTATGAATAATTTGATCAATTATGCATGTTGCGGTATCCCAGTCATCTTCAACTTGGAACACATTCCCGTGATTCTCATGGGACCATTGCGTGATGCTTTGTGGAGGATTGGAAACGTGTAAAGGTGCGAGACCCGGTCTCGCTGTGAATATCTTTTAGGATAATTTTGTGCTCACACAATTCAGCGCAAATAAGTGCTTATTTAACTGATTGGTCTATTTGTCTAAGGTAATAATCTATCGAATCTACTGGTACGGGTTATCGGCTTCAAACTTGGCCTCCCACATGCCCCTGCTCTCCCTGACCTGAAGCTGCAAGCCCTTGAGAACGCCGTAAACTGTGCGCAGCGTAGGCATGGGCACGCCGTGGGCTGCGCCTTCACGGAGTGGCTCGCCGACAATGTTCTCAATCTCCATCAGATTGCCCTTCTCGACGTCCTGGCACATGCTGGGCTTGAAAGCGGTGTCGGTCGGGTCGGTCTTGATGACGGTCTCGGGAAGGTCGTCGCCCAGCTCCACACCGCAGGCGCGGGCTGCGGCAATAATCTCGAGCATAATGGGGCGGATGAGGTCGTCGATGACGTGACGGCTCATACGCATGCGTGCCGTGTCCATGCGTAGTACGGTGGCAATCGAGTTGAAGGAGGAGTTGTAGACGAGCTTGCGCCAGCGGACGAAGCGCACATCGGCCTCGTAGACGATATTGAGCTTTCCAGCCGCGTTGTAGGCGGCAATGTAGCGCTTGGCGGCATCGGCGGCTACCTCAACTGGGACATCGGGGCTGGAGAAGGCGCCAATCTTCTGGAAGTCGGCATCGTCGTGGAGGATCTTGCCGTGGGCCTTTTCGGTGGCGCCGATGTACGACACGCTGCTGATGATGGGGTTGGTGGGGAAGCGGGGGATGATGGGCTTCTCGATGTTGATGCCGTTCTGGGAGAGCACAATGGCCGTCCTGCCGGGCGTGACGGCCGGGGCGATGAGGTCGGCGACGGTGGGAGAGACGTCGGGGATGTTTTTGGTGGTGACGAGGATGAAGTCGAAGGGGGGGAGGTTTTCTTTGGCGACGTCGGGGATGGTCTTGGAGACTGGTGATTTGTTAGCGAATTGAAGATTGGTCGAAGAGAGAAGAGACGAAATGCATACTTGCGGTTGGTCGCCAGCCCTTGATGTCGTGGCCGTGCTCAATCGAGTCGATATCAATGCCATTCTTCACCACAGCGTCATAGTTGGATCGCATGACGGCCGTGACCTCAGCCTTACCACCGCTCTCCAAAGCGTAGGCGGCCATGGTGCCGACGCCGCCGGTGCCCACGATGAGGACCCGAGCCTTTTGTTGCGTCATGGTTGCTTTTGTGATGGGCAGAGCAGCTAGTCGGTCGAGTGAATAGTGGCGAAGGCAGAAATTCTAGTACATGCGCAGGGGAACTACGAGAGAGAAAAGATGGATGAAGGTCGGATTATGAACCGGCGACGATGCCGGTGTGCGGAGCGTCGTCGACTACGCGGGTGCTTGCTTGAGCCGTCGTTTTGCGATCTCTACAGCGGAGGCGGGCCACAGTGGAACCAGCGCATCGCCAGCGCCTTCGCCAATACCTTCTCCGCTGCGCAATGCAAGATCAAGGCGATCTTCTGCGGCGTTGCGGCATTGCGCGTTGCGATGGCTGGACGCACATCCAACGACACAATCGAGGGGCACGCTGCCAGGTTCTGCATCTCACAGCGAGCTCTCCAGCGCCGAGTGCGGGGGATCGCAGAAGCTGTGGAGGGGCACTGGCAGGGAGTCGGTAGGGGACCTGGTAGGGGACCTGGCGAACCCCTAGCACCAAGGGTAGTGCTATCCACTAACGAGTCGTCACTTTTGCGCTTATCTCGGCCGCTGAGAGGGGAAGTCAACAGCGAAGGCAGTCCAGTGCCGACAGACGCAACGCCAGCCTTGGCTTAGCTCGTAAGCAATCGCTCGGAATTTTGAGCTGTATCCAGCAGCATGGCCTATCGCGCGCTCGCCGTATCGTAGCTGCCGTATCAGGCGAGCCGGTGGTGGGAGCGTCCGGTCCGGTCCCAAGCGCCATCCTCGACGGCCCCGATCTCGGATCCGAAGCCCGGCACATGACATGATGAGAATGAGATAGTTGCTCGTCCCGGCTCCGAGTAGAGGTCATGACACATCAGGAAGATACCGTCAATGTTGTGTTCCGTGAACTTATACGAAGCCAAAGTCACCAGACAAGGGCAGCCCTGGTACCAAGAATCACGAACTAGAGGGAAGGGTTGGCCCCTCATCGCTGTTCTACCAAACAAACCAACGACACAGACAAGTCAAGCATCGGACAACTCAGCAGTAGAAAGAAACACGGGCTTTTTATTTTCTAATTTCTAATATTCTAAACAGACACCGGCGCACCGTCAATATAGCACCGTAAACACACCCATATCCAATTACAGTCGCGAGACGACGCCGGCGCTCAATCCCTTGACCACCTCGGCCGCCGCCCGCTCGCCGCTGCGCACCGCGCCCTCCATGTAGCCCTTCCACTCGCCCGCCGTCTCCGTGCCGGCAAAGTGCAGGTTGCCGCACGGCTCGCGGAGCGCGTCGCCGCCGAGCGTGTCCAGCACGCCCGGGGGAAGCGACGTGCAGGGGCAGCCCCAGCCGGCGAACTCGTCCTTGGTCCACTCGTACGTGTGCAGCTGCACGAACTGCGACTCCAGGTCGTCGGCTCCGAACAGGGTGCTCAGCTGCTCGAGGAGCTTCTGCTCGCGGCCGCGGCCGGGAAGGGCTGCCCACGTGGCACCGGCGTCGCCAGACATGAAGCACGTCAGGACGTGTTTGGAGTCGGCCGGGCTGCTGGTGTCCCTAACCACGCTGGCGGGCCCGACAAAGGACTGGGCGAGGCCGCAGAAGCCGCGCTCGACCCAGAAGGGCGTGCGGAACTCCATCATGGCCTTGGTGTAGTAGCCGTAGGAGAGGGACTCGGCCCAGACCTGCTTGGCGGGAGGCAGTGACGGGGTGAAGGCGATGGACTTGAGCACGGGGCCGGGCACCGTGGTGATGACCTTGCGAGCGGCGTAGACGGCGCCGGCCTGCACCTTGACCGAGTGGCTGCCGTCCTGCACAATGGCCTGCACGGGGCTGTTGAGGCGAACGACGCCCTCGGGCAGCGACCCGGCCAGCCCGAGGGAGAAGAGCTGCGTGCCCTGGCGCACGCGGAGGTGCTGGCCGCCGCCCTTGCGGTCGGAGCGCATCTGCAGCAGGCCGCCGCCGGACTTGCAGTAGTTGAGGAAGTACAGCGCCGAGATGTCCTTGGGATCCTTGCCCAGCATGGCGCGCGTCCACACGGCTCCCGTCGCCACCGCGAGCTCGCTGGCGCCGCGCGAGCGCAGGTACGCCTCGAAGGTGAGCGAGTCGAGCGATGTGTCCTGCGGCCGCCAGGTGTCGACGGCCTGGCAGTCGGCCTCGACCATGTCGCGGATCTCGGCGAGGTGTTTGCGGGTTGCGCTGTCGAACTGTATATATAAGTGTCAGCGGCGAACTGGGAGTTGATCAGGGTTTGGAAGGGAATACGTACGTTGGGAAGGTCGCCATAGACAAACGGCGTACAGCGGCCGTCAAAGTCCTGCAATACAACATTGCCCGTGGTGTTTTGCTCAATCATCTCCGCGCCGTATCTCTTGGCCAAGGCGTACATCTTGCTCTGGCTAACATCGTTGATCCAAGCAGCCCCGAGATCAACAGTGCCGCCGCTGACCATGGGCTGGCTCCACGTCTTGCCGCCTACACGGTCACGAGCCTCGAGCACAATACACGACAGACCAGCCTTGAGGACATCGTGGGCGGCACTGAGACCGGCGAGGCCAGCGCCAATGACAATGACATCGGCGGTTTCCTGGGCGGCCGGGAGGGCCAATGGCGCGGCAGGCGTCTCGGGGATGGCCAGGACGGCGTCGATCTCGAACAGCCACGAGGCAACGGCCAGCTTGGGCACGGGGGCGAGGGTCATGGCCGGTCGGTGGCCGGCGAGGAACGTCTGGATGTGGCGGCGGTGCTTGGCCTGCGCGGCGTCGTAGTCGACAATGTAGACGGTCAGCTTGGCGATGTCCCTGACGGACGCGCCGGCCGCGACGATGATCTTGCGCAGGTTCAGCAGCGCCAGGTGAATCTGCGACTCGTAGTCGCCAGGGACGGAGCCATCCTTGGTGCTGCCGGGCTGGCCCGAGACGTGGACGAGGCGGCCGGCCGGGGCGATGGTGGCCGCGGCGTGGTAGGCGGCGGTGGTGTTGGACAGGTCAACGGTCTCTACAGCTTTGGTCATTGCGAATGGATGTGAGAAGGCTTGTTCAAGGGCAATTGGGTTGACGCAAAGAGCAGGACGGATGAGAAGAGATGGAGAGCTGTCTTGCAAAGAGTCGCCATGTCGCCGTTGGACGTCGGTATATGGCCAATCTGGTTATCATCTCGGCGCTCCTGAATGGCTCGCTTTGGCCTTCCATCGGGACCGAGCTGCAGCCAACAAGCCCGGGATTAAGCACTCGTCGCCTTCGGTTATCCGCATCAACAGGGCAAGCGGACTTGTCGAGTGCTATCGAGTGGCCGCGTCGAGTTCACGCGGGCCTCCATGGTGCCCCGCCGAGAGGAGGCGGCGACAGAAGACGACTGGCGGTCTGGGGGCAGGACAGCGCGAGCGAATGTGACAGATGATGCGCTAGCGAGCTTCGGTCTCGGTCAGCTTCCACTTCTGCCCGGCAGTTTGCTGGTGATGAACGTGTTGGCTCCGCGGTGGCTCCGTCAAGGCTCCGTCAAGGCTCCGAGCACGGCTCCGGCATGTCGCTGTAGGGCGGTATCTCCACCTCCGGTTCCACTGCCCGTTCCACCACCCAGCCCAACCCCAGGCTCATCAGGGGTCTGTCTGCTCCGTATGGAGGCCAAAGAGACTCTTGTGGCCGCTGCGGGGCAATCCATGGCAAGCTGCAATGCAAGTCCGAGGCTTTTCGGCCGGCTGGTGTGAAGCTTGGAGAGCTTCGGTAGGTAGGTCAGCTTCGGTAGGTCAGCGCTGTGACGTCTTGGGCTTCTCCGCGCTGTGACTTGCCTAAAAGCCGCGGCCTCCCCGGACCGGCTTTCGGCTTCCTGGCATTCCATCATGACAAAACATCCTCGTCTCAGTGCTTCTTATTGAGATTGAGTTGGCATTGTCCCATCACGTTGAGCTTCCTTTTTGAACGCGCATCACCTTTCATCCGGTCTCTCACTCGTATTCCATCCTTGAACAACGGCCCGCTCCCGAACCCCCTCCCCGCAAAAGTCGCCATGTCGGCTCCTCAGCTCAAAGATGCTTCGCTCTTCGTGGGCAAGAACTGGCTCGACAACCAGTGGGTGGAATCCGAGTCGGGCAAGCGATTCGACGTCACCGGTATGTTTCTTTGACTCTTTGTCATTGACTCTTTGTGCTCCCTTGAAACCCATCGCCACTTGCTCATGCCTCCCTCCTCATCTAGACCCGGCGACCGGCGCGTTAATCGGATCCTGTCCCGAGTCCACAGCCAAGGACGCCGAAAAGGCCATCCGCGCCTCCGCCATTGCCCTGCCGCTCTGGCGCTCGCGCACCGGCCGAGAGCGCGCGCGCATCCTGCGTCGCTGGTACGACCTGGTCATGGAGAACAAGGACGACTTGGCCACCATCATCACCTGGGAGAACGGCAAGGCCAAGCCCGATGCCGTCGGCGAGGTCGTCTTTGCCGCCAGCTTCTTGGAGTGGTACGCCGAGGAGGCGGCTCGCATCTACGGCGACATCATTCCCCACAGCAATGGCAGCTTCCGCACGTCTGTCTTGAAGGAGCCCGTTGGTGTTTGCGGTCTCATCACCCCGTGAGTTGGCCATTGTAGCACCAAGACCTTGTACCCCCAGGACTCTCCATTAATTAAACTGCAGATGGAACTTCCCCGCCGCCATGGTCACCCGAAAGGTCGCTCCCGCTCTGGCTGCTGGTTGCACCGTCGTCATCAAGAGCGCCGGTGAAACCCCCTTCGCCGCCAACGCCCTGGCCGTCCTCGGCGAGAGGGCCGGTGTCCCCCCCGGCGTAGTCAACATCGTGTCTGCCCTCAACAACACCCCCGAGATCGGGCTGACGCTATGTGAATCCGACATTGTCAAGAAGATCTCCTTCACCGGCTCCACCCGGGTCGGAAAGATCCTCATGCGCCAGTCCAGCGACACCCTCAAGAAGCTGAGCCTCGAGCTGGGCGGAAACGCTCCCTTCATCGTCTTCGACGACGCCGACCTGGACCTGGCCCTCAACGGCGCCATCATCAGCAAGTTCAAGTCCTCTGGCCAGACCTGCGTCTGCTCCAACCGCATCTTCGTGCAAAAGGGCATCTACCCCGAGTTCATCCGCAAGCTCAAGGAGGCCGTCAGCCAATTCCAAGTGGGGAACGGGTTCGACAAGAAGACTACGCATGGCCCGCTAGTCACCCCCGTGGCTGCAGAGCGAGTTTCTGGTCTCGTCGAAGACGCCATCAAGCTCGGAGCCAAGGTGGAGATTGGAGGCAAGAAGCGAACCGACCTGGGTAAGTTGACCAACACAGCCATTCATTCAACTAGCTAACCAGACTGCTACCAGGCCCCAACTTCTACGAGCCAACCATCCTCAGCAACGTCAACGCCAACATGCGACTCGTCTCGGAGGAAATCTTCGGACCTGTCGCGCCCATCTTCCAGTTCGAGACCGAAGACGAGGTCATCGTGGCTGCCAACAACTGCGACGTTGGATTGGCTTCATACATCTTCACCCAAGACATCAACCGTGCTACCCGTTTCACCGAGACGCTCCAGTACGGCATGGTTGCAGTCAACACTGGCATCATCTCCGATGCCTCTACTCCGTAAGCTTCCTACAGATTATTTTATTCCTTTAGAATCCAGGCCACTAATTTTTTCTCTGCTGCAGTTTCGGCGGCATCAAGCAGTCTGGTCTCGGGCGTGAGGGCAGCAAATATGGTATTGAGGACTACCTTCAGACAAAGACAATCGTCACGGGTAACGTCCAAGTCGTCCATCGAGCATACCTATAAGTGTTTGGGGAAGCAAATGCTGCAAACAAAAAGTAAAATCAATGGTTTGGAATTATGAGGGGGTTACAAAATGTTATGGCAAGTCTTACGATTATCCTATCTTATTGAATGAAAAGCGTGATCAGTTCCCCTTGGCCCGTTGTCAAGTTTTGAAATAAAGTATGAAGTACGGACCAACGCGCTAGAAGCGACACATGGTTCAATTGTTCACATCGGTATCTGTGCACAACATTACCGGCTCTAAATCCTGCATGATAAATTAAGGGCACTGAGACTGAGCACAGCCTTGAAGAGGTGGATCCTTTGCATCACGGACATCAAAAGTGGCACGGACTCTCTATTTTCGTCTTTTAACTCCGATCTCGAAGGATCTCAGATAGGCTTCGGCACGCCCGAGCCGCCAGGGACCGAGCTTTGCCGCGGATTTCAATTTTCCAGATTGGGTTTTTGGCTCGGTAATCTCCTTAGAATGACGACCAGGGAATTTCCATCTTCACCAACCTATCATTTTTAGTTCATTGATGCGTGCACTGTAATTACGGCATGTCTCCGATGAAGCGAATACTCGGTGTTATGGGTACAGTACACTCAGTTTTTATCGTGATTTATCAGGAAAGCATCACTACAGCTTGGTCCATGCCGGAGCACCACTGCCATCACACGCCTGTGCACCGGTAGTTCTTTCATAGCAGCCGACGGAATGTTATTCACCAGAGACAATGTGTCACTATCACCCCTTTTCCCTAACGTCGTGTTTTAGACTTGTCAATCGCCTTACTGCCAAGAGTATTCCATTGCCAATGCCTCTCTCGTATTCATATCCTTGCTTCCACCAGGAGGTCTGTGCCGGTGCCAGGTACCGGGTCCCCGGGGTGAGGCTCCTCGGGGAAGCCCCCCTAGCTCACGGAGCAATAGATGCCGAAGCTTCTCTTATTTGCCGGGACAATACAAATCATTAGACCGTCATTGGTTAGAAATGAAGGGCTTTGTTCCTCTGGGTTTCATCTGCTAATTGCGACACGTGGGCTGCCTCTCGCACAGAAGCCAGAGTAGGACTAGGAGAATAGGACTAGGGTAGGCAATAATCACTTCCATGCGATGGGTGCTAACCGAAGATTTCTAACATTTAGGTTTTTATTCTGGCCTAATGATGTACAACTAGAAAATAAGGGACTCGTTTCGAGTTTGCCCTATGACTAAAGGAAAATACGTAATTATTACCGTGTAATGAGTGTACTGAAGCATCATGCTTCTCTCCCTGCCTCTGCCCCAACTCGAACCCTCGTAAATGAATGTGTGCATCGATATGTCATGATACAATTATACTCCAGAATCCTCCTGCTCAATCTCGTGCTCCTCTTGGAATGTCTCCCAATGGGTGCATACCTCGTCCAAGAGATCGCCGTCTGTAATCGCCGCAATCTCGTCTCGACGCTCAATGAACTGGACGGCGAACCCTTCCGACGTGTGCCATCCAATGTGGCAGTGCATCAGCCAAACACCGGGGTTGTCCGCCTTCCATGCCATGACCAAGAAGCCAGCAGACGGGAGTATGGCGGTGTCTCTTCGCGGCGGGTTGGACGTGTTGAGCGTCACTGACGAGGAGTATGAGCCCGAGCCTTGGGCGAGGACGAAGAAGTCGTGCCCGTGGAGATGGATGGGGTGGGGGACGGTCATGGTGGTTTGGATGACGAAATAGACCCATTGGTTAGGGGTGCTGAGCTCGATGACCGCATCGTCCGTCTCATGCTCAGTTTCGCCCTCCATGATGTGCTCAAGGGTAGGCGTGGCCCAATCCACAAGCATGCTGGTGCTGTTGAGGTACCACTTGAAAAGACCAGCCGAGTTTCGGGAGACGGAGGCAGACTCCAGGTCCTTCCAATCAGCATCGGAGACATCGTGGGCCACCCATGGGACAAGCTTCAGGGTTTCATCGTCACAGCCGTCAGTGTACGCGTATCCCTCGGTTGTAGGCTCAGAAGCCTCGTCGCCGTAGTACACAATGGCCTTGATGTTGCTGGCGCTTTCGTTGTCCGAGCATGCAACCTGGGGAATGGCTCGCATCCAGAAGTTGTCTGCCACATCGCCTTGGTCGGCAGTCACGATGATGTCGTATCGCTGGCCTGTTTGGTGTTAGTTACCAGTCAACCAGAAGAAAAACGAAACACATACCCATTGACAGGTTTATAATGTCAACTTCGAACGGCTCAACAGGCACAAGATCAGCCGCAATGACAGTCATTTTATGATTGTCAATGGAGAATTTCCAATGCGTGTCAATGGCCGCGCCGACAAGTCTCAAGCGGTGTGACTTGCCAGCAGTAAAAGATACATCGAATCGTTTACCAGTTGTGACGCCATCAGCAGTCCATTCGTTTGTGCCGTTGATGAGACCATTGTCCAGCGTAGGGGGGCCACCTGTTGCAGCTTTGACGTAAAGTTCGTCAACGGTCTGGTGGTCCCAGTCGTTCAAGAACACCACGCCCAGGTCCTCGTCGTAGTTGGCAGTGGCAGGACCGTTGATGATAATACCTCCAAAAACGCCCTGGTAGGCCTGAAGGCCGAAGTGGGAGTGGTACCAGGCTGTGCCATACTGCTCGGCCTTCCAGGTGTAAGTCATTGACTGACCAGGAGCAAGAGGGCATTGAGTAATGGCAACCACGCCGTCATGTTGGTTGGTGTGGTTCTGGCGGATACCATGCCAGTGGACACTGGAGCCGTTCAGGGACGTGGTGAGTGAGTTGGTAATGTGAATGACCATGGTATCACCCCAGTCGGCAAACAGGGTAGGCCCCGGAATAGATCCGTTGACAGCCATGGCGGTCCGTGAGATTCCATCAGGGGCCACAGTGACGTCAGTCAGATCGAGCCAATACTCTCGGATCCTTCCTGTGTCGACGACTTCTGTGGTGTAGTCGGTGTCAATGTCATAGTCACACCACTGAGACCGTGTGCTGGCAGTGTTGCCCTCGCATATATTGGTCTCTGGCGTTGAAGTGTCACTAGATGCCAACGCAGTAGAAGTGCCACTGGATCCAGGTGCAGTAGAAACACTCCTGGCTCTGAGCTCAGGAGAAGTCTCACTGGATCCTGGGATTGTGGTGACATCCTCAGCAGGTGGTAAAAATGGCGATGATGAAACGATGGAGGCCGCTGAGAGGGCTAAAACGAATGAAGAGAGAACAGAGCGCATTGTGCTGAGAATGAGTGGTCACAAAGACAGAGGAACTTGGTTGAGGAAGATGTTGGTTGAGAGGGCTCTGAGAAAGCATTTACCAGGAGCAGACCTCTCTCAAGTTATACTTCAACTCAATGGACCGATCCAGGAGGACTTATCCAGGAGAACTAAGCCAAGAGTATCAACACAACGTTCCATGAGAACTGAGGTAACAAGACCAACGGCAACAACGGAACGGAGTGGGTTGACGACGGAGTTGCAGCCGTATCAGCACACCAGGTCAGGGTCCACGAGACCACGGCCTAGTTCCTCTGCAAGCCCCCATGTAAAGGCATACGCAATTCGTCTCATTTGCATCTCGTGCCGGCGCGGGTGAAGAAGTTTTGCGCGCCTATAGTGTGGACCGATATGGCGTCGATGCAAAGTGGGTAACTCCGGAGAGCCGCCTGGCGCCCCCGGAATCCATAACGGTCGTACGGAGCATGTTAGGTCAATGTTATGACAATGTTGTGTCAATGTAACGCTGCCGGCAGTTGGTAGGAACGTGCCCGTCCAGCGGAACCACAGTCCTACATGTCGAAACAGGAGGCCCGTGAACGCAGCCGCTGCGACTCTGCATCCGCGAGCCCGGCATTCCTGCTTGCGGGGGGACGCGTATGCTTCTTTTGCCCAGGGGTCTTTGGGCCGTCGTATTATCCCAGGGCGCGATAGGCGAGACGGCTCGTTTGGTTCGGCTCCCCCATCATTTTCAATCTGTTATAATTAATCCCGGTTTCCGCGTACGATAAGCGCCCCCGTCTTGGGCTCCCCGGCGCCATGGTGGAGTCACCGCAAGCCGGAGACAGGGACCACGCCGGCTGGGAAAAAAAGGGGTCCGCGTGCAACACGACGGTGATATCGTTTGCTCCGGCCATGCTTTGACGCAATTCCCACGAGCGGGTCTCTGCAAACCATCACATATGACTCGTGAGCGAGTTGGCGACTTGGTGACGCGGCCCCTTTAACACCTTACCCCCCGGCTTATACCAGCGACCTTGGCCATGTAGCGTTGACGTACGGTCCAACCTCTGTTCAAAAACTTATTTGAATCCGAACCAGCACACCTGTTTGTGACTAGATTTGTTTCTGCCGTGTCCAACTCATTCTGCAACCTGATTTTCACACCGACACTTTCTACCCTTAGACATGCATTCTTCTCAGCTTCTTTCTGTCTTGGCTGGCCTGGCCGTTGCGGCGCAGGCTGCCGTCTGGCCGCGATCCACCTCGGACCCATTCCAAATATACGCCTTTGGTGATGGCATCGGCGGAGTTCCTTTGATTTCCTCTGGAAGTGAGTAACTCCTCATTGTGATGCACAACTCGTGTCTAATTGATCAAGAATCGGCATACATTGGAGACTACTCGCTCCTCAACGACACCGAGGCGGCTCCTGTACTCTGTAAGTCACCTCCCTCAATTGAAATTCCAAGACTCTAACACCGTCCTCAGTCACTTCTGATAACAATGGTGTTTGGGTTGGCGCCCCTAACACGACGGGCTTTGCCGACTCGAGCGACCTTCCCACCTGGTCCGACTTGTGCTTCTACGTGCCAAAGTCTTCATCGTCCTCGCATGCCGTTGGTCTGGTTGATATTTCTGCGGGCAAGAATGCCACTCTTGTTACCAGTGGCTTCGACTTCTACGGCACTTTGGCCTACCTCACCGGGGCCAGCGGTCAGATGGTGACACTTTGGTATGCGGTGCCTTCTGACACGGAGGGATTGTATTCGTTGCGCTGGAACACCACTGGAGAGAGTGTCGATGGCGCCGTCCTTCTCACTCTCAAGTCATCGCCACCTTCCAATGCTTAGGTGGCAGAGTCTCCGCATAGAATGCTGCAGGAACACAGTTACTTGTTGCCCAGTAAGAGATCAGAGCAAAGGAAAGGTGCCGGACCGGTTGTGCATTATCATAGAGTTTACCCTTCGAATGTCATTGTATTCCCTGAAACTACTCCTACTCTGTATATTTTGCGCCACAAAATCCCTTCCAGTTACCACGCCCGCTCAAGTCTAATAATTCAAATGGGTCGATCTTTTCCCCAGGTTGAGTTCATACTTTCCCCAAACCTCTCCAGGCTCCCTGGACCAACTGTTGGTCCCAAAATAGTTAGCTGGACCAGGTACGATGCAAGATGGATATTATGACTAAAACCAACGAGACTCGAGGAAGATGACAGGTGATAGATGATAGATGCCCAACTCCTCTTCACTCCACTAAATCAGATACGTCCGTTGCCCCGGCCGGGGTGAATGCAGCTTCCTTGTCCGACGCGGAATGAGGCGAACAACTACACCACACCCGCGCTTAAGGACGATTGCAGCTCAGCCTTTCATTTGTCACCTGAATGATGCAGTTCAAACGCGTAAGCATCTCCTTAGCTTCCAACTAAATCCGGGCCGTCCCGCTCAATCTGCGAGTTCGCGCCTTTGCCCTGAAATGGGTCTCGTCTCTGCGGCCACGAAAGTGACCTGCATACAGTCCTGATAGGGCGTTCCTTAGCGATTCGCGACGGAACTAGGGGGGCTCCAACCGAACCCACCAATAACGTCTGCAGAATCCTACTGCATAGTCGTAATGACGGTTGCATTCAGCAGCAACGCGACCAACATCAATTTTGACAATGACGAATGCCGGGCAGGGGCTTGGCTTTATCGTCACGAGGTGCCTCACCGCCCCATCGGCTATCTCGCATTGGCGGAAATGTCCCGTTCCAAGATATCAAATCGATGGAAAGCACGTGGAATTTGACTAATGTGATTGCCAAGATCTCGGACTGACTCCCACAACCCGAAGAGTGACCCGAAACGTCTACTTGCAGATTTGCCAAAGACTATTGTTTGTAGTTCCAGCCAAAGTCGTACGATTTAATCGGTATTGCGACGATAAAGCAAGCTGTTTTTTGGTCCTGACGCTTGCTTAATGGATAGTCTCTGCGAAAAGATAGTCCCCGGAGCATACAGTCCGGGAAGGATGTTGGAAGTTGTTTTGGGCAACTCGTATGAGATGAAGACGTGAAAGTGCTGGGTAACACACACACAATTCGTATTTCCCGCTCATTAATCAATGCATAAAAGGAGTTACCATGTGCATAAAGAATATACGCCGCATTTGCATTAGAAGAAGAAGTCGTGTTCACATAACACATCCGGCAGACCCGGAGTAAGCCTAACGACACAGTATTGGGCTAGCCGTAAGCCCTGTCATGATAATAATTGACGATTATTTCCGATCGTGACATGCCATGTGTCGCCGTGACGTCAACTCAATCCAGTACTCTCTGGTTGTTCCTATATTTAGCCTGTCATCGATCTAATATTGCTCGGAGAATTAGGACGGGAAATGCACATGCCGCTGTGTCGCATTGGCTACTACGTTGCACTGACCGCCATGCCTTTAGGCAGAACCACGGCTACTTCGAGAGGCTGAGTAATGAATTCGATAAGGCGCTGGGTATACCGTCTATAACAATGATGCAAATGTCTAAAGCTTAGCGCCCTTGGCTTTCCTCGCCTGCTTCTCCTGGTCTCTCAAAAGCCTTCGCAGGATCTTGCCGCTTGGGCTCTTGGGAATGACGTCGATGAACTCGATTCCTCCCTTGAGCCACTTGTGCCGGGCCTTGTGGTCCTCGACGTGCTTGTGGATGGCCGCCGTCACGTCGCTGTCGGACTTGCCCTGGGCTTCGCTCGCTTTGACGACGTAGGCCTTGGGCACCTCGCCAGCCCTGTCGTCGGGGACCTGGATCACGGCGCAGTCGGCGACGAGATGATGGGACAAGAGATGAGCCTCGAGTTCCGCGGGCGCAACTTGGTGACCCTGTACATGGGTTAGTGAGTGAGACGAATTCGGTCATATCAAGAGACAAGCTTACCTTGACTTTGATGAGCTCCTTGATTCGGTCCGTGATGACAAAGTGCTCGTTGCCCTTGGGGGATTTCCGGACCAGCACCTCGTCGCCCGTCCTCATCCACCGACCGTCCTTGTCATGGACAAAGGTTGAGGCTGTGGAGTTTTGGTTGTTCAAATAACCCAAAACGACAGTCGGGCCTTGTACGAACAGCTCGCCGGGAGTTTCATACTCGGTGACCTCCTTGCCGGAGGAGTCGATGAGCTTTGCTCGGAGTCCAGGTAGAAGCGAGCCCGAAGAGCCGGGGAGGATGTCCAGCTCGCTGGTGGACGTCACGACGGGTGATGTCTCAGTCAGGCCTAGTTGCAATGGTTAGCAAAGCAGAAATTTTGTTAGAAAACTCCTCAAACTCACCATATCCCTGACACAAGTTCCAGTTCGGGTACACTTTCAAGATGTCATTCATCGTCTCCATGCCCAGCGGAGCGGCGCCGCTAAACGCAAATCGCACTGAGCTCAGGTCGTATTTCTTGCACAGCTCCTGATTGCTCAGCATTTGGATCAGGATCGGGGGCACAATGGCCATCTGCTCGATGCGGAATCTCTGAATGGTCTCGAGGAACGACTTGAGCTCGAAGCGCGGCAGCACGACCAGCTCGTCGCCGGTGGCCAAGGCGTACAGGCCGTTGACGACGAGGCCGTAAATGTGGGAGAAGGGCAGGAGACCGAGCATGACTTGGGTGTCTACTGATGCGGCATTGCGCCCAGGTTGGTCGTATTGTTTTATCATCATGACGTTGGATATGACGTTGTGGTGAGAGATCATGACTGCTTTCTTCGCGGTGTGAGTACGTCGATTGCGTCGGTTACAGGCGTTGGGCCAGTGCACTTACAGGCAGGCCAGAGGTTCCACTGGAGTAGCACAGGTAGGCGACCTGGCGAGCTCCCTGCCCCGGGGTCCAATTAAGGGGCGGGAGCTCTGGCAGGGCCTTGCCCTCGTCAACCAAATCATCAATCGTCTTGAAGGGCACCTTCTTGTCGCCCGGCATGGGCAGAATGAAGATGCGCTCGTGGGGGATTCCAGCGGCCTTTGCGGCGGCCAGGGCGGTCTCGAGCAGCGGGACGCAGGTGAAGAGCGCATTGGCGCCCGACGATCGAAGCTGGTGCTCCAGCTCGGGTGCTGAGTATGCGGCGCTGGCGGGGGTCGCGATGGAGTTTAGGCGGTGGACGGCGTGGGTAAGGGGGAGGTAATCGATCTAGATGCTGTCAGTCGAGGCGCAAGGGCCGGATAAATGGCAAGCCCACGGACCGTGTTGAGCGAGAACAGGCCAACGACGCGATCCCATTCCGTGCCATCGCAGATGTCGTAGCCGAGTCGCTTGCCGATGGCGCGCGCCATGAAGTCCTCGCGCTGGAGGACCTCGGCCATGGTGTACGTCTTGCCGGTGATGCCGCACGTGAAGGGGTTCCGGGCCCTGGCGACGGGGTAGCGGCCATATTTCTCATTGTTGACGAATTCGGCGATGGTGATGGAGTCTGGGGGGTCTGGATTGAAGGTGTTAGGTTGCGCGGACAATCGCGGCGGGACAGTGCGGCGAGGAAGCTTACCGTGGGGGAGTTTGGGGAGGGATTCCGACGGAGTGAAGACCATTGTGACTCGGGAGGGTCCTTGAGGGGCCGGACAGAGAAAAAGGAACGGCTAGGGGAATAAACGGTGTCGTTGGGGGATCTAGAGTCGAGACGCTGAAGGAAGACAAAGAAGAGAAGGCTGGGAGAAAGTAGCAGCCAGGGTCGGTGAGCGGAAGACGGCGACGAGCTGTCTCATAAGGACGGCAGCGTACAGCGCCCAGCGCCCAACCGCAAGCTCCGGCCGGCGCATCCATCCATAACCGCCAATGCCGAAATAGCGAGCCTTGCCTTCCCAGCTACCGAGTTATCGCCTCCGCCGTCGCTGTGCCTCCGCTTCGCATCCGCTGTGCCGCGCTGTTCGCCATGCTGGCTTTCTCCCCCAAAAAAGCTGGGGAAGTCCCGTTCTAGCGCTTGGAGACGGCCCCGCATTCTCCGCATTATGTGCTACAGCGCTCCACAGCCTGGCGGAGATTGAGATGATGTCCAATGGGCTTCCTCGGGATGGCGTTGCTGGCCTTGTTGGGATTGTTCCTCTGGCTCCTCTTTTTCTTCATCGTCCTCGGTTTGTTCTTCGTCATCGGTCGCTCCGGGGGTTCAGGTACGAGCGTGGTGCCGGCGTCCGGGTCCAAAGTCCTCTGTATCAAAGCTCTTCAGCAGTCCAATATAGCTAACCGAGGCTCCCACTCCAGCCACAACTGCGCAATCGTCCCAGCCTGCTGCGACATCACTGGCCCCTTGAGTTTGTGAGTACACTCTCGCTGAAATTCCGCGACGGGAACATCCCCCAAGCGGTCGTCTGGCCCTGTCAACCGACACTTGCAATGGGTGTGGCGCCGTGGGCTACTAAGCTAAAGCGCCATCGTGTGGTGGGTCAAACGCCTCGGTGCCTCGGTATGCCCTCGCACCCACTTCGCATCCACTTCTGCAACCTCGGCGACCGTCACGATACCTCGAAGCGACCCATCTCAGATCCGCAACGTCATTTTGGCCGCGGAGAAGTCTTGTTAGTCACCATCACCGGCTTCGTTACAGGCTGTCGTCCAAATAAGCTCCTTGAACCTGCATACGTACAGGCTGCTGTCTAAAATCTCACCCGTATGACACCCGTCCCATCAGAAGCGGATAGGAAATTTTAGAGAGAAGCCCAGACCAGTCACTCACCCTGGCATATCGTAGTTGAGTCTAGTAATAGTAATATTAGAGTTGTTAACAACTGGGTTATCCACACATTTGGGAAAGTTCTTTTGTGAACTGGCGGCATTGCTGCTGAGGACCAATCCTGTTACGACACAACTCTTACAAGGTAAAGGATAAAATAAAACAAATAAAAACCCCTACATTTGGCAATAAATGAGTGGGATAATAATATGTACTCTACGCTTATGTACCTATTTATGAATGAAGTAATTAATCTCTCATGATAAATCATTTAACTTTTTTTTGCAAGATGTAGGGTAGGTAAAATCGAGACGCTTATGTAAACACATGGTTAGCCAGTATCCTAATCTTGCTTCCTTGCCAACCCTGGCGGGGTGGGGCAACATCAACAACCACCTCACGGATGAAAGCCCATTGCAAGACGACGTATTGTTACGAGACGAGGGGCTGACGAATTGACAACTCAAGGGGATACTGCGTCGAATTCAATACCCATGAGAGATGACCGCTGACTATAATATCATCTCCGAGTGGCTGTCAACCATCCCAGAGTTCGCGGACAACGCACCCGGGAGGCATCACAAACGACTACCATCCCCGCCAATGTCTAGCGACGACGCGTCGCCTTCAAAACGGCCATGCCCCGATCCCGATGCAACGCCGACAAAGCCTCGCGCTACAGGTCCTATGGGGAAATCTGCACCTTCGGACGGCTTAGGCGATGGCAGCAGTAATGCCTCGTCCCGTTCCTCATCCAAACGGAGCCGTAGCAGTCCCACGAAGGGCCTTGCGTTCTTGCGCATTGAGCACATTATTGTCCATAGGTCGTTCCGTGGGCAAAAAGCACCACCACCAGCTCTTAAAGAGATTGTGTGGCATATCAAGCAAGACGCATTCGGGATGGACATTTTCTCACCTTCTGATATTGTGAGCTCACAGTTGCATTGCATTGGATCATTGAACTGACTAGTGATAGGATGTGATTCGAGCGACCGCGAATCCCATATTCGATGAGCTGCTTGATACACCTCGTCTGGTCGACTTGACCGGCAAACGGGAGGAATTAGGCAAACTGCCAGACATAGATACCATCCTAAACATCTGGGAAGAAGCCCAAGACTGCGAACTGGACGGTCATTCAGAGGCATCCTGGAACTGTGCCGTCCACTATCCCCTGCTGAACGCCGCGCTACGGCTGGCCAAAGTTAATCAACCAGATGTCCAGAAACAGGTTCAAATCAAAGCCTTTAACGTGTGCGTTCACCCAATGGTCCACCTACTGGAATGATTACATGCTAACACGGGGACCAGCACGACCGCCCAGGTGCCAAGGCCGTATGCTACATACACAGCTAACACCAGCTACAACAAACGCATTGATTTTTGCATTTCTATCAAGCCGGAAAGGGAATCGCCGTTGAGCGATGCTCTGTATCGTGTTGCCCAGCAGTCTGCGCATCTCTCCGTCAACCATACAGACTACACACCCCTCATCAACAGCCCCATCAGTCTGAGCATCGAGACAAAGCGGACGGGCCAAGATTGGGAGGCTGCCCTGCAACAGGTGAGTACGTGGATGGCAGGCCACTGGAAGCGGCTCCGTGAGCTCGCGCAAGAGTCCGGCGCAGAAGGGTTGGAATTTCTCCCTGGAATTATCATACAGGGGCACGACTGGATGTTCATTGCGGCTACCCAGGGCCGCGTACTTGATGGCAACGACCGAGAGACGATAATCTGGAGCAAGATCCCGATTGGATCCACAGATGGGATCCAAGGTATTTGCCAGATCATTACTGTTCTGCAGAGGTTGGCTACGTGGTCCGCTCAGTCACATTGGCCTTGGTTCCAACGCACTGTGCTAGGTAGTGGTGACACCTGATGGGAAATCCTTAATGAATTACGAATGATGGGGTTTAAATAAACTTAGGCAGTACAAACTAAAGCTTCCAACAAGGACTTGTCTAAATGTTCATCGAATTACACTATCTTCTAAGTCTCAGTGAAGGACTTTATGATAGCATCCATGTGTGTTTTGTATTGTAGGAATATGTAAAGTATCGTTGCCATGATTGATACTGAGTGGTAATCTCATCAGGGCTTTTGGAGTGGAACGACAACCGAGAGAAGAGACTTCACGACCGCTTGTCTGTTCTGGGAGACGAGGCCCCCCGAGAGAAAGCGGAAAGAGATAGTTGGGGGGAATATCCCTCACGATTAACCGAGTACCAACCTTCCAAATGGAGACGAATTCCAGCCCCAGGGAGATGAAAAGGAATGTGATTAATCCGATCGCTGGAATGACTGATGCGAGTATAATCGGGGCACCCTACTGTAAGAGGGAACTTGACTGATACTCCCTATTTTCAGACCTCAGATAATCCAACCCCGGTACACCGAAAAACAGGAGAGGAAGGCAGATGGTAAATTAACTACCAAGAGCGATTTATTATACTTTGATGCAACACCTACATCCCCATATTATACCTTGCGTTTTGGATGCTCCTAAGGGTATATTCATGCACCGCTTGGCAATGACCCTTGATGATCGTCTAGCCAAACAGATTCTCTCGGGGCTCAAGAAACGAGGCGGCAGGCAACTATCAAGCACAATACCCTGGCTTGTGCATCTCAGCTATGTCTATGGTGACCTGCGGTTAGCAAATAATTTCCTTACATGGGAAGAGGTAGTTAAATCGGGACATTTTGACTGTGCAGTCAAGATAGGGGAAAGGCTTGTAGTTTTAACTGTTTTATTCGGCAAATTATATTCAAGGTAGGAATGTGATATGTTGGACCTGGTGTCGAGCAATTCTCCCTTGGAGATTACATCTAGACATTAAAATTTGGGTATGGACCTTGACATGAGATCGACCTTCGCGTTAAAGTTCTTCGACTCAATATGAACGAGTTCCCATCTCGGAGATACTCGCTTTGGTATGATGGTGCGCTGGTGTTAGTGGCGAGTGCGGTTCTGTCGTGTTGTTGAGCAGGATAGGAATGAGCGGAACGACTCAGTAAAACAACACAACTTGTAGAGACAGGGAAAAGCTGCGATTAGTATGTATCGTATTAGATGCCAAAAATCAGACGGCGCTCTGCCATATATGCGATCTATCTAGGCCCTCCAAACCAGAGGAAATGCCGTTTTAAATACAAGGTCTTCGTAAATGCTGTACCCGTCTATACCAGGTTGAATCCAACTACAAAGGCGCCAATGACGACGAAGATCCAGCTCGTCGGCATTGTGCGCCAGGCGCCTGAGTCGTCGTCGCTGTTGCTCGAGTTGGCGCCGGCCGTGACCGTGACAGTCGCCCGCGCCGGCCCAAAGGTCTGAGTCGTCACCACGCCGGTAGTGCAGCCCTGCTCAAATGCAGGGCATGATGTGATGGTGAAAGTCGTCGTGTAGGCCCTGGTGGGTAGACCGGCCGTCCTGGAGACCGCTTCCTGTGATGGGGTTAGTCGAGTGTATGCTTGGGCTCACCAAAGTATCCTGAATGAGGATCTTTGGAGAGGTTCAAAGGATCGGGAACTTACAGTTTCACTTGCACTCTCAGTGACAGACGGCCGGTCAGTGACATCGCTCATCTTGCAGTTGCCCGTCACAGAGGGAACGGCATCGGTGCCCGACCCAATGGCGACAATGTCGTCGTCACCGCAGTTGGCGGCCTGGGCGACGTGCACATTCTCATTGTCCCAGTCGAAGATGAAGTACCCGGCCCGCAGCACCGAGTCGCCGAGGATCTGCTGGTCCGAGGTGACGACGATGCCAATGTAGCACCAGGTCGAGGAGCCGAGGTCGAGGATGAAGTCGCTGAAGGGCACGCGCACAATCTTCTTGCCGAAGCCAAAGTCGACGCTGCCGGCGCGGTCGCGGTTCGAGCACTGGGTGACGTAGTAGCCCTCGCCGTCGTCCTGGGCGTCCAGGGCCTCGAGGATCGGGTAGGCGGCCGCGTAGTGCATGCGCGTGATGGTGGTGCCCGAGTCGAGCATGACGTTGCTGTCGGCCTTGTCGAGGCCGAACTCCTCCGACTGCGAGAAGGTGATGCCCAGGCTGGTGAGCGTCACGGCCAGGCGGAACTCGCCGGCCTCGCCGCGGATGATGGGCGTCTTCTCCAGCGCGCCGATGAACTTGTTGCGGTCCAGGCCGCCGTAGATGACGGCGCCCGTCTCGGCCTCGGAGTGGCGCAGGTCGAGGGCGAATGCGCGGCTGTTGATGAGGCCCTGGTCGGCCATGGACGTGAGCACCAGGCTGTAGGGCTTGTCGCTATCGAAGCCGGCGCGCAGGTCGGGGGAGAGGCCGAGGATGCCCTGCGAGATGCCATCGCTGGTCTCGACGATGCCGAACGTCTGGTTCGTGATGTTGGAGCCGCCGAAGCCCAGCGTCTCGGTGTAGTAGCGGATCGTGGCCGATGTGTGCGTCGTCGGGTCGGATGCGTCGCCGTAGTTGATCGTCTCCTTGCCGAAGGGGCCGATGGGCGGCGTGCTGGACTTGTCGGGGTTGTACTCGCCAAAGGACTTGCATTGCGCTTCTTGTTCCAGCGAGGGGGCGGTGTTGCAGTCGGGGTTGACCCAGAGCTCGTTGGAGCCCGTGTCGACGAGGACGACGACGGGTTGTGGCGGCGTGCCGAATTCGACTGGTGATAGTAGGGTCAGTCTTCTGCAACAACATGTCTGCAGGGGGGATCCCTCAGGTTTGATAAAACACACTTTCGGCCGCGTAAAAGAACTCTCGGTTTTCCAATTGCTGCAGGATCGTGCCCTCTTGTCGCTTCGCCTTGTCCTTCTTGGGCTTGTCGACCGTGCCGACGGGCACCGAGAGGAAGCCCTTGCCGGCGACGGCGCGAGGGAAGAGGGCGGCTTCGGCGCAGGAGCTGCTCAGCACGGCCAGGGCCGGCCCCCATGTTGTCCACCGCATCTCGAGTCGCTTTGTGGAGTCGTTGGGCGTCGTTTGTCGTTGGTCTGTCTGCCGTTGGTTTGTCTGCCGTTGGCCTGTCTGTCGGATCGGTACAGAATAGCAACAACAGTCGCGGACGGGAGCTGCGGACACGACCAGGGCCTGCGACGAGCTTTATTTCATTTTAGCTACTGGATCTGGACTATCCGTCCTACGTACAACCACAAACTAGACGCATGGATCCGGGTGCGACGTCCCATCTCCTCCTGTACGAGGTGCGCCAGCCGTCACCACCGCCCGCGCCGTCCAAACAGGATCTGCGTCGGGCCTCCTGGGCCTCTCGCCAGCCTTCGATTGCCCCTGTCGGTGGCCCCGGTGGCGCTTCGCCCCGGCTGTGCAGGGTCACGGAGGTGCACTAACGGAGTGCTGGTGGTGTGCCAAGCGAGCCTTAATTGGGGAGCTGAAAACCATCGCCAAACACATTCGGCCTCCTGTCATCCCGGGGCTCCAGGTTTGGGCGTCGGAGCACTGCAGCTATGAGCGGTATCTCATTAGCCGCTCGAAGCACGGCGCTGTGTCTGGGTTAAGCATTTGGAATGCACGATCCCGTCCGCCCCCAAGACGACCAAATGCAGTTTCTGTCTGTGGCGTATGGCAAAGAACATGCAAGGTACGGATGACGGCGTCTCGACGACATGACTCGGCCTGTCTGGTCTCCTCGTCTCTTCAATCCTGTCGCCTCATCTGCTATTGACTTGGCAAAACCCACTCACCCGACAGATGATCAACAAAGCCCAGCAACAGACTCTTGATCTCGTCCCCGTTTCACCTCGAGGCGTGATCCTTTCTATTCTCAGCAGGCCCCCTCCCCCCGGCTCCGCCTTACCGGGCAGCCTAACTCGCCTAAGTGAGAGATTAGCGCTTCTGCGACGAGGCGATGCTCCCTTGCTGCTTACACGACCTTACCGGAAAGCGGACAGCCAAGCATCTGGGCAAATCGCCGCTGACATGCTGCCATGATCGGTGACGCTGCTGGCTTGAGCCGCCAAGCGTCAGTGGCGAGAGGCCACCGAGATTATGCCGTCTCAATACAATAAAAAGCCATCATGGACAAATGCGACTTGCAGTCGAGTTAAGCTGTCGGGGCTTGCCTTGAAGGTTCGAGCCGCCCTGGTTGACCAGAGCCTGTGCGGACTGAAAGACATGGGACACGTGGGACGCGCCAGGTGGAACCTGGAACCTGGCTCCCTGGAACCTGGCTCCCGTGAGTCTGTTTCTCACCGAAGGACGATCCGCGTAAGTTAAGTGACATAATCAACATCCATGAACAGACGCTTGGCATCATGCACCCAGTCTGGTTTTGCTGTGAATGTCATGATTTAATCTGACGATGGCTTTTCCTCCTCATTACCAACCCCAACCATTGGCGTCTGCTCCATACCAAGAAACACTCGCAATTGAGCGCTACATGGAGGCTCCCTGTTGGTTGTTGTAGACCGAGATGGCATTTCATCTCCACCATACAAACCTACAGTACGTAGTCCAGTCACCCAACGCTCCACCGCAACTGAATACGAGCACTGCCAAGCATCATCGACGTCAATCTGCATATTATTTACAGCCACCGCTACTCTCAATGCGTTGCTGCTCTGCATTTCACTGAGCTATTTCTAAATAGTACATGTTTTGAACCGTAGTGTACAAGCCGGACAACACTGACACTCTGTTGCCTTTTCCATAACTCGTCGTACACTCTGTCATGTCCACTGGCAGAGCCTTCAAGCACTCTTGGCAGTGCCAGACACCAACAGCGCAACGCTGCCCATCTGCCTCCTCACGTCCTCCTTGTTGACGTCGTGCGTGTCCTCCACCTCTCCCCATTGCCCAGTCTGCCAGTCCACCTCCAAGCTCGTAGCCACGGCCGCATCCTCGACGCCAAACTTCTTGCCGGTGTTGAGCTCGCCCTTGCCGACGGAGCCCTCGCTCCACTCGGAGACGAGCCGGGCCGCGGCGATGAGGCTCTTGCCTGCCAGCACGCCCCGCTCAAGGCCGGCGATCTCCCAGGAGTCGAGCCCAGTGATCCAGCCCTGGACAACCTCGCGGACGCCAGGCGCCTGTGCCTGAGGGGAGATGGAGTGGCCGTCCAGGACAGGGTTGATTGTGACGCCGGGCCAGACGTGGGTGGTCATGAACGAGACAATCTCCTCAGCCGTGCGCTTCTGTACATCCCGTAGTCCCTCTCCGGCATCATTCCTCAAGTCGTGCTCTCCGGTCGGCGGCGCCCAGCAAAGGATCGAGTCGGTGTCCAGATACTTCAACAGAGTCGTCGCGATACCGGCTCGGACCTCCGAGGTCGCAGATCCAGCCGCCACATCGGCCTCCGCAATGTCAAGCGCTCGGCATATAAGACTGGTAAGCGGGATCAGGTGCTGTCTAGTCGCATCTTGAGCGGACGTCAGGAGGTCCCATTCGAGAGCGAGGGCAGAGGCGAGGTCGGGCTTCGACAGCGGGAGACGAATGATCTCCTTCGTATTGGGATGTCGAAGAGGTCGGGTATCAAGATGAATCTCATAAGCGCCTGCTCAATTGTCCTGATTAGCCAACTGCCATATAATCCTCAATTGCTGTCCTGCCGCAGCCATTGGAGACGGCGATCCATGTCGTAACTCACCGTCCACTTCTTTGACCGCAACATCCTTCCAGAACCGCTTCGTCAGAGTGCCAGTCTTGCCAGCGCTCACACTGCGAATCTCCTTGGCATGCTTCAGCATCTCCGCCTGCTTCCTCCTCCGGGCGACACGCTGGTGCACATTGACCTCGGCCGCGGTCGGGGGCTCCGGCGGCGCGGGCGGCGGGCCGGTGCCGACGATCGGAGCGACATTGGCGGGCTTCGCGACCGTGGAGTGAATCGGGCGGAGGAAGACGGGGGCATTGACGAGCCGGGGCGCCAGCCGCATTGGCAGTCGTGTCGCAACCTTCATGATGGGTGGTTTTGTGGTGGGTTGTGGTGCGAAGGTCGGCGGAAGAGCTGCGAAGCTGGAGTGCGAAAATTGGGTCCGGCTGAGGGGACGCCGGAGTGGATATTCGGTGTCGAAAATGATGTCACAGCGAATGTTGAATGTCAACCAAAACACGACACGGGAATTTCTGAGTACACCTAGAACTTTTAGTCGGAAATCTAGATTATAGAATCTGTGTTGGAGCTATATCCGAGGTTCAGATGCTGGTTGTAGAGCTGACATGACGTGGTTTGACGCTCAGAGGTACTTGTGCATACTCCATACATTCATGTACGGAGCTCATCCACCCTGCGGGTCAGAGAGTGATCCTAGAACAAGCCACATGTCGGATACTGAGAAGACAATTTGTGATCCAAGATTGCTTTTCCAATAAGAACGCCGGACTTGTCTCCTTTCGTCATTGGACTCACAGTCAACTTTCGTGGCGTTCTCCCGTCCAACAGTGCGGATGTGCCAGAATTAGATCGATCGTCTGGCACAAGTCCGCAAAACGCAACGTGTATTAGAAACCGCCACCCGTAATTCGGATAGTGAATACAAACTCAATCCAAAGAGGCCCGGAATGGCGCCTTCGTGGAAACAATCCCCAGAGCCTCGTTTACGAAGCTAATTTGAGCTGAAAGTTGACACGAATCCCCGTCCCGATAAGCGCCGATAAGGATCACGTGATGCGCCACCATCCCATCCCTGAGCGTAACTGCGACGTGGTGATTCTCGAGACCCGGCCAAACCACCAAGGCACTCTCCACCAGACCCCCCGAACCAGGTGCCCAACATGAGTTACGGCAAAAAGGACGAAGACGCGGACCTCGGGCTGGTGAAGGTGGACCGCACCCAGGTCTTCCAGGAAGGTTCGTCGCGACCAATTCCCCTCGCCGTCCACTTCCCCCACGTTGAAGCTAAACTGGCGGACAGCACGACTCTTCAATAGCTCCCCTATCCAACCCCGACGATGTCGCATTCTCCTCACCAAGATCGCCCTTCTCCTCTACACCGGGGAGAAGTTCCCGACCAACGAAGCCACCACCCTCTTCTTCGGCATCTCGAAGCTGTTCCAGAACAAGGATGCCAGCCTCCGCCAGATGGTCCACCTGGTCATCAAGGAGCTCGCCAACTCCGCCGAGGACATTATCATGGTCACCAGCACCATCATGAAGGACACTGGCGGCAGCACCGAGGCCATCTATAGACCCAACGCCATCCGCGCCCTCTGCCGGATTATCGATGTAGGTTGCCACACTGGGAGATCCACCGCGCCCCTGGATGCTGACCGGACCAAAAGGCCACCACAGTTCAGTCGATTGAGCGTGTGATGAAGACTGCGATCGTGGATAAGAACCCCTCTGTATCATCCGCTGCCCTGGTGTCATCCTACCACCTCCTCCCGATCGCCAAGGATGTCGTTCGACGATGGCAGAGCGAGACCCAGGAAGCTGCCGCCTCCAACAAGTCCTCCGGCGGCTTCTCGCTCGGATTCTCCACCTCCAGCAGCCAGGTCCCGATGAACCACTCGACCATGTCGCAATACCACGCCGTTGGACTGCTCTACCAGATGCGCATGCACGACCGCATGGCCCTCGTCAAGATGGTTCAGCAGTTCGGCGCCCCTGGTGCCCTCAAGAACCCCGCTGCCATTGTCATGCTTGTTCGACTTGCTGCCCAGCTCGCCGAGGAGGACCCTTCGTTGCGAAAGCCCATGATGCAGCTCCTGGACGGTTGGTTGCGACACAAGAGCGAGATGGTCAACTTCGAGGCTGCCAAGGCTATTTGCGACATGCGAGACGTTACTGAAGCTGAGGTCACCCAGGCTGTGCACGTTCTGCAGCTCTTCTTGACTTCTCCCAGGGCAGTCACCAAGTTCGCGGCTCTGCGTATCCTCCACAACTTCGCATCCTTCAAGCCCAGCGCTGTCCTTGTTTGCAACCACGACATCGAGCTTCTCATCTCTAACAGCAACCGATCGATCGCCACCTTCGCCATCACCACCCTGCTCAAGACCGGAAACGAGGCTAGCGTCGACCGATTAATGAAGACCATTTCGACCTTCATGTCCGAGATTACCGACGAGTTCAAGATTACCATTGTCGAGGCGATCCGAACGCTGTGCCTGAAGTTCCCCAGCAAGCAGGCTGGTATGCTCACCTTCCTCAGCGGTATTCTGCGTGATGAGGGTGGCTATGACTTCAAGCGGGCTGTCGTGGAGAGCATGTTCGATCTGATCAAGTTTGTTCCGGATTCCAAGGACGAGGCTCTCGCCCATCTCTGCGAGTTTATTGAGGACTGCGAGTTCACCAAGCTGGCTGTTCGAATCCTGCACCTCATTGGTCTCGAGGGTCCCAAGACTGCCCAGCCCACCAAGTACATCCGATATATTTACAACCGAGTTGTGCTCGAGAATGCGATTGTCCGAGCTTCTGCCGTCACCGCCCTCGCCAAGTTCGGTGTTGGTCAGTCCGATCCCGAGGTCAAGAAGAGTGTCAAGGTTCTCCTCACCCGATGCCTGGATGACGTTGATGATGAGGTTCGCGACCGTGCCGCTCTTAACCTCAAGCTCATGGCCGAGGAGGATGATGAGATGGCCGTTCGATTTGTGAAGAACGGTAAATGATCCACCACCCCCGTCTCAAATGTTTCTAACACGTCTTTATAGAGAACATGTTCTCCCTTCCCTACTTCGAGCAGCAGCTTGTCATGTACGTCACCTCAGATGACAAGGCTGCTTTCGAATCCCCCTTCGACATCTCCAAGATCCCTGTTGTCACCCGAGAGCAGGCTGATGCCGAGGACCGTACGAAGAAGCTCACCGCCACCACCCCCACTCTCAAGGCACCCAAGGCTGGTCCTACCAAGTCTTCTGCCACTGGTGCGGAGGCTGCAGCATCCGCAACTGCCCAGGCTCAGAAGTACGCCCAGGAGTTGATGGAGATTCCCGAGATGAAGGAGTTTGGTGGTGTCCTCAAGTCCTCGCCGCTCATTGAGCTCACTGAGGCCGAGACTGAGTATGTTGTTACTCTAGTCAAGCACATCTTCAAGGAGCACATTGTGCTTCAGTACGAGGTCAAGAACACTCTCCCCGATACTGTTTTGGAGAATGTTTCCGTCGTCGCTACTCCCGCTGATGATGAGGACCTCGAGGAGGTCTTCATCATCCAGGCCGAGAAGCTTCCGACTGATGAACCCGGAAAGGTTTACGTGGCTTTCAAGAAGATCAACGGCGAGGGTGCTCTGCCCATCTCGACTTTCACCAACATCCTCAAGTTCACCAGCAAGGAGATTGATCCTACCACGGGCGAGCCCGAGGACACTGGTTACGATGACGAGTACGAGGTGTCCGAGTTCGACCTGGCTGGCAGTGATTACGTGATCCCCGCATTTGCTGGCAACTTCAGCCACATCTGGGAACAGGTTGGTGCTTCTGGTGAGGAGGCCGACGAGACTTTCCAATTGGACAGCATGAACAGCATTGCCGGTACGTTTAAACCCGGTCCTACAATAGGGAACAAGGCTAACGAGAGTAACAGAGGCCACGGAGCAGCTTACCAAGGCGCTGTCGCTACAGCCCCTGGAGGGAACCGATGTCCCCGTCAATCAGACAACTCACACGCTCAAGCTCCTAGGCAAGACGGTCAGCGGTGGCCGGGTAGTTGCCACCGTTCGGATGGCGTACTCTTCAAAATCGGGTGTGACGACGAAGATTACGGTGCGAAGCGAGGAGGAGGGTGTAGCGGAGCTTGTGATTGCGTCTGTCGCTTAAAATTAGGCAAGTTGGCGTTGAGGATAATGATGTATCGAACTCGGTGGTTAGACATCTCAGGTGCGCGCCTACAACGGCCAGTAATGCGATGCAATGATCCTTTCTATGAGGCTGTGAAGCACCAAAAGTACTTCTGTCTGGTTAGACTTGGATTTGTGCGGCTCGGCTCCTGGTGATTCTTGATTCTACGGAAGAGGGATGGGTGCAGAGTAAAGGAACGCAGAGGCAAGTAGCAATGAGGATTGATTTATTGGTGTATGGTTGTTTCTACATAGTCTATAGAAGATAGATTCAAGCGAGAGTTGTGGCTTGATGCTATTCCCGTCTGCTGCTGCTGTCAAACCCGTTTTCGGATGTAGAGCCCGCCAGTCCCACCCCGGACCGGAGGCGGCCCAAGGCGCCGGTCCCCACCGCCGGCCTGCTGATCGGCGCGCCGACCAAGGACCTGTGCGCCGGTAGGAGCCGTGGGTACTGTAACTAACCCTGCCCACACGCGGCGGCGCACGGAGGGATCGACGGTATGGTCAACGATGAGACGGGGGCTCACCGGTTTCCAGATACAAGCTTTGCACCCTCACTTGTATCCTCTCGGCCCTCCTCTCGCTCTCCGGCAACATGACCCCCACCGAGGACAACGACGAGGACAAAGGAAGACGTGGACGGTCCGCCTCTGGCGCGCCCCCAAGGCCCCAAGACGACCATCGACCCTCGCCGTGAGTCGATTCTCTGTGAGTCGATTCGCCGTGAGTCATCTCGCCGCCCATCGGACAGCTCAACGGCGGCGTCTTCGCCATCGGTGCTCCGTACCATCAATAAAGTAAGGTAGTCATACAAAAACAGATTCGTCCCATTGGCTAGGGCTGGGATTAGTCAAGACCCAATCTGGTATGGTGCACTTCCCGACCCGCGACCCCGCAGCACAAAACTCGCCCCTCAGACGTCTCGATCTTGTACTTGTACTCTGCCCTCGACTCGTCTCTCCTCAATTCTCCCGCTTCTCCAAGCTGCGTGTCGTCGCAACACCGGAAACATCAAGAGCACGTCGTTCGGTTTTGGGCGTCGCTTCTTTTGACCTCGAGCCGCCCCGTCGGCTTCCCGTGCAGATCGCCTCCGACATCGGCCGAGTCCATTGGAAAAAAGGACGGCGAGTTTGCAAACCTTCATCCACGACTTCAACGTCAAACGACACGTTAGGCGCCATGACATCCAGATCCGACATCACCTATTTTGGTGCAGGTCCAGCTCTGATTTCTACCGAAGTCCTCGAGGACGCTGCCAAGGCTCTCCTTAACTATCATGACACCGGCCTAGGCGGTATGACGCTCCCAGAGGCCCTCGTTCCCCCTTCCATCATATTACCAGGAGCCATCTTGAAATGACAATTCATCGTCTGCCTTGAATGAGTGATGCTGACATCTGGTTTTCCGCATATAGTCGCCGAACATTCCCACCGTTCGCCGCTGGCAGCTGATATCATCAATCAAGCCAAAGCTGATCTAGCCACCTGTCTCGATATTCCAGATGACTATGAGATCCTTTTCATGCAAGGCGGTGGCACGGTACGTGGCTTCTTGACTTCTATCTCAGATAGGCAATACTGACCTCGAATTGTTAGGGACAATTCTCCGCTGCAGTGTACAACTTTGCTGGCGCCTGGGTTGCCCGCAAGCACAAGGAGATCTTTGGGGACATTCAAGGCGATCCTACCGACCACCCCGAATTGATTCAGCAACTCAAGCAAGCTGTCGACAATGACCTCAAGTTTGACTACCTTGTTACTGGCACCTGTATGATGACCAAATTCTATCCTTGTATTCTTCTGGAGCCGTGAAGCAGGTTCTAGATATCAAACATGGCAGGCTAACTTGTTTTACTCACTAGGGTCCCAGAAAGCCTCAGCTGAAGGCGAGCGGCTCTTGGGCTCAAAGCATATCAACATGTGAGCCAACACATCACCCTTGAACAATGGCATCTTCGAGAAATAATATGAAAAAAAGAGAGAGATTGGTATACTGACTTATTGTTACTCACTAGTGTAGCAGATGCCCGAAAGTCGAACGGCGGCAAGTTTGGAACGATCCCGGACGAGAGCGAATGGAAGCCATCTAAAGATGCAGCTTTCGTCTATTTTTGCTCCAACGAGACAGTCGATGGGGTTGAATTCCCTGCATTTCCCAAGTCTTTGGAGCCGGGGCCTGATGGAAAGGGCCCAATTGTTGTCGCCGATATGAGTTCGAATATCCTCACGAAACAGATTCCGGTTAAGAACTATTCGGCTATCTTCTTTGGCGCCCAGAAGAACCTCGGACCGGCTGGAATTACCGGGGTAGTGATCAAGAAGAGCTTCTTACCGCCAGTCATCTCCCAACCTTCTGCAAATCTCATGAGACAACTGGGCCTGCCTATTCCACCGATCATCTTCCAATACGAGACTATTGCAAAAAACAACAGTCTGTATAATACATTGAGCATCTTTGAGTAAGTTGCAGTTAGTTTCATGTTTCCGACTGAGATAATACTAATTCAATCACTAGTGTATACGTCATCGGCCGGGTTCTTAGGAAGATGGTTGAAACATACCCAAACAAGGTAGAAGAACAGCAAGCTGTATCTGACAAGAAGGCTCAACTTATTTATGACGCCATTGAGGCCTTTCCCGAGGTCTACACAATCGTTCCCAACAAGGCAGTACGGTCGCGTGTCAACATCTGCTTCAGAGTTAAGAAAGGTGGCGATGTGGATGCCGCTGAGAAGGCCTTTATTAAGGAGGGTGCTGCCCAGGGATTGACTGGGCTAAAGGGACATCGTTCGGTTGGCGGTATGTCACTCCCAGAGCCTTTCATAAACCCTTTGACTTTTCTCGTTTTTGTCTCGTCTCATCTGGACGAGCAGTACTAACCTTGATGTGTCGCATAGGAATTCGAGCGAGCAACTACAATTCGATTCCCCTCGAAGGTGCAGAGAAGCTTGCCAGCTTTATCCGCGCTTTCGCAACGTCATAGGAGCTCAGTGCTAGTCTAAAATGTGGTTCCTCCTAATACATCAAGAATGTTGCGTTGCACCATATGTCTCGCGGCCACCAACGTAGCATTTGCCAGTCTGAAGCATGCACAATATAGTGGTGATAGCTTACGTGACCTTCCCTTCTCCACGACCATCCGACCAAATTCTAGCCGGACTTGGTTTTCCTCTTGCACTGCCGCTCCTGTCACGGTAGGAGCCGGTCGATGGCGACGGTCCGCGTTTGAAAACGCAACATCGGCAGCACCAGCTTTGGCTATCAAGGACCTGTGGTGTGCTGACGTAGGGGTGGGAACGACATTGCCAATCATGTAGAACTGAAGCAGCTCAAGTGGTACTGAATATTGGCCCTATTGGGAAAGCGGAATTTATAGAAACATGTTCATACAGTTGGAGACCAGTTGCCTTTGATCTCGGCCCACGTTGTCTACACTCTGTCGCCAATCGTCCTCTCCCCTCGTCTCACTTTCTTTGCTGCATTTCGCACAGCTCGGTTTTGTGGTACGTTCGGTTCTGAATCTTTTCCAAAACCCGCCGTAGATCTGGCGATGTTTCTTGGAATTCGAAGCCACGAGCTCCATGACGAACTCTGTCGCAATGCATGCTGGTTGGCGATTTTCCACGAGGAGTCGAGTGCACGGATGTAGAGAGTCTCCCGAAACTGGTCATCAGTCGGGTCGAGGGAATCGTCAATCAAGACTATCTCGTGCTGCCTCCGCATAATACTAATCAAGATGCGGAATTTTGACAGGCGATGCTGAGCCATTCGGCTTGGGCCGCGGATACTCGAGTCAAGCTCAAGTGTTTTGTGGGTTTGCTGGCACGTGTCAGCGGTTCGAAAGAAAACTCATCCAAAGAAAAGCTAACGCTTCATGATTATTGATATCAGAAGGCCATTTGTATGGTTCTGTCGGGTCCTCGAAACTGTCCATGTCTGGTGGCCCGCTATCGCCATCCACGTTGCTGGGTTCGTTGCGCGAGAATTCGATCGCATGTTTCCACCCTTTGCGTGCTCTTCTCGCAGTTAGGACAAAAAAGTGAAGAACGAATCTGTCGTTGAACTTCTCGTATCTTAGATATATACGCGGCTTCTCAGAAAACAATCGTAATTTGTCCCATAACACATCGATGCTGTCAGACAGCCTGATAGGGACTGTTGGAATCTGACCTGTTATATAACTGACGATCTTACGATATCTGGAACGGCTTCCAGGCCGGCTGCTAGGAATCCGGTCTGGACCAAGTCTCAGGGCTCCGGCAGGTAGGTCTTCCGGCCTCAGACCTCCGGACCTCGGGCCCGGAGGCCCCCGGAGGCCGACCTCATCCTCATCTATAAGACCAATCCCTAGCCCTTCAATAGATAGAAAAAATCAAGCAATTCCATCGTCACTAAAGTTGTCTTATCCAATCCATCCTTTGTCTGATAGATGCTCTGCATCGCAATTCAGAGCAGGTGGGCCCCAACAGTCTTCTGAATATCCTCCCAGATTTTTTCGGTGGCACCAGTCTTCTGAAGATCTGCCAGAAGTTTATCTGGATGTAGGGTCTCCATCCCATCGCTTATAGAAAACAACGACCCCCGAGAGAGACCGTTAATGGTCAATCCTCCCACCCTTCCCTCAGTCAAGGGAGCACCATTGCCGCCATACTCTGCACTCGTCACGAGGTACAGCGACCGCTCTCCAGACTCTTTCGCCGTCACTCGAACAAAGTTTCCAGGAGGAGCCGCCGGGGGAGCCGCCTTGTCGTCCCACTTGTCACCCCAACTCTTCTTGAAGAGGTTTGTCATGACAGCGCCGGGGTGAGCGTATACAAATACGACGTCCTTGTTTTCCGGAGCCTCTGCGAGCCGCTTCATCGCTACGAACGTCATTGTGCCAACGTGCCCGGCGTAGTTGGGGATACTAAAGCGGCCGGGTTCTTTGAGGGTCAAGTCGTCCAAGAAAAGATCAGCCGTTTCTTTACCCGCGCCCAGGATGCTGACAATGCGCGGCGAATATTGTTTTGAATTAGGCCGCGCCGCGGCTCGCAGCTGCCGGAGAAGACGTGAGATGAAAACAATGCGACTATAGTAGGCAACGGCCATGCTGAGCTCTACTCCCTCATCCGTTTCTAGAAATACGAGTTAGCCAACAGCACGGTTACTGAGGATGGATTTACTCGCCTTGGCGTCCGAGAAAGGGCAAGAACCCGGGTGAGAGAATCAGGGCATCGATCTCCTTCTCCCGCTGAGCGATTTCGTCCGCAAGGCGCGCGGCCTCAGCCGTCAAAGAGATCTGGCCCTCTAGGTAAACGAGGTGAGCTTTGCTATTGAGCAAGCGTAACTCTTCCAGGAGAGGCTGATGGGCCACTTCATTGCGGCCCACAATGTAGACGTTAACGGGGAACCCTTTAGAAACGAGCTCTGTCAGTGCCGCTTTTCCAATTCCGTCTGTTGCGCCAACGAAGACCACGGTCTTGGGTACGGTGTCGACGGTAAGCTGGGCATTGGAAGCCCTAATTTGTGTAAGCGTAGCCATGATGAATGCCAATGTACCGAGTTAATATTAGGTGTGTTGGTTATTTGATAAACTGATAGAATGCAGACGACCTTATATTACTCCATGTTCGCCTTTACGATTCAAATCCGAAGTGCCGCTGGCCAGGGTTTTTCACCCCGAGCCTTGGCCAGCGGATAAATAAGCTCACTCCCACCATAGAAACCTTGGGAAATGGAGTCCTGCTTCAAATGTTTGTAATCACACCGAGCATTTTGGAGCGCGGGCGGACAAACCAATGGCCCAGCCGGAAAACTCGGATGTCCGGGAGTCCGAGAGCCCGACCGCGAAAGCTCCCCCACGAGTTGTTGTTGATTATTGCAGGGCTACTAGAGAGGGATTCCTTTATTTAATTCCTTTCCTCTCTTCTGTAACCCTGCATTGTGAGCAACTTTGTAAACTTCTAATGGGCGCGAGCTAAGAAACTACAGGAGAGAGACAACACCAGTCTCCTGACTTGTAAATCGTTCACGGGACACATAATTATACAAGTCAACGCACCCTCGTTCAATACGGTCAGGCAAAAGCCTCCAGGTCACCAACTGATCTCTCATAAACGCCAGGAAAATCGGGATATTCCCCAGTTCACCAGGTGTGAAAAGATGGGGCGGATAACGTGCTTATCGGTTACGCCAGCCAAAATGGCGAGACTTTTGCAGCCATCAGGCTAAAGTGGTTCGGCCGAAAATCTGCGTGTGCTTACCAACTAAAACTCGTCTGATGTGGGTTCAGACGGGCTCACGGAGTTGATGCTCGAGTCAAGATCGGCTACTACCTGATACATGCTACTTACTTAAGCCTATCCGTACATGGCCCTCGATGTCCCAAGTATTTTGATGTATCATATTTTATATACCAGAACAGAACATCGACATCACATCTTTCATGCCTATTGTCATCGTCGCAAGCCTGTATTATCCTTGTCTATAACACCTCAATGATGTCCGACCAAATTATAATCACCACGCCACCGTCACGCACGATATCAATCTCCAATTCGCAAAGTGTAGGCAATCGCTGCCAACTTCAGAGCCCAACGCCCTTAATATCCAAGGGCCGAGAGATTCAGGCTGAAAGGCTTGGGATTGGCAATGTCCGCCCGTTTACCTACGAGTATCCGGCCGGCAAAAATAAAGGGACAGAATACACCTTCAGCTAGGAGTTGACTTCATACAACGCCGACAAGTATTATATGACCTTCAGAATCAGGGAGCCTGACTGCCGACATAATCACATATGGAACAACTGTTCCGAACTCTCTTGGGTCGTTGTCCGTCTAATACCACAGTGAGATGAAATCTATTTTTGTTTCAGCTCAATATTGAGTTGAAACTTGCCGGCTTGCAATCATAGAATCAACGTTTCGGCCGCGTTCTTCGCATTTGATCAATCGCGCGGCAGCGTGATTCGACCCCTGTATGTCTTCCACCAAACAACAAAAACGCCGGTTAGGAAAACGATTGAGTAATGGCTTACATGCGGTCCTGTCTGTCTTCAAGCGCAGCCCGTTGACCCGACGACGGCCCATGGGAGAACAAGAGTGCGGATGCTAGCCCCGTTAAAATTCATGTGCAACTCGTTGAGGCCGGAACACTTGACCTAGGAATTACCTGCATACACAGTGCCGTAGGTACCACTAACACGTTTCTTCTTGCCCACGATATCGGAAAGTTCCATGTTGACCTGGTAATAAACAATGCGGTGAATGAGCTTGGATTGGGTGAGGAAACGTGTGAGTGAGAGTGGTGCAAGTAGAATTGAAACGAAAGATTGAAGAGCTGGACGAAACCTTGAAGGACAGAAGTTAACTGAAGAAATACAAGGGAAATCCATGTATTTGCAGCTTGGAATTATCTCAATCCTCTCGCCGATCTAGGCCTCAGAGCCTTTGTTAGCCTTAATGCTCTTGGCTCTAGTATCGTGGCGCGCGGCCGGAACTACTTCTTAGCTGAGTGGCGGCCCCTTCTATTGTCCACTTGTAGTTCACCACCTACCTATCCAAACTATGGGGTCTGCCACCTTAGTCCAATGGTGTCAGAGAGACTGAGAGGCCTGAGACGAATGCCACCGAAGTCAACGCGACAGTGATTAATAAACCAGAGACTGGAACTCTTGGATCCAGTACTCAGTCTGAACTTTTCAAAAAACGCAAAGCACTTGCAGTAGAGAGACAATGCCGAGCGGAATAATATGAGCGCTATAATTAAAGCTCGCAAAGTGAAGTACCCTACATTTGCTTGGCCAAGCAAAGCAACTGGTAACACGTTACACATTGCGGGTGGCGCTCCACATAGACCGCGTTGTACTACGAGAGCAATGCAGGTACCTGCATTGATCACGTCGTTGTTCTTTCCGGTATGACAGGCTCTGCATCGACTTTAAGAGTTGATATAATCGCAGACTCAACATCAGCTACCCCCTCCAGCCGCCAACGCCTTGACATGCTTGGACACTCACGAAACGTGTCAGTCAGGTTATGGGGATGAGAGACTTAATCAAGAGCAACAAGCGGTAGGGACAGTGTATTGATAAATCATCTTCTGGTGCAGTTGAGTTCCATCCATCTTGCACCGTCAAATCACGAGCGTCCTCTTTTTCCATTTGAAAATCCAGGCAGAAGTACCGAGAAATAACATCACTCGGTACATGAAGAAGACCATTGCCGCAAAACTTTTCATTCCTAAAACTCACTCTCGTCCAAATCGAACATCAACCCCTTGGTTATCTCTTCGGGAAACAAGGTTACGAAGAGCCTCGAGGTATCGTCTGCTTGACGATTAGTTTTCGCACAAGTACTATGAGGTGGGGTGGCAACTCACTCAACTTTCCGTGGTGAGGACTCGCTCTGCGCGTAGCCACGCCCAGAATCTCGGTCACGAACGTTCCATCCTTCACCTTCTTCTTCACCCCCCGTTCGTCAAACAGATTTGGAAGGGCCTTCCTTGCCGCCGCTGCAAACTCCTGGGTTCGTTCTTGTCCAGATGTGAACAGGGCTCTAACTAGACCATCGATAGCCGCCGTATCGCCGTCTCCGGATTTCGTCGTGTCCACTTCACAAACCTCACACAAGGTAGTGACAGTCGATTCATCGCATGCCTGAAGCCGGGTCTTGAGGAAGTGCTGTACGGCTCTGCCGTCTCCGAGGTTCAACCCTCCCGTCTTGATTAACACAATAGGGCGATCATCTGGTATGAGTACGGGGTTGTTGTTGTGGTTGTAGTTGCCGTTGTCGTTGTCGTTGTCATTGTCGTCGTCATCGAAACCCGGCAAATGTCGGCCACCGTTCTCTCGTCCACGCCTCGGCCCATGTGCGTCGAGTTCACGGAACTGAAAGAAGTCTTCGACATCGTCAGGCCGCGAGGGAGTTGCGGGAATGTCGGCGTCAATCATTTTCGCAAAAGTGAGTTAGTTGGCTGGAAATGGTGAGAGAGGCAAAGAACGGGGTACTGCCATTGAGGAGGCCTCAATGACTTGGGCGGCGTGCAAGAGATCAACTGAGACAACCGGGCCAACGCTCGACTTTATGAAGGGTCCGGGCCAAACGCTTCCAGCCCGCAATTGAGCAAACATGACTAGGTTCACCTGCGGGTTGGAAGCCCCATTGCTACCAAGGTCCCCGACCTGTTGCCTCAAGCCGAAGCTCCGAATAGGATGCGGCTGTCAGTTGCGCGAGATAACCAAGTCGGGCGTCGATTGGAGCCACGAAACACATCTCAGTCGGATGAGGGGTCGTCCGAGTGTCAACTGGACTGTTGGCTCGGGGTCCATATGCGCTTCATTCCAGACGTAGAAGTGGCGTAGCTGTTGGTTGCTTCAATGCAACTGCAGCCAGCCACAGGTTGATTCGGCCAGGGGTCCTTTCGTATGTACGTACATGCGGGCGGGCTAGAGGAGGGTGAGGGGGAGGGTGGTATCACGCTCAGCGGTGGGTGGCTGGGCGCTGAAGTTTAGGCCGCGTCGATCCATTTGTTTGACGTTCCAGAGGAGTCGCGTATGTACCAAGGCGATCATCCCAGGCGATTCAAGGCGATCCAAGGCGATCCCAGGCGATCCCAGGCGGGGAAGAGGCCAGCGCTACCTTGATCTGGAATTTCCCCCCCTTCGTCCCGATTGAAATCGCGATTGAAATGCAACGTATACTTACTTAGCCGGCCAGGGCTGGCTCCGGGCTGCTTTCCGGCTGGTTGACATGCGGCATGGTGCCCCCCGCTTAGCAGCAACTCTAAGATAAGACACGGCTGAGAGCTGAGGATGAGGGCAGGGAATACAGGCATCCGAATGAGTACCGAGACCGCTAATGGACGCAGAAGAAGCAAGGAGAACATGGGGTCTCCAAAAATCGTACGAGCTGCGTGCCGGTGGCTGGTCTCCCATCAGTATCGAGCACAGCGGAATAAGCAAAGATCGCCTAGACAACAGCCGCCGGCCAATAGTTGGCTTCCGCCAAGAAAATGGTGAATAGTGCAGGGATGGTGGTGGTCTCCTCTCCTCTCCTCTCCTCTCTCTCCTCAGGGTTGAGTGGATTCAGTCGTGGTTCAGGTTCAGCATCCGAATGGATTACCACTACTGTATCTCCATGCATCCGATCCATCACGTCTCATCATAACAAGATACCGCTACTCTTTGTAAGAAGCCACCTTCCGCTAGCTCGCCTACTTGCTCAATTGATTGGTACACTTTGCGTACCAGGGCTTACCGGTCTATCGCACGTCTCAGAACCCCGCCCCAACACGTCTTTCACCGATGCGCCAGACGCAACTAAACTTCCTTTTCCCAGTACGACCCAAGCCGACGACGCGCTTTCCAACACAGCTGTCATGCATATTCGACCTGGTGTGGACTCTGCACGCTTGGATTTGCTGTCGGCGATGTGTCGCATTCTGTCCCGCCAACTAATCAGACCAACAGCCGAATCCGCTCCCCAACAGGAGGCGCCGATAGTTGTGTTATAAGAGATGCATATTATGTAACGCCATGACGTTTTGGTCCACCAAGCGTAAGCCGCATCAATCCCACAGGGCAGTTTTGGGCTAGGTGCATCGACTTTCAGCCTGTGTCTTACATTGCGGTATTGTCAAGTGAGCGCCATTGAGTCTAGAGCCAAGAGACAAAAAGCAAAGTCAGGATGATCAACGAGCCGCGATACCCCGTCCAATCGATTTATGTACCACATGACCATTTGTGAAACCGTGAAATTGCGTTGGCACACCCCGTGAAAGTACCGACTGCTGGTCACGGTCCGCGTCTTAGGTCTATGGTGGAGGACTTTACCATTGTCGGAACACACCCGACTTCAAGCTACAGCAGATCTGAGACCACATGTTGGTCAGCGACAAGTCTCACTAATATTGACCAAAGGCCGTCAAAACACGGAGGCTGTGTTCTGGACCAGCCGCTGAGTCAAAGTCTGGGCCATTCGGCCTATTCCTCAGCCACTCACCAAGAGTCTCATGCGGTGCTCAGCTTGTTGGCACTACCGTCACCTATAGACTCTCATCTGAAATATGACAGATCGTTGGCCTTTAGGTTTGTGACGAGCATGACGCAGAGGAGTGGGAGGCCGGTCCCCCTTGCATACCAAGCGTGGGACGAGATTAGCCCATGCATAAGGCCCGCTAATTTCAATTGGCAAACGTCGCTCTTCAATTGAGGCTATCGGAAAGTAGCGAGATGTAACTAGATCGAAGCGTAAGAGAGAAGAGGGAACAGTTGGGCCCTTCCTACCACCTCGACCGTAGGCGCCCGTTCTTGTAGTGGGTCTGCTTCTCCTCTAGCTCCCAGTCTTCTCCCCACTTGTTGACTTCGTCTCGTTGAAGCAAAGTCAGTATCAGGTCTGACCTCTCTTTAGTGAAAGCGCGCATAGCCTTCATGAACACCTTGTTGTCTTCCCTCTCACTGAGGGTCAAGTTCCTCAGATTAGGAGCCCACTCTGGCTTCTTTCGCCACTCGTCAAGTAACGTTCCGGAGATCCTATTTCCACCACTGCCAGAAATACCGGTAACCTCGACTGAGACGAGATTGGGGCATTTCTCGAGTAGAGCGCGTAGGCCGTCGTCCGTAACACGAGATGTAGCTTGGAGCTTGACTTTCTTCAGGTTGGGGCATGCATTTGCCAGGCGGACAACGGCGTCGCTTGTCAATGACTGTGCGTTGTTCTGTGTACGGCAGCTCACGTCGGAATATATAAAGATGAAGTGCGTGATGTTTTTGCAAATCGAGCGTCCCAAAGCCAAGATGTCGTCAATGTGATCGCTTGAGCGAGGTGACGTCAGTATCAATCGCTTTAGATAATGGGAAGCTCACTCACTCTGTCAACACGAAACTGTGGCCGAAGACGATGTTCCTGGTCGATGTTCCAATGACGTTTTCGTACTTGCCGGACCAGTCACGCTCGCTACTATCAAAACGGGCTTCCTCCATTCCTTCGGGGAGGGCCTTGAGCCACATCTTCGGGAGACTGGTAGCAGGGGCCTGAGCAGCTGCGCCCGTGTTGTTCTTGGCTGTCCGAATCGGCGGCATTGTATTTGCTGGCCGTCATGTACCGAATAATTGCGGATGAAGACCAATGATGAAGAAACACGCGTGGGAAAGGCGTAAGTATTCCGGGAATTGAATCTGAAAATCATTTGGTTGGACTCCTCTCCGCAGGGATCGAATGTCCGGATCCCGAGACAATGTACCATATCGATAGGCTATCGATAGCATGGTCCTTCCAGACTAAGACACCCTATCAAACATTCCATCGTTCGGCGCCGCTCCTCATCTGGCTCATCCTCAAAGGCGCTCTCATTCAAGCCAACGCCACAGCGCTGGCGCAGCAGTGCATGCTCCAGTAACCAAGAGATGGAAATGGCGGAGGGGCGGCAGTGCCGTCAAAAATGCATCACATCGCTATTACGAGCCTCATTTTCTCACCATTTCCAAACCATTATCGCGGTCATACCACGCTGGCCTTGGTACTCTCAGCCTGGGCGGGAGTCGAGATGATCAATGCGACCTACAAACCATGTACAAAGTCCCCGCCACTCACGAAGTCCGTTTAAATTAAGTGCCTTAAGCTCAGTGGACCGCGACGTTGATGAATTGACAAACACTAATCAAAACTAACATAGTAGATACATTGTGTCTCCCCCTTGTACCACCCTACTTGAGTCCGGAACCGAATCCATCACTGCCCAATCCTCCCAATTGGAAGGGAGTTGGGGTGCCCAGGCATAGTCTCCCCCGGAATAAAGATTGCCACCTCGTAGTCGACTTCTCTTCGTTCTTTGTCTTCGGCATAGAAAATGACATACCAGGTCTCGCGGAATTGCTCGGTGGTGGTGAACTTCATACAGCAGCGGCCATTGTATATCTCTGGGATTGGGAAGGTGCCAAAGTAATCGCAGCCCTTGTCTTTATGGACTTCCACCTGCACTTTGACTGGCAAAGCGTCGAACTTGACTTCAGCCTGGTAGAGCCCGTGGCGCAAGCGACGGATCGGCCAAAAATATTTGGGACGATTGAGCAGCAACCCACTGGACTACAGTCAGCAACACCCTGGCCGATCGTAAATGGGCTTAACTTACGTCTCTTCCCTGATAGGCAACGTTGCGACGGTGTGCACCTGCTCATCAAGTTGTTTTGGGTCGAAATGGCGCCAGTGCTCCTTGAGTACCTCGATGTGTGTCGGGAGCATATTCTTAAGAGTAGACTCAAATTGGCCGTCCTTTGTAAAATAGAAGATGTCCTCATTGTGCTCTGATTGGGCCATGATGTTTGGACTGTTAATGAAATAGTCAAAAGATGTGTACTCCATGTTATCAGCTTGCACAAGGCAGAAGAAGTTATGAGTAGTTGCGTGCTGAATCCCAGATGGAAGAACAGAAGTTGACTCTATATAATCGCCAACATTATTTACGGACATCAGAGTGCGAGGCCTGTCGGATGGCATTTGCACACGAGGAGATAGTACAGACCCGAGACGAATTAGTTGTCTCGACCCGAAAAGCAAGTCGACCCTCTATCTCTCGAGCTGAAATTCCGACCTGCCAGCCCCCAACTGAATCTGGCTTAGAGATAGGACCAACAGGAGTCCGATAACTAAGACTCTTAAGAGGCATAGCGCCGCCACATAGTACGAGTACGACCCTGCAGGCATCTTCTCCCAACCAGCTCGCTCTCTCTGCGACCGCAGCTGCCGATCCCCCACTTGATTACGGCGAGGCGCTCTATTGTCTATCCCGTGTCTTGCACGAAGTGGCAACTGTTGGTCCTGACACAGCGCGTGGATTTCGGATGAGTGCAGACAGGCCAATGGAGTCCATTTCCGATGCCAAGACCCTCATCCCTCGCACCTCACCGCTATTATCCACTCGTCTAAATGAGTTCCGTCTCTTTCAAGGGCTGCTTATTCACGTTGCTTTTGTCCTCAGTGCTGGGTCTATTGTCCCGGGCTTGGCAAGTGCTGGTGCATATGTTGAGGGGGAGGGGGTTTGAGACAGAGTAGGACTAGAGCTGGGGGCTGAAATCCGGTGGGCATTCTGGACCTCCACGATCAGCAAGGGAGTGATTCCTAATTTATGCATTCTTATGCCTAAGTTCCAACTTGGTATCCCAATTGTGCCTCCATTGCCTCGGTTCTTCCCGTCGTCGCTGTCGTCCGAGCCCTCTCCGCCGTCGTGGTTGTCTCCGTCACCAAGCGTCCAAACTGTCACCATCACCGTAGTCGTCTGAGTCGTCCTGCATTAAATATGACATGGTAGAAATTCAATTGTAATGACAATGATTGCTGAGCCACACCATCTCATTGATTTTGTGATCCCTATTTCCAAGGTCTTTGACCAGCCGTTGTTGCATTTGAGATAAACAAGCAGGGCCTGAGGGGAAGGCCAGCTTTACTTTGCGAATAACGTTGGTAAAGCAGTGTGTCTACATTTAATTTGCTTGTATATGGCTGAGGATAATTTTATGAATAGCCGGCTACTCTTGATTAGTGCTGTCGGACAAAAGCTGGGCTGATTTGGGATAGCCTCTGATTACAGTATCACCAAGACAGATTCGAAATGTGTTTGCGAAGTACCAGTGCTCTACTACGTAAAATATATGTTAAAAATTTAGGAATAGCAAGCTTCCATCAAATCGTAATACCATGCAGACTTTTGTTGCCCGAACCCACCGAGATATTACTTGCCAGTGACGAAAGTATCAATCGGGTACACATCACCTCTCTTCTATTCCTCGCTTTCAAGGAACGTCTTGGGAGTGGCATTCATTACCACGAATATTTTTTCGAAATGAATTCCATGATAAAGCTGGGCCAAAGCAATGTCGCTTAGTTGGAAACGCTCTCGCACAAAGCCGACGCTTGTTCCAGGATTTCCTTGTGCAACCACAAAGCCCCAACCTGGGCCTGAGCAGCTAGCTGGATAAAACCTCCGCCTACGTTTTGTCAAGCTTCAACAGTAACCAGTATAGCTCAGCGCCGATGCAATACTACCTATATAGTAACAGCATCGACCTCACCTATGGCGGATTGGAACGCTGGCAAGCACCAGTAAAGTCGTAAAGTCCAGCCAACACAACCTCCAATATCAAGTGTAAACGGGGAGGGTAAATGAATAAATACCCACCTACTTCGACGCTCAACTTCCTTCTTCTTCGCCACCCTTAACTTCCTCGGTAAGTTCCCTTCTGCATCAGAACGAGCCTGCTCGGAGGCGTTTAGCCACTGTAGTCGCCGAAGCCACCCCAAGGCCATGAGGCCCGCGCGGCCGCCGAGCTCTGCCCAAAAGGCTCGGCGCCACTCCTCGACGGTTCCGGGGCCGTTCAGGACCCCCCTGAGCAGTTCGGATGACCTGTGCTGCGGCGGTGTCAAGGTTGTGCTCGGCAGTGCGGAGGGGGGTGCGGAAGGGGATGCGGAGGGGGGTGCGGAAGGGGATGCGGATGGCGATGGCGATGACGATGGCGATGACGATGGCGATGACGATGGCGATGACGATGGCGATGCGGCGTGAGGTTGTCCTGTTGACAAGACGGGCGTTGGTTCCCAGTTGTCCAAGGAGCAGGTAAGCCGTTCTCGATCGTCATTCTCCACCAATATGCAAGCTGTTCAAGAGCCTCCCAACAGACTGCAAGAAGGTGTGGGGTGTATACCTCATTGTTCTCGAAAAGCTGGGCTCTCGACCTCGGATCTACGTTGGCAGTGGCACTCAACTGCGTCATGGCCTTGGTGCACGGCTTAACAGATGAGAAAATCTCGCTTTCCTTAGTTAGGGAGCTGATCACCGCACGCTTTCTTTAACAAGTGCGATCATTTCGTTGCCTCTGATCACAGCCCTTGCTAATCAACTCTCCCTTCACCAAAACCTGCTACTTCTAAGACCATATTTGTCGAGGGGAGACCTGCCATATGTTGTTTAAAATTTGTCTGGGGCAGGTTCAAAATTTAGAAATCGCAGATGGGATTTCGTTAACATGGAGCAAGCCGTTGTCAATAAGTTATTCTGTTTGTCCCCCTTCGCCCAAATTCACAAAGGAATCTTAAGGCTTCATACAGCTACGGCGATATCACAAAGCTTCCTTCTAGCTATCGCAGCTTTTGAGTGCTTGTGACTTCATCTTATGGGATCCGTCTGCCCAAGTTTAATCAACCTTGGCCTTACAAAGTAGTCGCGTCGTAGAATCATCACAAGGCATCATCAATCCCGTCCCCTTGTCGCGACTCAACGAATTGCTAGTATTACATATTTCATTCATACTGCGCAAGGGTTTCATTATTGCACTAGTAGGAAGACTCCCTAGCCCCACCGTGATCTCCATGATCTTGGTTGAGTTTGAGCAATGGACGTACTCCACATCAAACTCTCCAAGAATATCTATCCATGTGCTAACCTTGCCGTGAACACAGCCTCAGTTGGCCATTAAGTTGATAATCCCCTTGTGATCGGTATACACCTTGATCGGGTGTGGAGAATAGTTCACCAGCCAGGCATACTCCTCCAACCCTCGTACCACAGCCAACATCTCTTTTCTGGCATGGTGTATCTTCTCTCCGAGTCGTTGAACCGGCCCGAGATTCATTCAAGGTCCGCACCTGATCAATTTTGGAATTATGGACTTTAGTGCTAAGTACTACGTCGGCCATCTGTCCCAAGCCAAATGAGTCAGTAGCCAAGTGGAACTGCATCCCACTCATGGCACCAAAGGTTGCCTTGAGCTAATTTTTCCAAGCCGCACAGACAAACCTTCCAAAATCCTGGAAAAGAATTCCTGAGTCTTATCCCGGCTGGGCAGACGTCCACCGGTGGGGAGCATCATCACTTGCTGATAAAAACAAACGATTCTAAAGCCAAGCCTCTCTAAAGGCTTCTCTAAAGCAGCGAAACCCTTCACCATCAGCAGTGGCTTATATGTGAGCGGCGTCCCTCAGGGGCCAAAGGGTTCCAGCAGTGTCTTGGGTACGAAGCTCTCCGCCAGACTCAGCCCACCAAGTCTGGACATCAGGTCCCACGACAAGTCCTGAAACCTCAAACGGTAAGTAAGAAGCTTGGCTGTATGGCTAGATTCATCAGCAGGGCCGCGGCACAAAAACGTCTCAGCCAGGACATGAGCGAAACCCATTTCAATGTCCACTAGCAGCGAAGTATAACTGCGATAAACGATTTGATACCTGTCAAGCTGCCAGAAGGCGCACGTGGAGGGATAACGAGCGATTTCCTTGTCCATTTGGGGATGAACTTGGCTTTCTAACAAACAGCTCTCGAACACTGTAGTTACTCTTCGAAACGGCATCTACCATTCCAGTGAAATCCCGCTCCATCCTGATAGCACCAAGTGCACTAACACGATCGGAAAGACTCCACAAACGCTTCTCCAGAATTCGCGCAAGAAGCTTAGCTGTTAGAGCCAGTAGAGCAAGCTAGGTGGTATGAGTCACGATTCGTGATAATGGCTTCATCAAGAGATTTCAACCCTCTTCAAAACGGTCGGAAGCCTGTGGAAGTGGACCATCGATTCCATCCTCCTGAAGTGTCTTGACAATATCGTCTCTAGAAAACTCGTAGTCTATGTCCCGGAAGTAGTTTGTCAAAACTGCTCGTCGTCTAAGTCTAACCACATCGTCTAAAAGCGCCTGGAATCCTTTATTGAGAAGCAATTGAAGGCACTACCGCGGCCGCAAACCCCTCACAGAGGACGTCCTCGGGGATTCATGAGGCCCGATAGAGATAGTAAGCAGCAGCGTCCCAGATTCGAGTACGTCCAAGTATTGAGAAGCTACTAGAAGCACACGGTGGCAGGCATGCTGAATTACAATCGGACTGTAACTACGGTGCCGCACCATGCCGTCGTTGGTCGACCTTCTGCATATGAAACTATGAAGCCTAATAATACCAACAAATATCGGGCGTTCCGGGCGGGTAAAAGGATGACACCATCAGAACTCATGGTGAGAGGATAAGTCTGGGAAGGGAGAAGAATTACAGTGCTGTGATTAGCCAGTGAACGCATTACCGCGCGCTTCCGTGTCCCATATGCTAAACACGGTAGGGGCCAGGAAAGGCGGCCGCATGAGCTGTTGGGCGGGGTGGAGGCCGAGCTCGGCAGTGGCTAAGATAGGACTTTTGTCGAGGTCAGAATGCAGTCGCAGTAAGGGATGTAAATCATTTGATCGGGTGATTCCGGCATGGTTATATGCAATATTTTGTCTCTTTTGTTCATTTCCATCATCCTCAACCTCGGCTTCCACAGCACAGCCATCGCAGCCTTCGTCTGACTTTGGGTGCGTCGTTGAGTCTCCCAGTCCTCTCTATTGCACACTTCCCCCACACACTGGATAGTAAAATCTTACTGTCTGAATAGGATTACTCTTCTCAATTGAATTTCAGAGATAACCTCGCACATCCCCGTAATGTTGCCTGCACCAAGTGCATCCCGTACTCATAGCCTTATAGCCTTCCTTGCCTGTCCAAAAGACCAGACCTCCGTTGTACAATTCCTTACAATCTGCTAGCCGAAAGGTCGGTGCATAGAAAATTCGACTAGTGTCACTCCCGGTTTAAGCACAGAACCGGCAAAAGATGCTCGCGCGGATTGCTCCGAGCCCCAGAGCTCCCCATCCACTGTTGGAAGACAGAGTCACTGCAAAGCCAGTGACCTGTCTTCAGGCATAGCCCGAAGTCTCGGCGAACTACTAGCTAAGCATGATAATTAACCTTTTGGAATATGCAGTCTCCCTGAAGTTTTGGTTCGGGAGATCTGTTGTATTTCTCTGCTAGTAGCCCTTGAAGGGTCTATCTCAGCCACCTTAGACCATAACTTCAAGACCCTACACCAGCTTTGCTAGACCAAACACAAGCTAGAATGAAATCGGTTCCAACCGCAATTTTCCTGGCTACTAGACCGGATGTGCTAGACATCCCACAGCTCACACGACCTGTTACGTGGTCTACTACAAACGACATCCCGGAGAAAGACTGGAGAGCCTCGCAGTCCTTTGGCGCTAAATAAATCCATCTTCATCGCCATTTTCTCTTACCGCCAGAGCAAGAATTGCACTATTCAAGACTATATATTAACTACTTAAGTGGTCTTAACTTGGTAAAGTGACAACCCCGCACAATATCTCGCAAAACTGCAATCTCCAAACCTCGATAGAGTGAAACAATCCCGCCATTGATATTTGAAGCGGGACTCAACCCGAGTCCCAACCTCACGACCAGGTTCAAAAAGTGCAAAAATGGCAAAAAGCAACATACAACAGCGAGGATTCCCCGGTCGTCACCGACCCGAGTACTAATTCGCCGCTTCTCAGCTTGACTAAGGGAGAGCGGACGGGATCCCGTATTTTCTAAGAGCTATGGTCGTATGTACCAGTCCAGTCGCACAATGGCATTATATTCACACTGTCATTATATTCACACTGTTTGAAAAACAATAGAGCCCGATGTAAACGCGATGATCAATAAATCTCAAAATCCTCATGTGCTGGCAAAGTCTCAAGGAACTCTCCATACATGATCCCGTCAACATATGCATCTCCCACGAACGTGTAGCCACCCCCTTCACTCTCGTCCCGTGGCCGCAAGATAATGGGCGACTTTAGTCCCCAGAGCAGGGTCACAACATCGCCAGCCCGTACAGCCACATGCCCCAGGCCAAACATACTCTTCGTAGTCTTGAATAGGGTCCTCTCGCGAGTCATAGCTCCTATTGACTTTGGCCACTCCCTTTTGAGTTCCGCGAGCTTGTCATCAAGAGCAGCGGGATCCGACTTCCGATCCATTGCGTCGCGGACGAATTGTTCTTGATCGCTGGTCAAGAGTTGAGCATCAATGGCTTCTTGGCGCATGATCTTGCAGATTAGGGACGCAACCTCTCCATCAGAGAATTTCCACCGGCGTTTCATGTGGCCATTGCCACCGTCAACTCGATCGAGCAATATGGTTCGCCACACATAGTTCTCTCCTGGACTTGCGTCGGGCCCAAGCTTGGCAAATTTAACGATAGACGAGAGCCAAGCTTCGGCATTTTCTATGTATGACGCGTAATATTCGTTATATTTGATCCACCGAGGTGGCTCCATGACCTCCGTGATAACATCAACGCGGCACCCGGGGCGACGAAGAACACCGGGCTTTTCGTCATTACTGCAGCATAGAGGGCGTGAAGGCAGTTGTATGCCCTTTGTGGCGTTGAAAGGAGTGCTGTAGTTGACGGGGTACACACGGAAACCATACTGTCCGATAGCTCGCCAATCAGGGACCCAGCTTGGTAGGTTGTCTGGATTCTTATGCCTCGGAACGAATAGATCTAGATGAAACGGTCCGCGGCACTCATCTCCGTCGTAAACCAGCGCCCTTGTGATGGCGGTGAAGACTTCGATGAAGCTCAGATTGTAGTCTATGCGCAATCCCAGTTTTTCTCCATCTGTAATCACACCTAGGAGCCCAAAAAGGAGATCTCTTGGGTCTGTAGCAGAGTAGAACGGGCGATCTGGGGCGGCGCTTCGTTGAAAGAGAATGCTAGCAAGCGGCACCTCCTTTTGGCGGCGATATAGACGGCGCGTCGGAAGAGGAATATTCTTGAAAAAGACTCCCGATAACAGCCGCCCAAAGGTTTCAGTCTCTGGGCTGAGCCTCTGCCACTCCGACCCCGCGCAATGCGACACTGCTTTGAAGGTGGCGTCTAACATGTCGAGTGGTACACTCTTAGCGCCGCACATAATCGTCACAACTTTTGCAACGGATATTTCTTGAACGATCCAGATGCGATGCCAATAATCACGCTGCATGAGACTCTCAATCCCACGGCTCAGGCTCCCCTTTGTGAATCTCGATCGTGGTTTGTCGTATGTCGTCCATTGAAGGTCAGGCTCGTGGATTAAATCGAAGAAGAATCGAGCCAGATCCGACCCAGGCACATCGTCAACTGCATCCATTTGCTGCGAACTTAAACGAGCCCTAACATATTCGGTGACCTTTTTCCTCTCCCCAGGGTATGGGTACCAGTCCAGAGTACCGACTGCCAACGCCCGGGGACCAATGCGGGATATAAAGTCGATGACTTCATCGCTCTTGTCAGAAGCCTGCCCAAGCCAAACGTATACGTGGTCAGCGCCGCTGAAGATGGCGCGCATCTGGCCTACTTGCCAGGTCTTCTCTTCCGGGTCTGACTGTTGGATGCAAATAGAGTCAACCCAAAGCCAGGACCGGAACCCGTTGTCACGGAGTTGCTTTAGGGCATCATATAAGTTGGTGCCGATGTCGAAAGGATTGCCATCGATGGAGATCTGAATTGTAGTTGTGACATCCCCCCAGACGTACGATAGGGCTGAGTAGTGGGCGTCATTCAGGGAGGTACAGCAGAGCTCAAGTTGAATGGGCGCGGCTGGTTCAGCGGGTTCAATAAAGCGGACAAGCCTGATTTCAGAGCTTTCTCGTTGTAGTTGTTTGTAGATGACCATGGTGTCGTGAGAGGCCGCTGCTGAGCCTCTGATTGACGTCGATGTCGGAATATATGCTCTGGCGAGTTGTAAGCCTTGGACAGTGGGTGGAGCCACGTCAGACACGATCATTAGGCAGCAGGGCAGTGCAGTAGGCGCCGTGCTGGAGCAAAATGGAACTTGGCCGCATATAAGGGACCTCTCACGCGGCCATTGATGCGGCCACCTTGGAAAGTTGGGGGTGTTTCTTGTGGCTAAAGTGCAATAAGCGCCAAAGTGTAAATAGCCTACAGGGGAAAACTTGCCCGTTTTCCAAGAGCAATTGTCGTATGTTCTTGTTGGCGCGAATTTAGCTCAGGTGGGTGGGTTGTTGCATGCCCTCGATTTAGCGTCAAGTTGCAACCGCCCAACGACTCCTGACTTTGTACGGATTGCATCTCCTCAAAACAGGCCATGCGGCACGAGATATTGCATCCCTGCCGTTTAAATTATCCGAATCCCACGAATCCAATTTCTCGTTATTTTAATTATTAGGCATGGCGACTCTTGTAAGAAGTGAGAGTCATGCCAGCCTCCAACCACAATGCGGTATCTATGGCACATCAATAGGTCTCGGTCTGTGAATGGGGTAGTTCACCGGCAATTACAGAGGGGGTCAACAAAATACTAGTTATTTGGTTTTTTTTTTTAGCTCTACTCAATATCATCAGATAGATCAAAGCCATACAGTAATCTCAAACAGTAGAGATAAACAATAAGTGCTACACCCAGCACCAGAAGAAATAGTAGCCGACCAATAAGTTTGTTGCACACTAGTCTCTGCCTTATCAGATAATTAGAGGATTGGTTGAGACAGCTTGAAGGACGATGGATGATTTTGTCTTTTGGTCTAGGAGGGAAGAAAGCTAGTTATTTATGCCTAGGGATCTGACTGACCCGGATGCCCTTGATCTGATGATGCGGATGATATCCGTAGATCTCGGTTGTTGAGGCTAATCTAGCTTGTTGAGGGCATCTAGGTTGAAGGCATCCACGGTACGGATCAGAGTCTCTATCTAGGTTCAAAGGAAACCACGGTACGGATCCGGCCCTAGGCAAAGCTGACTTTTCCCTATCAGGCTGTCTGACATGCTTCAACCTTGCTGTCTGTAGACAAAAGGGTCAGTCAACGACCCTATTGTCTGCAGTCAACGACCATGCTGTCTGTAGTCAACAACCTTGAGATAGTAACCTTATTCCGAGCAATAAGATATAAGGGAGACGTCTCCCATCGTCAAGGGACCAACTTCCCTTCTAATACTCATCCTATCACAACAACTTTCATCTCAACAACTTTTCATCATATCGACCATCATTCGAGAAGCTCTTATTAAGAATAACCCTGCATATCAGAGATATAAAACCCGATTCCGATATAACACTGGATTCCTTTAGAATCTAGAAGTTCAAACGGAAAGAGGCAAGTTAAATACCCGTCTCAAATTCCTTCGAGAAAAGAACCTATTAAATCTCTCGCCATACCGTCCAGAATGCTTAGATAAAAGCCAAAGGATCGCATTAGCTATTTTAACAAATTTGGCTTTTATCTAGGCATTCTGGACGGTATGGCGAGAGATTTAATAGGTTCTTTTCTTGAAGGAATTTTATATGGGTATATAGCTTGCCTCTTTCTGTTTCGTCTTCTAGATTCCAAAATACTAGTTATTCAGTCGACTATTGACTCGCGGGGTATCTAAGAAGTCGAGAAACTCCCTGGGAATCCTCAGTTCGGGGAGAGCAGACGGATAACCTTATATCCATCGTACTAGACTAGAGCTTATTCGAAGGCGTTACTTTCACAAAAGAACCAGAACATTAAATAGAGTGGTTTAGCACAAGTCAGGTGACACCTTCGCATCACTTTCCCCTCTTGCCTAGCTCCATGTAAGCCAGTCGCACAATCGGGCGGCCAGATGAACCCTCGCGGAAACAATGGCAATGTCCCATCGCTAAGCAAATCTCCTGTGAGCATGTTTCGCCTCGCAAAGGCATATTTCTGGGCCGAATGTACCCTGTCTTAGTAGTGTGTGTTGCAACCATCTCATGTTTCCCTCGGATGAGTGCATCCGAGGCCTGAAACCAGCGGCGATCAATCCATGGTCCAACATTCAGCTTTGTTTAATTTCGATTTCAGGTCCTGCAATCGCCTGAAACCACACAGCCTGCAACACAGCCTCACTGTTCAAGGCCTTGTGACTCCCCACGGGAATTGAAGGAGGTCCCCATCGCCGGCTTCTTACTGCTACCGCATGCGCAGTGCAGCACAGTGCATGAATAGGCAGGTATCTGGAGGTCAGGATTGAGGGAGTGTTGGTATTGTTGGTTCATCTTTGCCACTTATTTTACAAGCTTTCGGCATTGAATCAAGTCACTGGGAAATCATGTCACTAGGAAAAGATCAAGATGCGAGCACACGGTTGGTAATTGATTCAACAAAATAAAACCAGTCAATATTAATATTACACAAACCAGCCAGCGGGTATATATGCTTTTCTAGGCATTTCGGCTCGGCCGGTGAATCCCCTGCTCTTTTTTATGATTTTGTAGCTTGCTCCCTCGGCTCAATGCAGGGATCTTGAAAAAAAGATTGCCCTCAGTCCACACCAATGTTTATGTTCGTAAGGATCGTAAGAATGATACATGTTTGTTTGAGAGAAGCTTGTACTTCGTCGGAAGCGTCAGCATCCTCCAGACCAGGGAGTGTACAATGCCATACAGATATGTTCCGCCTCGGATACAAAGACCTCAATCTATAGATAACAAGGAAAACAAAAGAGTATGTGTGGTACACATCAGTAAGTCATTCAGTCCTTTACAGGGCAAAGACGACAGCCAGGATGGCGGCGGCAAAGCCCATGCCGTTGCGGGCAGCGCTGCCAGTGACGGGAACCTCACCAGGGGCGGTGGTGGCAGTGGGGATGACAATGCCGCCAGTGCCGGTGGGGGCCTTGGTGATGAGGGTGCCGGCAACGGTGGTAGCGTAGGGAGCGGCAACGGAGGTGGTGGAGGGAGCGACAACCTCGACGCCAGAGACACCAGTGGTGAAGCCAACCTGGGGAACGGTGACCTCGGTGGAGACGGTCTTGACTGTGCTGCTGCCCTCGACAGTGGTGCCAGAGACGACGCAAGGCTCAGTGACGGTGGTAGCGACAACGATGGTGGTGTAGTGAGCAGAGGTGATGACAGTGGTGCCAGTAACGGTGATGATGCTGGTGATGCTGTCGACACCGGTGACAATCTCGGGGTTCTCGCCAGCGTAGTCAGCGCAGAGACCCTGGAAGAAGGTGACGGCCTTGGCGACAACGTCGTCAGACTCTCCGTGAGCGTACAGGCAGTTGAAGACCTTGTTGACGAAGTCCTGCTTGGGGCAGTAGCAAGCGGTGTCGGTGTTGTCCTTGCACTCGGAAACGTAGTCGAGGAAGGTGTTGACACAGCTGGGGACAACCTCGGGGACATCATAAGAGTCGCCGCCAGCGGGGGAGCTGGTGGTAGCAGGGGAGTTGTCGCTGGCAGTGGCGGGGGAGCTCTCGGCAGCAGTGGGCGAGGGAGTGTGGACCTGGGTCTCAGTGACGGGGCAGATGGTGGTGGAAACGGCAACAGTCTCAGTGACAACGACGACAGTACCAGAGTTGGCGGGGCAGTTGGTGACCTCAGGGCCGCAGCTGGTGACAGTCTTGACGTTGGTGGTGTAGACGGTGGAGGTGCTGTCGTAGGTGGTGATGATGGTGGTGGCCTCAACGGGGTAGGTAGAAGCGGGAGCGGAGGTGGTGTCCTCACCGGAAGATCCAGAGGTGGTCAGGCCGTAGGGGACGGTGGTCTCGCCCTCGACAGGGACGGTGGACTCGCCCTCAACGGGAGCAGTGGTGGACTCAGCAGCAGCGGGGGCAGTGGTGGTCTCGCCAGCAGCAGGGACGGAGGTGGTAGCCTCACCAGAAGATCCAGAGGTGGTGGCCTCAGCGGGCTGGGTCTCGACGGGCTGGGTCTCAGCGGGGGCAGTGTGAGTCTCAGTGACGGGGCAGACAGTGGTGGAGATGGCAACGGTCTCGGTGACAACGACAACAGTGCCGGAGTTGGCGGGGCAGTTGGTAACCTCAGGGCCGCAGCTGGTGATGGTCTTGATGTTGGTGGTGTAGACAGTGGAGGTAGAGTCGAAGGTGGTCACGAACGTGGTGTCCTCAGTAACGGGAGCAGTGGTAGACTCGCCCTCAGCGGGAGCAGTGGTGGTCTCGCCAGCAACAGGGACGGAGGTGGTGTCCTCACCAGAAGATCCGGAGGTGGTGGCCTCAGCAGCGGGGGTGGTGGTGGTGTCCTCACCGCCGTAGGGAACGGAGGTGGTATCCTCAGTAGCGGGGACAGTGGTGGTCTCACCCTCAACAGGGACGGTAGTGGACTCGCCCTCAGCGGGAGCAGTGGTGGTAGTCTCACCCTCGACAGGGACGGAAGTGGTCTCGCCAGCAACAGGGACGGAGGTGGTGTCCTCACCAGAAGATCCGGAGGTGGTGGTCTCGGCAGCGGGGGCAGTGGTGGTGTCCTCACCGCCGTAGGGCACAGAGGTGGTATCCTGACCGACGGGGATGGAGGTGGTCTCACCGGGGAAGGCCTCGGAGGTGGTCTCGCCGCCGTAGGGAACGGTGGTGGAGTCCTCGCCGTAGGGGACAGTGGTGGACTCGGAGCCGTAGGGGATGGTGGAAGAGGGGGTGTCGGAGTCGTCGCAGTCGAAGTCGATGCTGGGGACCTCGATCTCACAGTTGCTCTTGGGCTTGTCCTGGACGGGGTAGACGAAGGTGACCTTCTTGGCACCACCGCACTGGGTGTTGTGGATGGAGGTTCCCTGAGAAGAGCAGTCGGCGGACTGCTTGCAGGTGGAGCCATCGCCCATCTCGTAGTGGAACTCCATGCGGCAGTCGAACTCGGTCTTGATGTCGAAAGTCTTGACGGAGAAGCTGCTCACGGACTTGCTGCCAGAGCCGCAGCTGAAAGAAGGGGCAGAGGCGGCGTTGGAACCGCAGCTACCGGAGATGGTCTTGCCGAAAGTGCGTCCATCGAGGCTACGCTTCTTCAGGTCTTGCTTGCAGGACCAGCCGCTAAAGTCAAAACCATCGTAGCTGCTGAAGCTGCCCTCGGACAAGTTGTCCCAGTTCCATCCGCTCTTCTGGGTATCCTTGCACTGGTTGTTGGAGCTGCCAGGAGTGGTGTACTTCTTGGCGTTCTTCCAGTTGCCTCCCCACTAGAGATGGTGTTAGCCGGTTGTGGTCGAGAGAGTTGAGAGTTGGTTGAAAGACTTACAGTAGCGTTGACCTCGCCGAGGCTGGCGGCAAGCGCCAACATAGCGAAAGAAACCTTCATATTGAAGAATGAACGGGTGTTGAAATAGTTGGTAGTTGTTGTTGCAGTAGCGAGTGTGCAGTAGTAGATATGGTAAACAAGGAGAATGCAATTAATGTATTGGTTCAAAGGAAGCGAATGACTTTGAGACCAAGAAGGAAAAGAGATGGAATGCTGAGATAGAGAAAAAGAAAGAGAAGTGTGGGTGATGAGGCAGGAAAGAAGTGTGTAATGGGAGGGCATTCGAAGCAGCTATATACTCAAGCAAGCCAGTCCAACCATGCACTTGAGAAAGGCGGCTGGTCACTGGCCGTCTGCACAGAGCGAACAAAGACCGGCCAGCCGGCATCTGAGCCAAGGAGGAGGGCCCCCCAGTCCGTGGTGAGTGGAGATGGCATTGTCGATGGCACCCTTGTCCGTGAAGCAGCACCAGCCGGGGTGGAGGAGGAGAGGAGGCCCTCCATCCCTCTGAAGCCTCCTGTCCAAGCTCTCCGGTGAGGTGGTGGTGTTGGGCACGTCGTTCGCAGCGGGCAGCCGGCGGCTCCAGCGACGTCGAGCCAGGGCTGTCGCCACAGGGGTCAGAGCAGAGACCAGGGGGGTAGCTTCAGGCCCCACCGCGCCAGGGGTGCGACGGAGTGCGGCTACGGCGAAGGCCAGACGATTTGGTGAGGGTGCTGCGAGAGCGTGTGAGAGTGTGCAAGTGGAGAGTTCTGCGAGCGATGGCTAGGGACCTGGGGCGCGTCTAGTTGCCGAGACAGGGGCCCAAGAGCCCTGGATGGACTGATGGACCTGGCGTGCTGGCACCACGGCGGCGGACGGAACAATTGTCGACAGCCAATACAGTGCTTGTGCCTGGCATTCGGTGCGACCATGCCGGATGCTCCCCTTGTGGTCTCCTTTCTCTGCCATTCCTCGTCCGCATTCGGCTCCCTCGGCCCTTTGTTTATGCTTGTTCATGCTTAATCCAGCACATGTCCAGTTGCATGCAGTTGTGCCCTGCCCCCTTTGTGGCGGCCTGTGGGCTGTGGGCTGTCTGTCGCATGGCGCTCGTCTATGGGCGGACCTGGCGCATGCCATTGGCGATGCGGGGCTGGCCAATCCAGAGTCGTCCCTTTTTTTAGGACCGCGGCGCATCAACCACCACCATTCATGGGGCAGCCCTGAGGCAATCATAGCCATGGCAATCAATGAGCTGGGCGGCGAGATATTGGCCAAAGGGAGATGAATGGATGCTAACTTTGGAACAGCCCCATGATGCGTAGATTCCCAGATGGGATGGAGCACGCCTTTGATCGCCACGCCCGACACAAGCCCAGAGCCGCCGCATATCCCGTGCGTCTACCGGCGCCGTCCTTTGGCGCTCGCTCACCGTCGCCGCCATCAACTGGAGACGTTGGAGCCGGCGCCGCCTGAACTCCACTGGAGCACGGGACAAAGAGCACAATGACCTGGCACAAAGGCTTGCGCACTGTCATCGCTGTACGCCGCATGCGACTATATCACCGGTCTCCATCGGTGATAGGGGGGAGGCCAGAAGGCCTGGACCTGGCCGGACGGATACAACGTTGTACTGTACACTGTACTGGAGGACTGTAGGACTGTAGGTACCTCAGGCAAAGCAAGATGGCAATCTGGAAAATCCATGCGTTGCCCTGTTCCTGTTCTCCTCCCAGCGGGCCTCTCCTTACTGGGCTGCCCGTCTATCTCCTTACTGGGTTGCCGTCTCCTTACTGGGCTGCTCCCTCTGGCCTTGCCTTGCTAACCTTAAAGAGGATCTCGCCTTGCCCTCTTCACCCGGGCTGCCTCCATCGAAGCTCCGTGCCACCGTGGGCACTGGGCAGGGCTCCATCGCAGCCAGGGACCTCAGAGGCCACCCGTCTAGACACCGCCAGGGACATACAGGGACACACTGTGCATTCCCAGCAGCATCCGTCCACAGTGCTCCGGCAAAGACTCGCAAAAGCAAGGGCCCGGTCGAAGCCCATCCTGGACATTGAAACGCTCCGCCACCTTATCAGAGCGCTTTATGGGCTTCTTTCGGGGGGGGCTCCTGGTGGGTCATCCCTGCGCAGGCTTCCCAGGGCTTCCAGGGCTTCCATCGTCCCTGGGTCTCCTGCAGGTACGGTGGCCCGTCCGCCAACCGATTCGCCAGCGCTTCCCAGGGGACACCCCCCGGCGGCTGCCAGTTTCGGGCGCTGCCACTCAGGCAGGGCCCTTCAGGGCAACTCAGGGCGGCGCTATGATCTGTGGCGGTCGCCGCCTCCCCCGTTCCCCCCAGACTGGTGCCGGTGCCACCAGCAAGCCACTGGGGGCGGATCGCGCGCAGAACCGTTGACCAACCCACAGCCCACCAACCCACAGACAGCACCATCCCACCTTTAGCGAAACCGCCAGGATCCCCTCACTAACATTCCCACCACACCTTCTCTTCGTCCAAGCACCTCAAACATTGATCGACGCCGGCGTTCCATCCCGCGACAACCCCTTGACGATAGAGTTGTCAGGAGGCTCGATGCTCACCATCGACTTGTGCAGCCTCCCGCCATCCCCTTTGCGGGTCTACAATGCACAATGGCGGGTGCCCGGTGGCCTCGGGGGATTTCGTCATCTGTCTATACGCATCCAGGCCTATAGGAAGCATCTGATATTGCCTTGATATTACTTCCATATTACCTATATTGCACGCGTGGAGATGAACCCGTACTTCCAGGGCCAGCATCAAGGCGGCCACAGCGAGCACATGGCCGCCAGTGCGATCCAAAGAGATCATGCCAGGGATGGGAGCATGGCCCCTTTCCTATTCCCGCCATGTCACCGGCTTCAACGGCTCAATCCAGGTGGACCGCCGCTCTCGCTCTCGTCACCGTCACCACCGGTCCCCGCTGTTGGTGGTCGATTGGGAAGGGGATCTGGTCCAGGCCACAGACAGCGGAGCACCCACGCATGGGCGGAAGTCGGCCGTACGTAGTAGACGGAGTCGTGAACAAACACTCGACTGCCCCGGGGGCCCTGGGCCTGCAAAGCTGCCAAAGGCCTGGCGATGCCAGTGAGTAAACCGTTCACGGCCTGGGATTCCGGCCCATGGCCCCACGAGGACGGACCAGCATTGGCATCGCCTGACCGGCCGGGTTCCATGACATGGTCCTCTCGCCCTCCCGTCGATAGCTTCGCCCAGAATTAGCTGGTCAATCGCTCAACCGTCAAATCAATTTCCGGGCCGGTTTGTATCGTCACCGTCTCTGGTGCCATCGCTTGAAGATTCTCGGATTCTCCTACTACGTAGTATGTACGCGCCGACACACCCACCAGAGGCGCTTATCGCCATCTGGATCGACTTGCCGGCGACAACAGTGCGCGCTGGCTGCTCGGAAGCGGAAGACTCGGGATAAACTCCAGCAATCACATCACAGCTGGTCTGGGTGGAGGGCAACGCAAAGGTTCCACCCCGTCACGGCCGAAGCTGGCATGAAGCATAAAAAAAGAAAAGACTGACAGAATCGATGATGCTTGTTGCGCCCACGACCCCGGCTTTTTTTCTCTTCAGGTTCATTTTTAGAACCAGGCGGCACTGACCACCAACCAAACGCACCAACCACCCACACTGAGCTGCAGTTGCTGGAGTGGTAAGGGCGGATCCCGGCGTCAAGGGGTCGACAACCCAGCACCGCTGGTCTGTTTCAACATCAGGGCAGCCAGTCGGAGGCCGAGTTGGCCTCCAACACTGAGACCGAAACAGAGGCCCACTACGGTTAGGCCAATCGATCACTCCCGCCGCCGTCTTTTGCCCAAGGTTGTCTCAGGAACCTGACTTTGTTCGGCGATTCGCCCGTCTCGATTAGGATGCCATGGCGCGCATCTAGAGCCGACGGAGAGCCTCTAGGCTGCCGGATCGTTTACACTTGGATGTCATTGTGTCATTCACAGATGCAGTCTCTTAGCTAGATGTCTCCCGTGTAAACCGCCAGCCGCGCAGAAAAGCTTAAGCGCTTAAAGCAAGTCAAGACGCAGCCAAGCAGCTAAACACTGTGGGATGACACGGTATGAACCAAGACTGGAAGACATCAAATCCAATTATTCCCAAGAATTATCAACATTCATTCATCTACGTAGTATATTTCTCAGTCAGCGGCATCAGCTCGCATTATCCAAACACTCACTCACCCGTCCAGGGTAGGAAAACCTTGAATCCTTCTCTTGGACGAACCATGTCCGCACATCCGTTCCATTTTCGGAACCCGCTTGAGAGTTTCAATCAATCTACCACCCGTCGAAACAAAAGACGGAGCTGCATCTGACATAACTTCTTCCGACGCCGGAACGGTGCTTTCCCTCTGCTCACCTGAATCTGGTGACGCCAACGGTCGACCACGATCCTCCCCTGTCTAATTTCCCATCGCTCCCCATGCTGCCCACGCTCAGCGGTGGACGCTCGGTCTTCCCCCTCAAGTCGCTGGCTGTCAGTGCAACCCTGTCGCCGCCGACCCCAGCCCAGACGGGCAACGCTCATAATTCGGCCGCCTCGTCCAAGGTCCGTTTGTTAGTGCACATCCGAATGGCGCACTAACAGCACAGCGCGAGGCGTGTATGCTACTGTGATAGTGCGTCAACGTGACGTGCGTGGTGACTCGTGCCAGCGAACGGTGGCCCGTCGGCGGTGGCTCGCCGGCCAAGACATGTCCACAGTCCACAGCGGCCCTTGTCTTAGACATCGGTCGGTCGGCTCGGCCGTTGCCAACTGTCTTAGAATAGCGTTCCGGAAAGCTGGTCACGTCAATTAATACTGCTAGCAAATTGCCCATGTTCCGCATGGGCTTCTTTACAGAGCGTTGTGGAAGTGCCGAGTTCCGTCAAATCCGGAGGATCCATCCTTCTGCATCCATCATACGGGTTTCTTCTCTGTGCTGTAGATGTTGGTCCGGCCATCCACGGAAAGCCAACAGCCCGAGTCAGGTCCCGCGTATAAACCATCCCGGCAGCATCGACCCAGTGCGACGATGTCGCCCGCTGCAACCCTGTCGGTGATGGCTCGTTGACCACTAACCAGGAAGATCCTTTTCGGCGTTTGGCCCGGTGCTCCCAAAGGGGTTGGCAGGGGTCTCTCAGTCCTCTCAGTGTCTGCTTTTTTGGGACCTCATGTTTCGAGTTGCGGTGACAGCGACTTTTTTAGGGTTGGTCCAGCCATTGCCGGCCATGATTTTCTGGCTCCTCCAAGTTGTATGCTCTTTCTGAACGGTGGATATCAACTCGTTGCGGCGGTGGTATTGAGAGGCACAGCACCATCAACCCGAGAAACATAGTTCCAGGGCAAAACTCTGTTGCAGATGCATCCACCGTTTATACTTGTCCAAATCAAACATTTCATTTCCTGCTCGTATGTTTCCCTGCGTGTTTACGCGTCCGCCTGACGTACTCTATAGCCAACGTAATACTTCGTACTGTGCTTGCGTTACCTTCCCTGAGCATCTCTCTCTTCGCCGAGGATCCCGTCCCCGAACTGGTGTAAGTTACTACGTGGTATGGCCAGATGCAAAAACATTCTTGGCGGGCGATCGTCTTGGAAGCTCGATGCCCTCAATTTTCTTGGGTCTTCTCCACTCTCCACTGATCGCCAGCTCTCGTTTCGACGTTTCATGCACAAAATTGCCCGACACCGTGCCTCGCCAACCAAAGATCACGCCAGCGAGAACAAACCCAGGTTGACCGTCTTGGTTCCCCCCCGAGCGAGTCCCAAGCAACGGGATTCCTCCGCTGGACGTTGTAAATTTGCCGAGCTCGCGTGGTCCAACCCCCTGGGCGTAAAGATTGATACGTCTTTTTCCCGTCTCCTTTACTGGGGCCGCCGGTTCCCATTTGTCACGTCCACCGCGGCCGGAGGGCCTGTCCCTGGCGCTGCTCCTTCACGGGACTGGGCCCGGGTACCTGCAGATGTCTACCAGGGGTGGTCGGTTGTGATCCTTTTCTGGGTCTTTTCTGGGTCACCAACACCTGAAGCACGCCTCTTGGATCTTTCCTCTTTTGGCAGGAGGGGGTGGCTGTGAATCCTGTTGCATCCTGCTCCCCATGCGGTCGAAGTGTTGGTCCCGACTCCACGACTCACATCCTGGCCAACAACAGCGCGTGCCAGAACCACGAGAAGCCACCGGTCGATCATTACCACACAGTGTCATGATCGGTACTGGGCTCGGGCCCATTGCTGCCATCAGGGTCATGATCAATCCCCGACATCACATCTTGATTATCCGTCCAAAAAAAGAACCGTGGGCTTGCCTGGGCGGTTTGCGTACGCCGCCCGCCAGCTCGTTCAAGCCATCTGAGACTGGCCATGTTTCACCAGCCCCTAGATTCGGCGCTCTTGGGGGCAAAGGTTCGCCCGACGGAGGAATTACGAAACCTTAGGGTTGAGGGCGGCTGCGAATGGCTCAAACAGTGGCTTTGAGCCATTTCCATTCCGTCTTGAGAAATTTTCTTGTTAGTTCTGTTCGATGGCGCGTTGAAGCTGCAGAGGTGACACTTACTCCACCAGCCTTGTCAACTTTGTCTTCTCAACACTCTGCTCTCTCAATGACACCGAAGAGATATTCCGATGCTATGTCCCGGTTTTGATTATCATCCCAGCCTTGCTAACACAATTCCAGCGCATCGAACCTGCTTCGCCCGACCGATCACATTGCGTATTCTGATGACGAGAACCGACTACGTTTGTCAGAGTTTCGATACTGGTCAACCCGATCCCATGACTTAGTGTCCGATCCAAACCACATCGAACCGCTTGATTGTCCCACGATGGCTTTTAATAGTACCGTAAACGTCGATGCTTCTTTTTTGCCTACAAACCACGGTTGTCCATTACCCACGATCAAGCTGGGTGCTTGGTGATCGCTCTCGACTTTCTGCACCGACTCTTAGTTGGTGCAACTCTATACCACCCCGACACCGCCGCTGTGATGGGCCGCTGGGCCGCGCTTGAGGTCTTCATAATGCAAGGCCTCTAATGGCCAGTGAAGTCATTGTCTGTTCCAATAAATGGAAAGTGAGGACTCTCGAGGCATTCAACTCCATCGTCCCCCAACCCTGAGCCATCCAATGCTGCACGAGTAAGCATCCTTGCCTAACCCCACGATGCACTGCAGCGTGAATCTTTCGGTGGTGGGGCTTGGCCACTGTTTGGCTGAACTGCTTTGCGCCTTGGCTTGATTACCGTCACATGATGTTATTCGCGATGATTCTTTCGTGTCTAGCGTCGCAAGTGCGTGATGCTTTTGGCGATACTAGGCAACCACTGAGCACAGCCTTGAACTACCGATGCGTGCATGTTGCTGGCTCGCGCCGAATAGTGACAGCTTCGAAGAGTGAAATGCCCTATATAGTAAGCGCTTCATCCGGCGTTGATGTTCTTTCGTATATTCACCAAATCAATTTCCACATTTGCTCTTGCCATTCATTTATTACATATCGCTTCGTCTCTTGCTGAAATCGGTTCCAGAACATGAACCCGCAACAGCGCCAATTCATCTACAACGCACCCTCTCACGTATTTTTTCTTGACGGTGTCAATCCGTGCAACCTGAACATCACGACGCATGGAGATGTGTGTGCCGGTGGCTTCTTCACACTTCATCCGGCGCAATCAAGCAATCTCAATAACCTCGCGTTGCAAGTTTGCGTCGCGCCAGACTGGACAGTGGGCGTGCGCATCGCCATCGCAGGCGAGACGCACGCGTTCAACGAGCTTGGCGCGCCGCCGCTAGTGACAGAGGAACTGCTTGGGAGGCTGCATGTGCGTTTTGAAGAGGTTGGCGCTGGCCACTGCATGCACCGCGTTGGTGAGACGTGGGCAGCGTTTGGGGATCCGATGGATATGAGTGAAGACGAGATGTACTGGAATGACTCGATGGAAGTCGGCTATTAGGGGTTCCTGGTTTAATTTCGTTGGGGCGAGCTTGGGCCATTTCAACGCTCTCATGATGATATGACGATAATGATTTTGCCATGTCTAGGGTAGGAGTTTGGTGTATTATTTTGGCCCGGTGCTTTCAATTGTATGCGTTAGTGGATGAATCTCTTTCTTCTATTTGGATTGGGTCAATAACTGTATCTTACAGTTGAATGTATTCGTCTGTTTAGACCGAGCAAGACCTATATTTTCTGGGTATTGGGGTCTGAGACAACTCATTCCCGATGTTCTCGAACTGTCATGACTCACATGGACTTCTCCTGAATTCACGGCCACGTCCTCTGCAAGTCGAAAAGCCCCAGAAGATGACAGAAGCGTATAACCGATTCAAATACCAGGATACTGCCCAACACCACAAAAAACACTAAATACTTCATGTCATCCTGCGAGACGTGATGCTGGGTTCATATCGTGGACATCGGAGCCGACAGGGGTCACGCGCTCACGCGTCATCATGACTGCCCTATTTAAATCACCACATCCGTGCAGCAAACCTTTCCTACTTACACCCATCGACGCGTACCTGAGGGAATCAACTTCCCAATCTCAGCACCGCGTCACAGAAATAACCATGACCACAAGGTCTCGAGCGTTGCATCGGCACACACGAAATCCCAGGCGAGGTCGGCACGAACAACGAGACCCAAAGCATGCCGCGTGAGTGTGCTACACCATCCTGACGGTGACACTGCATTACCTGGCCCGCGCGAAGTGATACATTGAGAAGATGACAAGAATTCCAAGAGACCTGCTGGATGCAATTGGTTGTGTTGTTGCCTGTGTGGTTTCGCGAGTCTGAATTTGGCGGTTCGAGGACAAAGAACGCGACTTGGAGTGCCTTGGGTGGAATGTCTTTTAGGATATTTTGCTAATCAAAGGCGCACGAGTAGTTGTACATGACGCTTTAGGAGGGTCTTTTGTTCTAGTGTGCCCTTTTATTCCATCTCGTGCAGAGGCCAAGTAAGTTCCCGTGTGATGTGGAAGCTTGGTGATTTCAGTTCTTTCTCTTTCGCGACCTCCTGCAGGCATCGCGAGCTACCAACGCCCTCATTCCCCACCTTGTAGCTTGCGCATCCTCTCCTCCGCGGCTCTTGCCCTCCGCTCTCGCTCGAGTCGTACCCTCATCTCCGGCGTTAGACCACGCGCCTCAGCCTCTCTCCGTTCTTGCGGCGTCTTTGTTAGACCCGCCGCGAGCGTATTGCCCTTGGGTTTCCGGCTCTCCGTCACCTTGGGACCTTCAGATCGCAGACGCTCCTCCTCTGCCCGCCGTCGATCAGCCTCTTGCTTGTCCGCCTCTTTCTTCTCCCTCTCGTCGCGCTGATCCGCCTCGGCCTTGGTCATGGGAGGAGGCACCTTGGCGGCGTCCCAGGGCCACTTGGCTTCGCCAAGCTCCGAACGGGCAACGCGGAAGGCATCTCGAGTTGAGCGATCGCCGGCGAGTTCGAACGGCGTCTTGCCTTCCTTGTTCGTGATCGTGGGATCTGCGCCACCCCGCGCGAGGAGCCCCAACACAAGCGGCGCAGCATTTTGAGCAGCGGCGAGATGGAGCGGCCGAGGGGCGTGGTGGTTTTGCTCTGTAGGCTGGAACTCAAAGTCTGGGCTGACGGTGTTGTTTTTGAGGTATGACAAGAGCGCCGGCAGTTTTGATCTTCGGGTGAACGCTTGGAGCTGTGATGTATGGAGCAATGCCGTCTCTTCCTCCTCCGACAGCTTCGGCTTCGCGGGTTTTGACTCTGTAGCCCTTTTCGGCGCTGCAGGCTCGGCTTCCTTGGCCTCCTGGGCAGGGTCGATTTCGCGAACCTTTAATCGCGTCAACTCGATGAATGACCGCATAAGCTCATTCTGCGTTGCTCTCCTAGTGCTGAAGGGGAAGCCCCGTAGACGTGTGTCATTGTGCTTCAGGACCTGGCCGTCGTACGGGCCGAACAGCGTCCTCCGATTCGTAGTGCCAGTTGCCCGGATAAAGTGCAGCTCAGCTGTATCCAGGAGGGCTTTCCAGTCGGAGAGGAGGGCCCGTACATCCTCCACCAAGGCCTGCTCGTTGTAACGACGCAAGCTCGAACCAGCCGAGTGCGCAGTACCCTTGGCGTTGTCGTTGGCCGACTGCGAGCCACCCTGTTTCCGTCGCGTTGTATATCGGTGGAATGTCTTGTGTGCGAGCACCGTTGCCTCCCGATTCATGGTGGTTCCGCCCTTTGTCGGCCGTGGCGCGAGTGACACGACCATTGCTGCAAAGTGGCCACCGCCGATCATGCAGAGGAAGATGTGTGGACCCTTGTAAGCAAACTCTGGGAGCGTGCCGTCCTTGGGGATCCTGGGCATTGATATGGGCGCCACCTGCTTCTTTTTCAGGACCTCGACTAGGTCGGAATTCCGTAGCTCCTCTCCGGTGAGAATGGCGCGGTACATGCCAAAGTAGGTATTCTCTGGGAGAGCAGGAGTGCTGAACCAGAACAGTGGTGGTTTGCCGCGATTCTTCTTGGCTGCGCTCTCATCTTCATCGTCATTTCCACCGTCTCTTTTATCTGCCAGTTTCGCTTGCTTCTTCAGCAGGGCTGTGAGCGTCGATTCCTGTCGGCCGTCCTCCTCTTCATCCTCCTCGTCGTCCGAGTCTGATCCCGACAGGGACTCGTCGAGGTTTCCGATCAACTTCTCAAACTCGGCTTCCGATACAGGCTTCTGCCCGCGTAGCTTCTGCTTGAGGTTGTAGTGGTGTAGGTCGGATTTTAGGTGGCCGCGCTGGTCGAGGAGGGTTGTGAAGGTGAGGCCGCAGAGCGAGCAGGCCTGGCTACCAACAAGATTGCCGTCGGATGTCGCGGAGCTTTCTGAGGATGGGCTCGTGGGATCGACGGCCGAGATGGCGTCAGTGTCGGCATCTGACTTTTGGGTCAAGGTGTCTAGGACCTCGGACGGCAGATCATAGACTAGGGGGATGATTAGCTTTGGTTGTCGTAGCCTTGTCGGCGATTGAATGGCGGGGCAAAGGCAATTGCGTGGGCTTACCATAGAGCGGGCGCCGCAGGAGATCGTCGTTCTTCTTAGACATGGCGATGCTCGTAGACCTGTGGTTTGTCGCTAAGTGTTGGTGGTGTCTAAAGCCAGAGCTCTCCCGTTGGAGTCGCGAGGCGCGAGCTTTTGTAACTCGAAGCTGTTGTCGCAAAGATGCGTCACTGCCGATGCGATGAGTCGCGCGATCAGCCTTGGCCTGACTCAGTCGGCCAGAGGCTGGTGGGGTTAAGCCCCGCCATTTACCCCGCCAGGCCGTGGCTGTGGTGGCTGTGGTGGCTGCGGCAGTTGTGGCTTTATGAGCTCATGGATAACCTTACTTAAGGTACCTACGGCCCCGTATCTATTAGGCGAGGTGCAGCTACTGTAAGCTTATCTTATCGCAAGCCAATCGCCGACAGCATCAACGTCACTAAATGCATCATCTTTCAGCTGTTCCAGGTTGCGCAGCTCTCGCCTGCTCTGAGATTGGCCCATTCCAGGTTCCAAGCGCATGAAACTGGCTACCACGTTGCGTCAGCGGTTGGCACGCGTACTCCATCTCTCCATCATACACGGGCAATCGTGTAATCACTGCAGTCACTGTCCCTAAAGCAGGGAAGCGGCCGTCCTGCCATGCTTTACCCCGCCTTGCTTCCTCTGGCCTGTTGTTGGACGAGTTGACTAAAGTATCTCTGTGAGAGTGAATCCACCTATAAATACATTGTCCCAAGATGCCTTTGCTCGTGTGATCCTTTCTCTCTCTTCAATTGTGCGTAGTCATTGTCCATCTCCGTCGTCCATCCACCCTCTAATCCCAGCCGACATCAAACCATCCAAACAATACCAGTACGACCTTGACCCCACCATCCACGATGGATTTCCTCAAAGGCATGGCCGGCGACGGCGACAAGAAGACCGAGGAGAAGCAAGCCGACAGCGGTAGCGGCGGCGGCTTCATGGACAAGGTCAACAACTTCGCAGGCGGCGGTGCCAAGGGCGAGAAGAACGAGGACCACTTGGACAAGGGTAACACTCCAACACCTTCCATTCCACGCCTTCTCGCAACCGCTAATACCTCTCCTAACAGCTGTCGATTATGTCCAGGAAAACTTCTTGGGTAAAGGTGACCAGAGCAACGAAAGCGCTGCCGAACAGGCGAAGGACGAGGCCGTCTCCGACTTCATCCGCGACAAGTACAAGGAGACGACTGGCAAGGAATTCTTCGTCAAGGACAAGGATAAGGACTACGGCGCTTAGAGCGGAGACCCAGGAATTTGATAAAAATGGTTCTTTTTTTTATCTTTTGGTGGGATAACGAGCTATGAAATAAAACATGTCGCATCTTCCGAAGAAGATATTATTTTTTGACGACTTTCCAATCAGTTGTTTGTAGTGTGCGCCCCCAGTACCCTCAGGAAAATTTAAGGAGCGTGTGCGTCAGGATTGACGATGATAAAGGAAAAAGTTGGGAAAAAAGAAATAAACGAAACATGAGAAAGATATAAGAAGTAGATGAGGGACCCAGCATCAAATCCGCACCAAGACACCTTGCACGATGATCTTACCCGATCTCGGCGCAATCTGCTCAAACACCTCCGCCGCCGAGTAAGCGTGCGGCCCGGTGTCGTGCTTCAATCGCGGTTTGAAGGTGTTCAATATTCAACGGAACCCTGCGTCTTGCGGCCAAGACACACGCTGTCTTGAAAGCGCCCTTGATGTGTCTCCCGTTGAGAGGTACCTTGGCCAGGGGTGCAAGTTCTCCATCCCCCAAGGCGCTGGCTGCGACGCTCCTGTTGACGAAGTTGCGCCAGATTTTGGCCCGCGCAGCCGCCTCAGGCTCCTTGAAGGGAAGGGCGAGGTCGATGTGCGACTCGAACGCTTTGTCAACGGTGAAGTAGCGGTTTGCCGTGAGAATCATGGCTCCGCTGTAGTACTCCAGACGTCGGAGGAAAACTGACCGAACAATGTTAGCACGGATTGGAGTATTCTGGGTTTGGAGCAATCTCACCGGAGACGATCTTATTGCGTTCGAGGCTGTGGGCCGAGCGAGCCTCGAGGAACACGTCGGCCTCATCAATCGACAAGATCGCGGCCCACTTGGCACAACGCCTGAGCACCCTCGTCAAGTTGCTCTCGACATCGGCGGCATTTGTTCCAAGATCACTGACGCTGAGCTTGTAAAGAGGGCGCTTCACCTCCTCGGATGCTAAAGATCGCCGTTAATATACTTGTCCAGGCGTCATCGTGGCGGGGGATTACTTACCAGTCTCGGCAGTGAACGTCTTTCCAGTGCCAGCAGGACCAGCAAGCAGGATCATGGATCCTTGTCCTGCAGTCGGTTAGCATGCTCTATTCAAATTAATAATAGCATCGTGACAAACCTTTCTCCTCCCCAAACTTGGGAGTCTGAGCAGCAGCGCAAACATGGCTAAGCACCAGGTCCTTGTCGGACTCATTGATGACGAGCTTGTCCATGGCGTCCGAGTTCCACGACATTTCCTGGAGATGGCTGACGCTCAGCTTGACTAGTCATTATTAGTTTCATCACATTTCTGTTAATTGAACCGGTTCCACTTACACCACTTCTTGGTATCAAGACCGAACCCAAATACGGTCGGCACAGCCAAAAGGCACTGGTCGTCCGTCAAGGGCGAATAGTCTGGCGTGTTCCTCTTCTCAGGCGTGTAAGGTCGACCCTGGCCGCGGCAGAACGTCGCTGGGCTCTCTACGAGCTCGCGGAAGGTCGCTTTGGTCGGGATAATCGGCTTCCGAATAGCATTTTCGGGCTCGAGGTCACTCAAAGGCTTGAGCGAGGCTCTGAGGCCCCTTGCATCCTCGTAAAAAGCCTTGGCATCGATAATCACCCGCTCGTTCACCTTGGGTTCTCGTTAGCGCCTTGCTTGGTCTAGGAATGAATTGACTTGCCTTCATCATCGTGTTATGGACGATCATCTCTCTTCCATGGGCGTTGTAGATCATGAGGCGCTCGTGTCGCAGCTTCTCAAACCTGCGGCCCCGGGCGATAAGACGTTCTTTGACAACCTCATGGCGCGGATGGGATTTCAGAGGCAGAACATCCATATCTCCCAAGGGAAGAGCCCCCTCAAACTCCGCAATCTTAAAGGTAGATTCTCTGACTCCGCAGTTCATGCCGTCCCAATCAAGTTGATTGACCCTGAAGCGGTAGCACACATCCTTCTCGTCATCGGAGGTGACTCGTTCGATCTCCTTGAGAAGTGCGGCGCTCATCACGCCGTCCTTCTTGTTCAAGATGATCTCGCCGGGGGTAAAGGCGATGGGCACTTGGTCAAAGTTGACACAGGCTGTTTCTTGAAGGACCTCATCTGCCTTGAAAGCCTCCTTTAGTTGCTTCTTTAGTATATGTTGGAGGATTTCAAGGTTCTCACGCAGGACCGGCTCCGTCACTGATTCCACCAGATCAACGAACTTGGCCCAAAGATGAAGGAAGGGGACGAATGGTTGAGTGAAGCGCAATTCCGTAGACGTGCAATCGACGGCAGGGTAGTCTTCAAACAGAAGAAACAGAGAATCCCTGAGATCCTCGTTGTTGATCCCGATGCACTCAAGCCTCCATAACTCGCCGACGGGGTGGTTATAGCAGACGATGGCAAATAACTCGATTTGGCTTTGGGCTGTTTCGACTCGCTCGGGGTCCTTGTCAGATGGCTTCTTGACATTGTAGACGACGCAACATGAACAGAGGAGCTTGCTTATCGCAAAGAGGGCCTTGACTCCGGAAATCTGTCCAGTCGAATAGGTCGGTCTCAAGTCCGGAGCTAATCTTGTTAATAACAATGGCCATGAGATATCATTGTGGTAACTGACTCGAAGGTGGAGTCTGAATCCTTTGCAGGGCATCTTGCTGGGCTTGTTGCAGGGCATGAAGCTCAGCCGAAGGCGCAATCCTGTAATCGGGATTGAGGTAGTACTCAGGTACAATGCGCTGACCTTGACCACGGCGACGGTTAGGCTGGCCGTCTGAATTGGTGGCAACCATGGCTGCAGCCAAATTCAATGGAGGAGTGTGGGAGTGTTTGCCAGTGTTGTTGAAGTTTGCCTCTTGGACGAAAGATGAAAGGTGGATAGCTGCGAATTTCCAGAGTGGTCGGAACCCCCTGACTTTATCACCTCAGAGCCCTCACTTCCCCAGGTTGCCTCAATCTCATTTGGGTGCTTCTCTCAAAGTACCGAACAAGGCTCTGGGTTGTTGCGGCCGCTGCTTATGCGACCCAACGTGCCAAGACTGTCCTTTCTCAGTGCCAACTCAGCCTATTGATGCTCTTCGCCCAACAGGACGGCACACACAGCCTGGCCCAGACAGACGGACTGCCACACCAACTCAAGAGATCCAATACATTTCTGGGTCTGGCAAAACGACTCAAATTGTGGCCTGATATCCTGCCGCTTTTTCTCAATCCGTCACATCACTAAAAGATCCGGCTCGAATACCGCCGTCTCAGCTCACGCTACCACCGGATGTTTCACATGTACCTGAGATCTGTCATAAAAGAGAAAACAAATGCGGCTGAGGGATTGGACCGGGGGTGCGGGGGACGTGGATGCGCAAGGGCTCGGTGTGTTAGCGGATGACACGGCTCACGGTTGCGAGGCGTGTCATGGGTTGCATCCGAGCGGCCCCATGGGATCGAGATAGGATCTAGGGCTGAGATTGGTCTGTAAAAGAGAGGAGAGGAAAGAAAATGTGTGGATCTTTTCCCATTTCACAATGTGCATTAGGATAGCTCTCTGTGCCGTCCTGCAAGAACGCCATGAATGGCATCTTGTGGCTGACTCTGCCAATTAGACCCGACAATCACCACACAACTCATAAACAATGACCATCGTAAACAATACTATCATAAACGACAAGGCAGAGGTGCAGTAGTATTCAGCTTCTGTCTCGGTGTCTTCCGGGATATTGGTGCTGCCCACTTGAGCTGCTCGGTCGTAAAAGTACTCCAGCTGGTGGGAAGTGTCTGGCGAGCGGGTCATTCTAGCTGGCGGGACATCTCTCGCTCTCGCGCGCACTGGTAGTATTGTCAGTAGAGTCCTGATCCAGGAGCCCGGTTCTGGGATTTTGTTAGTATGATTCGCGAAACTGACAAGTAGCCCCATCTCATCTGGACGATCATGAGCAGCGTCATTGCTCACCGCGTGAAGGATGCTGTACGATCTGCAAGTGTTGTTGAATGCCGGCCGGTACCACACAGCACTCCCCCTTACCCCACGCGATTCTGTTGGCCCTGCGTTGTCACGTATCCTCCCATCTTCGTCCTCCTACCGCGTGGGGACAACCAGGATTACTGTTGGTGGCGCTTGATTCAAGGGACGACACGTTGGCTGCGGTGAGACATTGAGACATATTGAGGCCGCGACCCAGCTAGGCTGAATAGCTCGGACCAGGCTACAAGTGGTATAAGTGCTTTTTGTATTGTAATTTCGTGTCAGCCATCGCCGATTCGAGGTATCAATAGGCCAGCCGTGGTTGTAGAGAGAAGCAAAAAGACGGCAGTGCGGACCGAGCACCCTAAAGTGCATCATCCTGCGCCTCCACGAAACCCTCGTGCATAGATAGTCGCATCTTAGAGCCTGAAAAGCCACCGATTGTCGCCCGATGGATGAGTTCAAACGTATGTGTCAAAGACATTTGGGATTGGAGGGTAGTATCCGCACATCTGGCCCCACAAATCATCCACACAATCACTGCCACAGCGGCGACAAGCAGAGTCTCGATGAGCGGAGGTATCGTGACTTATCGACTATGCTGACAAGGGTCCTGCAAGATTGCTTTTTGCAAAGCAATAGAGCACGCCACTATGTGACTGATAACGAGAGAACCCCTCTTTAGGTCCTCTTTAGGTACAGACATGGAGCGACAACAATGGAGACAATAGAAATGGTACCGAGCCAAAGACAAAAGGATCATCTAGCTTGACGCGGTCTCCCGACGACAAAACCCTGTCCTGCCGGCACTTTCCTCGCTACACCCTCATATTTCTCAAACACACTTATCATAGAATTGATAACTCGTCACAAGCCAAGCCGGTAGCTTCCTGCATGGCGTCCAGCCGTCGGTCATCGTCGTCCTATGACTTGTTGGCCCACGCACTCAACGGCATGCATCCTCCCTCGCGAGCGAGAGCCAAGCCAACAACACATCCCCGGACCAATACCGCAGTGTCATATTTGACAGAAAACTAGTTCAGCCACTTCGAATTTCGGCTACAGCATCCGTTGATCACCGCTCTTCTCAATTAACGGTCAAGCAGTCGGCTGACGTGGCGCATCATTGTTCGCGGTTTCCATGAGGACCGGTACGAGTTCCCGGAATGACTTCTTTAGGGAGGCCGAGACAGAGGGACCCATTTTTTGCAATACCGTCTTAATGAAGTCAAACATGTTCTGGCCCTCTCGGCCTTTGAGATCTATCCGAGATAGGCTTTGGCGGGGAAGATCCATTAGTGCCTGTAGGGCGACGTCTGCCATCATGGCACGATTGAATAGGATAAGCGTTGCGTCTTTATCGCGATGCGGCTGAGTGGGAATGAATTCCGAGTCCCCGAGTCGCTTGGGGACGATGCTAGCAAGCGCGGATCTCGTAGCTTGAGAAACCAGGGGTGCCTCATCCGAGACAGCCACCTCCAGGACGTATTCGAGCCACCCAAGGAGTTCCTCCTCCCCAACAACGACCAGGGTAGGCTGGAGGAGGCTTTCAACAAAGGGACATCTTTTCCGAGGAGCCGCGGGCAGGCCGCCCCCTACATCCAAGTAACGTCTTTGGGGCAGAAAGCTGACGTAGCCCTCTCTCATACGGCGGGGATCCGATGTCTTAGACAGGCGATGTACGGCAATGTCCAGAGCGCACTGTGTAAGCGCCAATGCAAGCCGGCTGGCGAGTTCCTCGAGGTTGGGGGCGTTGGCTGACCAGATGATCTGCATCTTGTGGATGACCTCGCCCCGTTCCGGAGATGGTTCCAAGCGGAGGACGGCTGGAGAGCGGCCTCAGCTGCCAAGGCCCGTTCTGAAATCCCGTCCATGCTGGTGAAGCCGCCAATAGACATGGCCACTCTGCAGACGCAAGCGATCAGAGTGTCGGCGGCAGCACTGGACAAGCCGCTCAGCGGACCGAGAAGACACGACAGAGATGCGTCGACGGCCGAGTCCACCTGCGCTACATTGTGCAGGACATGGAAGAAGCCTCCGGCATCGGCGATTTCTGGCGTCCCTTTCCAGTTTGAGGTACCTGCGCTGTGCGAAGCGGAGGAGCTGTTTCCGGGAGAGGTTGCTGGCATGGTTGGTGTTGTCGGGATAGCTCCGTGTTGGGGGCTGGAGAACTGGCCATTGCTAGAGATGGCTGGCATTATTGTTCGACTGTCTCTGCCGTGGATGTCAACGAATTGGATATGATCGGATGTCCCAAAGCTGGACCTTTGGTAATCGAATATGTTGGCAAATGCTTGGTAGTCATGTCCATAAGGGCCGCAGATTGAAGTGCCTGAGTTATTCCCATAGCCCTCACCGCCATGGCAGTGCGTTCCAATGACCGTGTTTCTGTCCTCTTGCACGATGGGGGCACCGCACTGTCCTAAATGAACTTGAATAAGCACGGAATATTACCTAGCGAATCTATTCCATGGCTTACTTAGATAGGTAGAAAGAGCGTACTCGATCATGTGGTTTGGAGAGAGAGTGAGATTATAATTTGACAAGACATATCGCTCGTACATCTGAGCGCCAAATTCAATGTCATCTCCACTGCTACGACGAAGATAGCGGTCTCCAGGATACCCAACTACCCCCAGTATGCCCATCCTAGTCTCAGCTGTGGTCGAGAAGGTAAAGAGGCGAAGGTTGCCGTCGAATGGCTTGTCGAGCTGGATAAAGGCAATGTTCTGGTTCTGCTCTCTATCTTGATTGCGTTTATTTACCCAGTCGGCCGGGACCGCCACAGACTGGCCGTATCTAGCTTGAGCTTGTTGAGACTGCATCGAGTCTCGACCATTGTAGCCAATGTAGCACTTGACCTGAGTCGTGGCACCGACCCATCTGGGCCCAACGTGATACACGATGTGCGCGGCGGTGACGACTAGGTCTGGACGTATAAGCCATCCGGTGCCCATAGCCCAGACCTCTTTGGGTGACCACTTGTTTGGAGCCAGAGATTGGATCTTGACGACAGCTGGTATGGTTAGCCGCGAGGGACTAGGAGGCCCGGATCTTGCACTTACATCGATACTTGCCGCCATCTTTGATGTCCTCTTCATTTACCAGACTGCGCATGTCTGGATTAATGACAGAATTGACGCCACCCAGACCATCCGAGGAGGGAACAGTAGTCCGCACGGCTGGATCCATCGTCGTGGGCCGCTCGAGTCTCCAGGTCGCCGCAGCGTCAGATCCGGTCGAGGTTGTCATTGTGGCCGAGGTTTGGGATTTCCAAAAACAGTAGGGGATTGATTGGAAGTGAACAATTCGGAAAAGGTAGGATCTTGGGATTTAGAGTCGAACAGGTTGATTGTGCACCGAGAACTCAAGAACTGCCATTTTTATACCAGACCTTACCCGTAGTCGCATGCTATGCGACACTCGCCCACTGAACGAGAGTTTGACCAAGTGCTGGGCAAATCTACTCAATTACTACGTAGCGCCATTGTATCTGCAAGTCACACCCTTTGCCTCCCAATGCTTCCTTTTGAAACAATGTGGTGAGCCAATTCCCTTGGGCTTTGGTGGACCACACGTCTCATGAGCTGTCAGTGCATCTCGTCTCCGTTCAGCTCGTAAGTTGATGGTCTAGATCCCATAAACAAAACCAGAACGCGCGGGGTTGTTGAGACACGCATGGACAAATAGTTGTTAAAAATACATGGTCACCTACCCTATTGAACATACGACACAGCCAGGGCGTAGCGGTGGCAGTTTGAGCCTCGATGCATGGCCAAGGGCTGTTGATGGGCAGCTTTTGAAGCCACAGCATCAGCAGCCTCTGTGATTTTCTGCGCCCAAAGGAGATCAAAAGTATGAAGACCAGAAAACGAAATTGAGCACGTAGTTGAATCGATCAACAACTGTTTGTTGACTTCCATCTCCGTCAACCCATATCATCGGGCAGTTCACTGGTGCTACTATACGCCCAATCCCAGCTCCAGAAGCTAAGGAGCACTAGGTCCGCGCTGCATCTCATCGATTTGGTTACGGCGTTGTCTGAAACGGTGGCACTTGACTTTGAGAGGTGGCGCGAGCGGTAGCCCTCATATGGTATCCTTTCGTTATAGTATTCAGGCGTTGAGGGCCTAGATCTCAATATTTATGCGGCAGAGGAGCTGACCTGAGGCGGCAAGATGCATCCGCCTGTCACTGTGAGACTGCGAGTTCTAGATTGGAGCCTGCTGGACGTTTCTTGTTCAAAAGAAAAGAAAATTAAAATGAGGATCAAAGAGATAAGCTTGGAAAGTGATTTGCATTCATTTTAGTCAATTGTCATTGTAAATTGTAATTGACCGTGAGCCTTTGTAAATTAGATGAACCTGGGGAGTTCGGTCGGTTGTCTTAGCGGGGGGCATCCGGGAGTGATCACTAAATTACAGGGCCGAGCTAGGGGGTGCCCGGTACTAGGCTTGATGTGGTCTCCGGTATAGTGTTGTTCCAGTCGTATTATGATCGAATTATAATCTATGCGTTCAAGTTGCAAATATCTTGATTGCCAATTCGCACTTCCTGTAGTGGCGAAGCAGAGAGCCTGTTCCCCAAGATTGACTATTCTTCTCCAGTGTCCAATTGTTCCGACCATTCTGTCCCGGCGAGGCTCCGCTGACGGGAGGCTCATCTCTGGCAACTATTAGAGCCCAGCTGAGACAGGCCATAAAATGTTCAGGCAAGTTCTCCAGCACCTTGATTCGCGTTCCTTCCTGGCTTGCGGATTGTGTCACAGATCCCAACATGACTTCAGCGTGCGACAATGAACCGGTGCAGGCGGCTCTCGGAGTAGTTCTCTAGTTGGCAGCCGTCCACCAGGGCCATGCAGAGATGGCCAGTGTAATTGCAGGGCCGAGACTCGGCATGGATTCAGTGGATCTGATCCGCGGAATGTTTAAGTGGCCATGGAGTTGACTACTAGACAGGAAACAGACCTCCAGGCGACGGGACTTGGGGCAAAGCGCGAACAATTCGTTAGTAAATACGTCGACAGATACGGAAGCTATGGATTGAATGTGGCGACGTATTCACGAGGTGCATTTGATGCCTGGAAACAGGTCATCGCCCCTCATCTGACTGTCGACGTGATGTGGTGTTCAACCTCTTCCCGAATCTTGCTCCGCACCTCCTACGCTATCTCTACGTGAGAGCCTTTTGTAAGCCCATTCTGGTCATCAACATCTGGAATTCCTTTTCCGAACACAATGACATCATGTCTGTAGTGATGGTTAGATGGCCCCGTGACGAATACTGTGAGATTACTGGGACGTACCCTGCAAAGACGCTGAGACCGCCCTCTACGTCCATGAAGTGTTTGCAGTCGTCTGTCAAGTTGGTTTCGTATTCGGGGCTCGTGAAGAAATTCTCAAAGTCTTCCCACTTTTTGAACCACAGCGTCGAGCATCCGTCAAACTCCATTGCGTTCATGCTCATCCTGGCAAGCCCCTCCTTCATCCCAGGGAGTTGGTGATGCTATCCGTTTCAATGAAAAGAGCACTCCGTGTAATTGATCTTATACTTACCTGAGTGTATCTTTGGACCCTGAAGAGGCCAAATTTCTTCGAGGCGAGCGTCATGTCAGCATGGACGTGAGCCCAGTGTTGGGTGAAGTGCTCGAGAGAGACGCCCTTTTTCTTCTTAAAGTAAATTGAAACCCTGACACATGCTAGAAGACCTGTAAGCTTTAACCAGTTTCTAGTTGATTAAATGACTGACGTTGATAGTGAACTTCCTTTTCGTACTTGAAGTCGTCGAACGTGAAATCGTGGTCGATTTGCACATGACCTTGAGCTGGATCAGTGTTCGGCATGGTGATCTCCGTCGCAGCGTGAAAATGATGTAAAACAATAATGATTTGTGAGTGTGAGTATACCCGTACGGTCTAAAGGAAAGGGGGTACTCTGCTACCAGGAAGGCTTAATACTCGCGATGCTTTGGCAATGCCATGAACCATCACTGTCCTCGGAGACGGGTTTGTCCGCGGCCACAGGGCAATCTTTTTCCTGGAGAATCGCCAAGCTCCCAGCTACGGTCACTATTCACTAAACGACAGCTTTCAAGGCTTCGGTGTGGGAGCTCATTGGAAGATGATGGGGCCTCATGGATGGCTTTATCCATGGAGAGTGGCAGGGGAGTGACAGGGTAGCAAACACGACTCCCTGCTGGATATTATTCCTCCTGACAGAATCATGGTATCCTCGAAGACGTACGGATCCCTTGTGTAGAAGCATGTGACGTCGACTTTGACTTCCATTGCGTGAATCTCATAATGCGGTCCAGGACACTGGACTCAGGGACAGATCTGGAGCCAATCAGCCAAGTCGCAGAGGCGGGGAAGACGGAGCAGCGATCCCGAACGAAGATCCATTATTGTGCACTCCGTCAGAAGGATAAACTTCTTTTCATCAGGTTGGTGTGCTTCACGCTGATTCATTAGCGCCTTTCTCCCATCGGGTAGGTAGTATTGGCTAGAGGCGAAAGAAAGCCACGAAGGCATATTGAAGCAACAAGGCCTTTAATTGTGCCATAGATGGCCATCTCAGAATGCATCACATTTAATGGACTAATTCGGCTCCATTGGAAAGGAACTACGAGGTACCATTTCCCTTGGCTTTGTACTCCTCCAGCCTCGCCAGTTGGTTCTCCATACTCGTCGCCTCGATAACCCTTCTCATTGAATCATCGCAAAACTCTGGCATATCGCGGAAATAAAACTTGTCTGCGTTTATCTCCACCGCGAGGCCGTAGTCCTCTCCATCCTTGACCGTTCGGCCCCACGCATCTGTCATGTCACCGCCCTCCACTAGCATCTCCACGGTTGATGCTATCCGGGAAAGCGGGGTGAAGTATTCCTCCGGAAATGCTGTCCACTCTTTGTCATTCATGAGGTTAGTTTTGACGGTACCCGGACAGGTGGCGTAAACGCGGATGCCACTGGAATGGTAGTAAGGGAAGGCGATGGCCCGCATGAAGTGGATGACGCCGGCTTTCGAAGCGGAGTATATGGGACAGTATTGAGATGGATACTGATGATTCCAAGGGTGAAATTGTCAGTGTACTTGAATTTTCCAATTACCGCTTGCATTCGTTTGAACAAGGGCGGCATGGATCTGAATGAGTTTCCACTTACCAACCCGCCAACACTCGCGGTCATCACTAGCGACGCGCCCATGCCCTTGTGTGGGCTGCGGCGGAAATAATGCAACGCAAGATAGCTTTGATTAATCACCGAGTTCAAGTTCACATCCAGCGTCTTCTGTTTTGGCTCGGGCGGAATGTCGTCGCTGTCCGGAGTGTCGTAAAAGTTGTCTCTCTCCACGATGCCCGCATTGGCGAAGACGAAGTCGAGGCGGCCGGCTTGCGAGAAGGCATTCTTGAAGGCCTCAGAAAGTGATTTCCACGATGTCACGTCGACTTGGTGGAACTTGGAGTTGGCGAGGGACCGCTCAGTCGTGACACCAGCCTCCTTGTTGAAGTCTAGGACGTGGACCGTCCATCCCTTGGAGGCGAGAGACTGCGCAACGGCAAGACCCATACCGGAGGCTCCGCCGGTGATGAGCGCGACTTTGGAAGACGCCATGTTGCTAGAATTTAGCTGGATGAGTAGGAAGAGTTGCTGGTGAAGTTCTAGCCAATTTTCCTCGTTCACGCCGCTCTTCTTCAACTACACCACCTCAGACAATTGCCGAAGTACCGTGAGATCCCGTGGGAACCACCCTGTGAATCAACACAGAGCGAATAGGTCATGAGACGCCATCCCAATACCCCGGAAAACAGTTTCAGTTCCACCCAGAGCTGCACACCAAGTGTGGATAACTCCATCCCGATGCCCCGCAACCCCGGAACTTCACCCCGCACTGAGCTGGGCGAGGGACCATCCCAACTGGGGAACTTGATCGCTACGATGAACCAGGTTGTCGACGACAAAACCATTACGACGTGCATGATAGCAAAACAGGAAGACGTAAATGCTACGGAGGATCAGCAATTCATACATGCGCACAGCTCTGACCATAAGAGCGAGGTGGGACGGGAGACGCGTACATTTTTCTGGACATTGATGCCGGGCTCTAGTGTAGAATCGAAGGTAGAGCAGGCAGCATCACATATATTAATGGGAGCAAGACGGGAATAGATGTGATCGATAAGGACCAGCATAATGAGGTTGCTAGGGACGTAGAAAACTGTCCTTTGGATGTACGACGGGGTCCGAAGATCAATCATGAGCCAGAGACAATGAGATTTATAAGAGTATTCAAAGATACATAGTTGTTTGGGGCCCTGCCGAATTTCCCAATCGCATTATAACCTCCCATCCTTAGGCATGCCCTTCCAGTTCGTGAAGATAAAACCGTCCTTAACCCCATCACCCAGAGCGAAACTAGGTGAAGAAACACACAAGCGAAGACCAACAAAATAAATATTCCGCCATTGCCAAAGTCATCTCAATTTGGAGCCTCGTGAACATATCCTCACAGCCCGAACCTTTTCCCTGGACTGGCGCATACGGAACAACCATGTCTTCTAGCAAACCCTCCATTTTGTAAAAGACCTGGCTTCCGGCGTAGTCATACCCTTGTAGATTATGACCATTGTTGGTAGCCATACATTCTGGCCAAACCGTTGATGGTGTGGGAATCCCCATCTGCTAGACGGGGGGGCGTAGGTGTGCAAGATGGTGGGGATATGGAGGGGGAGAGAACGAGGGTGTAAGGAACGAAGGTTGAGGGTACGAGCCTGTAGCGTATACAGCCTGCATGCAGGGAGGATGGAACTGAACGTCAGGGTGTGGGCGGGAGTCGATTTGAGGGTGAGGATGAATAAACTGCCGTGGTGGGGGGATATATGGAGGGTGTGAGAACGGCCAGGCGGCCCCTGTGCCACCAGGAACCAACCCAGGTGGCGCATTGCTTCTCCACGAGCCTCCTCCTCGACCTCGCGGATTCCAGTTACCCCGTGGCGTCGGACTTCCACTGACAGGGACATACATCATGTCGCCACCGTAGTACTGTCCATCGCCATCCGGGGAGGTAGAGACGTTACGATGTGCCCCAGTACTGACATCATTCTCTGTTTGTGCGGACCCAACGCGGCGGGTACCGCCGCCGCGGCCTGAGCCTCTCTTCCAGCGATTGTGTCTGCGAGGGGGACGGGGTTTGCGGTCAATCATGAACTCAATCTTGTGGATGGGATCGGTAACCATCACGTCATCCGTAAGTCCGAACTTCTCCAGGTCCTCCTCATTGGAGGTCCACACCTGAAATACATTCTCCAGCTTCACGAGGTGTTTGACTTCAGGGACCCAAGTACGGACGAACTGTCCATTGTTGTCATAGTCGAAAGCCTGTTTGACTGGATTGAAAATACGGGCATCTCCTCGTGGATCGTTGCCCACTCCAGCCACGTACTGCCAGTTGGCCCAGTTGGACGAAACATCGTAGTCGACCAACATGGCTTCATACCACTCCGCTCCGTAGCGCCAATCAATACCGAGATGTTTGGAGAAGAAGCTAGCAACATTCTGTCGCGCCCGATTCGATGTATAGCCGGTGTGGTATAGCTCTCGCTGAGCGGCATCGATGAGGCCCATGCCGGTATTTCCCTCCAGAAATCGATCGAGGATGGTCTTGATCTGTTCGGGTGGAGGGTCTTGGCCTTCTGCTGCAATCTCCTCATCAGGAGATTTCCATACCTTGTCGTACTTTGGCTCTGAAGTGTCCGACCCCAATTGTTCTCCCTTGAATCCCGAGAGTCGAAACAGTCGATAGCCAAACTTCATGGTACAGAGGCGCATGTAGTCTCGCCACAAAAGCTCGAACCGTACAGCCTTGGTCCCTTCGCATTCGCCCTTGCCGAATCCCTGGGCCAAAGCATATGCCGGCTCCAAGCCATTCTCCAGTTTCAACAACTCTCCATGGACTTGGCGAGCAGTGAGGCAACCTAGTGCTAGGTAGCCCGCAAGTTTCGTACTATAGTCCGTTCCAACAAGCCCATTGCGAGTCTCCTTGTAGTGTACCATGCCGCCGGTTCTGCACAGATAGAAGAGGCGGTCCCACCCCTGGCTCTCGCCTCCTAGAAAAGGATGAGCAGACCGAGCATCGTGGGGGTAGACTGGAGGTTTGGCGAGCATGTTTTGGATGGGTTCTAGAAGTCGATCCTCGAAATCATCGTAAGTTTTGGGCTCCACGAACGGCATCTTCTGAGGGGGTGCCCATGTCGCTGGCGGGAGAGGCGGCAATGTTGATACCACCGGGCAGGGCAATGAGGGTCGTGGCCGATGAAGGAGAGGCTCCTGGGTCTTGCGATACGTGGTGAAGATGTCTGGAAGATCTTGAGGGTCTTTTAACCCCGTATCACGGCTTAGGTTGGCGAGTTAGTCAAAGTTGGTTACAGAAGCTGTTAGGGAGGCTCACTCGTCAATGAAATACTTTTCGTCTTCCCACAACTTGAAGTCGATGCGGTTGAGGTTACAGACGTTGGACACGGCCTTTTGATCTTCTTCCTCCTCGAATGACTTTTCTTCCGTCATCCACACCGCACCCATGGAGTGATGGGAGTCCTCGAGAGACTCGATAATGCTTGACACAACATCCTCGTAGCGTCCTACCCTGATGGCAAGCCCGCTCTCCAAAGTCTCCAAGGATTGCTTCATGTCCCAGATGGACTGGGCAAGGAACTTGGCTCGGTTGGGGCCACATCTCCAGAATTTGCCGACTTTACTCAGTGCTGGAGGATAGGGAGACTCTTCATCCTCGGCGAGGAATCCCGAGACTTCGATCTGGTGGGGTGGCAGGACGAAGATAGGGAGAAAGTGCGAGAAGCCATGGTCAGTGGTGGCCAGGTGATGAAGGATGGGATTGTCTGCGATCCTCAGGTCGCGGCGGACCAGGTAGACTAGAAGCTTGCCCCTAGACATGGTCAAATTAAACTGTCCCGTGGATTTCACTGCTGATGGGGCCGTCCGGATCCGAAGAAGAGAGGATATCGTGGCTAAGGGGGCCAGGGGGGAAGTGGTGTGGCGGGCTAATTGGACCTGAGTAAGAGCGGTCTGGTTTTCGAATAGGAACCCGAGGATGAGGGTGCTAGACTCCTGTGTTGTAATCGACTAAAGCTTAGGAGGGTCGTAGTAGAGTCTGGTTCGACACCAGATGGGCACCGAAGAAGACTCAGGATATAAAGCAGTAAGTCAACACAGCCAAGGTCAGGGTCCAATGTGTCCGGTGGTGTAGTCTTGCAGAGGATGTGGGATGATGCAGGCGAGATGGATCTTAAATCTAGCGTCCGCAATTGTTCCTTGTACTTCGTGCAGACACAGATGAGGTCCAGACGAGCTGAGAAGCGGGAGATGCCGCCGTGCGGACGGGTTCCAGGACGCTAGCGTCACGTATCAACGCCCAAGGGGTGGATATGATGGTGGTATAAAATCCAAGATGTTGAGTCCAGGCCTTTAGGGCGTCTCGTAACCCACGTCTGTGCCTTCGGGGGGCGAGAAGGAGAGACAGTGAGTTGTCTTGCAGGGACTGGTGAACCACGGCAGTTGCGTAGAATGTTGGCGAGCGGGTATGTCCGATGTGCTGCACTTGCAGAGAAAGCTGAGATGAACAAAGTGAGGACGTGTTCTAGAGCGAGCACTGCTTGGTGCAAAGATTGAAAAATAGGAGGACGGTGGTGCGCTTATACGCCCTCGTGGCGATGGTTGAAAATCCAAGCAACACAGCCAGCCTGCGGACAGCGTTAATGACGGCGAAACTGCCCAAAAGGTGGCGAAGGTGAATTTGGTGAAAAGAAGGAGAGCGGGCAGGTCAGAGACATGATGTGCCGACATTTTGCAGCGCGAAGCAGGCGTGCCGCGAGAGAAGAACGCCATGGTGATGGGCCTTGTGGTTCGTGATCGAGCGCCGCGATGCCCTCGATCACCACGACCAGAGCCAGGTCGTGGAGATCGGACCAACAATGAGAGGTCTAGCCTGCAGGGGTGCAGCAAAGGCAGTAAGGCACCGGAGGAAGGAAAGGAACCCGGTATGCGCCACGCCCCTGCCCAGCTAGGTAGGAAGCAAGCAGCCCAGAACAGCCCAGGGAAGGAGCGTTGCAGGGGTGGCTTTCTGGCTGTTCGAGAGGGGGGCATCCATCAACCATCAACCATCAACCATCATCAGTGGGTCCGTAGCCCGTGGTCCGTGGGTTAGATAGGGATGCAGCTCCGCTCCGGGCCCGGGACGATGGATGAGATAGACGGACGACACACGCTCTGGGCAGATTCTTTACGCCGCAGTAGAGTCGAATCCACGGCCGCAGCCTTGTTGCTCGTTACCGGCACGTATTGCCATTCCCACGAGTCCGTAAGACCATGTCGTTCCACTGCAACGACCCCTTGTAAGACGGACCATATCGTAGGGTTACCGTCGTCCGCCCCGCCGTCGTCCTAATCTGGCTGTAGGCGTCATTACACTGGGGACGTGGGTAATGGATCTCTATCAACGGATCTCCATCTTCAAACAGCCATTTCGCTTCACTCTTCGCCTCACTCTTCGCCCCGGTATCGACACTCCATCCTTGCCCTTGCCCCTTTGGCTTTTTAGCCAGGGGCTCTCGATCGGCGTCGCACAACTCCCAGATGGGCCATGTAGTGCAAGGCAACGGGTATCGACATCGATCAAGGCCAGGCCATGACGCGGACCGTTGGGCGCTACTACGGCTGACACTTTGAATTGCCCTGTGATGCGTAGAGGCGCACGTTTTACACCTCCGCCCACCTCTTGCGTGAAACCTGACGACTCACAAAGACGGTGGAATGGTCCATCCAGTACGGTCTAACACGGCGCGCGCGACCGCCAGGGCACCGCCCGCAAGAGTCCAGCCCGTCCATCCAGCCCGTCCATAGCAACACCAAAGCCGCGACGTTCCGCACCAGAACCCTCCCAAATCATCATTCAGCCCGCGGCTGTCAGAGACACGCCTCACCAGATCTGCACGTAGGGTGCAAGCACGCGGCCATCGACCCACGATCGCGGCAGCTTGCACTACGCTAGCCCGCACCACTTCGCACCACCCGCTTTTACTTTGAATTCACGGATCGCCATGGAGCGGCTAGACCACCTGGAGCTTAGAGGTCCAGGCCGTCTCCACCGTTTCAACACTGCCGGCTCACTGTGCTCAGTCCAGCAGTGAGTGAGTGTCCAGCCTTGCGATGGATGCTGCGCAAATCGATGCAACATCGACACGCCCCGCCGCTGCGATCGGGGGCACTGAGTCAGGCCTCGTCGCCTCGCTTCATCCTGCCATCCTTGGGGGTTTAGGCTTGGGTCACATCGCCAACCACCCCCTTGCTGCGATTAACCCGCCTCGACTCGCCCCGGCCCGGCTTCTCTGGAATGATCTTGTCTCCAAGCTGAGAAAACGTGAGAAAACGTGGGGAGGTGGCCCAGGGATTGTGGATTGCCCGAAGGATATCGGGAGCTATTCGTCATTGATCCCACACCGACCCATGCATGTCTTATTTCCTCTCTTCTCTTTTCTCCTTTGCCTGCGTGTCTTAACAATGGCCGTCGGTTTACGTCCAGTCTCCCTCCGAGGCCTGTCGTTGTAGGCATGCACGCCCCACTTGAACACACAAATCACAGTTCGTCGTCTTTCCCAACGCCACAAAGCCCTTTGTTCTCAACCCATAATGCCTTGCCCCGTGGTGCCATTGGGCAGCCCAAATGTGACAGGTCTGAGCTGAGTGAAGTTGAAGCCATCCGGATGACCACGATGACCTCCCATGAGACACTATGAAACGCCACAGCATCCGTTTCCAGACACCGACATTAACTCTGTCACTTCTCAGGACGCAACTCGAGGCACCTTTTCATCCTCCCTTCAAGGTCACCGGTACTTACTATCACTGCGATGCCGGGGCTGGACCCCGATGCTGACGGTGTTGGCTCTGTGCGGCAATGCGAAGCAGAATGTCACTCGTGCATGGTGACCGCTTGATGGTAGAGTCGAGACGGACGGCATCGTTGATATCCGAGACGAAACGGATCATCGTCGAATTACAGGCAGGCGCAGTCGAAAATAGCCCGGGAACCATTTGATTTGTCGAATCCTAACACTCCGGTTGGCTGGCTTGCACTACTAGAACCAATCTCGAAAACTCGAAGCCTGGGTAAATGGGCCTTAGGCTTGGGATGTTAGCACCCATGTTCGACTTCGTCCCCACTCAATCGCCCAAGATCGTGAAGATCTGGCATCGACCGTTTTCCTCAAGCAACGTTGGGTTCGATTAGCCTATTGCACTTGTTCTGACCCTGGGGACTGCTGACGCAACAAACTTTAGATCTGATCGAATCGACTTCATCTCGAATTGTCAAAGCTGTTGTGGAACCACGGGTAGATTTGGGGCTGAGCGCCAGTCCCGAAGAGCCTCGCATCTTGTCCCACCCCATAGCCTGATCTCGCCGGTCACTGCAGCTGACACGATTTCTCGATTTTGATACTCGACGTGGAAAAGTGGCATCGCAGCGCGTTCATTGGAAGTCGACAGAGCCAATATCGCTCTGTGATGCAGAGCTGGAATCTAGACGCAGCCACCATGGACACCCCCCACCAAATGCGAACTCGTCCCCACGTCTCATCGCCCGCCAGGTACCATTGAAGTCGAGAACAAGCCTACCCTGCACAGCTCCAGCCCACAGTCGCGGTCGATTGAATAGCAGACATGATCAAAAGGCCGTGCATTGTACTTTTGATCGCTAGTCATCGATGAAAAGCAATGCTGGATGCACCTCGTCACCCTGGAATAGCTGAAAACCCCGTTAGATGGGGATATCGCAGAGACTAGTCTGCAGATGCATCGGTCGATTGGTTGACCAACTCAACTTACACCGCCTGAGCTCGCAAAAGCAAACCGGGCCGACTCGAGCTGGGCATCGGATGAGTGGGCGGAATGTCCCAACGCGCACTGACATGATGAAATTGTCTCATGAATTCCTGATTTTCTGCAATGCGGCTGAGTTGACTTGCGTCAGCTGCTTGGTCCAGGCTGCTCTTTGCTCTCTGTTGTGGCTCTGGTGGGTTGAGATCGGTGAGTCTCGTCCGATGTCTTGTTCCGGGCTCGGATCCTGATTCATATCGTTTCTTTTGCCGGGAAGTTTCGCATTTCAGCGGCGGATACGTAGATTTCCAACTGAGGTTAGAAAATCATCGAGCGACTCCCTCGCCCTTACCGACTTTCCCTGGCCAGAAGCACAGCGGAGCCTATTCTTGCTGTTCCTGCTGTTCTTTGGCGTCTCATCTCGCCATGCCCACTGGACACTCAGAAACCGGCTAGTCGTGTCGAGTTTCCTGAGGTTCTCGTCACGCCACTTACGCCTAATACGCAAATTGACTCACCTGGTAGAGCCTGATATGGTCAACCACTGACCGATCATTGAGAATGCCCATCGGAGGTCGGTTGAGAGGTCGTATGTCCGTCCATCTCCTCCGAGCATCAGCGAAAGATAGCCACGAGCCATGCTTGTGCCGAACGACCTCGGGGGCGGAGGAGCGGACCCCGGATTCCAGGGGTGCACGATCGGCTTATCCCGACGCGACCAGTGGAGGATCCATTCTAGGGAGGGGAATCTGGGGTACAACCTAGGTATGGATCTCGGCTTGCCTCTTAACTCTAACGCGGTGACGTTGACAAGTGCGTCTGGCTTCAATTGACGATATGAACAAGTGATGGTATCCAAGACATGTGCCGTAGACAGGGCCGGGGAAGTTACATTGTCAGGCATCACGAACTGGATCTACGGACATTTGGACCCTTTGGGAAGGATATTCACTGGGGGGTGAATCGTGCATGAGCGACTGCTTAGACCAACAGGGTCCATTACCTCGGCTCGAACCGCCTTCACAACCCCAAGGTCCCCAACGGCTGGCAGCTCTTTGAGGCTGTGATCTAACCAAGGCCCAAAGTAGATGCGATGAGCAGTACGTTAACAAAGCCGTGGGGCGTAGAATTACTGGATGGGCGAGGAGCCATCATCACAGGACTGGCGTGAACAGATCAGTGCCATTTCCTCAACACTGACAGAACGTGGCCGAGTGCTGTAGGGTAGGGATCACTGCCGTATTGAGCATCCCACCATGCCCTGTAACTTAAGTAAGTTAACTCAAGTGACTATCCCTTGTGAAAGGATGGCGCGGCACGTTTTCGGTAAACTCGCCGTGTCCTGATAGCAAGGGCATCATGCTACCTACAGCCTCACTCAGCGACATCGGTGGTGCTCTACGTAGTAATCCATTGGCTCTCGGTTGGAGATCGTCCCTCTTCCCCTCACCTCAACCCAAGCCAGGCCACTTTACCCCATGGCCACAAAACCCACAGCGAGGAACCGGGCCAATGTCAGATTCCAATTCCCCCATGACGGTTGCTGCGCGGTTGGGGTTTTTGCTGGGGACCGGCGGCTAGCCGAGGGTAGCTTCGCGGTAACCCACGGCAAAGGCTTTCCCCTACAGCCGAGCGCAATAAATACAATCTCGCCCGGGGGCCTTCCACAAGATTGCTCTGCTTGAAACCACCGTGATAGCCTCGTTTCCTTGTCCCCCTCCCATTCCCGCAATCTCCAGTCACGGGCGTAGAGGAGACAATCCGCTTCCATCCCCGTGTCCCAAGAAATCGAGCCATGTCTGCCGTCACTCGGGGTCTCCGGACGGCCACCAAGCAGCTGCGCATCCAGCCCCGGGGCCTTCGCGTCGCATCGCCCCTCGTGGCCCGCTCAGGCTCGGCCTCCATCGGCGCCGCGCGCTCAGCGACTCCCGCTTCCTACAGCGCCTTCTCAACATCCACCGTCCGATCATCTGGCGCGCCCGTCATGCCTTCCCAAGCCCGCGAATACGATCCTGAGATCAAGGACATTGCCGACTACGTCGCCAACAAGCCCATTGACTCGGAGCTTGCTGTGAGTGTCCCCCGCACCCAGTGCCGCCGCGTTGGGCGCTGGAAATTGCCCCGCGAACCGTTGAAGCTTTGCTACCCCGCCACGATCCCATGAACTAGCCCCCCGCCTGTTGGCAAGACATTCACAAGCTGACCACGCACCGCAACAGTTCGACACTGCTCGATGGATTCTCATGGACACCCTTGGCTGCGGCCTCGAGGGCCTCAAGTTCAAGGAGTGCTCCAAGCTCCTCGGCCCCATCGTCCCTGGCACCGTCGTCCCCAACGGCCCCAAGGTCCCGGGAACCCCCTTCCAGCTGGACCCCGTCAACGCCGCCTTCAACATCGGCGCCATGATCCGATGGCTCGACTTCAACGACTGCTGGCTGGCCGCTGAGTGGGGTCACCCCTCGGACAACCTGGGTGCCATCCTCTCTGTCGCTGACTGGGTCAACCGCACCAACAAGGCCGGCGGCAACCTGGCCAACGGCAAGATCTTCACCGTCAAGGACGTCCTCGAGGGCATGATCAAGGCCCACGAGATCCAGGGCTGCCTGGCTCTCCTCAACTCGTACAACAAGGTCGGTCTCGACCACGTTGTCCTCGTCAAGGTCGCCTCCACCGCCGTCGTCTCCAAGATGCTCGGCCTCAGCGAGAAGCAGATCGCCGACGCCGTCACCCAGGCCTGGGTCGATGGCCAGAGCCTGCGAACCTACCGCCACACCCCCAACACCATGTCCCGAAAGTCGTGGGCTGCCGGTGACGCCTGCCAGCGCGCCGTCAACCTTGCTCTCAAGGTCATGAAGGGCGAGGAAGGTGTCCCTACTGTCCTGTCCGCCCCCGTCTGGGGCTTCTACGATGTCCTCTTTGGAGGTAAGAAGTTTGAGTTCCAGCGCCCCTATGGCAGCTACGTCATGGAGAACGTCCTCTTCAAGGTCTCGTACCCTGCCGAGTTCCACTCCCAGACCGCCGTCGAGGCCTCGGAGAAGATCCACCACATTCTCAAGGCCCAGGGCAAGTCCGCCGCCGACATCAAGGCCATCACCTGCCGAACCCACGAGGCCTGCATCCGCATCATCGACAAGCAGTTCAAGCCCATGGACAACTTTGCCGACCGTGACCACTGCATCCAGTACATGGCCGCCACCATGCTCGTCTTCGGCCGCCTCGAGGCCACCGACTACACTGACGGAGGCGAGGCCGCCACCTCGCCCCTGGTCGAGTCCCTGCGCCAGAAGATCAAGTGCGTGGAGGACCCCCAGTTCACCAAGGACTACCATGACCCCAGCCTGCGCACCATCTCCAACGCGCTGACTGTCGAGCTCAACGACGGCACCATCATGGAGGAGGTCGTCGTCGAGGCTCCTCTGGGCCACCGTCTCCGCCGCGAAGAGGCCAAGCCCGTCATCCTGGAAAAGTACAAGCGCCACCTGGGCCCTCACTTCCCCGAGGCCAGAGTCAAGGAGCTTGTCGAGTTGGGTCTGGATGCCAAGAAGCTCGAGGCCACGCCTGTGGATGAGTACGTCGACCTGTACACGGTCGAGTCGAGCAAGTTTGTGTAAAAAGTAAATGTCACCAAAGGTGTCTTATGAGTTAAACCAATATGAACAACAATCAATCAATTAGAGGAGTTCCTACGTGCGGAGATGTGAGCATGACGTGCAGTGCTTCCAATATCCCATGTTCCTGACGGCGATAATACGAGCAAGCAGTGCTGTAATTGGCTGGGTCGGAGCCACAGTTGGCGGGGCACGGGATGGTTCCACGCGGCTGCACCGCCTCAATAGACCCCGATTTAGGGCGCTCGGAGGCTTGGAGAGGTAGCCTGACACTGACAAGTCGGTACGAACAACCCGAGCCCGAACTTGGCATTCTCTCAACCAACTGATTCTCCTGTCACCGTCAATTTATCTCGACCCCGTTGCGGTTTCAGATTCCATCCTCCCTCCTCTTCCCGGGGCAGAAGTCGACACAGCACTCCGCTACTTCTACCAAACAACACAGTCGCTCCTCTTCAGCAGCCACCAGCAATCATGAGCGCCGACCGCCAGACCATCATCGAGGTGAACCGGTCCCTCCGCAACATCAAGAATGTGAGTTGTCCTCTGTACCCCTGACACGCTCCCTCCCAATATAGAACACCAGCGTGCTGATGGCAGCATAGGAACTCGAGACCCTCCTCGAAAAGGGCGTGATCGACGACGCCGTCTACGACACCATCAGCAATTCTCTCCCCGCCGAATCGTCGCTGTCCGGTCCCCTTCGCACCGCAACCGGCTCGTCCAACCCCGTTCCCGCCGTCGCGGCACCCGCCCGAGCTCCCGCTGGCCCCCTCCCGACGAAGGCCGTCGAGAACCTCAAGATCAACACACCGTCGCCCGGGCCGCCCGCCTACGACCAGACGCCCCCTCCCGGGCTTCCCGCACGCAACGCCAAGCCCGTCGTCGCCCAGGCTCGCGCGCTGTACCAATATGCCGCCTCGGACGGCCGCGACCTCTCGTTTGAGAAGGACGACCGCATCAACGTCTACGAGTACATGAACCAGGACTGGTGGATGGGCCAGAACGACCGCACCAAGCTCGAGGGCATCTTCCCGCGCAACTACGTCCTCGTCGAGCACGAGAACAAGGCCCCTGTGCCTTTGGGCCAGCCTCAATACGGATACCCGGCCCAGAAGCAAGGCCCGCCGCCGCAGCAGAGCCCGTACAACACACATGTGCCACCCATGGCCATCGCTGAAGGATCGTCGAACAACCAAGGTCAAGAGGGTAGTGACAAAGCTGAGAAGGGCAAGGAGATGGGCAAGAAGTTTGGCAAGAAGCTGGGTAACGCTGCCATCTTCGGTGCTGGTGCCACGATTGGTGGCAACATTGTCAACAGCATTTTCTAAGCCATAGACATGAGGGAGGGAATGACTCGGGCGGCTTTAATATGGGGATCGCCTGGGCTTGGGCAATTTAGTTGGCGTTCTGGGACATCTGATGGGTTAGATCGACTTGCTTATGTCTTCATACATATTCTCTTGAGGGAGAAGGAAAATACACAGTCCCTTCTGTTGGGATACTCAAAGTTTAGAGATTGATTACGTTCATCCCTCGATTATGACTAGTATAAAAAACATATAGATAATCTCGGAGGCCGAGAGAAGCGTAATTTCGATCCAACTCGATGTCGAAAATGGCATCTTCCTCGATGCTTTAGTGGATCTCAGCCCCGACGCACAGTGCACAATACGGTGCGGTGAATCCACATTCCAATCAACACTAGCACAAACTCCCGCCATGGCCAGTTTCGGCACTGTGCTCGACCTAAAATTTCTTGACGGCCTGCTCGCTCTTCAGCGAAATCCTGGACGGTGAGAGCCTCCAACAACACGACTACATCACCATGTCAGGCTCAAAGAAACGCCAGGCAGAGGCGCCGGCTCAGGCCCAGCAGCCGAAAAAGAGCAAGAAAAGAAAGGCAAATGCGCCGGACGATGACTCTCTTGACGTCGAGCTTGGCGTCAACCTGCTCTTCACCCGCATGGACAACCAGCTCTTGGCGGATCACCTCGCCCAGAAGTTGACCCGGTTCGGAACCGATCTCAGCCCTGTTGAGATTTCCGATTTGACCATGTCAGGTGAGCAGTCTCTCTGAAGGCCCCGTGTCCTGCTATTGCCGTGCTTTCTTACTGATCTTGATGCACAGCCAGTACCATCCGGGATACAACATCGTGGCAGGAGTCGAGGACTCTGGACAAGTTACCTGATTTCCTGGAAAGATTCTCGACAGGCGCCGAGGAATTGATGAAGACGTCCAAGAGGAAGGGAGCGCCACATACCCTCATTGTTGCAGGAGCTGGCTTAAGGGCTGCCGACATTACCAGGTACCGTTGTTTCGAATTGCATATCCGCCTTTGGAACCCGCCATTGACCAGAAACAGGGCTGTCCGAAAATTTTCCCGCAAGGAAAGCACTGTCGGTAAACTGGTAAGCTCCTCCTCATCTTGTCCTTCCGGGCAAGATCACTGCGTCGCGGAAACTCACATTGCCACAGTTTGCCAAGCACATGAAAGTGGACGAGCAAGTCGAGTTCCTCAACAAGCACAGTATCGGTATCGGCGTCGGCACACCTGCCCGCTTGATAGATCTCATCAAAAACGGTAAGAATGCACCAGGACATGGCCCCCTACACACCTGCCATGATGCTGACTCCTACCAGGAGCGTTGTCCCTCGAGAACCTCAGGCGCGTGGTGGTGGATGCTTCCCACATTGACCAAAAGAAGCGAGGCGTTATGGACATGAAGGACACGATGTTGCCGCTGGCGCGGTTCTTGTCGCTCGACGAGTTCAAGGGCGGATACGTGGACGAGAAGAAGCCGCTGGCGTTGCTGTTCTATTAGATACCCCTCCACCAAAAATGAACTCGCGGTTTCTTGGATACCTATGAACCAGCACCTCCCTCTCTTCCTTGATGTTGACATGTGAACACAGTGCTGGACCTACAAGAGTGGTACTCCCACTTGCCAGAGCTGGGCGGAATCATCCGGGCTCAGCTGGAGACGGAAGGAGGCCATGAAGTCGACTGGCTCCTGACCTCTCACTTCAGAAGCCCGCTCCTGCGACTTCCCTTTGCTGCCAGCGACACCTTCTCTAATGAGCCGATTCGAATGGCCCTTGTTAAGTTCCTTTCGCTCCTCTCCCCTCTCTTCTCTTCTCTTCTCTTCTCTTCTCTTCATCATCCGCAACTCCACCTTGAGCTCAACAGCCCACCTCTCATCAAGACTTCGCTCTCGTTTTTGGATCCCCTGCCTCGCTACGCTCTTTTTGGTGACTATCGTTAGTTGCGACAAGCCATTTTGCTCCGCTTCTCATTTCTCCATTGCCCTCGACACGTTTGACGATGAGGTCCCATCTCACGACGGGCATCCTACTGTCCGGCTTGGCCGGCGGTGGGACTAGCTATCACGTTTCTGTCCCAGGTAAGGGTGTTGGACATTGCTATTGGGGCTGCCACTGACAGAAGCCGCAGAATGTGCTACCAAGTGCTCTCGTGATCTCATGGGTCATCACGGAATGTCCAACATGAACACGCTCTGCACCGACATCGCCACTCAGCGGGCAAGTCCTCCCTCACACCGCGCTCTCTCCATCACTTCGTGTGCTAACTGTCTCATCAACAGGCCCTCTTTCTATGCCTAACCAACTCTTGCAAGTCTCAGACTTATGGCCCTGCTCTCGCGTACTCCATTTCAGAGTGTTCTAGCCTCGGTGCTACCATCTCCAAGCTTCATCCTGTCGAACTTCATCATTTTGAACCTCATCAACGACAACCCACATCAATCGCCCCTCGCTCTGAGGCAGGGATGCTTAGCTTTGCAGACCAGTTTACACTCTCGGTAGACTGCACCGCCGGATCTGATGGTGTTCTTACCCTATCCCTACCATCCGCTGGTTCATCCCCAACAAGCCAACCACTTCCCTATGGTGCATCTCCTGCCTCAAACTCTCCAGGTGCTGCTTCAGGTCCCAGCTCAGGACTTGGCACCTCTCCTGGTTCCCCTTACCCTCCCACAGGCCCTCAACCCGCTGCCACTGGTCCCCAATCTCCTGCCACTGGTCCCCAATCCCCTTTCACTGGTCCTCAACTTCCCACTGGCCCTCAATATCCTCCTCAAGATCAGCCTGGTCTAGGTGTCATGCCACCTGTCCTTCCATCAGCCAGTTCTCCAAACCAAGGTTCTGGAAAAGGTGCTTTGCCTTTGAACACCGGTTCTAATGGGTTTAATCCTGCCGAAGAAGATTGCGACGACGACGGTTCATCCAATCCATCGTCTGGTGGACAACCTTGGCCGGTCCCTATTCCAGCACCAGCCAATCCGGCTGGAGGTGCCCAGTCTGTTGACCAGAGCTCACCAAATACCCAGCCTCTTCCTGTGCCGGGAAGTCCAGGTCCTTCGAGCCCATGGGGTGCGTCTGGAGTGATCAACAATGGCCCTAGTGGGGGTTTGCAAGGGCCCTTTAGTGATGCTGGCAGCAACAACGGCGAGTACCCATCGACTGGAACCAACCAAAGCCCGTCAACCGGAGTCAACCAAGGCGGTACCGGTGGCTCTCCCTCTTCTGGGTTAGGAGACGGCAATGAACGTCCAACTTCTGGCCAAGGCAGTTCGGGACCAGCTCAGCCTGTGCCACAGCCTGCTTCGCAACCACCGGCTCAGGGCCCAGGCTCATCTGGCCCAGCCGATCAGAGTGGGACGTACCCAGCTGGACAGGGCCAAAGCCAGACAGATGAGGATTGCGACGATGGTCCACCTGGCAGCCCAGACTCTGGTGCACCTGTCCCTCCTCCCCTGACACCACCACCGACACCAGCCGGCTCGCCAAATTGTTCCGGCGATAATGGCAGCCCAGACTGCCCTAGCTCAAACCAAGGAGCTCCGCAGCCGTCAGTCTCTCCACGTCCTTCTGGTCCTTCTCCGGGAAATGAAGACAACAGCGGGTGTGCCGGCGTTGGAGATGGACCCCAAAACTGTCAACCACCAGCTCCCCCACCACCTCAGGGCCCATTGCCTGCTCCTTTGCCCCCCAACCTTCCGGTTCCTTTGCCCGTCCCGATGCCCGTCCCAGCATCAGATGACGCAAGATGTTCAGGGAATGTTGGAGATCCTCCCTGCGTGGGTGCTGGCGCACCAGCTGCTGGACCAGCTCCCTCCAGCGGCAATGGCAATGGCATTGATCCTAACGCCGGCACGATTAACGGAGGTCCAAGAGGCGGCACTGAAGCTTCTCCGAATGCTCAGACACCTGGATCAGGACCTGCCGGACACTGTGCCGAGTCTGATTCTGGCCAAGGTTGCGAGACCAAAGCCGGTCCTCAGGCGCAGGCGCCCGCTTCCTTGCCTCCTGTTCCATCCTCACCACTTCAACCTCCTTCACCACCTTCGCCTCCTTCGCCTCAGCCCGCTGGTGATAGTACGGATTGCCACGGAGCGACTGAAGGTCAATCCTGTGGCTTCGGGTCTGTCTCCAATTCTCCGCGCCCTCCCTCGCCTCCCGCATCAGGCGTTCTAGGTTGCCCCGACGGCCTCAATGACGGAACTTGCCCTTCGACCAACTCCCCCCAATCCTCTCCTGCTCAACCCCAAATCCCTCCCGTCATTCCGCAATTTTTGCCCCCATCTTCTCCTCCAGCTCCAGCTCAGCTTCCTCCAGCTCCAGCTCAGCTTCCTCCAGCTCCGGCTCAGCTTCCTCCAGCTGCCCCCCAGTCTCCATCAGCACCTCCAGCTCAGCTGCCTCCTCCAGCTCAGCTTCCTCCCACAGCCCCGCAGTCCCCATCACCACCTCCAGCCCCTGTTCAGCTTCCTCCTGCAGTTACCCAGTCTCCATCTTCTCCTCCAGCTCAGCTTCCCCCCACGGGTCCCCAGTCCCAATCACCACCTCCATCTCCTGCTTCTGGGGATTGCTCCGCGGAAGGAAATGGAAATGGTCAACCTTGCCCAGCCTCGCATCCAGGTGGTACCGCCCCGGGAGCCGACCCGGTTACAATTCTACCAGCTCCGCCAAATTCGCCTCCACGCAACACAGATCTTTCTTCACCCGCGCAAGGGAACCCTCCGCCTTCGCCTAATGATGGTCCTGTCAACCCATGCGACAGTGATCCATCGAACTGTCACAACCTTGATACAGGTGCAGGTCCCAATGTGGTACCTTCATCGCCTCAAGCACTTCCTTCCACATACGGCGGACCTGTTCTGGGAGAAGACCAGGCTCCTCCAAGTCCTAACAACCCCGGATCCGCACCTTTACCACCACCAGACAATCAGGCCCCAGGCCCGGGTGAGCAGACATGTAACGGCGAGTGTCCTGTGAACAACGATGGGCCGAATTCTTCACCTCCAGTCATCTCAAGCCCAATCGACGGGCTTCCCCAGGGTCAAGGGCCGGTCTCTCCTCCCTCTGGACCACCAAATTCCGGTGCCCCTGACTCTCCCTCGAGGGCCGCAGAAGAAGATTGCGACGAAGGCGAAGTCAAGCGGGATGTCCTTGGATCATCTCCCGCCGCTGTGCTCGCCCCCGGCAAAATTGGGTTCAATGAAGGCACACTCATGACACTCTAGAGGACTGGTTCATCATCGTTGGCTACAGCATTGCCCACTGGACATGCTACGGGATGGAGAGCTCGAGATGTTCCAGAGCCGGAAGCCTACGACCCCGATGACCGTGAGGACAGCACTTTCATATCATCGGGCCCTCCTGTTGCCTCGTCGTTTGTGCCATCTGATACCATGCCCTCGACTACGAGCTCAACAGAACCCCCAATGGTTAAAGTCAACTCCAGCGGACGATTCCAGCCCTCCGTTTCCGCCTGCGTGCTCGCTTTGTTTGTCATCATTGGTTGCCTGGGTTGCCTATGGATGTGATGGCACATGATTCCGGACGATTTGTTGGCGTATGGTGTTTTGGGATGAGAGGTGGTGTGGGAGCCGAAGGCGTTATTATGTTTGGCATGTCAACATTGATTATTGTCGGGATATCGCGGGAAGAGGGTGATTATTATCATGATGTTTTAGTATCCTTTGTAGACTTAGGAGATTCATCGGAAGAAAATAATTGAAGAAACCCGCTTGACTGAAGCTCATTGGACCAACGGTGACGCCTTTTTAAGGTGATCGGATGTGACGTTGTGTTTGTGTAGTGGGCACATGTAAGGGCGATCCCATGACGCGCATGAGGCAGAGACTGATTGGGTATAGAGTCAAGTGTTTATTCCAAGCGACACCACATCTCTGCAGCCAATGATTACCAGCCGGAGATGTGGATGCAAGTCGATATTTCTTAACTACCTAGCTTAGACTAGAGCTGCTCTCTGCGAGCTGGGGATGCAAAACGCACAATCCGTTTGATACCTGCATAAAAGACAGACCCGCATAGGGCCAGCAAGAGAGTCCCGAAAACCCAGAGGAAACCAATTAAGAAAGAAAAGAAAAAAAAAGGAATCGAAGCAAGAACAAACCCAAGCATACACCTGAAGACCAACACCAATAGCGATACAGACCCATTACAAGGTTCTGTTTAATGAAAAAGAAGAAAATCGCAGCAATCGTTAAAACCTGCTTTTGAGTCGCAGCTTCTGGGTTCGATTTTGGTGAAGCAATTCCCAGTCCAATACTCCAATCGCCCACCGTGTGGGATGATTTCCTTAGTCCTGTCATTATTCATCAAAGTGAAAAAAAAAAGATGTTATAGTAGTAAGAGGAGGGGAGAAGTGTCCGAAGACAATTGTCAGGATTAGGCGGGAGTCCAATCCTTGAGCCAAGGGTGGTTGTCGCCGAGCCCTGGGATGACGGCAGTGCTGACACTGCGTTCCCCGACTATGTTGCCAAGAGAATGAGCAATCATCTGGCGGGTAGCACGCTGAGACGGGGCGAGAGGCAGCCAAATTGTGGGCGGGACGGGCGCAGACGGGTCTGGGGCGTCCATCATAGCTAGGTAGTCCGGGACAGATGAGGCGTAGCGTTTTGACTCTTTGCGGAAACCTAGTGAAACTCGAGGTCGAGTGCGGGCATCTTCTTTGACCCACCAAGTCCACAGCTCATAGACACGACGATGTCCGCGCTCTAGCCAGGGATACAAGTCTGGTTCGATACTGTCTTTGGGAACAGAGCCAAAGGGACGCCAGCCGTAGAAGAGAGGCCAGGGATCCCGAAGAGTGAGTGTGTGGCGATGCTGGAGGAGGTCGGCACGGGGAACAGGCGAATTTCTGTAGTAGCCGCGGGGGATCTGGTCGTCTTGATATGACTGGGCAGATCCGGTCCAGGCGGCGGAGACGATGTCCGGGCGAGCGAGGGTATCATAGGAACACCCCTCATCAAGGGTGTCGAGGTAAGTGCGAATCATGTCAAGAATCTTGGTGTCGCCAAGGAGGAAGAGGCCATGCCACCAAAGGGCGACACGAGGTCGGCGCATGGCGAAGATCTTGGCCAAGAGCTCGAAGTCGCACTCGTCAAGTGCAGGCTGGATGACGCTCTTGACGGCGGCGAGCCAGGGGGTGACAAGATTACATTCGACGTCAGGCTGCCAGAATATACTCCATAGGACAGGGCCCAGGGAATACTGGTGCATGCTAAGCGTCATGTGGTATTGGAGGTCAGTGATGTAATATTGGATTGTGCTCTTGTTGATGTTCAAGGTGCCATTCTTTGCGGGGTTGAGAGAGGGCCTGGGGAAGTCAGGCTGCAGCTTGGCCATCCGATAGAACGGAATGGCGAGCGTTGCCAAGAAGGCGGCCTTGACGGGGGAGAGCTCAGCAGGGTCATCATGACTCAATGGTTCATGGCCAATGCCAAACAATTTGCAGAACTCAAAGAGAAATTCCGCGGCCTCGTCGACAGTCGGAGGCTCAGCATTGGGATCAAGGCAGACTTGTTCCTCAGTCGCAACAACGAAGGTGAAGTCGCCGGTACAGCAAGCTGCCCAGGGAGAGAATGGGCCACCCTTGTCATCGGCAGACCAGCCCGGCTTGGGAGCCAGGATAGCACAGAGCCATTGGATGAGAGGCTCGGAGGCCTCGACGGGGAGTTGAACAAGGATCTCATTCTGCGCGAGTATGCCAACCGCGTTCTTCGGGAGTGGGCGGAGGCAGGAGTCGGTGTAGTGGACCCTCCGGCCCTGGAGCTGCAGTAGCCGAGTGGAGAAGATGTAGGACCAGCACATGGTCAAGATGGCGAGGCCTTGCGGGGCGTTTGACGCACCAACGTTGGAGGACGGCGGGCTCCCGCAGCAGCTGGCGCTCGGATCCGAAGAGATGCGACACTCAACGATATCGGGATAAGCAAGGCGGAAGTATTTTGTGGTGCCGGTGACACGGGAGAGATCCAAGCCCATATCGTCGAGGGTGTCGCCGACGATGGAGATATCAGAGTTCTCATCGGCGAGCGCCTCAGCGGGCTCCGGGACGGACCATCTTGGAGCACCAGCAAGTACGCCGTTTTGAGGAAGGGATTCGGGAAGTGGCGGCATGTCCTTGAAGACAATGTGTGCGTCGAGTCCTGGGGGAAAGACGCCACGAGGGAGGGCCAATGCCTTGTCGAGGAAGTGTTTCCATGTGTGAGTGGCATTATTGAACATGTGGCGAATGGCTGTTTCCTTGGGGATCAAGGCATCTTCGACATCGTCGGCAACGCCACGGAGCTGTTCCATTGCCGGCGGTGATGATGAAGGAGGCGAGAGAGATGAGCTGGACGTGCTGGCATCGGACGTCGAGGTAGCATCGACATCCGCAAGGGGATGATCACTCGCATTATCTGGCTGGGGTACAGCCGCAGCCTCAGAGAGGCCAGTGACGACGGTGGAACTCCGGTCACAAGTACACTCGAAACAGTTCTGAGGTGGGGAGCCATCTTCCATGACCCATGACTGGGTATGGACATATCTCAGGTCCCAGGTCAACTGCATGATGATTGGGGTGGGAAAGAGGGAGAGAGCGTTCTCTCCCAATGGGTTCTTGGGGGGGGGGCAGTGATGAGGATGAAGCTGAGAGGGACTCAAGCCACACACTCAATGGGTGGGCACTATGATTGTGGTAGAATGAGATGGAGTGGAGGACGGGAGGACGGGAAGACGGGAAGACGAGAAGACGGGAAGAGAGGAAGAGAAGATGAGAAGAGAGAGGGCAAGCAGAAAGAGGATGCCGGGTAGAACGGGGCCAGTGGGTAGGAAGTGGGAAGTGAGAAGTGGGAAGTGAGAAGTGGGCGAGGATGAGGGATGTAAGGCGTTATAAGACTTTGTAGTAGGAGAGAAGGGGTGGGAGGGATAAGGATTGAAGGAGAAAGAGGCTGAAGGAGCTGGAGGTCAGCAACCCCGGGAATTGTCAAGTATATTATAAGAATCGGAGATGCGCTGAGATGCAGGAGCTCGACTGCAGATTCGGGTTGGAGCGGCGGGTATGGGCAGAACTATTGGTTCGCGGCGGGCCTCATCTCGCGAGCTGCTTGGTACTGCTTGGTACCGACGGGCATACAACCCTCCTGTGGCCCTCCATCCATCCCGTCTGCGCGGTCTGGGCTTGGGTCTGACTTGCAACTGGGCTGGTTGCTGAGCCTGGGCCTGGGGGGCGGAGCGGCGGGCGGTAGGAGGCGAAAGAGAAAGTCACAAACATGCAGATGCAGAGACAGACGCGGGAGGTGCATGTCGCAGATCCCGGATGTGGGAGACTATTTTCTGGGAGACATGGCTGTTGGGAGATTGGGGGGGTCCGGTTGTTTCTTGTCAGAGGACTCGCTGGGACGGCTGGGTTACTGGGGTGTATGCCGGGAAGCGGAGTGACGGCGGAGGCGACGGAGATGCTGAACGATTTTGAACGGCGAGTAATACGTAGAAGGGCGAGTAGAAGAGCCAGTAGAAGACGTCGACGAGGACGAGATGCGGCGGCCGGGGCGTGGCAGCGGCAAAGAAGCGGCGAATATGGGATGGGGCCGCGCTCGGTACCTAGAACCTAGAGGCTAGAAGGGGGCAGCGTGGGAGAGTGGGAGTGGGCAACGCGATAGGCCAGGGCTTAGAAAGGTTGATTTTGAGCATGGCTCATGGATCATGGATGCTGGGGGACATGATGCGCTGCAGGAAGGGCTCCGCTGGGGCAGACGGAGGTCGAGACTGACATGGGGGATGGGACGGCAGGATAAGCAAGGGAGAGACGGAGACGGCAGGATGAGCAAGGTATAGACAGCATGGGCTGAAGGCTGGAACAGAATAAAGTGCGATTTGTAGGACAAACGACGCTCAAGATGCCAAAATGGAGTCTTGGGGGGGCATTGCGCATGGGGCAGGGACAAGGGGGATCACAGACATGGGGGTGCTTTTCTTCCTTGCGCCGCAACTGACAGCCGCGTGGAGAGGTGTCACTTGGTACTGCGTGTGGATGACGATGTGGAGGTGAGGAGGGTACAGAGCGTTGCGTACTCCAGCATGTATATGCGCGCTTGTTAGGGGGTGTGGGTGAGCGATGAGTGGGTGAGAGCCGGAGACTCGAGAGTGAGAAACACAGGATGCAAGAGACACACAGGCACAAAAGACACACCTGGAGAGAGGCATGATGCCCAGCCAGCCAACGGGTGTGGATGGAGGAAACGAGGAGCAAGTAGAGGGGAAGAAGAGGAGACATGGAATGAAACATGACGCCCAAAACAGGGCAGCACACAGGAAGAAACTTGGAAGTACCTCGAGTAGCAGCTTGTACCGGGCTTCGTAAGGACCTCGGGGGGGGGGGGCACGTTGCCGCTCTTTGCTTTGCCTCTACGGCCTTCTTTCTTTTCTTTTTCTCCGGACTTGCCATGGCTCTTCTGCGGGCGTTGTTGGGGGGAACGAACAGGACGCAAGGGAGCAAGGACGCGTGCCCACAGTAGTTGAACAATACGTCCCGAGGTTTTCTTTTGGCCGGATCGACGAATTGCGACGGGTCAGATGCGACGTGTGCTGCTGCGTCTGGTGCACATTTGCGTTCTTGTTGTGCCGTGGCGGGCTGAAGGCTGGAGGCGGAGTCTCTCTTGTCTCTGATGTGAGATATCTCGGGGTTGTGACTGGGCGGAAGGGTTGTCGAAGTGCATATGGTGCTGCGAGGGGTAGAAGTGTGGAAAGAAGAAAATACCATCAGGCGCTACCTTCCCTATCAGTGCCCTATCCGCGACCTATCCGTCCCCTCTCCGAGTCCCCGGATGGCGGCGCCTCTTGCTGTGTTGTTGGTCAGGCGAGACATTGGTGAGCGAGAGACGTTGGCTAGCGAGTGACGTTGGTCGACGAGAGACATCGGTGAACGAGAGAAGTTGGCTAACGGAGATAGGATTCCCAGACATTTCATGGTGTCGTCATTCAGCTCCCGGCGGATTGGCGGGCGTTGGTACGGGGTTGACCAACAAGCGGGACCAAACTGTACGAGCTTTGCGGCTGTAGAATACCGGGGAGAAGGAGGGTCGCACATGGCAAAGCGGCGCTTTCCCTCGCGGCGTTCTGCCTTTCAGCTGGACTGCGGTCTCCACAGCACCCGCCGTGTGTCTCTCGGCCTCAGGCTTCCATTGCGATCCCACAGTCTTCCCACGTTCTTCCACACTGTCCGGCGGTCAATTGCAACAGAGTTGAGATGCAATTGGGTCACAATCACGGCTCTGGATGATGCGCTGTAGCTGCACCGCGTGCTGCGTGCTGCGTGATGCATGCCGCGAGATCAAAGCCCTGTCCGATAGACTACCATGTACGTCCGGAGTACAGCGCCTGCAGAAAGAAGCGTGTTTAGTTGGTATGCAGCACTCGCAGCCGGTCCGCCGGTGTCCGTTGCGAGCGTTGCAAGCGTTGCAAGTCAGCCCGGGCTCCACACCCGCCGCCACTTCTTGACCTGGGCGCTGGAACCAGAGTCCAGGGACCGCGCTAGCGACTAATTAGGGGGACGGGACACAGGGTGGTGGTGCGTGCACTCGCTAGAGGTACCTATCCGGTCGACGTACCCAGCTACGCTGCACGCGGGTTAGTTAGTAGCTGCGTCAGACGAGCGGCGAGAAAGGGAAAAAAAAAAAAAGAAAAACAAAGGAAAAAAGACCAGAGGTCAAGAGGACGGGACGGAAAAGAAAGCACGTCCCTAACTAGGCTACCTAGGTACCTACCTAGGTACTGCTGCACGCAAGGTAGCGGTGCATGGATAATGGATAATGGATAAGCGCGGGATAAAAAATTTCAAGCTGCAAGTCGCAAGTCGCAAGCCAGAACACAAGCCAGAAGGAAGGCGCATCCCACCCGCCCACGAATCATACCTCAGGTTGACACGGCACGCAAACCTCCAGACCCACCATCGAGCATCGAGTCCCGTCCCTCAGTTCTGAGTCCCGCCTCTGATCCTTCTCATCCCGCCTCTGAATCCTGCAGCCCAGGCGCGCATTCGCAGATCACACCCTACTACGCAGTAGACAATCCATTCAGACAGCCTCAGTGTCAACCACACGCGACGCTATTCAACCACGCCCAACGGCTCCTGCCGATAGAGTAGGTTGATCCCCCAATCCTACCAACCGGAAGTCTCTGCCTCGCTCGCCGTCCGACTCGATCCCTCGTCGATCCTTACCTGTCAGATTGTCTGTTGGTCATCGGCACCATGCCCTGCTGCTACTAGCCCGTGTGCTTTCTTCTTTTCTGTTGCTGACCTGTCTCTGGCCGTTCCAGGAACGCCCGCCTGCATTGCACTTTTCCCTCCTGCAACCTGTTTGGCTAGCCAGCCACCTAACCACCCAACAATCCTTTCCACACCGAGACAATGAAGAGCAAGCGTGCAAGAGACGCCGTCGAGGACAAGCATGTCGATGCCGTTGACGTTGAGGCGCCTGCTAAGAAGCGCAAGCGTAGCGACGAAGATGCCGACGTGAAAAAGGCCAAAAAGGACAAGAAGAGCAAAAAGCACAAGCAGGAGAGCCGCAAGGAACGCAAGGACAAGCGCAAGAACCTCCAGGACCTCCCCGAGCAGGAAGACGACGACGAGAACCCCGCCGGCACCAACGCGGTGGAGGAGGACTCACCAATGGCTGATGCAGTCTCCAAGCCCGCAGCCGACTCTGCAGATGCCGCCGCCGAGGAGAAGGCAGCGAGAAAGGCGGCTAAGAAAGCCAAGAAGGAGAAAAAGGAAAAGAAGGCCAAGGACGAGGACAAGCCACAAGACGCCCCTGTCGCTCCCGACTCCGAAGTCAAGGACTCCTCCAAGGACTCCTCCAAGGACTCCTCCAAGGACAAAAAGAAGAGCAAGAAGGACAAGAAAAAGTCGTCCAAGGAGTCCAACGACACCACCGCCGATGACGATGCAGACGCTGGTGCGAATGCTGCCAATGCCTCCTCCGACAAGGCCGACCGCCACATAGTCTTCGTTGGCAACCTCCCTTTCACCGCTACTGCAACAACGATTGAAGCCCATTTCGCCTCCCTCTCACCGGTCTCAGTCCGCTGCATGAGCGATCCCAACGACTCCAAGCCATGCCGGGGCTTCGCCTTCGTCGAGTTTGCCAAGGTTTGGCATATGAGAACCTGCTTGGATAAGTTTCACCATTCCATGTTCGAGGATGGCGTCTCCCCTGCTCGTCGTATCAACGTCGAGTTGACGTGAGTTTCCCCTCTTTGCCTTTGCTTCTCATTACAAGTCATCCCAAGTCCCCCACCCCTCCCCGCTCGGATCTTCCTATCTATCGGCCGCTTCTACTGTCCTACCCTACCGGCTGTCTGGGTGGCTGGCTGGAAGTGTCGGTCTGTCCTCGCCTGCATGCACATCGCATAGCAACCCCTACGTTCAAGGATACTCTACCAACACATGACCGCATGGACAATCATGGCTGACTTTTTGTTTTTGTTGCGTTGTAGTGCCGGCGGTGGAGGCAAGACCCAACAGCGCCAGGACAAGATTAAGGAGAAGAACCGCAAGCTCGACGAGAACCGGACCAAGCGAATCGAGCGCGAGAAGACCGCCAAGACGGAAAACAAGGCAAACGGTAACAGCAATACCCAGCAGCACATGGAAGATAGCGTCCACCCTAGTCGCCGTGCCCACGTCCCCAGCAACTAGACTCTTTCCTCGATCTTGGGTCGTCCTCACGCTTCCAATAATTGCATATGCTTATATGAGAGCTCTCATCTACGACGGGTTGGGCAAAAGTTGGTCCTTTGGTTTTCACGAATGAATTTTTCTTCCTACACATTCTAGAATTAGGCTGGGTTTTGTTTGGTCACATATGCAAAAAAGTTATTCAAGTCATCGTCTTGTTGTATAGAGATGGACGGAGATAGATACCCCAAGGAATTGGCACATTGACATCAAAAGTGGATAGAAATGGAATTTCAGGACAAGATTGATCAGTTGTTGCTTTCCCAAGGTCACAGGCAAATCATTTTATGTGAGATGTGAGTGATCAACCCGTTTTTGCATCCCACGTGCCACATACCGCGCATTCCCACAGACAAGGGGAGATCCAAGGCAAAAAAATGCCTTTACATGGGCATTCAACCCGTTTCTTTGCGTCTCACGTACCACATACCACATACCACATACCACATATTCCCACAGACAAAGATCCAAGGCACATCCCTTTCAATAGGCATTCAACACGTTTCTTTGTGTCTCACGTCTCACATACCACGTACCACATGGCACGTAGTTCCTACGGACAAGAGAGGATCCCGGGCAGCCAAAGCCTGCCTCTCCTCATCATGTGTCTATGGGCTCGGATTTTTAACGTCAAACCCCCACCTCGAGCCATGCTGTGCCGCTGCATCGAATCCTCCAAAGTATCTACAGAACAACCAGGCAAGGACATCGGCGACAACGTCAGGGACATGAGAAAGGGGCATCGCGACGAAGACGAATTTAAATTATGCTAGACGGGAACGGAGCAGCTCGCAAGACCAAGTCCCCTCGGGTGGATGTGATAACTTGTAACGAAGATACCCGTAAACCGGTGCGGCAGAGAACCAAGGGCCCACGAAGGCCTCGACTTCTCACTAGGGGACCTCGAAAATCATCAGAAAAACAAACCACCCCTTGAAGTCAGACTCATTGGTGAATAACGACGGGGCCCAGCCCAATGAGGCAGCGAGAAAAGCTAGGCAGAAAATACTAGACTTCTGAAAATATGCAGACCGGTTCTTGAATTGCTCGCAATGACGGTATAATCTCCTCCGTGAGGAGGCAATGAAATGGGCAGGGAAACAAAAAAAAAAAAACGGAAAATTCATTCAAGAACCGCCTCGCAAGACCATCATCATGTGTAGTTGGGGAAAGAGCCCGAAGATAGCCGTGAACCGCCGTCTTAATATCGCCAAATCGTCGTCGTGTCCAGGAAACCATGAGGTGTCGTGTTGCGTCATCGAGACGCTGTCATCGAAATCATGCGTGTCGAGAAATCTACAGAATCGAGCACTTGGCCTTCTTCTTCTGAGAGGGTTGAGGACGAGGGTTCAGTACAGCCCTGCGAGATGGTTAGCAAGAGCGCGTGGGCAAGTGATCAAGGCGGGAGATGAGCTGACCGAATAGCCTCGTCAAACACGCTCTTCAAATTCCGTTGAGTGAGCGCGGAGCACTCAAGATACTTGTAAGCCTTGACTTCCTTGGCGCAAATAAGGGCCTGCTCGTACGACACGGGTTCCATACGCTTCTGGCGCAGGGACTCGAGTGTAGCCGCATCCTCGCGCAAATCGAGCTTGGTGCCGACGAGGATAATAGGGATGTTGGGCGCATGATGATCGATCTCCGGGTACCACTGGAGGAGTTAGGTCAGTACCTGTTTTTATTGCGAGGGGTATCGCGAAAGGTGTTGCGAAGGGAGGTGTGAAGGGCGGAGACTGCATAATCGTACCTTGGCCTTGACGTTATCGAAAGATGGGGGGCTAACGATGGAGAAACAAATCAGGAAGACGTCGGTTTGGGGGTACGAGAGCGGTCGCAGTCGGTCGTAATCCTCCTGACCGGCGGTATCCCACAGACCTAGGCTGATGGGCTTGCCATCGACCATTACACTCGCCGAGTAGTTATCGAAACTGCATCACAAATCGCATCAGCATTCGGGTAATCGGTGGATGGGGTGTGGGCGAGAACTAACACTGTGGGGATGTATTCGCCAGGGAAGGCGTTCGTGGTGTAAGAAATGAGCAAGCACGTCTATGACTGAAGTCAGTGGATGCTCGTCGCGGTCACGGTCGCCAGTACGAGGGCGATTCTGGATGATCGGGGACCAACCTTTCCGACAGCACCGTCACCAGTCACCACACACTGTAGCAGCGGTCAGCAAATCTAGGCATGCGTCAGACGGAGAATAGGCGGCGAACCTTTAGCGATTGCACACCAGGTTGAGCCATTGTTGCGAAAAGTTATGTCGAGGGTCGGATGATGGGATGATGGGAAATGATTATGTCGGGAGGTCGAAGTCGGGAACGCAGTTTGCTGGTAACGTGGTCTAGGTGTCGTGTCTCTGATGTATCCCGAGGGAGGGAGGGGGCACGACGAATGGGCTCGGTTGGAGGGTCGGGCTCAGAATGGTCGAAGCTGGGCGCAGCGACACAGGCAGGAGAGTCGGAGTCGGAGTCGGAGTCGCTGGGCGGGTTTCAAGGCTGCATAAAGGTCAGAGAGGAGTTGACACAGCCGAGTCGTGGTTCACGCGTTTTGTGCCGCAGGAGGTGAGGCCACAGGAGGAGGTTCAACGATCGGAGTGATCCACTGGCCGCCTGCTGGGTCGCTCGCTCTCGCTGGGACACTGGACGCTGGTAGGGGGGGAGCTGATGGGACAGTAGCAGAGGGACCGTGGACCGCCCAGACGCCGCGCATCCACCAGGATTGCAGGATTGCGTACCAGTCAACCTAGTCAACCCAGTGCCACCACTGCTAGCCTCCTCGCCTCCTCCTAGCCTTCTAGCCTCTGAGCTCGGGGCTAGGGACAAGGGGACAGGGGATGGGCTACTGAGTGTTGGAGCTTCTGGAGGTGACCAGGGGGGCTTTGGCTGGGCGCCTGGAGAGTGGGGATGCCACGGGCTCTGACCGGAGGGGGGGCGGGGACTCACTGTATCGCTGGTATCGTTGGCTGGTTGAGGAAGCTCAGCTGCGGCGACTGGAACACGATTCGGAGCAGGCCGAAGAGAGCGCAGGCCGGAAGAGGTTCGCGCGGGAGAGGTGAGGGCGGATGAACCCGTAAGAGGGTAAAGCCGCGACAGGAAGGGATGGGGTTGGAAAGATGGGGAAGAGGAGAAGAATGACAATGATGATGATGATGAGAAGTGCAGCTGTGCAGCAGTGGCAGAGATTCAAGCAGGAAGTGGGTTGGCTTTCGGGGACGGTGGAGCCGCCGTGGAGTCGAGAGAGCTACCACCAGTCGACGGCGACGCAGGTGGTGAGTGAATGGTGAGTGGTGAGGAGCGTGGTGTGAGGTGAGGAACCTGGTCTCGCCCTGCTGTGAGGTGGCCGGGAGTGGATCAGTGGCGGGGACAGAGAGGTGTAGTTGGTACGAAGGAGGAAATAGTGTCGACGGTCGCGAGGTCAAAAAGCTGTGGTATTTTTAACCCACGACGATGAGATGTTGTTAAAGGCTGCCGGATCGGACAATAGGCAGGGATAGCTCGATTTGGAAGGGAGCCAACAGCAGGCGGCAACTGCGGAATGGGCTTGATGGATGGAACGACAATGGAATGGCTGACAGGTCAATAGACCACTTGACGCTCGGTATTGGATTGTTGGATGGTGGATTCCGCATTGAGGTGGTGCAGGAGGCGGAGGTGGTGGTGGAAGAGGCGCGCACAGAAAAAGTGGGGCTGCTCACAGAACGGCGGCAGCTGCTCGCAGGTGGCCAGTACAATGCTGTAGGTGCTCAGGCCGCAGCCGGTAGGGCGAATGGTGGCGCAACGAGGGGCTCGAGAAGGACACGGCACAATGGGAAGCAATGTCCGAATACAGGCGGCGATTTGCACGCTACAGGGGGCAGCCGCCCTACTACGGCAGGTGGCTGAATGGTAGGTGATGAACCCAGGGCCCTAAGAGGGCGTCGGCCTGCTGCGAATCGGACAGGGCTGCTGCTTCAGGGCACCGCCGCATATCGCTTCAGGGCTCGCTGCTATTGGCGGGGGACCCTGGGGAGCTCCAAGCAGTCATGGCTGGATCCGTCCCTGTCGCGCACCTGCAACCGAGTTGTCGGCGCTTATGCCTCTAGATGTTGGGTACTGGCCTTCTATGGACTGGGGATGACGAAGGACTGCGCTACGTACTTGGACAGGGAATGATGACGGACTACACTACCGGCCTTCTATGGGCTGGGAATGACGATGGGCTGAGTGCTAGGCGATCCTCACGGCCGGCAGCACAACGGGGCTGACTGGTGTCTAAGTGTCTGAGGCGCCGGTCTTTATCTCTGGGCTTGTCCGGCATGATCAATCACTTCATCGCGCCAATGCGCTACAGGGCTGGCCACGAGATAACGGAGCCGGCAGGGCACACGCTACTCTACCGGAGGCTGGTGTATCCGTAGGGAGTCGGGAGTGGAATGCCAATTAATGAACCAAAGTGCCTAATCCATGCCATCTGCCATCTGCCATCGATGGCTGGTGCGCAGGCCCTCATTTGGCAATGATGTAATGCCATTAAAACCCCCGGTTGGGCGACGCGACGGGAGCAATGTCATTAGGAGGGAGGGGGATGATTTGAGGCTTCCACCCAAGGTTCCATTCAAAGTTCCATCCACCATCCAGCCTAGCCACGGAACGACAGGAACATCGAGCAATTGGCTTTCTCTGCCCGTGCAAGACGTGACACGCGGCCTATCCCGCAGTTTCTCACGGCTCTGCTATCGGGCGAACCACATCCGTCCTGAACCTGAACCTCTTGTATCAGGATGCCGCACGGGACACCCCGGCCACCACCTGTGCGCACGCAACTGCGGCCATGGTGAAGCGGTGATGATGGCGTCGAGCACAGAGGGACGAACGGGCCGTGCCGTGTGCTGTCATACTAGATTAACAGGAGGAGAAGCATTTTAACAGTATTGTAATATTTTGTGTATTTAAAACGCCTGACTTGACCAAGTTTACCTGAGTCTCTCTCAGTCTCTCTCAGTCTCCGCCAGTCTCTCTGTCAAACGCTACTCTACCAGACACATGCACAACGTATGTCAACAGATGGACTGTGCATCAGCTACCATTGGTTTGTAAGCCCGGAAAGCACCCGAGGCAAGATCAGACAGAAAAGAAACAACCCAATGTAACGTAGTGTTCCAATGATTTCACCCAAGTCTTACGACGGACAATAATCGTCTCATCACGTCTCATTCTTTGGTGTTTGCGGTTCCATCTGCCGGAGGGAGCTCTGTCTGGGTGTGGGACCGTGCACCCCCACCACTCCTCCACCTCCCCTGGTACAGAACCTACCCAGGTACGTAGCACCACTGTACCACCCACAGCCGGATGTGTCGCGTCTTTTGGGGCGACGAGCTTGTCGCGTTCCCACTTTGCACGTCTCCAACTTACATGACATCGCACAACCACTACCACTACTACCACCACAACAACATCCGTCACAGCCGCTGCCAGGCAGATCGAAAGTTTCACTCCTAATTCTCCGACCTCCAATCTAAGCGAACCCCCGCGCTCGCCGTTTCATTGCCGTCCGATCACCGCCCCCAATCCTCCCCGCCTGCTCGCGAATCAACCCCCGAGCGGTCGAGGCCGCGATCCCTCCCGCTCAGCCTCATCACCACCGCCGCCATGGACAACCTCACTCCCACCGCCAAAACCCCGTCGCGAACCCCCAGTCGACGTGTCGGCAATGGTGACCCACTCTCCGCTCGCCGCGCCGTCCACACGCCCCTCGACCGCAGCGCCCCGCGAGACCTGCGCAACTCGATCCGCCGCGCCACGCCGGGCTCCGCCAGCCAACGGAACAATGCGCCCACGCCGCATGCCAAAGCCGCTCGCCGCGCGCTGAACCAGCGTCGCACCGCCATGTTCACGCCTGGCAAGAACCGCCGCCGCAGCTTGATGCAGCAGCGCGAGTCGCCCTTGGATCTGTTGCGCCAGCTTAGTAGGGTTATCCCGCGGTCCACCCAGCCCGCCGCCTCGTCCTCCTCTTCACCAGACGAGAAGTCCAATATCGCCCCTATACGGGAGGAGGACGACGGTGACGACCTGGACTATGACACTGACGATGACTTGCCAATTGATCCACCGGAGCTCACGTTGCCTATCGATGTGGATGACGAGGACGGCTCGGACGAAGACCTGCGGCCGCCCCGCCTTTCAGTAGTTGAGGATGAAAACTTTACGGTTGGGTCAGTCGAGCTGCCTCGACGTTTTGCCAACGACCAATCTAGATTGTCACGGAGTAGCTTTGGAAGCGTACGCGTCAGCGATGCCTTCAATGATCTTACGAACGAGGTTGGCCAGGTGTCTGACTTCTTCCCTGGACTGCTGGACGACCTCGATCTCCAAGTCCATGCTAGCGATGATGATTCGGCCCTCGAGAGGTAAGGAACTGTTATGCCAAATGAAGAAGAGCACAAATTCTAATCCGTCGCAGAATCGAAGCTGACCAAACACGACCACTGACCATGGCCCTCGACAACGACTTCAATCTCGAGATTCCCGATGGGGTTGGTGACCAAACTACGTTCCTCATGTCAGAGCCGGATGCAGACATGCCCCAAACATCGCCCATAATCGACCGCTCCGTTACCGAGGCCATGGCTGACGCACAGCGGGAGGCGATGGGGGATGTTGCGCTTGGTGACTCGGACTCGGACAATGGCGGACCCGGTTTCGACACAGAAGGCTTCGACTTTGATGCAGGAGGTATTGATGACCACAGCTTAATCATGGAAGATGAGCCTACCAGAGTAGAACCAGAGCCTACCAGAGTAGAACCAGAGCCTTACAGAGTGGAACCGGATACTGCCAGAGCGAAAGCAGCGCGGAAGGCCAGGAGAAACAAGAAGCGGATATCGAGACACGGCATTGAGTATCCAGCGCTGCCTACATCCTTTGTCAAAAGGGTCGCACAAACCGCGCTGCAATCGTCGGGACTTACCAACCAGCGGGTTTCGGCAGACACCCTCGATGCTCTCGCGCAGGCATCCGAGTGGTTCTTTGAGCAGTTGGGAGACGATCTCGGCGCCTATGCTGACCACGCCAAGCGCAAAACCATCGAGGAGAGTGACGTTGTGACGCTAATGAAGAGGTATGTAACGGGTATCAGCTCCTTGTTTTGGTGGTCTAAATGCTAAATATCGTACAGGCAACGCCAGATCGGGTCCCGGTCTACCATGTTCTCCCTGGCGCAGAGACACCTTCCACGAGAACTGCTCCAGGAGCTGAGGATGCCCGTTCCGCAACCTACTAAGCAGCGTCGTGCAAAGCGGGCGCGGGAAGACGACGAAGAGGAAGTTACAGAGGTTACATGAGTTTTTACATGGACATGAATAGGGTGGTTGTTTCCAGCCTAGAAACCCTTGGAGCGGGCCACACGACGTGCAATGTCTGACGAGGGTTTCTTGACCACCATGAACAACATGATAGAGGTGGCCGCACATAGGCCATACCTAAGAGGACCCAGTTAGAGTCATGGATGAGGAAGACGGGGATAGGGATGAAGGAGGATATCAACATACCACGTGAAGATGTACTGGGCATGGTTGTTGCGGAGGTTCACCTCAGCGGCTCGCCCATAGGGAATACCGCGTGCCTCATAGTCGACCATCTGCATGAACTCGGGTTCTGCTACCCGTTAGCGACGATGGACTAAACGGACCAGTAGCCTCATGAATCGAGGGCAGCGTCCATAGACATACCCATAGTTGCCTCGACCCAGACAGGCTGGCTGCCCGTCAGCTCAGCCATCTGCTTGACGTCGGGGAAAAAGAAGTCGCCCCTCTCTGGCCTGTTTTCCGGAGTAAACATGTTCTTCTTCCAGGGCTCACGCAGCAGCCCCTCGACAGTGACTTCACCGGTGGGGAGGCCGTCGGGTCGCGAGCGGCGATTCCGGTGCTTCTTGTCGATCCAGCCGCGGTTGACGAGAATCGTGGAGCCGCCCTTGCGCTCGAGCGGCGTGACGACCATGAAGCCGTCGGTGCCGTCACGCATGCGCGGGCCGACGAGCATCTCCTGGTCGTGGCGGAAGTGGCCGGTTGCGTAGACGCGGCGGAAGTCGAAGTCCTTGACGGCGTCCGGGTCGATGGTCGGCGGCAGCGGCAGCGGGTCGCGCACGAGGCGGTCCTCGAACTTGGCGATCAGCTCCGACTTCCAGCCCAGGCGTTGGACCTGCCATGAGCCGAGGATGAAGGCGGTGATGGGGATGATGGCTGCGGTGCGAGGGGGCGGTTAGCTGGAGTGGTCCGACGGAGAGGAGAAGGAGAGAAAGAGGTATACCGAGGATGATGAGCCCGGGGCCATGGCGCTTGCCGGCGCGGACGATCTGCGGAGGAGTCTCGAGGATGGACACGAAGTTGGGGTCTTCAGCCGGCGGTCCAGGGTCCTTATTGCAGCGGGCTGACGAGGTGGTGAAGGGCCTTCGCGGCGGCGCGGGCCGGGCGACGCGGGCGCACCGGGCGACGGGCCGGGCCGCTCGCAGGCTGCGCAGGAGCAGGTTCTTAGGCGCGTTCATTGCGGCGGGCGACGGCGCATTGGCGGGCTGAGGAGCGGGTTGCGGAGGGAGGCCGTGGAGTCGGGCGGGCGAGGTCTCTGGTGATGATGTCGGCGGTGGTGGGATGGTGGGAAGCTTCGGACTGGGGAGCGGATCCACTGGGCGGGGCCTGTGACTGACAACTGGCTGCGAACTACAATATCTTGAGCTCCAAGATGGAATGCCTCGCGCATCAATCGGGTCTCTTGGATATATCTTCTTTATCTCTTTAGAATCAATGGCTGTGCTGTTTTTCTTCCGTCTGCCGCTCTCGCGACGAATTGATCCGGACCCGTCATCCACCCACTCCTTCATCAGAGGAAGAACACAACAAGCACGGCAGCTCTAGGATCCCAAAACAGCTCAGGAAGTCAAAATGGCCAAAATAAAAGTCAATTGCCAACAATGGCATTTTGGTAAAGGAGAAGAAATAACCAAAATTAAAGCCCTCTTCCAGAGGGAACCTGAAGCTAAACTTATCGCCAGAAAGATGAGGTTATGGAACCAGACCTAGATCTCCTTGATCAAGCCAGTTGGGCGACTTTGATCACCGACGCACTACCGCATCAACTCGATAAATTGGCCCTGTTTGTACGGACTAAAGCTAAGCTATATAGTAGTTGGATTTCCTAAATTATTAGATATAAAAAAACCCGAAGGCAATAAGTAGGGAAAGGATTCAGGGCCAATTTACTGAGTCGATATGCTACCCACAAAGCCCCATCACCAATAAGGGCACTCTGTAGGGAAGTGACCTTCACAACGGCACCTTGTGCACCATGCTTCTTCCTTTCCGTGAGCATACCCGCATTCTCTCCCGCGGTTATTGCACCTTTTGAACTGGCACTCCTGCGTTTTCCACCACCTGAAATCCCGATCTGGATATTTCTGGAACAGTTTCCGCTCCTGGTCGCTGTGCCGGGACCCGCAATCGCCTCGTTTCGCGCAGCGGATGCCTTCGGCGCATGGCAGACTTTGGCGTGTGCTGCGACGGCGGGCTGCTTTCGGGTCGGATCGAGTCACCATTTACCAGGGCCCGTCGTCTTCTTTGTCGGCGTCGTCGAGACGTTGAACCTCGTCGTTCCCCCCATGGTTGGTACTGCCGTGCGACTTGGCTTTGCTCTCGACAGGTTCGTGTCCTTCTTTTGCCTCGTTGCCGGTGGAGCGCCGCTCATCCTCATCCACCAACGGAGCATATCTGTTACTGTCTTCGAGCATGGCTGGTGTTTTCTCATTGAGATGACTTGCGTATTCGGGCCATGACAGCACAGTTAATATATCCTTAAACAAGTCTCGTACCTTGACAATCATACCCTCGATGCTCTCAATCCCCGGAAACTCCACAATTATATCCTCCCCCGTCTTGGAAATCGTGATGTAGAATAAGTAGCGGAACTCAACGAGCTGCTTGCAAATGGAAGATTCGAGATCCTCTCTTCTCAGCATATCAGAGCAGCAGAGTATAATCGTTTTACCAGGGTCAAATTCATCAACATCTCGGGTAGAGTGAAAATTCATAAAGGAAATTTCCTCGAACAGACAGTCCAGATATCTTACTGAGAGTAGCGGATTCTGGGACTGCAACTTCAAGTAGTCTGATGAGGCCCCTGACTTCCAGGCCCAGAGCTCCACTCGGATACCACAGTCCAGCACTTTCTTAACAGGCGGGAGCATATCGCGGTCTCCGGTAGTGATGACAAACGTGGTGTTGGCTTTCTGTTGTCTGACGTTCCAAGGCTTGGCCTCGAATGTGAGCTTAGCGGCCTCATAGCCCAGATCTGCCGCCATAGACGTGTCCACCTCCTTCTCTGCACCATGGTAGCGATCGTAGATCTTGGACTGGAAGTTGAATTTGCTATACTCTTCCAATACTGAACTATCGGGCCGTAGCCCAGACCCATAAAGAAACGAAGGACCTTGGAAACGGTCATTTCGGAGCATGTCGACCAATTTACCGATCCTAATTCTGAGGCGCGGGTCGGAGTCGCCGCCTCTTAGTTTGGGCATGTTGCCATTGCCCGACGCGGCCAACTTTTGAGCCCGGATCCAGATGTTGGAGTTATCCATGAAGAAGATGCAGGTCTTGATCGGTTCGCTACTCATCGTGAAAGTTGATTGCTTGGTAAATTTGACAGGAGCTTAGGTTTAGTTGATGGCGAGACGAAAGCGAACAACAGAAGGACTCGATGATTTTTGTCATGAGCGAGCATCTAATGAGCAGAGGATGCGAGAAATTGCTGTCCATCATTTGAGGCCTTATACACTCAAAGTGCAACAGGCGGCATTTTAATGCCCAAAGCACACTGTTGGGCACTTCTTTGTTGGGGGCCTACAGAGGTGCAGAATCATGCAGGCTGGGAGAGGGCCTTGATTTGATCAACGGCCGGGGATCAGAGAAATGCAATTCCGGGCCTCACTTGTGTGGTATGGAATGCGACTCCGATGCCATTTCCGTGTCGTGATCGCGGTGTGTTACAGTGCAGCTTGCCAATGACAAGGGAAGCTGATAGGAGGGGGCCTGTTTGTGTGAATACCCGGCTTACATGGACATGGTGCTGGATAGGGTGGGTGAGGTCAACTCGGCAGAGTTTACAGCTCCCCTAGGTCGCGCAATTGGCCAGAGTGCTGGGATTAAATATACATTTCCACCTTGTTCCCTCTAGGTACAGCGAACTTGTCTGTTTCGCGCTTGACAGATCACCTGTGCTCTCGGAGTTTGGTGTTGATGTCTAGGGTGTGCCAGATCCTGGCCGCGCGACATCCCGAACTGCATCAACATGCTAGATAGGACAAGGTATGCCTCATAAACTAGTATTGCCTTATCGCGGTGTAGTAAGTGATCAAATAACGTCTTGATCATAGACCAGGCCGTGACGCAGAGTTGTGCTGAGTAGGGAAGTGGCACGAGGCTACATTTACTAAACACGTTCAAGCTTGTTTTCTCTGTCTCAAAACCTGCTATTCAACCCTTGCGCCCAGCCGTTTTGCCCTCCTACAACACGTATCGCCGAGTCCAGCAGTTGGCTAGACACACGAAGGCGGCACGACGCCTTTTCTGGTCCATTCAAGGCCCCCTGGAGAACAACGTCTTCGTCCTGGAGGATTTTACCGAGCCCTACCTGCAGCGGACCCTAGATTGCACACGCTGGCATGGCATTTCACAAGAGCCCCTTAGCGAGCCTCGAGTGTCGTCTGTAACTGCTAGGGTGTATCAACTACTGTATCGATTCAGTAAATTGGCCCTGAATCCTTCCCCCACTTATTGCCTTCGGCTTTTTGTATGATGAGGACGGGGAATATGAGGGCCAAAAGCTGGTGTGATGCTGCGGCACGGATCGGCCGAAGGAGATGCCACCTCTGGTGGTTCGAGCTGCAGAACACCCATACGTTACGGTTCATGACCACCTGGTGGCTGTACATCCTTGGCTCATGGGCTTACGGGGAGATATTTTATGGACGTTGAATCTGTGTGAAGATGAACTCTTGCCGGTAGAGACCAAGTTGGTGGTCAATTACAATGCACTCGACCGTCTTAACAATGAGAAGGAAAGCGACTGGATCCCGTTTAAGAGAGGAGGGCGCAATCTTGCACTCGACATTTCGGCGTATTTAGGGCTTCTTACCGAGCTACGTATTGCACCAAATACTGGGTGATGAATTATTAGCGGGCACTATGATTCCTGGTTTACGATCAAGAGTACGTGTTGAGCTGGTTGTAATAAGTTCAAATGATCGCCCATCACCACCGCGTGCCCAACAACACCAAACGAACTGTACTGTGATGCCGTCGGCATTACATGCACCGCAATACACCTTTGCGGAGATCAGTTTTAGTTGAAACTCATGTGCTGCATCAGGACTAATCTGCAGGTTCGTCTTGACGTAGGACGTTGGAATGGGAGCGAGTAACCTACCTTGCATCAAGCCCAGCACAGAGCAAACGGCTCTCTGATGTGACATCAACTACCACACATGTGACTGCACGTGTCTCCCGGCCGGCTGTATTCCTTCTCACAAGTTTTGTAAGTCTTCGTCCTTGTCTTCCCCGCTCCAAGTACTCCGTATTACAAGTACCAGATGAGCCCGGGCACGCGACCACACTCTGAGATATGGGCGCACGGCTCTGGGTAGATGAATGCTGACGAACTAACATCTCTATGGCACTTTCACGACATTACCACTTCTTGGGACTATTGCCCCTACCTGAACGGCCCGTTGTATGTCGGCGGCTCTCTAGGTCCGGTAGCAAAGAACACCGTCTTTGGAATGTCTACAAGGAAGCTGGATGTTGTCCACCACCAGTCATAAAAAGACCGAGTATTGGTTTTTTTTTTAGCTCTACTCAATATCATCAGATATATTAAAGCCATACAGTATTCTCAAACAGCAGAGATAAACAATAAGTGCTACAACCAGCACCAGAAGAAACAGTAGATGAGCAATAAGGTTATTGCACACTGGTCTCTGCCTGAAGCTTTAATTTAACTTTTCTGACTTCAACCCTGCTGTCTGTAGACAATAGGGTCAGTCAACAACCCTATTGTCTGCAGTCAACGACCTTGAGATAGTAACCTTATTTCGAGCAATAAGATAGAAGGGAGACTGGCGTCTCCCATCGTCAAGGGACTAACTTCCCTTCTAACAATCATCCCATCACAGCAACTTTCATCTGAACAACTTTTCAACATGTCGACTATCATCCGCAGGGCTATTTTTAAACCAGAATAGCTTTGCGGATGATACTCGCCATGTTGAAAATTTGTTCAGATGAAAGTTGTTGTGATGGGATGATTGTCAAAACGGCATTTTGCTAGACACTCGTGCCCGATCCGAGGGAAGTTCTCCGGCTCGGCGCACTCGATCGGTATCCATTCTTGCCTGGCTTAATTCACGCCGACTCGCCACACACTGTATCCCTCTCCGCTACATCGATTGTGTAGAACTTAGCCTAGTGCGTCTCTGCTGGCTGTTTGTTCTTGGCGCCTTTCGACTTGCGTTATCGTTACTTGCGTTCCTCGCGTCACTTGCGGACATCGTGTTCACCGGTAGTTACCGCTGTCACTCAAAGGGTTGAGCAAGAGTCAATCGCCACCCTGAAGCGCCTCTAGAGAGAATTGGGTTGGCTTCGGGACCGTCGTAGAGCATTGTTGAAGTCGCGCAGGTACAGTACCGCAAGTATCGCAAGTACTAGCACAACGTGATTCACCTATACGCTAATGATGACAGCACAATCCAGCACAAGAGCCACAGCGCACTACAACGGCGTATGCTATCGTCCTCAAATGAACGCTGCTCTTCAGGTAACACGGTGGTCGTGGTTCAAGGGGAAGCAAGCAAGACTTCATCTCATGTGAATCCAGTCGTCCAAGCAGCGAACGAAGAAGCCATATATTCCCACGTCTGCAGTCATACATTGTGTTAATGTGCAAGGTCTCTGGCGCACAGGCAAACGGCCTGATTTCTACGGTAGCTACCCCCTGCTTTGGCGTGACCTTCTGATGGGGAGGATCATGAACATCACGTACAGAGTCAGACAGCTGGTCTATATGGGGAAAAAACATAAATAGGTGGCATTGCAGCCTACTGACGTAAAGTAAAGAGCTGTGCCATTCCATCAGCCCTGAGTTCCCTGGATTCCTGATCGACCGAGAAACCAGAAATGGCTGAGTATGTTTTTCCTTTCCCTGCCAGAGTGCTAGTTGTTGATCAGAATTAGGGCGGCGTACACCCCGGAAGTACAATTCGCTTCCCGGCCTCAAGTCTGCGAGCCAGCGGCTTCAAGACAGCGGTGGTGAGAACATCATCACTGGCCCGATTTGAGACATCTTCATGCGCCACAAGATCAACAAAGCCTATGGCGTTGCCCTGTTGCACAAGCACTTTTCAATCAAGCCTACGGAGCGCCTTGTGGATATCCGGAACGTGTCAAGCCCGTGGCAGACTGGCGGCGACACCGACCCTGTACTGAAGAAGTACAATGGCGTCATTGTGCCGCGATCACTGCGGTTCCTGAACGGGGATTTGCTGCCTTACGAATTTGACTTCACAGCAGAGGAGCCGTCAACGGAGTCAAACGCCGAGTTTCTGCAGCAGTTGTCGGCTTTCTTGCACCAGAATGGACTGGATGAGGTTCTTGGACTCCGGCTATTGGAATCGCGCGATCCAGATGTGTCGGTTGAGGTGACCGAGGGCACCTCAAACACCATGATGCCTCAAGGGGCTGTCGATACGCAGCGGCTCATTCCTGCGATGTGGGTGTTCAGCACGGATGGAGACGACTTCTGCACCTGTGTGGAATACTGTTACTCGGATCGAGACGGTTCCCATACAGGCGACGGCACTCATGGGTGCGATTAGACATGGAGCAAGATGGAAAGTTCATCAAGTGCGGCTAGTGTTTGAGGTTAGCACATGACTCGGCCCTCGGTGCTGGGTTTCCCACAGGGTTTTCCCAGTATCTTTATGCAAATGCATAGGGATTTTACAAAGTAGTGAATTCAAGAGATTGCCAAGTTTTACCTGATTCACAGAAGCTGAACAGGAAAGAATAGTACAACGGTATGCCCAAGGATCGAAGGATGCGCCTTGACACGTAAGACGGTCGGTTTCCGGGATCTCACTACCTCATGTGTTCTAACATTACTATAGAGGGTATTTAACGCACTTGAGAAGAAAGCCCACTATATAACATAGAGCCTATGCGAGCCTATGCGCTTATAGATGAATCATGTCGGCTTAGGCTTCACAGCAAAGTTGTCAAGCTTCAGCTTCAGTGTCGTAGTCTTACCGGCAGTAACAGGAGTCATGGCATACCACTCCATGGACACAGTCCATGTGCCCGTCTGCGAATTCGGAAAGTCCGCAACATAATTCGCCCATTCGTTGACCTTGTGGGTGCCCTTCATGTTCGGGGAAAAGATGGTGCTGTTGTACGTCTTGGATCCGAAGCTGAAAGAGCCTAGTTGGTACCATAGCCCATCTGGCGCCTTGACCTCGACATACATTCCAGGAGTACGAGGCGCTGTGTACGTGGCTCCGTCCTTGAGGGCCATGGACCACGACAGCTGGAAGCGCGAAGCCTTGCAGATCTTGAATGTCTGTTGCAGCTTGTTGTAGCTCGTGGGATCATTTGCACCGGAGGTAGCCCAGACCTGGACAGCATGGTCGCTCTTGTAGCCAGGGCTTACAACCGCCGCGCTGCCGAGCTTCGGGTACGTGGGCTTGAAGACCCAAGAACCTGACTGCATTAGCGACGTCGGTTAGGGTAGAGAATCAATGGCTGATGGTGACGAAATGGAATCCCGCTCGTGTTGGACTTACTTAACCCATTCGACTCAAAACTAGGATTCTTCAGTGAATTTGATGGAGTGGTACAGGCTCGCGCATCAAGGGAGCTGAAGTCATCAGCCGCAGGCGCGGCGAGCACAGTAGCAGCAGCCGCCAGCTAGTGGAGAAGCGCTAACTTGATCATGGTCGCTGTTCTGAGGGAGGATGTTCACGCTATCAGAGAATTGGAGACAATGGAATCAAAGAAGCCGAATAGCAAGACAAAGAGTTCAGGAGCAATCTAGGCGGGATTGCCCCTTTCTCTTTATCGATCCTCAAGTGGCGAACAATAATTAAGCGTAACGGGCGGCGCCGTTCTAGATCCCAATAGTCGCTCAACCGCACCGCCCATCTCAAGCTAGTCCGGTTATAAACCATTTCTTGGCAGGGATTGTTGGAATCTGGACCCCTGGCTGTCCCAAAGAGAACTTGGGAGCAGGCGAAGGCGCAGGCACAGGCGCAGGGTGATGTTGTCTCCAAGTCTGCCACTCACGCGGGATATCTACAGTCTCTAATATATGGGAACTTCCCAGAGGCGTCGGGGCAGAAAATGGGGCTCAACTAGGCCCAAAACGGGCCCACCAACACCAACACCAACACTAACACAAGCATTCTTCTTATGCTTATCCCTTTGGTCTGGGGCGCATCGCCCGGTGGGGGGATCTTAATGAGTGGCCCATCCCTGTATGTTGGCAACTCTGAGAGCCGGACTGCCGACCAAGCGAATGCACCTGTGACTGGGATGCTCCGTTGTCCCCGCATGCGCGGTGAAGTTGGTGTGGATCAACGGAGGGTTCGGCAAGGCAGGGCAGGACAATTCCCTACCCTCGTCCAGGATACGAAAGTCGCCCACTTCTTCGCAGATGCGGTTCCTGCAAGGGGATTCCCTGAGGATGGTGGTCCCTGAGGAGGGTGGGTGAACGAGAAACAATTGCAGCGCGCCATCCACGAGACCCCGACAGGGCTTGAACGTGTCTACGACCAAAATTAGAAGAGAATCCTACGTTTCCCGAGAACAAGATCCGTCCCGCCCCTTTGCCCTTTTTCTTCATCAGTCTCGAGTAAGAAGCCACCCACTGTCGCTTCGTGTCCGGCCAGAATCAGCACCTCAGAGCCAGCTCATGCCGCAACAGGCATATGTCAGCCACTTGCTCACTTACCAGGGAGCAGCAGACAGGAATACATCGACTCCAAATTTAAGTAATCATCGATTTTGGTCCAGGCAAAGAACCCGAACGAGGATTCGGATTCATTCAGTCGCTACTTGATCGCCCTGACCAATTCCATCACCGGTCGCCGAACACGACAATCCATCCCAGTCCTCGCATTAACTCCATTACCAAAGGGGGTAGGCTTTGAACATGGACTCTGACGATGATCTTGTTCAGTGAAAAAATAACTTTTAGCTGCGCATCAATTTGCGGCAATGCCTCTTGGACCAACCGTGAGCCGTCCTCGTCTGTCTCGGTCAAAAACCTGGAATTCTCGCTGTGAATCCAAGTTTCCAGCGTCGTTAGGTTGGTGCACTTTTCTTGCAGAAGTCTCAAACTCTGCAAGCCATCTTCCCTAATCTTGACCTCCCTGGGTCGATCTTCCATCCTCTCTGCGACTGGGAAGTTGATACAGAGGTGGGACACGAAACCTGCATTCACAGATCCGATGCCAGTTAGGAAGGACCGTAGGAGTCCAAGTTGTTGCTGCGTCGTATCCAGCAAAACGAAACGGTGTATGTCATACAGCACTGCCCTTGCCTCGTCGGATACCTGTCGGTTGACATGCAGTAATGCAAGCCATCGGCGAGGTTTGTCGGGTGCAAACGTCTCAACTCGAGATCCCCTGTCTTGAAAGAGAAAGATGGAGTGCCTCATCAAGAGGACTCGTTTGTAGATGTCCTGGCGAATCTTTTTGGGCAAGCTAACAAAGCTAACCGTGCCCGAGGTCGCTGGCAGTGACGCCTTTGGCACGGGATGATGGTCAGGGGTTGGTGAAGGGAAAGAGGCGCTTCCGGGGGGGGAGGTCGCGTTCGAGATCTGAGTGCTCCCAATTTCGGAATCCATGATGAGCCTATGTTGCTGGCGTAGAATGTTCTCAAAGACTCGTGATGCGTGTGATGAAAATTCTGGCTGAGGCGGGAGTCAGACGGTCTTCGCATAGGTTGCGTTGCGTATACTTTTCTCACCTAGGCACCTACTGATCGCAACGCGTTCCTCTGGAGCGTAGCTTTCTGGGAGCGTACTTGGTAGCTTTCTGACAAAAGGTGGGGGATCGGGGGATCTGGCAGATCAGCTGCTCGCACTTGCCCTCTTCCCGGCTGGTGTGTTTGAGAGAGGTGGGCGGGGAGCGGGGTTGCGAACCCTGGTGCTTCCAGCAGCTTTTGGTCGGGGACGTCACATGATGCTGATCGATTAGTACCTACCTTAGGTAGATAGGCACTTACCTGCCTTAGGTAGGTACTTACCTTAGGTCCCTACCTGCCTAAGTAGGTACCTTACTCTACCTAAGGTAGGTACCTACCTACCTACCTACCTTGGGTGGCACCGACCTAGGTACCTAGGTAAGCTATGGGATGATTTTATACCTCAGGCATGAGGAGGTACAATTGTGTAAACGGGCAGGGCTTGGTCAAAAGCGGGGTAGGAAATGGGACTGAACTCTTCCCACACTTTGGTAAAGCTTACCAAAGCTCACCAGAGCTTGCCAAGCTTCGAGACAGTTGGAATTCCAGTTTCACGTACCATGACGCCTTCAACCCAGAATGAAGGCTCCCGGCTTGGGTTACGCGAGCGATTAAATAGATTTCGTCGCAAATCCCGCAATCCTTTAAACGATGGCAGCATTCACTCACCTTCAAGTACCCGAGAAGATGCAGATCTGGCGACCAAGTGAGTGGCATCTTGAATACTTAAGCTTACCAGTAAGGCTGTACTAATCAGGTTAGCAGTGCAACTTCACTCCACGATGCGGGATCCACTGCCGACTCCCTGCCTTCCAATCACGCGAATGATGCCCCTCCAGGAGGGTCGACCAACCCCGGCCATGATGCAGCTCAAGACGAAACGGATCAAGTCGCTCTCCACACGGACCATCTCGACCAGGATTTCACTCCAGATCGGTCGACTATTGGTCATGACATGCATAGCGTTGCTTCTTCAGACCTTTGGAGTGCAGTCTACCGGGAGGCGGTTGACAGTCTCGGGGAAGACATAGACGTTGCTATTCTCAAGGGCAAGAACGTCGCGCAGCTTTTCAGAGAACTCGAAGAAATCGACATGGAAGCAACTCAGGAATCCGCCTTCTTGAGAGGCGTGAAATATTTGCAATCCATACAAGTGCCGCTTCAGACGTTCAAGCTGGCGTTGGACTTGGCCAGTCCATTGACAAGTCTTGAACCAACTGCAACAACGGTTTTTAGTGTGGTAAGAAGCGTGACAGCGGTAAGCTTGGCTCATCCAAACACTGCCCTTTGCAGATTTCCGTCATGATGGTGTCAGAGGAACTGACTCGTATTATGTCTGTGCAGATTGCTATCAGCTTTGCAACTGCCGATCTGGAGTTCGCAAAACAAATCGGGGAAATGCTGGAGCAAATTGCCTACATCGCTTTCTTCGGGTGGTATAAGGAGGCTCAGGCTTCTGGGAATGTCGAGCCAGCAGCAAATATCGAGCAGCTGGAAGAGCTCCTGCAAAAGGTGCTGGAAACAATCGATCGTCCAGTTTTTTCCCTCATTGATGGTCTGGATGAGTGCGATAGGGCCTGCACCATCCTTCTCGACTTGTTGAAAACTTTGTCGCAAAAGATCCCGAGGCTCAAATCTCTCTTGTCTTCCCGCCCTCAAGAAGAGATCTTGCGGCAGATGGACGAGATGGCCAGGATTGATCTGAGTTCCGACGCTAAGCGGGATGGTATCATCGTTGAGAAAGCAGTCGAGAGACAACTGACCTATCTGTCAAAAAATGTCAAAGCACTTGTCATAGAGACCCTATCTCGTTCGGCCCAAGGAAGCGCAATATGGTCGAAGATGATAATCGGACTTATCGAAGTTCGGGGGATCAGGGCGCCTGGTCCAATGCGACTCTTTTTGGAAGAACTACCACTACCCGGGCAGCTTTCAAAGCTTTATGCCACTTTGTTTTCACAATGCACTTCAAATGACCCTGAAAATCAGGAGCTTGCCAGCACAGCCTTGAAACTTCTCGCCATCGCTCGCAGGCCACTGAGCATACTGGAACTCGCCTGGGCAGTGGCATTGGGTACGGCCCAACAGGAGGTAACCACCGTGGCCGCCCTTGCTGATTTGGTAGACCATCAGAGGTTGATGAGTTTTATTCACCCGTTCATTGCTCGTGTAGATTTCAGCGATGTGAAGAAGCGTCAAGTTCAACTGATACACCAGTCGGTGAAGGAGTTCATCATACGAGAATGGACCTCGAACCGGCCTTGTCTACAAGCTCGGCCTATCTCAACGGCAACTGATCAAGCGCGAAGTGATGCTAAGGGGATCATACAGGCTACTGTCAAATAGAAATCTGGGCTTGATTGCGCAACCCGGACGACAGTTTTGCTGAATCCAATTTTGAAGTCGAGTCGAGCCCGCTTGGCACAGATTCTCTATGCTTGACAGGCTTGGAAGAGGGTCGGCTGAGATGGCGCCGAAATGCTCGACCCAATGACATGATGCGTAGATGAAGAACTCTCCAAAGCCACGATCGGCCGGATCGTAGTGGATCATGTTTTCTTCCCAGACTTCCCACGTGCAACCCGGATCGTACTCAATCGGCCCTTTGTCGTCGCTGAATAGATCAGCATCTTGAGGCAGCGCTTCGATTGCCATTTGCTCTTCTGAAATCAGATCAACCATGCCAATGTCATCCAATCGAAGATATTTGATAGAGATATCCAAGATAAATGCCTCCAGACTCTCGATGCGTTGTTGGAGCGCTCTACGGCTCAGAAGCTATGCTACGTGATATGCTTGAGAACTCGGACTTCGACAAGGACAAGTTCCTTCCCAAACCGGCTTTGGCGGCCGCTGATCAAATTCTTCAATGGGGTGACCAGTCCAGGCTCAGGATACTCTTGGATAGCAAACTTGGCCATCAGCTTCAGAATCTTGACTTTTTTCGACTCACCATCAATGGATGGTCCGATCCGGGTACGAATTGCAACACTTGGGATCAAGTATTTGGCCTTGTCGACCATGTGCTAGACATCTTGGTTCAGGAGCAATGGGGCAACGAACTGTTGTGCATGGCTGCCAGTGTGGGCTGTATGCCCATGGTCCGGCGACTGATGATTAGAGCTCAGCACAAGGCGGAACTTAGGAGTGAATTGCTGCGTGGGCTCCGACGCGAACGGCATCGTCCGTTTGACAAATCCAGGCATCAATCGATTGGAGAAGCTGTTTTGGGAAACCACGTTGATGTGGTGGAATACCTATTGAAGGAGAACGGTATCGAAGCACACCTCCAATTCCGCAACTCGCGTGGTGAAAACGTTCTGCATTTGGCAGCAAGGCTCTGCAACCCAGCGATGTTCCGTCTTTTGGTCCCACGCCTACCGGAAGGCATACACCAGACAGACGATCAAGGAGACACGGCTCTAAGGCGGATTATTTTGCACTCTCCAGCTTCAGAGGACCGGTATGAGTCGGCGAGGATTCTGCTCCAGCAAGGCGGTGCCAATTGGGACAGCCATTCTTGCGTTGAGCAGCAGAATCCTTTGCGGATAGCTGTACAGCTTGGTGATTTAAAGATGTGTCACCTGTTGGTCTGTATTGGCAAAGGGAATCCTCTTTCAGCTATGACCCGTGATAACGATGGGCAAATGGTTTTGAAGGATAAAACACCGGAGAACGAGGATAATTTCCGAGAGATCTTGCAATTTCTATGCGCCAATATAGCATCAACATCGGCTTAACGGCCCCCGGATTGAAGGCTGAGCGACTCGGGTACCAAGGCACCTCGCCCGCTCTATCCGCCTTACCATCCGCGTCACGTACCTACTTGTGGTAGTGGATTCTTGCGGCAGAGCAAATGGTAAGCAAGGAGGCCCGGTGACCAATGGCTGTTGTAAGTAGCGGATTGACCTGAGCACAGCTTAATAGAAGAAGGAGAATATTAATACAATCAATTTATAATCGATTCACAGCAACGTTAAAATAACAGGAGCTCGAGGGCCAAATGCACATTTCCACCGGTTCCCCATATTGAACCCAAACTCCCCATCCCGAATGCAGAGCCCATCATTGCCCAATGCAATAGTTAAACCTCCAGAGCCGCCGTTTCGAGACCGGAAACGCCAGGCCACTTTCCAATCCACCCCAGTTTGCACCGAGTCACCAATCCATGTGACCATCTCCAATATCCGTATAATTTTCTTCGTGGCCCATCCGCCACCGCCACCGCCACGAGTCCCCGTTGGAACGCCGCCAACTTTGCGAGGTCGAAGAAGCCCCAGCCTTGCTCAAACACGTGAAGTGAAATCGAATTCATTGTCCCCGCGCCCAGGATTGTAGTTTCTGCATGAACCCTACCGGCGCAGCATCAGAATTCGTTCCATTTTGGCGGAACGAAAGCTGGCGGGGGCGGACGTAGTACAGGTCTGCTTCCCGGAATGAATAGTCGACGCCTGGGGTTGTAGATCGAGGGATCGGTAGGTCCTGCGTTGCTAACCCTGCGTCACTGTGGCTGCTCGAGCTGCGGGACTCGTCAGATGAAGATCCCGACACTCGTTGGGGCTGGCCTTTCTCGAGGAGATTCGCGATTGACGTCACGGATCTGGCCGGGCGGAAATGCGTCCTCAGTGGCTCTGGAGACGAAGGCGCGGATTCCAATGATGAAATCCGAGGGGAGCGGAACGAAGGGCAGTCTGAGCTGGGACTGGACGGACTGCTTTGATTGAAGTTGTCCATCCCCGGAACGGAAAGGTTGTTCATCGCGTTTGGACGCCTGTGGAGTTGGCGAAGGCCATAGATCTGAGGGCTAGTTAGTACTAAGTTAAGTCGATATGGGTGTCATAATTATACCTTGGGTCTTTCCTGTTCATTGACCAGTACAGGAACCCTCTTGTGCTGGAATGCGGCTAGGGAAAGCTCGGCAATCTCGTACAATGCGGGGACAAGAAACAGCAAGGCCAAGACAAGGGCGTGAAACACCAGGACTGAGTAGCCAACGGCGCTGCTGGCTTCATAACTAGCCACTTTTGGGATCGTAGCAATTAATGCGAGCAGAACGCATATCCTGACACATGGCATCATCGATGCCCTGGATAACAAGCCGGAAATTGACCAAGCCCAGGCGGTGAAGCCCAGTTGTGCGACTTCACACCCAATCAAGACGGCCAACTGAGCAGGTCCGAAGTCCTGTAAGCCACCGATGACGGCTCCACGAACGAACAGCAGCACAAATGTGATCAATGTGTACAGGTCTTGGGTTCGAGACGTGGGATCGCTCATCTGCTGCTCCTGGAACCCATCGATGATGAGATAGCCCATGTTCTGCGGGCTCCTTTGAGACATCCCCCACCAGCAAGCGACAAGTACCAGACAAATCACAATAATTGCGGTGACAACATAGTACTTGGGCAGGGCTCTGACCAGCTCGATTTGGTAGGCGGTCCACGCAACTATGGGCATGAGGAAGTAGCTGAGGAATACCCGCAGCACAATCCACGTCGTCGCCTTGCGTCGGTCGGCATTAGAGCCCTGCAGCGTCCAGAAGCTCGCCTCTCGGAACCAGTCGCGCGTCCACGTCAGGCGGAGTCCAATCTGGATGACGCAGAAGAGCAAGATGAGGATGAGGATGGCGAGCGAGACGATGTTGGTCCAGGTATGCATGGTGACTGGGGCGCCGATGACCTGCGTCATGAGCTCCAGCCCGGGCGTTCCACCAAAGGTCCCATTGAGTTCGTAGATGCCATCGCGCACGCCGTAATAGACGCTGTGCTGGATGACAAGACCCCGGGGCAGCATCAAAGTAGACCAGCTGGTCGGGCTGACGACAGGTTGGATAAATCCCGGGTACCGTAGGCTGAGCGCTCCGGAGAAGAAGATGAACTGGATGTACGACAAGCAGTCGGCGATTCTCGTTAGGTGAAGGCGGCCTGTCCCTTGAGGATTGGGACCGCTCTCGTCCTCCTCTTCCTCCTCATCAATCCGGCCTGCATTCGATACTTCTCGCCAGCCAGCGGCGAGAATTACCAGCAGAAACACCACCAATGGGCCCCAAAGACAGGCTTCGTACGCGGCCTTGCCGATGCTTGGGGTCAGGAAGCCATCGACACAGCCGACCGGGAGGTTGTCGGCACCACGGAAGTCGACATTGAGCTTGAAAGCCGCCAGTGCATGCGGGCGTTCGAGCTGAGACTCGATTTGCCACACTCCCTTCCACTCTTTGGCGCCGTTTTTGGCCCAGGGCGAAGCGAAGCAGGACACATTGACGATGTCTCCTGAGAGGTGATCTGAGCCTCCAAGTTCCAGCAACGTCACGCCAGCGGTGATATTTTGGCGCAGGGTCTGCTCACACGACGATGCATCTGGAACACCGCCAATAATCCGGAGTTTCAACCGGCTTCCATCGCCGTCGTCTTCGAGGATTGCGTTTAGGCTCTCCGCGGCCAGGTGGGACTGAGACGAGACAGACTGGCCAGAGGCCGCCAACAGCGGGAAGCAATCCTTGTTCTGGACATACGCGGCGAGGTTTGGGCGCGCAAACGACAGAATGAGTGTGAAAACAACGAGGTAAGAAGAAAACGGAAGAGAACGGCTACAGAAAGGAACGAATTTGGTAGCCATCTCGAGGACGTCGCGACAAACGAGCGACGATATCATGCAAGATCGGTAAAATTGCATGAAACAGGAGGTCCAATTCTGGGGAAGGGGTCGAAAGCCGCATTGTCCCCCGCCGTGACGTAGTAGCGAAGCGCTAAGAAAACTCGACCAGGGGATCGCGGACCTGATTCAGGGCAAAGAGGAGCCATCGTGGATCCATCTCGGAGTCGGCACGATTAGTGGGAGTGGATTCGAGCGATGGCAGCAAGGGTCAATTGAAGGGTTCAAACATGGTGGCTCTCGTCTCGTATAAGCTGACGCGTTCGCGCACGACGCTTGGATCGTATTCCATACGCGCAGCCAATTAATTGAGCACGTCGATGTTGGAGGGAAGAGCATGAATCCGGGGTATGGGTTGGACATATAATCCGACACTTGTTTTCGATGGAAGGTGTCGGCTTCTTTTCAAGACGAGGAAAACTCCAGGGCGACGCGGGTGCAAATACAATACATCGCCGTAGAATACTCGTTAGCTTACTGAGTGGCGGGGTAAGAGACTGGTTGAAGGATGGCTGCAGTCAGCTCTCTATTTGCAAAGAGTCAAGCAAGTATGTTGAATACCCTTTCATTCTGAGCCCAGAGAAATCCCTCTCGATAGAAATGTACAGTAGTGACAGGACTGAAGGAAATCCAATTAACAAAAACACCCCGAAGTGGTTCAAATCCATCCTGCGCTTTACGTGTGATCCATACTGTGGCATACACTGGTCCATTTTGCGAACATTGGCTGCGACTCCCGCCCCTTCTATTTCCCGACTATCACCCTATCATCATTCGTCCCTCCTTCCATTCACGATACCAGTGCGGGACTTCATAGTCAGCATGGTCCCACGAAGCAGGAAAGGCAAAGTTCTCCGGAACAACAAGTTCGGAGCTAAACGGGACAGCATCAGGGTCCTGTTCAGGACGTTTATCAGCATCCAACCAGTACCATTCGTTCCAAGCCCAAAAGTTAAGTTGTCCCCTCAAATAACTTTCCCAGACTGGATCGGAAGCGACGATGGAATGGCGCAGGGCGGGTGACCTCACCGCCTCCCCCTCGACCTTTATGAATGCGGTTGGAGGAATCATGTTCTGGAGGGAAGTCGGTGGAAGCCGGTTTTGTGCTGACCAATCCGCACGGCTGTCGACAGGATCAAACATCGCAATGTTGAATTGAGAGTAATCGATGGCGGATTCTGGGAAACGCATTATGCGAAATTGAGTGATGGGGTCCAGCTGGATGATCAAAGTGGAACTGTCACCAACGCGGCGAAGACCTGTGAACTGGGGAAGCGTTCCATGACCACCATGATCACCAGGCCACAAGACATCCCGAGATGACCAACCATGTTGGCGCAGTTTCTTCAACCTAGCATTCAATTCATCGTCTAGGGATCTTAGTGGAGCAAGCTGACGCTGTATGAAGGTGGGTCGGGGAAAGATGGAATACGCCTTGTTCGCCGAGACGAAGTTGACACAGGCTGTTGTGGGTGATGAAGTCATGATATGTTGAACAGGTGGCCCGGGAGTTCGAGTGACGCGAAGCTCTAAGCCTTTTCGCTCCTTGCTGGTAAACTTGAAAGTACGGGGAAGCTGTGAAGGAGTTAGCAAGGACTGAACATGGATACTCAAGTCTCTTGGGGGATTGGGGCTTTACCTCGTCATCCTGCTCGGTCTGAGACTCGTACTGTTCCCATACATCCAAAAGTAACATGAAGTGATCGGCCATAGGCCCATCTTCGACGAAGATATCCATCTTACGGACCTTCAAACGTCCCATCTCGAACACATTGAGGGCAAAGGACCCCGAGATCAATGCATTGGCATCCCTGAGGTAGGATCGGAACAATTGGGCGTTTTGCACGTAGTCCTTGAGCAGGGCATCGATGTTGGCGGCTTTCTTCAACGTATAGTGCCTGATCGGCTCGAGTTTTTTGGACGTTAGGGACAGGGACAAAAGCTCGGCGACGTTCAAGTACTGTCTGAGGTGGTCGTGGATGATGGGGAACGCGTTGGGATTCAACAGCCACTCCCAGAAATTGAGTTCCTCACTGGGCTCTGAATCCATTGCCAGGTTGCTCGTTTCGTTGTTTTTTTTGCGAATGAAAGAGGGGAAAGGCGACCAACAGATACCGCAAGCCCTGTATGTATGTCTTGCCCTACACGTGATCACTCTCGCAGGATGCTGTCAAGCCACCGGGAGCCTCACTCCGTTATTGTTCCCTCCTTGGCCCAATCGAGGGCATCCAATCGATAGCATTTCTAGACACCGAGCAGACGGACGCTGAGCCTGAACCCTAGCGCATCATGGACATATAAATTGGCCAGCTCCCAGCTCCCTACGTACCGATATCAAAGGAGGAATTCCAGCAGTGTTGGTGAGCAAGGACGTTGTGGAGTTTTGTATAAAGAAGCTTTTCGATAATACACAGTGCAAGGAGTACGGTAACTCTAGGTCCGTTCGCTTTAGCGTCAGCATGGGGACACCACGATGGTGCGGCGAGATTGGCCGCGCATCGAAGCTGTGCAGTGTTTATCCTTGTGAAGATCTCTCATCCCTGACCTGCTCCGGGTAGCTTCTTTCATCCCCTTATGCTCTTTTGCTATTCTATTTCTCCGCCTATTTTGCCGGCAGTTTCCAGGGGTCTGTGATGGTGGTTGCAGGCCTGCGCAGGTTACAGCAGTCCCCCTCCCTACGTCATGCCGCTCCTACAGTGTACTAGCTGTTCGGGGCAAAGCCACAGGGCGCTTTTTCAACACCAGGCAAGGCAGACAGCAGAGCCCAGGCTGCCTCACAGCGTTTGCGTGGTGGACGACACGCAGTTTGGGAGAGCATAGCCCCCATTCCGAGCAGCCTGTCTGATAGATGGATTGGATGCATATTCTGTTTTTCAGTGATTCCACATATTCACTCTCAGCCAAGAACCAGCTCAGCAATTGATCAATAGATGCTACAATGGATCCGCTCTCGATCGCTGCCTCAGCGGTGGCCTTGACCCAGGCCGCAGGCGCTGTAAGTTGATCCCGCCACCAATTAGCAGGCCACCACCACTAACAACTCCCACACACAACAGATCGCTTCCTCTCTGGCCGGCTTCGTTCGCTCCCTCCAAACCGTCGACGCGCGCATCACCGCCCTCCGCCATGAACTCGCCAACCTGACTGCGTTCCTCCAATCCGTCGAGAAAACACTGAATGGCTGCCACAAGTTCGACTTCGCCCTCGTCGAGGAGGACTTGTGGCAGCAGAGCCATATCGCCATGGCAGACTGCAAGTCCACCCTCGGCGAGCTGGCGTCTTTGGTCAACAAAATCAACCACGCCGCCAAACCAAAGGGCCTCGTGTGGAAGACTCGAGCCGTCGTTGATCTGAACATCCATGGTGTCGATATCGCCGCATTCCGGGACAAGATTCAACAGTCCAACTGGGCGCTGCAGACCGTGCTCCATACCATGACAGTGTAAGGACAGTCGCATCGAACAGATCAATTCATCTCGACTAACTTGTACAGTTCTCTTTCTTTCAGGCAGCACACATCCCAGGAAGCCATCCTCGCCAAGCTAAGCCAACTGAAGGCCTCCATCGACGAGACGCTCCACGCTTCCTCACGTCCCGCCGGCGGCTTCGAGCGCGGCGTTAGCGATCATCCCGATTCTCAAATTGCACGGAACATGCGACATCTCGCCCAAGCAGCAGGACACTTTTACTCCGCAGCCAGTTCGACAGCTAGCTCTACTCGAGGCGATAGAAGCATTGGCCACACTACATCATATCAAAGCGCTGCCGCCGCCAGCATTTTAGGAGACTTTCCAGACTCCCGCCGTGAGCGGGTCGAGCAATTTCTCCACGATAGCCGCAACCAGCTACGAGACCCGACAATACTCTCGATTCCATCACAAACCTCGCCGTCATGGAACTCTTCTTCTCGATACTCGCGACCGCCCTCTGTATTCCCCTCTACCATGTCCACGGCGCTTGCACGCGGGTCTTCAAACAGAACCTTGGATGACGACGACGTCGACGCCGAATTCGAGCGCCTCTATCTCGACGGACTGCAAGAGTTGGCTACAATCAGCATGAAGAATCGAGACTACCAGATCGCGATTGAATATCTGCAACAGGCATTGCAACGAGACGAGGATTCGGGCTCTGGAAGCCCCGAGTCTCGCCAACGCCAAATCCAACTTGCCTTTTGCTACTTTTTCCTGGGAACATGGCGACTCGCGGAGCCGATAGTCACCAAGCTCGCACAGTTGAAGTCAGACCAAGACCTAGCGGTGTGCAGCCTGCTCCATGCTCTATCGCTCGCATACCTCTCAGAGTACCTCTTTGACGACGCCTTGGCAACCTGCAAGAAGGCTCTCCCAGGGAAGAAGAGACTATGCCATGCCAATGGCGCTAATTGGCAAGAGTATAGAGAGGCACTTGCTCTTTTGGCGACCATTTTCCACATGGAAGGCGATTACTTCCGCGCCGAAGTCTTGAGGAGACAACTGCCAACCGACTTCGTCTACGTCCACCCTGTCAACGCGATTCAGTATCTGCAGAGTAAATCGGACATCTTTGAATCCATGCTTGGAGACGACGACCCCCACCAAGGTGGTATGGCAGAGCTGGACGGCGGACAAAACCTTGCTGTAAATGGGGAGCGCCAGGGAGCTGTTCGAAACGGGACAGTCACCAGTTCAAGGGGTGCCTCGTTGCGTGCCAAGGTCTTGGAAAACCAGCGGTATGAGATGGACACGATGAAGGAAGTTGTGTTCGTTGAACCCGCTGAGCCACAGTCGGCAACTGATGCAGACGACGAGGCCTCGATCTTCGCTCCTGTCAAGGGATCCCTCCTTCGCCGTCGCCTCACTCAAATTTTCGGATCGAAACGGATTCGCAAGACGAGTTCGGGCGAGGCACTGGCGGCAGTACAGGTCCCCGAGTCACCGATAAGCGACACAGCGTCAGTTGTGCTTCCAGCACCGGAGTCGCAGTATCCCAATGGCGATGGGATGTGGCTCAAGATAAAAACGTCAAAGACGCTCTTGCGGAAGCGATCTCGACCAAGAGTTGCCAAGTTTCCACTCAATAAGGCTGGCGCCGGGCAGAAGGAAGCCTTCAGGTTGATCAACATGGAGAGGATCTCGTACCCGCAACACCAACAACCTGCCTACCAGTATAATCCTGGGGACTATCCTTACGTCCCTTCAGAGAATGACAGCTTGAGTCCAATAGAAGAAGTCAGCGATCCCCTCTCCTCTACAACGATCAACCAGGGAGAGCCAACCGAAGATCCCGAAAGCCGACCGTCCAGTGTCTCTCCTTGTACCTCTGAGACTGATGAACTTGACCCGACGGCTGACACGCAAAATCAACTACCACTAGCGGAACTTGCTGATGAGAACTTCGGGAATCTATCTGTCTCAAATCCCAATTTCAACGCTGATCAGCCGCAGACCGTGTCCTCCAATGGACCAGGGAATTCAGGAGAGGCCAGAGCTGGGGATGAAAGTATGGGACGTGGTCAAACCAACAACCATTCCGATATTCCTATCCAGCCCACCAAAGTACCGCTCCCTACAATATCCGAAGACTTGGAAAAGACACTAGCAGAATCCACCGCCGTCTTCACATCGCTGCCGGCAATTCCAGATTCAGAGGAGCTCCATTCTAACAAACTTGACCTTGAGCTCCTTTTACAGAAGTTACAGGCAAGAAGTGATTGCCAAGTTCTTCTTCGGGATTTGCGGAAGGTCATAAGAGACTTGGAGCAGAGAGACGCAGTCGAGCAAGAGGAGGCACACGACTCCGGTTACGAAACAATGGACGACAGCAGTGAATTGGTAAAACCGGCTCCAGAACCACCCAAAGGACACGAGAATGACTCTACCCCACAATCGCCAAATCTCAGACGGGCATTTTCTTGGACAATGGGCTCCGAGGCCTCCTACACCGCTCATGAATCCGAGCTTCAACCACCAGATGAGAAACGTTGCCCTGCTGATATCCCTCCCTGGTTAGAAAGCTACAACGTCGTCGCCATAGCCTTCAAACGTCAAAACAGTGGGCACACTGAGGAGAGAGAGGAGATGCTGTCGGTCACTGACACTGAATTGGAACCAGGAATTGGGAAGGTATCCAGGGTAGAAGATAGCTGGACAGCGCCTTCACTACCAAGATTGGAGGCGAGGGGAGGTTGGGATTGGGATCGATTGTGAGATGACAAGTGACAGGGAAATGTTAATACCGACCGTTGTGGACCAGTCACAACTTTGATGGGGTTATGAAGGGATGCATTATGGATTATGTACTCTCATGCTTGGGGTTCATTTCGTTTTAGGAGTTAGGTAGTGGCGTCTTCTTGAGATCCAAGCTGTTCTATTGTCTTCCTCACCATCGCTTCGACCTGCTGCCACCTCCGCCGGAGCCACTCTCGCTGACTGTCCAATCCAACATCCGTCTCATCTACCTTCAGCAACGTCTTTGCAATAATATCCAAAAAGTCGTTCAGAACCTCCAATAGTAGCTCGTCCACCTCTGACTGCGACGTGCTGCCATCATCCTCCGCGTCGAAGAATCGCTGCCACTGCCTCGGCGTGCAGCACAGCATGCGCAGCGCCACTTGCGTGCGATGGCAGCCGAGCGTCTGGTCGTCGAGGGTGTACCGCCCGAGAAAGTCGACGCTCTTCAGATCGGCCCGCTGCGTCTTGTTTAGGCGCGGGAAGATGACCTCGTCGAGGTGGACTTCGTCCCAGCGGTTCGTGTCGAGGATGAAGCCGTACTCGGTCAGGAGGAAGTCGTTGGAGTGCGGCCCGTACGAGATGTACACTTCCTCGCCCTCGCGGTATGCGCGGTCCGCGACGATGCTGTATCCCATGGCCGAGTATGATAGCTGGCAGCCTTGGTCTGCGTGGTTGAAGAGATCGGCGGCGGGCATGCACACCAGCCGCTCGGCCTGCGGGTAAGCCTTCATCTTGGGCATGCTGTTGTAAAAGGTTCTGGTGTTTACGAGCACCCACGAGTACAAGTAGTCTTCCCTCTTGAGGTCTGGGAATGCTTTCAGAACAATGTCGCACTCGCGTCGAAAGGTGCCAGTCTGCCTTTCCAGGAGGTCCTTGGCTCGTCCTGGGAGCAGGTCTTGCAACTCCTTGGGCCACATCATGGGCATGCCGGCTTCGAGATCTTCCCTCGTAGGAAGAACAGTTCTCCACATTGCAAAATCATCGGTTTTGTCCAGCGCCATCTCGGCCGCCAGGACACCATGGACTGAGACGCCTGGTTGCAATGCCTCAGCTATAGCCTTGGGCACGGTGTCTATGGTGCGGAGGGATCTGGTTGGTACACTGAGAATGACATCGTTGGCCTGCAATATGCAATTAGAAAAAGGCGAATATCAGGAGTTGCGGAATAAACATACTCTGATATTGCGAGTCGCAACAACACCAATACCTCGTCCGGGCAATACCTGGGGCTCAACGCCCTTTAGCTTGACGCCTTTGGCTTCCGTCCAGGGCAAGAATGCCTCGTCAATAGACATTTTGCACGGAATCCAATTTAAATAACCAAGATGCGCTCATTAAATGGGGAAATTTCTTGGATTATTCGAGGAATGCGAGGTGGCGTCTGCATCTGCGTCTGCTCAAACTACATGGATTTTCCCAGTCCAGGCCTTGACTCAGAGGCAATGGCGCAGGCTCTACAGAGAATGGTGAGCTTCGGTGCTCCGTACATCCCAGTCGGGAAAGCTGCTGAGTCATGCGCGTGGAGCCGACTCTAGGCGGGAGCTGCACGTGATACCACGCCAAACATACCCGGAGGAGCTTGTCCCCCGGTAACTTTGACCAACACGGTGGCCATGTCTCGCTGAAAAGCTGACGAGACTTCCATTCCGACCTTGACCTTTTGCTAGACAGATTGTTGCTCCTCCAATTCTTAGTCTCTCTCGGAAATGATCTGAGGCCTGAGGACAACTTGCACTTGCCCGCTTGCCCTCCCTGACGCTGCATGTTTGCTCAGAGCCTCACTGAGCTGACAAAGCGTGGACACCTTTCATGCCACATCAGGTGAAGCAGCCCGGACCGTTCGCTTTTCAAGAGACCTTTTTTCTCTTCTTCCTTGCCATCTGAATCCGTCTTCCTCGCAGCGGGCCATTCACCATGTTTTACCAAGGAACTCTGCAAGACGGCATTTCCACCGCCGTGGGCCAACAGAAGCTGGTGCTGTGCTTCGTCACGGGTACGTATACGTCACACCCTGCTGCCACCAATTGAGCGCTCACGTGGTCCCAGATGAGAGCGAGGAAAGCACGCAATGGGAGAATGAGTTTCTGCTTGACGAGAGTGTAAGATCTCTCCTTTCCCTTTCCCTTTCCGGGCGTCGTCTGTGTGACGCTAACTGCCGTGTAGTTGAGCAAGTTGATCAAGGACCAGAGCGTGGCGCTACGTCTCACAGCCGGCTCCGATGAGGCCGGCTATCTCGCCCAGATCTTCCCGCTCCCTCGTACTCCCACAGTTGTAATCATTCAGAACGGCGAACTGAAGGAGTACATCACTCCTGGCACCACCAAGGAGGATTTCTTTCGCCGCATTCAAAATGCATTCAGCGCCACCTCGTCATCAGCGCCCGTGTCAGCATCCACCAGCACACCGCAACCTGAGCCCGCGCCCGCTGCCAGCTCATCACAGGGCGTATCCCCGTCCGGGGAGTCCTCGACATCCGAGAATGTCCGACGGATTCTAACCGAGAGAGCTGCCAAGCTCAAGACCCAGAAGGAGGAAGCCGAACGCAAGGCCAAGGAACAGGCCAAGGAAGAGCGCAACAAGGCCAAGGCAAAGGGAAAGGCAGACGCCGAGGCTGGTGCCAAAACTGACAATGCCGTGGCGCACAAGGCGGCCGAGGCTGTAAAGAAGAAGCGTCAAGAGCAACAGGAGGAGCGCCGACGGATTCTCAAGCGCATTGAGGACGACAAGGCTGAGCGCAGATTGCGCGCGCAAGCCCGTGAGCAAATGCGGACAGAGGATGTGAAGGGCGGTGATGTTGCTTCCTCTCTGGTGAATGCGCCTGAGAGCAAGCTACCCTCCACGACGAAGGCCAGTGGCATGACCTCTCTCCAAGTGAGAATGTTTGACGGCTCGACGTTGAGGTCTCGGTTCAAGACAACGTCTCCTCTGAAGACTATCCGCAGCTGGGTCGACGAGAACAGGACTGATGGGTCCCAGCCATACACTTTCAAGCAGGTCCTAACGCCATCACCAAACAAGACGATTGACGAAACAGAGGAGAACAAGTCGGTCGGAGAGCTCGGCCTGTCACCGTCGTCGACGTTGGTGCTCATCCCGGTGAAGAACTTCACATCTGCCTACGATGCGTCGTCGCAGAATATTGTGTCGAGGTTCTTTGCCTTTATTCTGGGCATCTTCTCCTGGTTTTTTGGACTATTCAGCTCAGGTGATGCACGAGCACCTGCCGGTGCCGGCGAGGACTCCGCGGGGTCTTCCCAGGATCAGTCCCGCATTCAAAGTTTTGGAAATCAGAATGATCGACAGCGGGATCAACAATTGTACAATGGCAATTCTGTGAGTCTACAACTACTGGGCCGTCAAATGGTCACATTTTACTAACATGGAGTAGTTGAACTTTGAGCCACGACCGGATGAGGAAGAGAAGGATGATTGAATGTGTACGAAGTGAAGCGGAATTCCCAGGCAGAGTGGGATTGTGGTATTTTTTTTTATAGGTATTATACAGTTGATAGTGCCGAGTTGTAATAGTAGTCATTCCCCCATTCAAGTACGCACGCACGCTTAGAGAGAATCCATCTGCGTAGATCTGTCTCTGATGCTATCATTTTACCACGTGTAGTTCATTGTGTCATATCCCTATCCGTCCCTGAGCGAACTCCCCATTTTGTCCAGCTCCGTGCAACTTAGTACTGAGTGGCGGCGGCCTGGCAAGCCTTGAGCTGCTCGAGGTACCAGTTGCAGATCTGCATGTTGCCACCGTTGTCGTCCATGCACTTGGTGAAGCTCTGGGCAGAGGCGGCGCAGTTGTTGTTGTTGTACTGGTCTTGGGAAGAGGCCTGAGCCTGGACGGGGGCCGCGGCGGGAGCGGCAGCAGGCTCGGAGGAGCCGCCGGAGAAGAGACCGCCGATGGCGTGGCCGACCGAAGAGCCGATAGCGACACCACTGTGAAGCACGGGTTAGTCGCACGTGTGCGGACGAGGGATTGTGAGAGGCCGTATATGCTCCACCGGTCGGAGCTTGAAGCTCGTCCAGGATGCGACCGAGCGAGCAGGAAAAGGCAATTCGAGGATGCTGAAGCGGAAAACTACTTACGCAGCAGTGCTGGCCATCTGGCCGAAGAGGCCGGGGCCCTGGGGAGCGGCCTGGGTCATCATGGGCTGGGGAGGGGCGGCGGCCGCGGGAGGAGGAGCAGCCATGGTGGTGGCCGGGCGGTGCGGCTGGGGCGCGGGGGCCGAGGCGGTAGGGCGCGAGGGAGCGCGGCCGACGGAGCGTTGACGAGGCATGGCGATTGTGCGTGGAGGGGTTTGTCTGTGGTGAGTGTTTGGTGTTGTCGAAGTGGTTGTCGAGGTGTGTCAGGAAGAAGAAGAAAGTCGTTGAGAAGGAAGAAGAAGCCGAGAGTCGGATTTCGGGGTTGCGGTCGGTGGCCAATGGCAGGCTGCCGGTTTCAATGGGAAGTGGGGTTTGCGGCCAGTAGGGCCTCGGTAGTCGCATGCTGTGGCGCAGGGGTGCCATCCTCTCTTCCGCGTGTTGCCGGGAGTTGGTTGAGTGGACGTCTACTGGAAGACTCTCGAAAGGCTCGGTGTTAGTCTACGTAGTAGCTATTCTAACGAGGTGAAGACGACTGCAATGCATGATTAAGTAGCCATTTTCCGGTGTGTCTATTTTGTTGGTATGTTTCCTCCCATCGAATATTATGTGCTCCTAAACGCCACCCATCCCGTGTGTTGCCGCAATGCGACGGCCAACGACCCACGCAAGGCAACATTCCGCTGATGCGGCCTACTCTCAGCCCGCCTAGCATGCGCGGCCATTTTACTTCTGGCTCTTTCCCTTGCCCCTGTGCTTGTTCTTCTGCTTCTTCTTGCCCTTGGCCTCCTGCGACCCCGAAGCGGCCGACGGAACGGGAGATTCCTCAGCCGGTCGCTTCCGGTTCTCAACAGACTTGAGGAGGGCCTTGGCTCGCTCTTCGGCAATCTTCTCGGCCAGCTTAGTACTGATAGTCTTATTATCAGACTATCGAAGGGTCAATGTCTCGTCATCTTCAGTTATTGACGGGTCATGTCAAGGGCCTTCATACCAGGTCTGCCTTCAGGATGCGAGCCGCAGCTTCTTGGTTCACTGTTGTGGTTCGTGTCTCTGCAGGTGCCTCTGCCGCTTTGATCTTTGCAAAGTATTGCTGAGTTCGTTTGAGTTCAGTGAAGACGGCATGGCTCTGCGCGTCAGTGCCATCCAGCTTCAGCGAGGCTATCGTGACGCACGTCAGTCAGGAGTTGGGCGCATGAGGATGCCAAGACGCAAGACACAGCATCCAAGCCCGGGAGAATAAACCTACAGAAAAGTAGCGACTCAATGGCGTAGGCTGTGAGGGAGAAGAGCTTGGCCTTGTCTAACAGCGGCAACTCGGAGGACATGCCCTCGAGATTGCCCAGCAGGGGCTGCAGCGCGTCCTCGAGGACGTCCAGCTGGGAGTCCAGCCGGTCGAGGTCCGGGGTGATGTCCTTGACGTCCGACATTTCCGGATTAGTGATGCGGAACGTTGGAGTTGGTGAGACGCAAGGGTGAGTGAGAGGTTCACTGTTCGCGTAGTCTCACATGAAAGAAATGGAGACGCAGAAACTTGAAGCGACGGGACCCAATACGGACTAGCGGTGTTGAATTCATGTACTGGGGATACCGTTGCGTATCGGGGCGGGGTTCCAACGGCTGAAGGGCCAGAGCAAACTCAGCGTGTTTGCGAGCGAAGAGACTTTGGGCTGTAGGTGGTTCAATTGTGATGATTGAGTGAATAACAGATACTTTTCTCTCAACGCTACATTTCATAACGGAGTGGCAGATGGCCGGATCTGTGTTTGCCTTAGAACGGAATTCGAGATGAAGAATTGACCAATGGCGTTGGCGGCAAAAGCCAGAGCCAGAAGGGACGAAATCCCATCCATCCGCGAGCCGTGATTGGCCGTAAATCGAGATCAAGCCGGAGGGAAAAAATCGGAGGACGCACCGCCGACTCTGGCTGGACCGTCAGTGCTCCGTGCTCCGTGCTCTATCTCTTTTTAGATCATCATCCATCCAGCAATCCACGCATCAGCCATTCAACCCACAACCCACAACCACCACTCCTCTCGACGACACCCTCTCCTGCGTCTCCTCTTCGACTTCATCTGCCAGCCCGTCTCATCGCCGTCCTTCGTCTCATCGCCCGCCCGTCTGCGCCCTCATGCGCACATCTCGGTGATCTCCACGGTCGAAGGCAACCTCACGGCGGCCGCCCAATCTCTCCTCCTCCGCATCTCCTCCCGCATTCGTCAAGCTGGCGACCCTACCGAGCCCGCGGGTGTCCGCACGATTACCACACACGCTATCACAATGCCTCCGGCATAGTGCGGCGGCAAGCCGAAGGGCTCCCACCAGGTGCTTTGCCTCCGCCTCCTCCTCCTCCTCCTCCACAGCCCACCAACAGACGACACCAAAGGCCATTCCACCAGAAATGGGAGGGTCCCCTTCGGCAAGACCATGGACACGGACCGACCAAATCGCCCAGTCTGTCGCTACCTCGCCGACTCCCTCATCCAAGTTCCACATCCCCTCGGTCATCATCCCGGCCGAGGCCGCGAAATCCGGTCCGGTCCACAAGATTCACATCCTCGGCGACGATGTGCGATCACGGTTCATAGCCCACGCCCTCTGCGGAGTCTACGATTCCGTCGAACTTCTTGGATCACGGTCGATGCCAAAGTCCAGATACCGCAATGTGGAGGCTGCCCAGCCAGAGAGGACTCGGAGGACAGCCTACTCGGAGCCCAACGCGGTCCCGGTTCAACAGCACGTCAAGGCCGAAACATCGCACATTGATCAGCTGATTATCACTGGCCGTGGATTCGAAGCAGTAAAGGCCATGCGGTCTGTCAGAGACCGGGTCGATGAGAAGACGTCCATCTGTTTGCTCAACGACGGAATGGGCGTGCTTGAGGAGGTGAGGGAGAAGATCTTTAATGATACCAAGACGAGCCCCAACTTTGTTCTTGGCCACATGAGCCATGCTCTGGTATACAACCGAAACAGGGACTCTGTCAAGGAACTAAAGTCTGGGCGATTGGTCTTGACGCAAACAAACCCGACGTGGGATACACAGGAGCTCATGGCTTCCCTTCGGCAAAGTAAAGACCTACGAATGACGTCGGGCAGCTTTGAGAAGTGGATGCGATTCAAGCTTCCCTCGATGGTTTTCGCAGCTGCCGTCGAGCCCGTGTGCGTCCTACTCGAATCGCCGTACCAGACTCTGCTGGAAAACCGATCGGCGCAAAGCATGATGAACCAACTTCTTGGAGAGATCGTGACGGTTGTAGAACACCTACCCGAACTCGAAGGGGCAACTGAGCTTCAACGGTTTATCAAAGGCGAGGGCCTAAAGAAGTGGTGCTACCAAAGGATTATGGGCAAGGCCTCTGCGCCTTGTGAACTGCTGCAAAGGGTTGAGAAGGGCCAGCAGACGGACATCAAATACCAAAACGGCTTCTTCCAAAGGAGGGCGAAGGCTTTGGGTATCGACATGCCGGTGAACTCGCTAATGGTGCAGATGGTCAACGCCAGGCAGGCAGAGGCCCTGGCGAAGAGGCAGTCTTACATCCCAGTAGAGGAGAAGTCGATGGCGGACCCTAGGGTCTAGACACGGAGGACGGAGTACTGATTGATGGCTGTAAAGTATTGTATCATCCATGGCGAATAGCGGCTGGGGCAGATGCATGCATGTATATACCAATCTAAAAGGCACATATTTATCTCGTCGACATGCTCAACGTGGAGCGGTTGTGAATCTCGACTACCAGCGCGCTGGCTACCAGACGGCTTCAGTCCGATACTCCCACAAGCTGTGGCTCAGGCACTACATCGCCCCCTGTGGCGTGATGTCGCAGTCCTTAGTCTAGGTAACATATCCAGGACCAACATCGCATTAGACCCCGAGATCGTCGTCCTAGTTCTTTACGGCTCTACTTACTGCCGAAATCGCTCGCTCGGATCACCTCATCCGACCCTAAAGCAGTTCATCGCAGCCGCAGCTGAGGTTGTGGGCGAAAGATCCGACCCGATGTTGTTCTGACACACAGCTGGCCAATGGCGATCCCGAGCTTGGCCCTGAGTTGCTCGGCTTCATCTGTGGCCCGAAGGATGCTGTCAAGAATGAGGGGAAGGTGAAGGCGGACCACCAAAGACCTGACTATAGATCCAACCCGCCTTGACTCGTCTTTGTGGTCTAGTAAGCGAATATCGTCAGCACGCTCGGGGGTGAGGGTGGGAAGGCAAGTTGCAATTGGGGCGGGATACGTCAGATCGGATGCGACACAATCCCACTGTTGCTGCCTGATTAGCTCATGTCCTGCGAGAATTGTGCCCGCCATTTTGGAAGACCAAATTCACATTGGTACGCGGATGGATGCAGGTAAGTCATGTACCAACGTGGGCCGGCGGTAGCCAAACACATGCTGTTGGTCTATAATGGACTTAATGACCAGTGTAGACGCCTCCGCGTCGAGTTATCGAGGCTTCGGTCCGTTCTGAATGGTCTCCAGCAGCTGTTGTAGTTTTTGCACATTCTTAGCCAACTCGCGAGCTTCTTCCTCATCTCTGTCTGGCATGAACAATCCATTGCCCCTGAGGTACTGCGCGTAGTGCTCCGAGCTTTCGAATTGCCGCTGGGCCTACAAGGCGAGTCCCTTGTTCTCGTCGCGTTGGAAGAATCTGGGGACAACGTCATCTTTGGGGGCTTCAAAGAGCTTCGGATACAGGGTCCGGTAGAAGATGGCGACCAGTCCACTCCCAGTCGATTACGGCTAGGATGTTGAGATCTTCGTCCACGACGATGTTAGGCCCTCGAAAATCCAAGTGAGAGTATTAACGGCCCGTCGTCCCAGTGGGTGTTGGCGTTGATGAAATTGTGCAGCTCTCTCTCTAGGTGCTCGAGTGCAAATATCTCTAGTTGTGCAGTTAGCAATGACTGGTCGCTCATTGGCATCCGGTGGTATGTATTTTTTTAGGACACTGAAGTGATAGAGGATGAAATCAGTTGCAGATGTGCATACTTTTTGATCTTCTTTTCCCCTGTGCTGGCGTTTCTCTGTCCGCCTTGAGGCAACTCAGCATCCCCTCCGTCCAACAAGTGGGGATAGCCTCACAACTACCACGCAGCGTAATTGGTTTAGTGGTAAAATTCTCCGTTGCCATTCGAGCAGCGTCGGGGAGCCCTGGGTTCGATTCCCAGATTACGCAGTACGATCAGGTCTTCCAGTGGACGATTCCTTTTTGTCGGTTGCGCTGATCCATCGAAGGGGCAGCAACGTCGGAGCAATGGGCCTACGATGGGATCGGGTCCTCCGCTTGGACCCGGCAATAGGGACCCCAGAGATGGGGGCTCGAGCTGGCGGATTTGAGAGAAGATGTCGATGAGCTGCGAATAAAAGTAGTCGCGTCGTTCCCGGCTGTCTTTCGCCAGAGACAGCGTATCAAGCGGCTTGCCGGGTACATATTCGAGGATAAGATATGCCAGCAGCGTGGACGGGTCTCGAGCTAGAGCTTCGCCTTGGCCGAACGCGTAGATGTGCGGTATGGGAATCGTCGTCTTCCTCTGGATGTACCTAAATAATCCAGCATGTTAGCTATCGTTGAGGTGGCATGCGCGTCTCAAGTCCTTACTGACAACCTCGCTCTGGAGCTTGGCCCAGACATTATGCACCGCATGCTCGATGGGAACCCGTACCATCCATCGTGTGCCGTCATCGGGATGCAAGATTACAGATGGCGCTTTGATCAAGGGAATCGATGAACTCTTCTTTTCTTGTGCCTTTTGCTCATACGTGAGAGGATATGGATGCCGCTGAGGAGTCGATCTCCAAATTGAAGCTGGCAGGGCAGCGGCGACACACCGCAGGACTGCGTTCCATGCAGTGAACGGTTTGCCGAAGATGGCTGCAATCCGCGGAAAACGGGGTAAATATTCAATGATACCATGCATACTGACAATGACAAGACCTGGCTTGGTAAATGGTCATTGTGCCGTTGATGATGGAAATGGTTGACTGGTGATTACATAAGCGATGAACGGACGGCGACGGCCCTGGCGGCTTGATGGCACATGATGTGGAACAACTATGGACCGGCAAGCCAAACAACGGACTCCTGTGCTTCAAGTTGATAAGAGCATGAGTTGGGGGTTTTTAAGATGGGAGGAGAATTAAAAGAGACCGACGACGCGTTTCGGTCCATGCGGATCTACTGGAAATAGTTCGGAAATGGTAGTCACCCATGATACCTAGAAGGATCCACACGACCCAGAGTCTAAGATCACTACGGTGCAAGCCATGCAACCACGATAGTTCGGCATTGTCATAGAGTTTATTGGCTGTTAGCTGTTGGTTGTTAACGTGGTTTGCATTCGAGCAGTTACGTCACCAGAAAACCCGAGATAGTTAAATCGGTACCTCCTTTGTTCCCCTCTTCTCTATGGCAAAGGGACAACTAGCTCTAGCATATCCTAGTCTAAAACGCAACCTTCGGCTCAGTGACTTTTATGATATTCAGAATCCTTACAGGTGACCGGCTGCTTGCCTCGAACGCAGCCATGCTGGAGGCAAGGAATGATCCTGTAACCCGATCCCTTGCAGTCCATGCAATCCTTGGCCTGATCCCTCGCTCTTATCCCGTGTCCACTGCAAGTGTCGCAAACACTGGCGGGTTCTGCAGTCTCCCAGCCTTTTCCATTGCATCGGATGCATTTCCACCAGACGGTGGCTTTGTGTTGCGCATTTCCGCACGTAGGACAGCCCATTGTTTCGGTAGCGCTAAGGGTGAAGATCAGTACGCGGCGAACTGGGCAAATTATATATGGAGCAAGATGATGGAACATGCAATGAACACATTGACTGAACTGTGCATATGATGTATCGAACAAGATGACATTGACTGAACTAGGCATACGATATATCGAACAAGATGGTAGAACACGCAATGAACACATGGACTGAACTGGGCATATGATATATCGAACAAGATGGTGGAACATGCAATGAACACATTGACTATCGGAGTCAAATCTCTTCACAAAGGTGATAGAATCCAAGACTGCTGAAGTCTCGCGGCAAGGGAATTGTTGGTGTCGATAAAAGCACGGGTTGTAAATAGTGAATACTACTCACTTGTACTACAGAGCTCCCGATATTATCCTCCATCATTGGCGACTGTCCTCCAAGGCAAATGCCGACGTGTCCGGCGGACTGCCTGGGAGGCGATGAACGATCCCGCGCATTCATCGGTTTTGTAGTCAGCGACACAGCCTCGAGGAAGCTCATGTGTAATAAGAGATTGGGTATGGAAGCGCTCAGCGGATGGGCGCTTAACATATAAGTATACGCTTACAAAATACCTAAAGGGGGATTCGGGGCTATGTACCCCGGCATTCCCTAGCTAGATCGAGCATTAGACCTATAGCTGAGATCAGCAATGCTTCCTGGCCCCTCATTTTCGAAACCTCATCACCAACACTTTTCACGGGGAGGTCCCTCGTTTAGTTAGACAGCGCCTACTGTAGAGATGCGAGGTAAGACCCTCACACGTTTCATGAGGCTATGAGCGGTCATTCCGACCTGCGGCATGATATATCGTCTCGCATAAACACACGCTTGATTGGCAACGCTTAGTTGGCAAATATCCTCAACTTCATGTCCACACTTCCAGTGGCGATGACACAGCGAATCTGTACATCAGAGGTAGCTTGGCCGCCCTTCTTCGGCGTTCCATTGTCCTGCCCCGACACCGCTCCACCATTGACCTCATCCTTAACAATCGTCGGCGCCCACCTCAAACAGGTGACGAAATGATCATGTACACCTTCCAGTACCCGGACGCACTTCCCCTCCTGGCTCAGATCCCAACATCGTAACGTCTTGTCATCTGCCACTGAAAGCAGATACTTGCCGCCGGGGTGGAAAACAAGAGCGTTCACCCAATTATCATGACCAACCAGGGTCTTGATACAGGTCCCTCGAGCGTCCCATAGCTTGATGGTCTTATCTCGGGAACCTGTCGCCATAAACTCTGCCGTGCTGTTTGATGGTGGCGGTTTCGAGTATCCGGCCAGAGATGCCAAAAATGGATACGAAGTGGATGGTGCAAAAGCGCAACATTTCGTAACGTTTTCGTGGCCGATCATTGTTAGCTTGTTTTCTGGAGTTGGCCCAGACATATCCCACAACCTAACAGTATGATCATTACTGGCAGACAGTAGAAAGAGTCCATCGAGCGAAGAGCAAACGTCTCGCACCCAGCCCGCGTGGCCACGTAGTGTCGTCACGCAAAAACCCGTATTAACGTTCCAAATCTTGATGGTTTTGTCTCCACTTGCACTGACAAGCAAATTCCCGGCTCCAGAACCCACAAAGCGGACAGCGCTGACGATATGGTCGTGGCCTGCCAAAGTTCGGATATTCTGATAATCGTTTGCTGGGTCCCATAGCTTGATCGTCAGGTCGGAGCTGCAGGATGCCAGGAGGGTACCACCTCTGGGACCGCCATAATCCATATCGAGCACCGGTCTAGTATGCGCTTTGATGGTCCGTTCCAGCTCGCCAAGTTCCCAGTCCCATATTTTGATCGTATTATCCTCAGACCCGGTCGCGACGGAAGTGTATATCGGATGGAAAGCAGCGCAGTGTATAACATCCCGATGCGATTCAAGAGTATGTCGAGGTGTGGGTTTGGGAAGCCAAGAAATAGGATCCTGGTGCCGGGAGAGGGAGGTAGGAGTTGCGTTATCGACTTCGGATTGCAGTGTCCCGTTTTGAGACTCGAGGCTCATTACCTAGGAATGCTAGTGAGATGATGTTCTAGCTGAGGATAGGTCAAAGGTATCACGCTTGGAGACTTACCTTCTTTTGTAACCGAACAACGCTTGTCCATTTCTTCTCCAGGAGCGCCTCATATTTTTTCGCTGCGGGTGCATCGAAGGCATCTTCGTCGAGGCTCAACTCGGTTCTCAGTACGCCGGCGGTTGATTTCAGTTCATTTGCTTCGAGGTATGCTATTATGGACTTGTGTCTAGAAACAAAGCGTTAGATTTGCTCCGAGCTATCCAGTTGGCTCTTCTTTAACCGGAGCGAATACGTACAGTTCTTCGGCTTGGCGACTCGTCAATGCGCGGCTCGCCAACGTGCCACTCATGCTGGGTTATGCGGGTCGTATCCGACCAACGCGCGTTTCTGGAATCCACTCAACTCTGAGGGATGACGAAAAGAGAGGGCATCTCTGGCTGAAAGTTGGTGTTTGTATTTTCGCCAGGCCTTGAACATGTGCTGTGCAATCGGGTTTCAGGGGACTCACGGCGTATGGCGCATGGACAGGCACTAAGGAAGCGGTGATGTTAGCTGGACGAATACATGACTTCAAAGGCAGGGGAAGGAAGTGCCCCACCAATCACGTGCGTGGTTACACTTCCTTCCCTACCTTATCATGACTTAATCCTCTTCGGATCCACCTTTATCCGATCCGCGTACCAAAACAAGATGACGTTGAGGACCAACTGGCGACTGACGACACTCCAACACGCGGTCATGTGACGCCCCAGTACGAGTGCCCCTCCAAAACTCACGACCAGCTCAATGAACCCCGCGATAGGCCTGAGCTGGGCTGATTTACAACCTCTCTCTCGGCCAGCGGAAACACCAGCCTCACAAAAATGGATGACGCAGAACTAGATCAGGTAACCCGCATCTCCTCTGCAGCCTTTATGTCTCGTGTACTCACATTCCCCTCTCTTCAGATCCGCAAAGCCCGTCTTGAGCAGCTCAAGGCCCAGGGTGGTGGTGGCGGAGGCTCAGGCGGCGGCGGTCCCTCGGCCGGCCAACAAGAACAGCAGCGACAGTACGCACCCGCCCGAACCCTCACTCCCAAGCAGCTCCAACTGCGGCAACTCTACGGGCGAAGCTAACGTATGTGATCCCCTCAGACAGCAAAACGACGCCCGCCAGCACGCCCTCAACCAGATCCTGCACCCCGAAGCGGCCGACCGCCTGGGCCGCATCCGCCTCGTCAAGGAGGAGCGCGCCAACGACGTCGAGGACCGCCTCATCATGCTCGCGCAGTCGGGCCAGCTGCGCCAGAAGGTCACCGAGGCCCAGCTCAAGGATCTCCTCAACGCCATGTCGGAGAACAAGGAGGAGAAGATCGTCGTTAATCGTCGCAAGGCTTGGGACGACGATGACGACGACCTGCTCGGTTTCTAAAGCGTCGACGACAAAAAGGGGTTTTCTGTGGGACAGTGCTACGATACCAGCCAGTACATAGGACTGTGTGAGCCGAAGCGCGAAAGCAATACGTATGAGCTCGTGAGGTGGGCAGGACCTTCCTTTGCGCCCAGGGGATTGGAAGAGATTGACGACAAAAAAAGGTCGCACTGATTTTGATTGAGTGTCCATGCTCTTAGTTATTGCATACATTGGACTAAGTACATCGGTGGTGTAATATTACATGAGCTTCAGCGGCATCCTGATCAGGAAGCGAGTATACGGAGCATGTACGTCGGGGTATCAAAAGCCTCGCTCCTTGAGCTCCTGCAGCCGCTTCTTCTGCTCCCGCTCTCTCTTCCGGATGTCCCTCATATCTGGCGGTCGCTCAATGCCCAGCTCGGCCCTCAGCTGGTCGACATCATCCTCCAGCCGCTCCTCCCAGAACACGTTGATAACGTCCTTGCCGCGGGCTCCGTTCCGGATGGCCCACGGAAAGTAGATGGATGCGAAGCGCCGGCGCTCGCCGCGCTTCATCGTCGCTGCCGCAAAGATGCTCAGCCCCGTCATGGGTAGCAGGGTGTTGGCGAACTCGAACGCCTTGAGGGCGACCTCACCCTCGCGGACGATGGGCAGGCCAGTAAGGGCGTGGTAGAAATCGTGGCACTCACGGTAGCGCTGCATGACGTAGGCGCACTCTTCGTCGTCGATGTAACGCACCTTGGAGCGCGTATCGGGCGAGACGCCTTCGCGGTCCAGCCAGCCAACGTATGCGCGGCCCACGGAGTTGGCGGGGAGCTTGCGGAGGGCCGGGAGGGAGAGCGTCTTGGAGGAGATGCGCGGGCGCTGTCGCAAGATACGACGGCCGGTCGGGTCCGCGAGCATGGCGTCTCGGAGGCGGTAGATGAAGTAGGGAGTCGCGGTGGCCTCGCCAGTGGCGGCGATGAGATCTATTGAGGAGAAGTCAGCCTTGAGGAGCTCAATACCAGCGACGAAAACGGAGACGATGGCGGGGGAACTGGAACTGTCGTACCATGGCGGTAGGGGTCGAAGAAGGACATGACACTGGCGCCAATGGCCAGGCCAGCCCGTTCGATCTTGGTCAACGGCACATGGCCGGGATAGTTGGGCGCCGGCCGATCAAAAACGGAGAAGTTGCGGCGGGACGAAGTCGACGAAGCCGTCGAGGACGCACAGCTCGCGCAGACCGCAGCCCGCAGGAGCCCAGTCTGGCCAGCGGCAGCGACGGCGCGGATGCGTGGGATGGCAGCCTCCATCGCGAGTCGCAGTCCAGGGTGGATTGGCTCGCAATTGGCGATTGGCAAGGTGGTGAGGGTGGAGTTGGCGAAGTTGAAGTCGGAGCTGCGAGAGACGAAGCTCGTATGATGGCCCGATGTGGGATGGAGTCGGAGCTTGCAGTGGGGCCGCGCCGCTACGAAAAGCCCGGGGGGTGCGGATCACGCCAGGGAAAATCAAGAGTATTGCCATTCTACTACTCGCACATACAACTCCATGATTCAATCCTGCTCATAATTATGTATTGTTTTATAGTTGTGGTTTTTTAATAAGTTGAATTTATCACTAAATATAAGCCTACGGTCTAAGAATTCCAACTTCAGTTTGCCCTAGGGTTGGTTTACTTGTGTGCGAATACCAATCCTGAAAATAAAATGCCCGACACTGACATGATCGGCGATGATTCTACCAAGAACTGCCTAGAATATCCGTGAAATATTCGGTTCGACCCATTACCCTCTTCGATATGTTTCAACCGAAATTGACATTCTCATCCAACCTCATCGCCATCATGGCATCAGGTCCAAGTAGCACACTCATTTAACCCAGCTTCACGAGATCACACAACCGTCTTCACATGTCACATCAAGCCAACACCATACACCATACGCATACACAAGAAATAAATTTCACAAACGCTCTGATTACGCCAGACCCTAGCCTTACATGCCTGATTCTATGATACACTGGACAGATCCCGGTTTCCACATCCCCCCTACTTCGTCCACCCGCAGTCCTAACTACACACACAATATAAAACGTTCCCGAGATAAGTCCACTCCCATCAAGTATCGCGTTCAAAACGTCGACGCAAGTCCTGGTCGATTCCTGGTCTGCATTACTGGCCCTTTCTTCATGGAAACCGTCATCATAGGCGGATGTGCGTGCATTTCCGTGAATGGCCGTGACGGAGCCTTGCGACCGCCAGTATCCTACTCTGGTCGTGGTCGTTTGGCGCCGTGGGGATTGCCCCAGTCGCCGCCGCCTCCACCGCCGCCTTGGTTTTGGTTAAAACCAAATCCGGGGTTGAAGTTGGGAGCCATGCCTTGGAAACCTAAGAAGATGTTAGTCGTGCTAAAAAGGAGACTGAGATAGCCAGCGGCAAGGAAGAGGAGTGAGTCCACTTACCACCCATTCCATTGGGACCCATTCCATTAGGACCCATCCCGTTGGGACCCATCCCATTAGGACCCATCCCATTAGGACCCATCCCGTTAGGACCCATCATTCCCATGTTCATGTTTCCGGGCATCCCCATTGGCATCCCGCCCATAGGGTTCATACCCATCATGCCACCTCCACGGCCGCCTCGCATGCCACCAGGACCGCCGCGCATACCGCCGCCCATCATACCACCACGGTTGTTGAAGCCAAAGTTACCGCCACCACCGCCCATGTTGCCGTTGAAGCCGCCACCCATGTTATTATTAAATCCCATGTTGTTATTATTGTTGTTGAAGTTGCGGTTGAAGTTGCCCTGGTTCATGTTGCCGCGGTTGTTGTACCCGCCGCGTCCTCGGAAGCCGCCGCCACCAAAGTTGCCGCCCATGTTTCCACCCATGTTTCCACGGTCATTGTATGGGCCGCCTGGCGTGCGGTTCTGGTCTTTACCTCGTGTTGGCGCATCCTTTGGAAGAGTCTTGAAGGGGTTGATCGCCGGGTTCCAGTATGACATGGTTACTTTCTTCATGCCAGGTTGGTTCTCGGCGAGGATCTGGTCGAGGCAATGCTTGGTTGCGGTTGCTGCTTGGGGGGAACTGAACTCGAGATACGCTTGTCTACAGGGCCAATTAGCGACTTGCCTGGCATGCCAAGCCGGTTTCCCTCGGAACTTACCCTTTACTCTTGCCGTTGACCTTGTGTTCACTAAAGGTAATGTCTTTCAACTCGTCCTCGCAATCGGCTTGACTCGTCCACCCCCGGATGTCGTCGTCAGTTGTCCACCAGTTGAGTTCGGAAATCATAAGGGCCGTTGTGGCGTTGGAATCGACTGGTCTGTCGTCCTCCTCCGATTTTCTCTTGATTCCTTGGTGAGAGGAGGATCTGTCATCTTGTCCGTCATACCCACCATGGCTGTCATGAGAGTGTCGCTCGTCCATGTGTTGGTCATTGTGGTTATCTTGTCGCCGGTCATCTCGGCGGTGGTCATCTCGGTGGTGATCATCTCGATGGTGGCTATCTCGGCGGTGGTCATCTCGGTGGTAGTCATGCCTATCATGGTCGTCATTTCCGTCATGGTCATCGTGCCGTGGTCCGTCGTGGTGCTGATGGTCGTTGTTGGCGTCGCCGTAAAAATCGATCTCAAAATCTTCTTCGGCCATGGTGACGGTGTTGGAAGATGAGACACAATTGAGTGTCGCGTAAGATGGAATGAAGAGGGACGGGAAGTTTGCCCAAAAGTGATATTAGTCTGCGAGATACAGGAGTCGTCCTCTGGTCTTTGCACTTGAACATCAGCCACTTGTCTCTCCGTGGTCAGGGACCCTAACTCTCCGCACCAGAGAAAGAAGAAGAGCACGATGGGCGGGAACTGGAAGCTTGCATATACGTACACTCCTCGGAAACAGGATCGAGGGTAATGGCTACACTCCAAACACGCAGAACCTTGACTCGCAAGATCCAAACTTGAGAACGAAGCTCTGTGCTTGCAATCCTCGACGTCTAGGCTTGAGACGATCTGAACAGGCTCAGGTACAGGTAGGGGCCGATGGAGCCTATCCCAGGGTAGTCACCGCAAACCCGGCGAAACCAACCACTTCTCCTTGGCGAGCGCTGTTCCTCAATCGGCCGAGTGGTCGTCGTCGTCGCAATCGCGTCGTTGCCGGCGAAGGTGTCGAGATGCTCGTGAGCTGGCGCGTGTCGAAACGGGAGAAAGCCAATCGCGCTGGGTCGTCGTTTGGGCCTGGCTGTGGTCACTTGGTTCTAGCCTGGACAACGCAGCCGAGGAAGGAAGGCAGAGCTAGGCTGACGAGTAAGGCGCCGAGACGGGGACCTGCAGCGCGGAAGAAAATGCGCCGGGGGTCGTCAGGGAAGGAAGGAAGGGGGGAGGAAGGATGTGCAGTTATCCTCGACTCTGTCCGGGGATCAAGGGCAAGAGCGAAGAGACAAGAAGAAGAAGTGGAGTTGCAGGTTGCAGAAATGTTCGGCAGCTCTTTGGCTTCGGGGGGAGCTTCGCCAGCAAAAGACCAGCAAAGTCCAGGCCAGGCCCGAAAGCCAAAAATGGGTGACTGGGTCTGGGGACTCAAAATGGGGCAAGGCTGCTGCGGCGGTGCACGGGCCACGCTTTCCTCCCGGTTCAGTCACTGGTCTGAGTGGCAGGAGCAAGCCGCAGAGGTCCGCATTTTTACGCTGGCTCTTTACGCTGGTCTCACAGGTTCGTGGCTGGTGCTGTGGCGCTGCCGGAACAACAAACCGCCCGCTGCCCCTTTTAGCGGCATCTGAATTCCCCCGTCGACTCATGCGTCAACATGGCATAGAACCTCCCATTAGCGCATATCCACGTCGTCTTCCTTCCAATGCCTCTCACATGAGGATGCAGATTTCACCTTCATAAACTTATCCCGGCTTGGTTGAGGAACGCTCCTGTTAAGTAACTGCCCATAGTGTACATATGTCCAAAGTCATTTCTGCAACATCTACGGGATCGGATACGTCGACTGGAACAAGTGCGGGTCCGGCTTGAGAACGTCATTGACACTTCGTCCCATCGGCGGCTCGCCTTCATCGTCCATCGTCTCGTTGAATGAGTGTAGCGTACACGTTCCCCGTGCCATGTTGTACCCGTTCCACGCAGAGGCTGTTGTATGGTGAGCTGTTGTTCCACGACAATGATGCGACCAAACTTACCAACGAGCACCGGAGCGTTAGGATGCCAGCTCGCATCGCGAACACAAGTTCCCCAGCCACCAGGTTCGTCAAGATGAATGAAGCGTGAATGCTGGTCGGCCGGCCGCGTCCCCATGGTTGCCTTCTTGACATCAACTGTCCCCGCCAGTGTGGCATCCAAGTTCCAAATGTACACCTTTCCGTCGGCGCTGCCTGAGTAGACGTACCGCGAATTGGTGGACGACTCTGGCGAGAAATGGCATCTGATGAGCGTCCGGAGCACCTTGTGCCCTCGGAATGTCACCACAGAGTTGTCCTTGGGATGGGGGCTCCAGTCCTCCTCGTCGTATGTGCCACCTCGATAGTCAAAGTCGCTAGCCTGCTCATGTGAGGGATCAATTTCGTGGAACCGATCAGTACCATAGGCCATGCGCATGTCCCACAACTTCATGCTCTGGTCTTTGCCGTTACTGAGAATGTAACGACCGTCGCCCTTACTGTCAATATACGTCAATCCTTCAATGTGCCCGACGAACGCGCCCACTTCTCTGGTTGAACCCATGCATCGACGGTCCCATACTTTGATAGTCGTGTCGTCGGATCCGGAGTAGAGAATGTGCGGGGATTTCTTGTCGGCAAAGCAAACTGCGTTGACGTCGTCATTGTGGGCTTGGATGTTGTGCAACACGGTACGGGATTCAATGTCGTACACAACGACCGACGACGAACTGGTTCCCGCCACCAGCTCCCTCCCGTCTCCTGAGAATCGGATAGACCAGATGCCGAATGAACTTCGCCGGAACCCTCGCCTGGTGCCATCGTCGAGTTCCAGGGTGTAAGGGTCTCCCGTATCGTTCGGATCCGTCGGCGCGATCGAAACCAAGGATTGAATCGACGTGTAGGCGAGCCATTTGTTGTCGGGGCTCAGCGATGCATCTGTCAAAGTCCACTGGCCCCAAGGATAGCTGACCGTCTTGTAGTGCTCCCAGTTGTAGGGGTTTGACGTGTTGTACATTCGGACCTTGAAGTCTTGGGAGCAGGCGAAGAAGAAGTTACCGTCATCTGAGAACTGACCCGAGTATACAGGGTCATCGAAATGAATGATCTGCTCTGCTCTGCTGCGCGGAATCATGCTCTAGGCGAAGAAATTAGCTGGAAGCCCAAGATCTCCGTCGTCAATCAACATACCTGCGCTACCAAGTCTCTGTTTCTCTTTCGCTCTCCTTGGTTGCCTATGGCTAGTTCACTATCCAGCATACGTTGGGCAAGATGCTTCTTGGCACGCATGTTGTAGTCATTCGCACCAAAGGCTCCGGACCGCATCAACTTGATGCCTTCCTCGCTCGGGACCTTGGGGAAGCGGTTTGGGTCCTTGGGCGTCCTCGGTCTGTGTCTCCGCGGTGGCCACTGAAGAAACTCGGCGTCGCTTTCGATATCGTCTTGGAACAAGACATTGGTCAACTCTGGGTTGCGCATTAGGGCGAGGAGTTGGCCTCTGGTCAATACTCCTGTTCTGGCACCGGCTGGATCTACGAGTCAGCCGTCGGGCCCGCGCATATTGAGGGGAAATATAATTACTTCGTAGCAGATCAAGGATCCGTTCAGCACTTGCATCGTCCTCCTCATTTCCGCCCTCATCGTCGTCGCCCTCATCGTCGTCGCCCTCACCGTCGTCGCCCTCATCATCGTCGTCCTCGCCGTCTACCTGATCACCCACCACTGCAATCAAAAATCATCAGAGGAACATTTGTATGATGAAATATGAGGTGATACATACCAATGTCTGTATTTTCCTCATAGTCATAATCCTCGTCGTCATCCTCTTCAAATACCTCTTCCTCTTCCTCCACGTCATAGAACCAGATTGGACCGTGTGTCAATCGGCCGGGCGTGAGATGTGTCTGGACTTCATCAGTTGAAGTAGTGCGGTGAATCGGCGACGACGAGTCCGAGCTTTGCCCGTTGTTAGGTGTCGTCATGGCGGCTTCACCTGTGAGAGTGCAATCAGGAATGAGGGTGGCGGGAGACTCGGCAGTTTGCGAATGCTTGCTAAGCGAGGAGTGAAGAGGGTGAATCTGGCTGGCCTGAGGATCGAGCCAACTTGGCGAAGCCAGCAAGTAGCCTGTGATTGTTTCAGGTATGAGTCAGAGAATAGATTTAGTGAATTAAATAAGGCTATTTGTGATGGAACATGGAGGTGGCGGGATGATTTGTGAGGAAGTTTGATGCGTGAGGGAGAGCTCCGGAGCTTGTGACGACATTGGGGCGGAGATTAGATAACAGCTGTCCCGATAAGGCTACCCTAGAGCAATTGGCATACCACCACGGAGTTAAGGGGCTACAGCCATTTTACCTGTGTTGAACAAAGACATGGTAAAACAACAGACAAACTATACGTAGAAAAGGTCTCTATCATGTCAGTCTCGTTTTCTGGGTTAAATCCCTATGTCTCTCCTCCGTCACACAGAATCCACCAGTGTCGCCCAATCACTTTCGGATCAGGCTTCTCGCTGCCACAATGAGCGGGTGGCTGCAGTTTTTTCACGGCTCTTCTTAGGCCGGGTCCCTCCTGAAGAGGAGATATCTTCCCCGATAAAGGGTGATGGTGGGGACATGATGGTACCAACAACGACGGACGTTGTTGGTGGAGGGAAATGTCCAAAGCAAGATAAAATGCTAGATCCCTTCTTCGGGATGTACCCAACGCCGTCTTCATTATCGCCTGGACCAACCAAGTAACATACTACGATGGTACAATTTGCCCCGAAATCGTTCATCCAGGTTCTTATAACCCCACTCAGTCTGCACGTCGATGTTGGTACGACAGCGGAGGGGCCCGTTCTTATGAATGACAAGGAAGTCTTCCTCCTTCAGGTTAAACGAGGCGGTAATACAATCTCTCGTAGAAAACACCTGTGTACTAGCAACAAAAGGACGCATCGAGTAAGCAGAGAGCAATGACGTATCAGTTCTGAACAAGCTGGAGTATCAGGCCAGCCTCTTCTATCGTTGGTATCCTACCAGGATGAGCATCCTCCTCACCCTCCGGTAACGCTCATTTATCCGTCAAACGATCTACTGGAGCACCGGGCATTGCATGATAGCGACTTTGGGTACTCTCATCCTGAGTTGCAACGTCTGATCATGGCACTTGCCATTCAAGAACCCATTCGAGCGTCAATGTTTAGACGGATGGACACTCTCGTCGTCCGAATCGAAAGTGTTAATCCATTCGTAACAATAAATGTGTCGCTCTGTAACAGTGAAACTATCTATGTCTCGCATTCAGGTGAACAGATTGCGAATGACACCCGCGGAAAGATCCCTCTCTCGGTCTAGCCACTTATAGCCCACTTCAACGGCCATAAACTCGTGCTGCGGTGTGCGAACAATATAGTCCCTGGACACTACAGATACGGGTCCTGTTGTTTCTATGTCCTTCCTGCCCCCAACGCAATTCCACGTGAGTGATAAGAACTGGAGACCATGATTGCCTTGACAACGCGCATGAAGTTGAACGCCAAGGCCGGTGTCCCTGATCTTGGTGTCTCCCAAAGGAGGATATGGATACATTGGAGGGAATTCTCGGGGCGGTTCTTGGGTCAAAAACATTAGGCGGCACTTTTCAGCTCCTAAGATCGTGATATATTGAAGATACTGGCTCCTGAATGAAGGATATGAGGGTACCGGTCCAGGCCGCCTTATGAAGGTTAATTCTGTTAAAACCAAGGAGGCAGGAGGTGTTCCGTAGAAAGTCTCTGTACGCACCTGTGATAACCCCTTCGAGCTAGAGATACGAGATATGAGGGCTTCGATTAAAGAACATGTGAGCTAAGACGTGAAGGCCCTCGCTTCCTTTCGATTGCAGCACGGCATGGTGCCTTGAAGCCACGCACCGCAGGCGTTGGCTGGCACGCCGGACTCATAAAAGATGCTGCCCAGAACGGTTTTCATTCTGCGACTGTTGGCGCTTAGAGTCAGGAGCCTATCGAACTGGCAAGGGTGTGTTCCTCGAAAAAGGAGGTTCGGGGTGTTTCTATGCCTGCCGATTGCCTACAGAGCCCTCGGGGTGCGTGAAATAGAAATTTTCTGTTCAATCTGTTGTCCAGTTTAGCTAGGGAGAGAAGTAGTACAGCAGCTAGTGCTGCTCTGTTCTGTAAGTTGGCTCGGTGGAGTGTAGAGTAATGCTCGATATACTTCAACGCCGTTTGAAAGGATGCTGGGGTCGGAGAATGAGGGTGTTTATAGGTCAGAGAATCAGTCAGGAGAATTTCCACCTTATTGAAATCCTTTGTGACACTCCAGGGCGAAAGGAATCGCCATCGCTCATACAGTATGGCTGCCTTCCAACCCTCCCCTGGTGCAAGGACAGCTGCCCACCATCGAATCGAGCTGCCTCACCAGTCAGGTTTCCCAGCTCAACTGCCATAGGTATGGCATTTTCAGCAGCTTCACCGGAGATAGGATGGGCTGTCCAAGGCGCCTGACTCATGGTATATTCCAGCAGAGATGCTCGAGGGATGATCTCCGCCCACCGTGCAGACAGGGCGTATGTTTATGCATATCTTAAGACTACAGGATGGCCGTCATCCTTACCAAACCACTCGAAGAGCGATAGATCCGGGTTGTATGTAAGAACGGTTGATATTGGTTGCCCGATTGTCGCCGCCGTCTGGAAGGTCTGCTCGAATGTGGGGATATTGCAGTGCCCTTCAGAGGACAGCTAGGTCGATTTTGCCGTCACAAAATCGGAATCGTCAGGGTTCAGACCAACAGGAAGAACGGGATACTGAGGAAAATAATACTCCCATTCCAGGCATTTTAAAGGGAGGATACAATCGCCAGTTGCGCCTGCCCGCAACTTGTACCAAGTCCGGTAGCCCCTTTCTGTTTATTATAAAAAAGGTATAAATTTTTTTATTTTAACTAAAAATTAAAATTTAATTTTCAGCAGGAAAATTAATATATAATAATTTTATAATTTAATTACTATTTTTTTAATATTAAATATATACTTACTATTTATATTTTATATTTAATAATACTTTATAACTTTAATTTATTTATTAATAATAAATAAAACTTTTTTTATATAGACTTTAAAGTTATTAATTTTAAAATAACCAGGTTAATCCAAGCGAATATTAAAATACTCAAGTTAAGAATATCCCCTGCATATTCTATATCACCGCTTTTTCGTTGTTATTGCTGTTATCTCTCGACACCTAGAGGCATAAGGCTCTCAGTATCTCATCCTATACAGTGCTTATGGGCAGTCTTAAATATCTTGCATGGGGTTTCGCAGCGCACCGAAACGGCCCACGCAGGATAGGTTGCGCGAGTGGTATTGCGCAGGGACCGTTGCGCGGGATTAAGTATCCTATCCGCATTTTCAAATATCGAGCGTAAGAAATGTCTTGGGCAAGACAGAGACTGTTGCGCAGGGCTGTAGGACTCCTATGCGCAGGCTACGCTACGAGTACAGTCTTGTGCAGAGACGATTGTGCAGGACTTGTTGCGCAGAATTCATTATCCAACATGTAATATCCACTCCCTGTCTTGCGCAGAGCTTCAAATCTGGCGGCGCGCTGGAAGCGTGCCCAGGGAGTGTTGCGCTGCGCGTGGCTGCAGCGATTGAAATCTGTGCTGGAGTTTTCAAACGCAGAAAGACTATGCCATGGAGAGACATCCATGCCTACTACAAGAGCCTGGCGACAAGACGTGGACGCGAATGAGAGACAGTGGGCAATGGCCGCCAGAAGAAGGCTGGGTAGCTTTTAATTTGCTTGGCTAAGGAAAAGCGACCATTTCCACCATCCTTGGTAGATCTCTAGCTATATCTCTCATGTTGCTTGTCCATCAACAGTAGCCAATGTGAGTGGAGGAGAGATCAGGAAGATCTGGCGTAGCTACATGGATCTAGGTCTCCCAAAGCTGTCGCACTACCGAGACAAGACACTCCTCGTCCACTGTAAGAGTGACCTGACACGGATAATCAATATCGCGCCAGATTTCCATGGAGACACACTGCGAGAGAACAACACCCGCCGAAAGCTCGTTCTTGCGCTGTTGGCTCTGCCGGATTGCTGTGGTTACTGTTTCCCCGAACAGCTTCTCCCAAGCCACGTCTGGAGACCCCTTGAGCGTCGTGGTAACGTTGATGTCCATCGATGGACCATGGTCCAGGGTGATGTATCGCCCTCCGTGGATGCCCCGAACGTGGACGCCGAACAGCTCCTGGGCGACGTGTTGCACCTCTGTTCCGTTGATGTCCAAAACCAATTGATATAAATCTCTATGCGGTTTGAAGAACGCCGCGACGATAGCCTTGTCGGGCCCCTTGGCGATTGCAGTACACATGTAGAACGGGAAGACGCGCGGGAGATGCTTGGATTTCGGCGACCTGCGTTCAGAGGGTTGGTTAATTTCGAACCAAGTCGGCCCTTCGTGAGCGAGGTCAGTTTCCGGTTGGCTCGTCCCTCCTCGAGCAAGTGCTTCCGGAGGGTCTCTTTCCAGTGATTGCATGATGACGTCGGTGCTTTCGAATTGCGACTCAAGGAGCTCTGTTTCGTCTAGTTCTAGACTAGGGCTCCGTTGCATGCCTTCGAGGCGTGTGCGTTTTGGCAGACGGGGATTCGGATCGGGGGAAACCGACTCTGGCGAAGTGGGCAAGTTGATGTCGTTGGATGGAAGCAGTCCTGAAATGTTAGCTTGTGGCAGGAATGCGGCTAAGACGACTTACTGCAGCGCTTAGGGCCACGATCAGAGCGAAGGAAGAGGGGTTGGACTTCGGACCCCTCGGCGACGACGTCTTGCAGAGCTTCCGGCGATAGCTGGGACACGGATTCCTCGATGGGAGTAGTTGCAAGGTAGTACGAGTACCTTGTCCAGCACCCCGTGCGTTGGAAGGCACGCGAAACGGCGCTGGGGATGGAGACAGAATCCAAGGCCCTGTCCAGCTCTGACTGTGCCCTTTCAGACAACTCTTCGACAGTGAGGTATCGCCCTAGAGGGTCAATGATGGTGTCAGGAGTTGGAACGGGCTCGCTTTCGTCGACGGGCTGAGGATCCGGGGTGGCAACTGGCTCGGGCGTACCAGACATGAATGATCGATTGCTGGGTCCAAGGACTGTGTACGCAAGAGAGCGAGGAACCTGGGGACAGTTCCGCACAACTGTGCAGAGGCTGCTTGCTTATGAGCACAGAGGGCGACCGGGGGCCTTGGCCTAGCCATCAGCCGGCGTAATCATCACCCACGCTCTGTGGAACCAAATGTGCATTTCGGCTGCAGAAGAAGCATCGAGGAGGGTGGTGGCGGCGAACCAGGGCCGCAGATGGCCCTCTTGCGCGCGCAGCACACGGCACGACACGACACCGCTCTTTCAACCCGCTACATGATCGTCCCCCACGCGTTTGAAGGAGCAGAGAGATGGGTGCAACTGGGAAATTCGGCGACTGAGCAATTGAGCAACTGGGTAAGTAACTGGAGAATGGAGTTCGGATTCGGCCAGGAATGCGGCCCGGGGCCGGAGCCGGAAATGTGGAGAGGCCGAGCTAGGCCCAATGGGAATGTCGCCTACCGTTCCGCCCGCTACGATCGGGATCCCAGCTCACCATTAGCTCGATCGGAATAAGGTTGCTCAGATGAATGAATTAAGGAAGCAGGCACGATCTGAATCGAACAGCTCCTCAAAACCACCCTGTTGCCGGTACTAAATTCACGGCATCTTTTTATGGCTGCAGAGTAACGTTGATTTCCATGTCATTGTTGAATGTACGATGTGGAAGGGTTCAATCAATCTTTGGCGGGTTGAGTACGCTGGAAGTGAATGGTTGGGGAGCGGGTGGCCACGCATCCGGGTATGCTTCAATCACACGCGAAAAAATAACTTAATCGTGCTTATATCCTTCCTAGATAAGTGACTGCTGGTCTTCCAGGCTGCATATGCAGGATTGCAAGGAATCTACCGACTAAACTTGTGATTTCAAAGGGATGTGTTTATCAGGCTGTCTGGAGAGGGTGGCCTGGTGGGATTGTTGGTGACGTAAAATGTTGACAGAACTAGTTACGTGGAACAATATCTCCTTTCATGCAGGCAGTATGCACCGCCGGTCCAATTCCAATCCGATTCTTGTTGAACCAACCAATATCCGGTGGGAGGGGGGGGAGCGTGTCCTCTAAATGCTAGACAAGATGCGGTGGGGGTTTCGGTGAGACCTTTGCTTTTGCTCCTGGCTGCGCTATTGTACAGGCGACCCAAGGGCGAACGAACTGATTAGCTTACGGCTGGTCGATGCCAATAGTACCGAGCGTGAGATGCGTCTGGTCACAATGCAAGAGCCCATAGCAAAGGAACTCCGGGTGGCTCCGCCCAGTCATCTCGACTCGGTCTGAATCATCGAGTCTATCGTTACATCGAGCATCAAGTTCTCGAGCTGAAAGATCTTCGTGGGCTATACCAGAACGGTACACACCGCTACTTGATTGTCCGAGGAGGCTTTTGGCCCAAGAGTAAATATGTAATTTGCGTGCTTGTTGAGGCGCTGGGCGGCGTCGGGCAGTTTGCAAGATCCCCCGCGGTCGTGACGGGGGGGATTTACACTTGGGAACTCAGGAAGGAATTTTGACGTGAGATATAGAGATGGATATCCCAGTGCTAATTGTGCGAGATTGCGAATTCATTACCGTATCTGTTTTGTGTATCTGGTGCATCGACGGAAGTTCTATCTGCTGCCATGGGGCCAAACACTGCGTAAATCTAGCCATTCCGCCCAACTCCGTCTATTTTACGCCTCGGCTGTGTCCCAATGATATGGGGCGGGGTTCATACCCAACTGCCGAGCGACATGTCATTTTCTTGTTTTCTCTTCGGATCAGGCTGCGAAGGGCAGCGAGGGAGAGGAGGGAGTGCAGGGAAAGAATTGGCGTGGATGGAGCGGAAAGAAAGACAGAGAGGAAGTACAGTACGTACTGTACATGCCGTATACGAGAGGACACTAGACCCATATGCATGGGAGGTCTTAGGACAGCTGCGGCACGAACGCCTCAATTTACGAAATCAGGCTGCTGAGACTAAGAGGTGTCATCTCGCGCGCTCACCGATGTCTGATCGACAGCGCCTCTCTCGGCCGCCGAATGAAGCCAATAGTCTGAGAAACAAAAAGCATAGTCTCATGCGCCTATGTTGCGACATTGAAACAAAACACGGCCGCAGCAGTGCATACGCCCAGATTATATGTCTCGTTGGTCACCAGACTCGACCAGGCTCGGCCACACTCGGAGCCTGCCGCCTTGGCCTGTGCGTGCACCTAGTCGCCGCGATCCCCCCGTCTTGCTTCGTGAAGCGTTCCCCTTAAGATAGCTCGCTGCGTTTCCAAGTTCATTGCCTCGACGCAGATCTCTACTCATTTACTCTTCATCCTCTGACCTCACCGTGGGACATTCTGCACCAAAGCTAGTTGCAGAATATTTCCCTGATCCCATACGCTGTCGACCTGCTTCCTTTGCAACGCAACAAGCTTGTCCAAGCTCCGAAACCATGACAGCCGCACAAGTATGTATTACCCACTGTATTCCGTCACACCTGCACGACACTTGTTCCTAATTCTTCCCTCTTAGGAACGGCAGCGTCTCCGAATCAGAGATAATCAACGACGGTCTAGGGCTAGAAAGAAGGACTATGTTCAGTTTGTTCAGCACCAGCTCGACAGAGTTTACGCAATCTGCGATCTTCGACGAGCCGCCAGGAGTCTCGCCGAAGAACACAGAGAGTTCCGCAGACTTATGGAGGAAGCGGGTCTATCTATCCCATCCCCTTCTGCCGAGCTGCTCATTTGTGAGTCTGCTGGACCAGACGAGGACCAACTGCGGTCCATGAGGGAGACCATGGAGTCTCTCACTGGGCCTCACTCGTCGGAGGACAGAGGTGAAGTTGTTAACAGTGCTTGGGTGCCAAACGCCGACTCGACCTGGCCCTCATTGCAGCCGATCCTGGAAGAACCTGCCACTCTTCCTCCCATTGCCCTAGCCATTGAGGCTGTGCCGAACACTCCTCAGATTTCGACCGTCTCTTTTGAGCAGGCGACCCTCCCCTTACGTCCGAATGTCCACTTGCAGCCGCCTGTTCAATCACATGTCCCGCCTATTTATTCCGGAAACCCGATGGCAATGGTCGAGGCATATCAGCATCACTCGGTCCAACACCACGGCTACATTGAGACGCAGATTCCTATCCACACCAACAGGACGATTGACGTGGTCACTATTCATGACTACTTCTAGAGTCTGGGGATTCATGGTCCTGCGAACTGGAGGCCGTTGAATGGTTAGAAACACTACTTACTGCAAGGCTTTGGCCTACCTAGGAAATCCCAAAACAAAAACAACCAACAACACAATATAGCTAGCTTGAATTATGTAGTCGAATTTGAAACAGACCATTCATTAATTTATCACTCATGCTACTAAAAATCACAGATCGATCCTACCACAATCAAGTACCCCCAGTGTCACACTGTTTCGCATCCAAAATGAGTCCCGCTATGTTTCTCCTTGCCAGCCTGTGAGGCTGCATAACTGCACACTGACCTCGCCGGACCCCGGCACCACCACTGTGAAGCGAACCAACCTGGCACGCACCATTTGCTTGCTAACCACTTTCGGAAGACGAGTTATTGAATGAGCCCACTGCACCTTCGTTCTCTCCTTTGCTGTTTCCTGTGGGACGAGTCTTTGAACATCATCAGGCGACTCGGGTTTCAACTGGTCAAAAAACTCCCGGATTGAATGTGAGCCCACGGATAGGGTACTGCAGAGGCGTAATTTTAAAAATGGTATAGCTGTTCGTACACAGATAACAAAATTCTTCACTAAAGCCTCGGCTAGGCTAAGGATGTCACAAAAAGACGAACGTCCCATGCGGGACCGCATACCCCCCTGCCTACCACATATATAGCCTAAGGAACTACCAAATGCCCGTCTACCTTATTGTATTAGACCTAATGAATAAAATAAATAAGTACAATTAGTAAAAGAAAATCCTGCAACTTAGTCTTTACTTCCTAAAGTGTTTTATTAATTTGGTAAGTCTTGGTAGGATTGAGAGTGTGGTCATGTGTGCGAATAGCAATATTCTTTAAAAATCACTGGCACACTGAATCAATCTACCCTAGGTACACATATATTTTTTTATCTCCTGCCTGATCCACGCTCTCTCCCGGTACCTCTGGTGGCCATTCGAGGCATTGAGAGGTTGAGTGGAGGAAGTTCGTCGCCTATGGATGCTCGATATGCTCTCTCAAGAAATCCAAGCAAAGCGCGCCTGATCTTGCTCCGATCATTGACCAGGGTGACATGACACTAGTCCCCACCATCGCCGAATTGTTGATCCTCTAAGACGAGGAGTGCTAAGACATTCCAGTCGAAGAAAGCAACATATTTTGTTGCATAGCGGTTTGCGTAGTTGACAGCTTGCTTGAGTAGAATGTGGGAGTTGTCTAGGAACAAACTCTCGTTCTCCGTGTCGAATTTTGCTCTCAAAGAAACTTCGTACGGTTGTCCGGGCGGTACCAATGCTTTTGCAAACTCGCTAGCTTGAATGGTCCGGAGATGTGGGCTTTTGGAATGACGCTGATGTTGACCTCAGATGGGAACAAGGTGTCGAAGGAGTCGGCAATACTGATATACGGCATAATGGGTGACTCTCACGTGACTTACGCACCGTACCTCTCCACCGACTCGTCCATTTCATAGCCATACCTTAGCCATCACTCGCCACGACTCTTTATTTTGAAACCGTCTATCATCGGACCGCCGACTATCTGACTTTGCTTTCTTCCTTCTGTTGCTCTTCTTCAAAGGGCAGCAGTAATAAACCCAAAATGGGAGGTGGGCGTTTAGATGGCGATCCCTATTGTTTATGGAAGCCTCCCCGAGATCCGCGGCGACCCGAGGTTCCATACCACCGTGGCCTGGACATTTCCATCCGACGGCACGTCCCCCCGCCGCCGTTTAGTGTAGGATACATCCAAGGACAGGAGCGGCAGCAGTCTCCTCCGCAACCAATTCGAGAGGCCACCCAGAGTGAGTGGTGTCTCCAGCACCCACCCGCCGACACGGCTCCTCATCCTGACACGACCTCACACAACCTGCATATCCTCGATGAAATAGCCTGCGGAGATGGTCGTGGATCGCAAGTTGTGCGTTGCTGGCTTGATCAAGAGGATCAGGTTTACGTTGCAAAGATCTACGATCCTCTCTATTACTCGTACACTGATGCTGGGACTCCAGTTGATGTTACCTGGCTTGCAGATCTACACTATTCCCGCGAGTCTGCTGCATATGGGGACTTGAAGGAAGCTCAAGTTGATGGCCAGCTTGTCCCGAATTACCATGGCTCTTGGACCTTCGATCTGGCACTGCTTGATTCCGAAACCCGACCAGTGCGTATGATCCTAATAGGATGGATCCAGGGCGTCGATATGTACTCTCTTGTCCAGAAAGAACAAGTCACCAGTTTCCCCCCTCAGCAGCGCCTAGATATTCTTGCCAGAGCCATGGAGATTGAAACTAAACTTGCATTCTATGGGGTACACCACCGGGACTTCTCACCAAGAAACATCATGCTCGTTGGGCCATTCGAGACACAGGTGCCTCGAGTCTTTTTGATCGACCTGAACCACTCTGTTGTCACCAGTCGACCGAACTCGAAGTATCCAAAACCTACTACAACCCGGCCAGTCAGCCCTCATCTACGTCAGTGGGGAGGATGCGGTAACGAATTCCTGTGTTGGGTTCCTCAGCCGCACCGTTCACGGCCGAGAGTTTTCAAAGGATGGCTAAAGTCGACGTGGGAAAACTCGGACGAATTTGACATCATTGAGGGACTGAATCTGACGCGTTCCCTCAAGGATCGTGTCGTGATAACACCACCGGTGCCTGACGTCAAGCCAGAGGACCCTGCATTGTACTGGCGTCGAGGTAAGAATCCATTTCTCACTCCCATGGTGAAGTCTGATGGCTAATGCACTACTAGTCCGCCTGGGACAAGAAGTAGGACTGCCACCTTCCGATGGAAACGTATACTATCAGGAGATAGAATCTGATGAAGAAAACCTTGACGAATTTTGGGCTAGGTTCTGAAAGTCACCTGTATTAAGCTGAAGTCATTCCACCCCCCGGAATAAGATCATGCCAAGAGAAATAATTTGAAATGAGTAAGAATAAGTAGCGAGAATGGCGGTTATGTGAATGGTCCTCAAGAAGGGTTAGGTCCCGGTTCGTCTCGGATGCGAAGGGAACACCTTAGACCAGAATGATCGCTCCATGGCGCTGGTCCCCAATCCGGTTCTCCATGTTCGGCGCTGGCGTCCCCCGATCCAGAAAATACACCTGGGTGCATCACCTCCATCTCCTCTGGTTCCAACCCTGTAACGGCGACCTTGTCTAGTCGATATGGTGGAAAAGCTTGCGTGCCGTCAATCCCCCAGGTGAAGCCAGGTTCTTGGGCGTGTAACCTCGTCCAGGCGTCAATGAGCTCGTTTTCTTCCACCAGGGTCGCATCTTCTGGAAGCACAGGGTTGAAATCGCCTGCAACGAGACCCCGACCGGCAATCTTGAGCATGGAGGCAATGATGGACAACTGCTGCGGGCGGCGAGACGGCTGGCGGGCAAGGGAGTCGAGATGTACATTGACCAGACGGATGCGAGAACCTTGATCTACATTGGTTGAGGGATCGAGAATGTCACAACAGAGCGCGTCTCTCCCAAAACGGCTCGGGTAGTTGACTCTCCACACTGGTCCAAGGCCAAGGGCAGTTGGCGAGGATGAGCCGTGGATGTGACCGAAGCGGGATTTGGATAGAATAATCATGGTCATAAAAATGTGCCCTCTCCAATTTGATTCGTCTGCCTCACTCGAGAGCCAATTTTGCTGCAACCGTGGATCCTGTAAGAGGGTTGCTAGGGCGGGTCGCGAGACTTCCTGGAGGAAGACGACATGGGGAGCTGGGGTTTGGCTGAGAATATGCGATAAAATAGAGGACATGCGAGATCCTGGCGAGTGCGTGCCTGCATCCACGTTCCAAGTCACAAGTGCGAGGTTCGAGCTAGTGTCGAGTGCGTGCGATCCACTGGGCAGGGAACTGGAGTTGACTGGCGCCCATCTCTGCGCAGAGGCGTCGAATTGGTTCCATGACTGGAAAACGGGTACAACACCAAGCGGCAAAGGAGTGTGGACGGGAGAGGATGATAGGAATCGCCTGCGAGACGCGTTAGTATGAATACCATCAACACGTATGTAAGCACGTGTGCATGATTAGACTGACCCCTGAAGCGCAGTTGACGTGGGAGGAGGCCGCATTGCTGGGTAATTTACTCATTAAGGTGGTGGAGTTCAGTCTGGTTAGGCCGGGGTAAAAATAGAAATGGGACCGAGGGCACGGATGTGACCCCGGAGGTGTGGCGCGGGAGTAAGATGGGCTGTGGCTGACGCTCTTGCTTCGCTACTGGGCTGGGGCCACGTCGCCACAGGCTGGTTGGCCACAGTGGTGGCGGCTTGGATCTGACAACCTTTCAAAGGAGGTTTGTTGGGGAAAAGGAGGAAAGATTGGCTTTCTTTTTCGGGGAAATCACTCCCATCTCCACATTATTTTCCCAGGTTTATTTGCAGGTTTGCAAGTGCGTACCTAATTAGTACGAGTCCAGGACGGAGTAGTAAGAGCACTGGCATCTGCAGGCCACCACCGAGTCCCGGGCGGACCTTCCCTGCCAGAACTGCCCCTAAATCCACCCTTCAATCCAATCCCAGCCAGCCCATTCCTACACATCCCTCCCTCTATCCCTCCCTCTCTCTACCATCGCTCCCCGAATCTTCATCCATCCTCTCTCCTTGTCCTGTCTTGTCTTACTTTTTGCGAGTGTGCGCCTACGGAAACGAGCATCCATCCCCATTGTGCGGCGTTGCGTTGCGTTGCCTTCCTTTTGACACGTCTCTTTGTCTTCTTTCTTGACGCTGCGTTTTGCGACCACCGTCACGTCACAAACCCTGTCCGACTCGACCGAATTCTTGCTTAGCAGGCCTCGTCATCGCCATCCACCCCCCAGCGAAGCGTTTCGTCTTTCGCACGCGACACTTCGTCAGTCCAACTCCCCGGCCACAGCGTCGCATCGCCTCGTCTCGTCCAGCGCCCTCGACTACCGATAGCAAGTGTTTGGGGCTTGCAACTCCTCCCAATCACTCCCATCGACCTCAACAACCCCTCCGTCGCCCATCATGAAGCTCCAGGCCACGCAGTCGTCGCTGCTCCTCCTCCTGCTCCCCGTCCTTGCCAATGCCCTCAACTTCCCACAGGACCCAATTCCCGCTGTTGCGCCCCCTGACAGCATCGAACCCGTTGTGCCCCCCAGCAGCGGCGGCAACCGACACGATGTTCCCACCAAGGACGCGCCTGTCGACGGCAAAGATGGAAAACCTCATCTCGGCCCCTTCGTCGATAGCGACGGCGTGAAGCGGACGACCGACATGGGCGAGAAGACTCTGCCTCCCCTCTCAGGCCGCCCTGCCGATCCAACCGTTGTCGACGGCAAGAAGATCCCCGAGACGAACGATGGTGTCATGTTTGACAAGAACCGCGACCACGCCCAAGAGGGCACAACTGGACTCGAGGGCGGCATGACCGAGAAGGCCAAGGCCAAGAAGGCTGAAGAAGTCCGTACAGGTGAAAAGGCTGTCACTCAACCCCCGCCACCAAAGGAAGCGCCCCCTTTGCCGCACAGCGAAGAGGAGAAGATCCGAACCTCCAAGGACTACGCGGGCAAGGACATCCCCAAGGCAGCTACTGAGAAGGAGGATACCACGGACTTCACTGGTTTGGATGTAAGAAACATTCATGCTCTATACCAACTTAATGTTGAAGTTGCTGACACCGTGACAGAAGCCAGATGACCTCCCTGACAGGCCCAAGGAACAATCGCCCCCTATCCACGATTCCCCCAACAAGGACCATCTCGACCTTAACAAGGGTAGCTCATCCACTGGCCACGAGGAGGAGGAGGGCCTCATCCAACCCTTCCACTCTTTCATCCTCTCCTTCACCATGATCATCTTCTCCGAGATTGGAGACAAGACTTTCCTGGTGGCTGCTCTCATGGCTATGAAGCACGACCGGATGGTTGTTTTCACCGCTGCTGGTGGCGCTCTGGTCGTCATGACTATCCTCTCAGCCATCATGGGCCACGCTGTCCCAGTCCTCATCCCCAAACGCCTCACTAGCTTCCTTGCTGCTATCCTATTCTTCGTCTTTGGTGCCAAATTGATGCGAGAGGGACTCCAGATGGACCCCAACGAAGGTGTCTCGGCCGAGATGCACGAGGTCGAGCAGGAGCTCGCAGAGAAGGAAAAGGAGATGGGACGGAAGCGAGGAGACTCCGTCGACGCCTACACCCTTGAGATGGGACTTAACGGCAGAAGATCAAGGACTAACAACCGATTGGTCTCGCCTCCTCGATCCCCCTCGCAGTCCCCTGTCCGTGGCGCTCCCGATGGCTCAAACCCTCTTTCGAATCTGCTTCAGGGCACGAACAACTTGCTCTCGCTGCTGCTGAGCCCGGCCTGGGTCCAAACCTTTGTCATGACTTTCCTGGGCGAATGGGGTGACAGAAGCCAGATCGCCACTGTCGCTATGGCTGCCGGTCAGGATTACTGGTGGGTCACTCTTGGCGCCACGGTTGGACATCTCCTCTGCACTAGCATCGCTGTCATTGGCGGCCGAGCCATTGCTGGGCGTGTCAGTCTCAAAGTTGGTAAGTTCGCATCTCTATGATCCAATTAACGTTCCTTGGCTAACTTGTTTCAGTCACTATCGGTGGTGCCGCCTCTTTCCTCCTCTTCGGTTTCATCTACCTCCTTGAGGCGATGTACAGCTGAGTGGTTCCCTGAAATGGACCCCTTAGCCATCAAATCATTCCTATGTATAGACCGCGACTCTGCAGCTCTCACATGAGGCACTTCATTAGTCGCGCACCTTGCGTTTAGCCATTTTAATCAAGAACTCACTATACGGCCGCTCGACGAAACCTGGAGTTTTTATCGCACATCAACGACAATGCCAATGGAGGGGAGTCAATGAACCTGAAGGGAATTTTGCGGGTTTGGCCTTTCTCTCATTTGGACAGTTGGAAACATCCGTATAAACCAGACAGAGAAAATTTAGATACTGCGGAGTTTTGGGCACGTTGCGCCACATCGGACGGGTTGCTACTGGATGGAACGAAACGGGATCTGATGTGGTTGACTTGTTGTATCGGATTGGTAGGGATCAATGCCAGCAAGGACGTGGGATCTGCGTTTAAGACATCCCTGTAATATAAGAACATGTACGGATTACATTGGGCTTATTACGGAGTATAAAGTCCATCGATTAATGCCCCCGCCTGTCCCTCATTGCCTCCACGTGCATCAACTTCACGGCGACCAGCACAAACGTAGAATGTCTTTACTCAATCACTTCAGACGTTCTTTATTTGATGGTATCATCGACCTCAAACTCCATCCGTGTATGCACCCAGCAAATCCCAAACCCCTACCCAAGCACAACAGCTGCAACTGCAAAACATCTGCGTCGTTTTTCATTTTTTCCAGTTTTATTCTTCAGAAAGCCTGCTTGATCAGTTCAACTGATCTCGGGATGGACAGGCAACAGAGAAACGCCCCCAGTCAAGAAAACACGTGGGGAAAATAGAGGGACGCAAGCGAAAAAAAGACCTCCAAAGAACAGAGACTCGGAAATTAAAAAGACAAGTACATCAAAAGGTACACGAGTGGTATCCGACACAGTTTGCTTCAAACTCCGTAATGTTTCCAACATGTGCGACACGTGGCCGTCATCGACAAGGTTTCGTCCAACAGAGCAATACGACTTCCTTGCAAGTATTTCTATGCCGTGATTCCGTAAAATATACCCGTAACTATAAGATAAGATACTCTTGTTCATCAGATTCTGGTTTCTTCTCCCCCGTCGTTGTTTCGTCAAGACCTGCTCTTGCGGTCCGGTAATAAGTCAAGCTGAGCGTTTATCGTTCTTCCTCATCTTCCTCATTGATGGGTGCTGGGGTTCGACGCTCCGTTCGTCTCTTGGGCCGCCGGTGCCTCGAGCTGCTGATGTTGCTGGCCGAATCATCCGGCATAATATCTCCTTCATCGAATCCCCACTCGCTGTCACTTGCGGGGTCGCATTCACTCCCCGCCGCCCAGGCAGGGCGTTCGTACCCAGAGCCCTGCGAATTGCCAGAGCTAGGGCCAGGGAGGACGTCGATACGGCGGCGATTCTGAAGGTTCTGCATCAGGCCAGCACCGCGCTGGCGGAGGGCCGTTCGAACTACTTCTGCCCTGAGGTGAAGCTTTTCGAAGGCATCCTCCAGGCACTCCATACCCTTGTAGATCTCTCGCTCAATCTCGGCAATGGCCGCCATTTCCATCTCCTCGTCGTTCGAGACTGCTTGTCGGCCGGGTAGCCCTGAGGATGGGAGGCTCACGAAGGAGTTGGGAGTAGTGCCCCTGGAGTAAACTGAGAAGGGTGTTGTGTTTCTTGATCCAAACCCAGAAGGCCCGCGAGGCCCTGGGCTCATGGTTCGTGTGTGGTAATAGCCGCTCGCCGGGGTAGCTCCTCTTGACTCCATAGCGGAGGTGAAATCATCATCGGCACCCGACCAGAGGAAGCCGTCGAATCGACCCGAGATCAAAATTTCCCATTCCGAACTGTTGATATTGGAGAGGGTGACCAGCAAGTCATGGGTATGAGGATTCTTGATGAGATACATTACGGACTCGGCGTCGCGGGGGACCTGCGGTAGGCGGTAGAGTCGCTGCAGCGAGAGTCCAGTCTTGATGAGGAAGTCACTTCGCGGTCGGTGAGCTGGCGTCGGAGCACGGTTTCCTGGTCGTAGCTCCCTTGAGCCACTGAGGAGGGCATTGAAGTATGGACGGTCCTCGGCGTCAAGGCTGGTCAAGACGGCGAAGGTCAAAGTTTCATCGTCGACATCCTGAGGGGGGGGAACCGGCGTTTCTCCAGTATTCGAGAGCCATCGGTCAACAGCAGACCGGACCTTCTTCGTTTGGCGGAGATAGTGTTCCCTAAACTCTTCCGCGATATCAGGGTCCAGCTTGATAGGAGATGAAGGGCGCGCGGGAATCTCAGCGGAGATCTCGGCTGCCTTAGTCCCAATCTCGGCAAGGTCGAATGGGGGCCATTGAGGAACCTCGATTCGTCCGCTAACCCACTCCAGAACATCTCCCCAAGTTAGACCTCGGTGGATCTCATGGGCGGTCTCACACATGACACAGGAGCAACCATTGGGAGGGAGGTCGCGAGAGAAGACATTCTCGAGCCGGTCGAGGAGTCTCCGCGCGACTGAGCGGTGGCCGGTGGCCACGGCAATCGAACCTTGCTTACCCAGAACTGCGTTATACTGGTCGAGGAGGTTGAAGAATGGGGCGAAGAGAGTTTCTGCTCCAGCAAGGGGTGGGTTGGATGGCCGTGTGCCGTTCTGTCGTGGCAGAACTGCTAAGAAATTCTTGGGCGCAGGATAAGAGAGGCCACCATTCTGCAACAGGTAATCCACTCTCGGGGCATCCTGGATATCAAGAGCAGGCGGAGGGGGAGGAGGCGGTGGAGCGGCAGCGAATCCAGACGCAGGCGTTGCCGTTTTCGAGTGCAAGTTTGAATCGAAATCATCAACATCGAGTACTGAAGGGGTCCCGGGCTTGGCATCAGGGTAGAGGTTTGAGGGAGGAAATTGTGGTGCCTGAGTAGGTGTCTTGGGGGATGAGCCCTGGACACTCGAGGGCGAGGATTCGATGTCCTCAGGCTCGAGCCTCCTTCGACTTCGGGTCGACGACGTTCGCTTGACACGAGATGAGCTGGAGGAGGCTCTCGAGTCGGACCGGAGCTTGTCGCGGGGGTTGGCCGAGGATTTGATGTAGGTCGCCTGGCTTGATGACATAGATCTGCGGCTGACTTTGGAGCGATCCTCGTTGTGGGAGGCAGATCGAGAGAGGGTCGAGGTTCTCGACTTTGGTCGGTCCAGCGTCTCGTCCCTGGGTTTATCCTTTTTAGGTGTGTCTTTCTTCACCTCTTCCGCCGGGGCTTCCTCGTCTGGCGTCTCGATCTTTGGAGTCTCCGCTGTCTGGGATTCGGCCTTTGGCGTCTCCTCGCCAGGACGCGCAGCCTCCTCGGCTCCCATCTTATCGGCGTCGAGATCGGTCTCCGGCGGGCTGGGTGGCCGGTCCGAGGGTTCGTTGGATGGGGAGGGTTTCCGGGTGACATCTTCACCGCCAAGGCTACCGGTTCCGATGTCGGTAGTATTAGGGGTCAAGAAGGGGTTAAGGGGGTTGGGCACGGCAAGAGACTCTCGACTCTCGACGGCTTCCTTGCTGTGGGCTTTGCTGAAGTTCGGGTATGGTAGGGAGATGCGGGAGGAGAGTAGGGAGGTGCCGACCATGGAGGCGGTCCGGGTCAGATCAGATTGGGTGAGGTCGCTGGTTGAGGCGGCCCGCTCGCGACGGCGGTGGTCATGGTGGTCATCCCTCTCCTTGTCGCGCTTGCGGTGATGGCGACGGCTCGAGGTTTCACTACCTTCGCTGAGCTTGCTCTTCGAGGAGCGCGAAGAGCGGTGGTGACGACGCTCGCCGTCCCGGTCCCGGTCTCGATCGCCATCTCGGTCCTTGCGTTCCTTGCGCTCAGACTTGGAGCGTCGGGCCTTTTCGCGTGGCCGGTCGTCGACTGGGACCTCGACGTCACGGTCCTTGGAGGACATGGTGGACCATGGGCCGGAGGGAAAGAAATCGGAGTCGGAGTCGGTTCGCGGTCGATCGGTAGCGGAGGCGGCTGGGGCAAATGAAAGACAGCGAGTATCTCCGGCAGAGATGTTGAGCAAGAAAGAATAGCAATGTTGAGTCGAAGGCGAAGTTGGTGCGAAAGCCGAGGTGCGGCGTGATGTGAGGGGATAGTTAGTTGTCGGAAGGAGCGTCCAGACCGATGAGGCTTGATCTTTGTGCCTTCCTTCCCTGGGCTGCGTGTCTGGGGCTGGGTCACTGGTCGGGTCGCGGTTCAGGCACTAAACCGCACCAGGGGACCACCTCGAATTAGGCAGGGACCCAGTAAAGTGGCCGCCGGTTCAGGCTACCTTGTGGCTGCTAGCTCCCCAGCCAGCAGGAATGAATAATAATAATAAAATGGAATCGGTTAAAGGGACGGGGTCCGATGGCGGTGGGGCCGGATAAGTTGCGGAGGAGGCGGGAGACGGGGAAGGAGAAGGAGAAGGGCGAATGAAGGAAGCATTTAATCGCACTTCTTGACGGCAGATGGCGAAGCTGGCGATGACGACGACGATAAAGACTGTGATTGAGGAATGTGTAACTACCAGGTTCAAGTTTGTCGTCATGAGGTGGCCATGCATCCACCATCCACAATCCACCATCCACCATCCTTCTTTGAGACACACAAGTGTCGCCGCGCACAAGTTTACAGTTACTAGTTACATATTACATACCTACGTGCATGCACCCGCCAGCACAGCGCGCCCGTGTGAGCTGTCCAAGGTAGAAGGGGACGGAAGCAGCCAAGCAGTGAGCACTGGACAGGTCGTCGCCGCCTGTGGAACCTTCAACACCCGCCTGTGCAGCGTCGCAGAGCCACGAATACAGGGGGGCGCAGGGCTTACAAGGGTTCCACCGGCGCTGAGGGCCAACCACGAGCCGGCCCTAACACGAGTCGAGCTCGTCCAGTGGGGAGAGTGAGTGGTGTGGTATGACTCTCCAGGGCTCCAGGGCTCCAGGGTGCTGCAGCGCTCCTCCATGCGTGCCCAATGATGAGCCAACCAGCCAACCAGCCAACCACCGGACCCGCCCGGCTAGCCGCCAGCTGTTGAAGAAACGCAATGGGATGATCCTGGTTGTCTGGGTCGGTAAGACGCACTCGTCGGGTCGCCTTCAGGCACTAGTTGAAAGTGCACCAGCGGTGTCAGTGTCAATGTGCAATGTGCAATGTGCAATGTGACCTACTTATCTGGAAATATAACATGTTACCCACGAAAAGTAGTAATGCCCGCAGGGATTGTGAGGCTGGCGGTAAGTGTCGGCCCAATATCTTGCCATTTATAAGCCCACTGCAGGCTCAGGTCGTGGACGTTGCCAATTGGCCAAGAGACCTCTACCACTCCAATAGCATCCCAGTCGAACATGCCAACGTTGCAAGTTATATCACGGCTATACCCCACTGAACAAGGGCTGGGCGCTAAGACCGTCATCTCCAAGGCTCAAACTACCATCGCCGTCTCCAGCAAATCGACCGCAGTAGCCAGTGTACTGTGTCACTCCCCTCTAATATCTCCAAGTGCCACCAAGTTCCCTCTCTTGTACTTGTACGTCCAAGTATCTTCATCTGTGTGCTCCTTAATTTAGACCCGGGCATTCTCTAACATGGCATACTCACAAGGGAACACGCCGGCGCTAAATCTGTTTAGCCTGGTTGCTTTAGAACATCCGTTATACAGGAACATCCATCTTTAATGAAAAATATATCAACCTAGCCTACTGCAGGTTCTGAATTCAACCTGTATTAGTAAGAACGAGCAATCTTCTGCCAGATGGACAACAACCCACCTCTCCCGGACCTTTGGCGCGAAGCGTACAACCGTTGTCTAAAGAGGTTGCCAGCGAAAGATGTGGCTGCCGTCCTCCGGGTCAACTCCTACGATGAATTAAAGGAAAGCATCTCATCTAGCAACCGAAAGCTCATGAACTCGACTATCCCGAAGACGTTGGCAAAAATCGAACCTTTCCTTTCCTCAATCCGACAATTCTTCTCAATCATTGATTCCATGGTACAAGCAAACCCCGAAATTGCCGCACTGGTCTGGGGCTCGATTAAGTTTTTGTTCGAGGTACCATTTGCGTCCACACATTACACTGCCTTACCAGGTGCGCCATAGACGCGTGTGCTCATATTGTTTATTCCACAGTTATCAGACCGCATCCAGAATGCCACCGAACAAGTTGCCGACGGACTGGTCGACATCTCAAATCAGATGCCACGCTTTGAAGCATACCGTAACATGTTCGATAAAGCCGACAGACTTACCCGTGCCCTAGTAGACCTGTACGAAGCGATTGCGCAGTTTTGCATAGATTGCGTAATCCTCTTCAATCGCAATACTTTAAGTCAAGAGTCTCGACTTCAAAATTGCACGTCTGTGCTGACGTAGATATTCCAGAAATCCTGGTCAATACGGTCCTGAAAAACTATGGCAAACGTTTTCAGGCAGCCCGGTCTCAAATCGTGAAAGCCTCTCGGTTTGTCGACGTAGAGGCAGTTGCATGCAACATGGAACTTGATGGGTTGAGGTTTGAGCAAGTTATGAGTGTCCTAAATCAGTCCTCTATCGGCGATCAGCAACCAAACACAAACACCGTCAAATTTCCTTGTCACCAGATCCCGTATGACCGGAATCCGACATTTTTCGCAAGATCACAAGAGCTCGGGGTTTGTTATGACACTTTGCTCGACCCGGCAGCTAAAAGTTCGAACCTGCGTTGGCTGTCCTTGCATGGCGATGGTGGCGTTGGAAAAACTTCCATCGCCCTTGAGTTTGTGCATCGACACAAGGACGCGTACGATGTCATTGCTTGGTTCCAGGCTGATAAAGTCCTCAAACTCGAACGCGGGTTCAAAGACTTTGCGGCTCATTTAGGTGTTCACAAAGACAAGGCAGATGCGAAGCTGATCAAAGAGAGGTCTTAGCCTTTCTCTCAGAGACCAGTAAGCAGTATTTGAAGTTATCCAAGCATAATTGAGTCACTGACCACACTGGCGATTGTAGCCCGAAATTGGATCATGGTTTTCGACAACGTTGAGCATGATATCGCCTTGAAGGATTATGTCCCTAAAACTGGTTGTGGGTCGATTCTTCTGACTAGTCGCGACCCTGACTCGCGATACGGGCTTGGTATCTCGGGATGTCGCGTCGCCTCTTTCGACAATGACGATTCAGCTCAGTTTCTTTTCCAGTCACTTCCGTATTCGGACCTCGGCGATCCTCTCGAGCAGCGCGCTGCTAAGTCCCTTCTCAGAGAGCTGGGAGGCCTTCCCCTCGGTATTCGCCAAATTGGTAATTTCATTCGGGAATCCGGATCGAGCATTCAGGAATGTGTAACTCTTCTAGCCAACAAAGCCGAGGAACGGGATATCCTCTCAGATGAAAGCGGTCTCTCCGTTGTCCCATATAGTTCTTCACTGTCCAAGACTTGGGAAGCCTCGGTCAATCAACTTGATCGCGGTAGCCTAAGCATCCTGTCGCTTCTGTCCTTCTTTGACCCTGACTGCATTCAGAGCCAATTTACTAAAGAGATTCGACAACTCACTCCCAGGTTCCGGCGATTTTTTCCCGATACGGTTACGTCCGTCCAGTACGATTAACTCTAGAATTAACTGGTATCGTGACTGATTTAAGTTCCAAATGGTTGCAGTCCATGCGACACTTATTGCGTCGAGGACTGATAGAGCAGATGCAGTCCAGTAAAACAGTACGCATACATCGTCTTGTTCAGACGGCTATGCTACATTCAATCAAAAACGAGCAACGTCAAGTGTTCTTTGACATTGCTCTTGAGGTAATTGAAAGGGCCATCCTCAGAGCCAAGACACCGGGGATACGCTATTCGGGCGCTGGGACGTTTGCGCTGAACATGCTCCCCACGTCCAAAGGCTCCAGGAATTGCAGGAGTCTTGGCAACTCAATGCTTTTTCGACCTCATCGCATTTCAATTTCTTCTTCAATAGCTCATGGTAACCAAACTCTTTACCCGCACTGATAGTTAAAGATTCTGATTTCGTTTTATTTTTTTGAGTCACAGGTATTTACTAGAACTGTCATGCCGTCCAAACACCCTTAGGATGAGACTCAATTCTGTGCGTTGCTCGAAATCCTCTCTAATATCTTATGAATACACGAAACTCGCAACTCATGCGCGGAACTTCCCCTGGGCCAGTATCAAAGGCTGTATGTAGTACATCTACCAAGACGCGATTGTTAGGTTCTGAACCTGTTTCTTGGACGGCAGTTCTTGTTCTGAGCACTTACGTTGCGGCGCATGCGGATCGGAATCCCATGACATAAAAACCCATGCTTCGTCTCCTGCCTGCTCGCTGAGGAAGTACCAGCTATGCTCGGGGTGGTGGTAAGCCATGTAACTCTCGCCAATGCGGTCCGCCGGTACAACGTTGCTACTCTGAAAGTCGCGATCATGCCGAACTGTACGCGAGTCACACAAGGCAAGTGGCCATTCTGTCACTTTTTCCACAAGCGGTATCCAAAGACTTGGTGATTTTCTTGTCAGCTACGCCAACATTGGCTTTTGAAAGAGGTGAGTCTCATCAATCATACTTGACAATTCCGAAGCGATTACCTGTGCCGACCTGGTCACTAGCAACCTCCGGCCAAAGCGTCTTCAGCCGTGCCCACCCAGCAGCAGAGGTCTGGTCTGTGAGTGCATTAGCAAGCACAGGCATGTGGGTTTTCTTTCGTTCGTATTGAGTTGTGATACATACCTGCGTGCACCTGGTTCTAATCTAACTTCTGTCTGCTCCCTCAAGGTGAGCAAGTTGCCGGCACAAGGTCAAAAAAACACAGTTTTTATCCACAGTTCAAACATTTGTTACCCAATGCTACCACAATGACGAAATATCAAGCTTTTCAACTGTGCACCTGGTTCACAGGCACATCCAAACCAGGCGAGCCGCATAAGTCGGCGCGCCCAAAGCCAGGGTGACGATATCGCACCTTTTTGTGGTGGAAATATCAGTATGCCCTTTTTCCAATCACATTATTTCTATTCTTCTATATTCATACCTGATGTTCAAGTACGCGTGCGTCCCGCGCTCCCGTCTTCTCCAGGACTATCTCCCCCGCGCGCATGTAAAAGTCGCCAGTGACCCACTCTCTGTCTGCGAATCGCTTCGGGTCGGGCCGTGGATTCAAGAGTGCAACTTCAAACCCCTGTCTGGTCAATAGTGGCTGTCCAGTTAGTGTAAGCATGCGTACGTCGCGTATAGGTATGTTCGGGACATCAGTCGGGACAATGTCCGTGGCCGCGGCGTCGGAAATGCCGCTAACATCTATGAGGCACACATATGGTTTGTCAATCAGATATAAAGGGTCACGCTTCAGGTAGCATAGTGACGCCAGTATTTCCGCTGAGCTATTGGGCACCGACTGTGCATGAAATGAATCCATATCAAATTGCCTCGTTTTCACAAAGAAATTATAAGTGCGTTTGCATCAGATTCACGCGGGGGGGCGCCGAGCCTTATGAAGTGCTCCGGGTTCAATTTCGTCACAAGATCTATATCGCCCAATAGTGACATGATTCCGAATATTGGCGACCCTGCACTTACGTGGCGGTCCATGGTTGTCTTTTTCAACCCAAACGGCATAACTTTTACAAAGGCAAAGCCAGAAACGAGAGACGGATTGGAAATGACCACGATTGTTATCCGACATTGCATCTAGCAAGATGGAAATTATCATACGTGGGTGAAGCTCTTGCTATTCTTCCTATCTTACGAATGTCTTCCAGACCAGCTGTTAGGAAAGCAGTCTCATGCTAAGTCTCAGACTCTCGGCAAGCAAGTCTTTTGGCCTCGGACCTCGGAGGCTGCCGGAGGCCGCCAGTGTTACAGCACAGGTCAGCTATGCATATTCCAGGATGTCACATCAGGCGATGGAAATCTAGCATGATAGCTCTAGTATTATCTAGCTTAAACGAAGGTCGTAGGGTCAGTCTTATAAGTGAATTACATGATGACAGCGTAGCCTGTCGAGGTCAGAAGCTTCAGCCGCATCTCGGAAATCCCCTGGGCAGGCTGGTCTTAACCTAGAAGCTAGAAAAGCTAGATATATAGAGTCTTAGGAAGACGTGGTCCATTGGACGGATCCGCCTGTAGCTGGAATGCTATCTCGTAGTGTGATACAGCCTACAGGATATAGCCACGGAGTCGGAAATCCAAATTTGCCAATCTCGAGCTCATCGAACTGGGTATCCGCCTCGAAGGAAATGCCTTTTCGTACAACTGCATCAGCTGGAGAAGTTTAGCATCTTGTCCTTTGCGAGCGACAAATGTTAGGCCAAATGGTCGGCCATTAAGGTATATGCCGAGTGGAACAGTTCCCATGGGCGCACCTGGGAAGGACAGAGATTGATTAGCTTGAATACGTCAAGAAAATGAGCATCTTGCCCACCTGCAATTGTCGAGTATATGCTTATCCATGACCAACCTGGTGTCACCAGGAAGTCGACGTGGTGTGTTTTGAATGCATGCTCGATGCCTTCTGTGACAGCCCAGGTGTATAACGTGCTCATAATGCCCTCATATTCCGCTTCATCAATGCTTTCTTCTTCAGCGCTCTTCTCAAGAACTTCTTGACCCTGAGGAAAGTGAAGGCCGTCTGGAGGGAATCACTGGTTAATAGAATCCATTCAGTTGTGTGCGCTATGTTGCATACCTTTCTGAAGGGAGTCAGCCCAGTGTTCCTTGTTGTACTCAACTAACTCGATCAAGTTTTTGACAGGGGCGCTGTTGGCCTCGAGATAGAAATCGGCAAAACTAGACTTCATGTCACGACCTTCATAATGGTGAATCTCTCACTAAAATCTTGTGATGCAAAGCGTTTGCGTATTGCTGAGCTACTTACGCATTATGGGCTGCATCTTCTCCCAAGCTTGTGGGATGAGTCCAGCGCTCGGGAAACTTGCGTTCATATTAACAACCGCACCCAGGGTTTCCATCCGGTGCAGAGCCTCTGATACGGCTTTGTACATCTATAAGATGGTGAGAAGATGGCTGTTGAGGGTAACGTGGCACATACCTTGACCTCGCCAATCTTATCGTGATATGAACCATGAGCTTTGCCGAAGAAATCCGGGTCAGCCCGACCTAGGCGAAAGTCGGCCCAAACAGCACCATCGGCAATCTTGTAATTTGAGCTCGCGATATCTTGGGCCAATGGCTCGTTGGGTTGAGCTATGATGCCGAGAACGCTAGCCAAGTCAACCGTTGACTTGGCTAGAATGCCGGGTCTGTCGAAGGAGGTGGAAACGGGAAAGAGACCATGATTCGAGACGAGGTCTTTAGAGGCAACGAAGCCGAAGAGAGCTGCGTGTGATGCAGGACAAGTAACGGAGCCAGCGGTCTCAGTACCTAGAGCGACTGGCACAAATCCGGCAGAGACGGCAACAGCAGAACCACCCGAAGATCCACATGGGGAGTCGAAAGTATAGGCGGAGCGTGTCGATCCGCCTACTTTAGACCATCCGGAGCCTAGATTGTCGCCCTTGAGGCCACAAAACTCATCAAGGTTCGTTTTGCCAAGAATGATGGCTCCGGCTTTACGAAGTTGATGGATTGCGGTAGCATCGTGCTTAGTAGTGACATTAGCAAATGCATAGGCGCCCCCACTGGTAGGCAGTCCGAGTGACGGGTCTGTCGCAAAGTTGTCCTTGACCAGGACCGGAACGCCAAATAGAGCGCTTTCTTGGACACCGTGACGGCGCTCACTGTCAATGCCTGTGGCGGTAGACCGAAGCTGGTCGCGAGAAACGAGGCTGAGGACCGAGTTCAAACGAAGGCCATTCTTGTCGTGACGTTGAATGCGACTAAGACATTCTTCGACGAGTTGAGCGCTACTAATGGCCCCAGAGCCCAAGAGGGCAGAAAGATCGCCGACTGTGGCCGTGAGGAGATTCACGGACCGTGGCAAGGAAGTATTGCCCAACGGCAAGCTCCAAAGTGTCGCAACAATGAGAGCGACCAAAGCCAAAGTCCAAGTGAGCCGATTCGCGACCATGTTGCAGGCAGCCGTGCAGACGTGCGGGCGGATTTTTCTTCTTCTCCTTCTTCTTCTTGAGGGTTTGGCAGGAAGGAAAAGGCGGAAGGCTTTGGATTTGATTCTCGACGAGGGATTCTCAAATTAATAAAAGTCTTGGATTTCGTGAGACACAGACACCTGGCAAAAAGGTGATTAACGGTTCGAGCACGCTGACGGCCCAGGCCCAGGGAGTGCAAATGACGTAACCACGCCGCACTTTCCAGTGGTGTGGTGTAACTGTAGGGACCTAGGTACGGTACCTAGGTAGGGTGTTGAAGCGCCTGACTGGCGGTTGGCGGCCAGCCGGTGAGGAAACGCATGGATATATGGATGAGACAGGATGGCATCGGGTGTGATGGGCGCCGTAGGCTTCTCGTCTCAACGCCCGCCCCAAGCCAGTTGCATACGAGACATACGTAAGGTATGACCCAGGCATCGCCGACAATGCCATGAAATGATGAAGCAACCAGGCATCGACCAGCATGACATCCGCGGCCGCTTTCTGCCTACAGTGATGTGACAAAAGTCTCCACCCACCCACCGAACTTCCCACAACCTGTATTATCACCACCAAACTTCACTTATACATTTCTCAGCGAAATAAAGTCCAATAAATATATTTCATACACTAAAAAGATGCCCTGCTTCTGAAGTTCAATATTTTGTATACCATCCTCGTGCCCGGATTACAGCGCGCAATCTGCGCTCGAGTGAGTCCATGAGGTTCCGAATTGTCTCCTGGCTTATTCCGTCCCACACAATGCTCACGCATCTTTGGAATTCGGCTCTGTCGGCGAAGTTGTCCTTAAGATCTTGAAGATAAGGGAACCTTTTTCTTAGGTTTTTCTTGAGAATCGCCCAAAGGTTCTCAATCGGGTTCAAATCCGGTGAGTTTGGCGGCTATTCCAGAAGCTCAATATCATGGTCATAAAGCCAACTCAAAATCCTCCTTGCTGTATGAATACTAGCATTATCCTGCTGAAACCTTCTGGTCCCATCATACTGAGGCAGGAGACCGTCCCGAAGTGCCATCTCATAGCTCCAGGCTGAATAACCGTAGAGACGAGGTGTTATTAGTTGCAGCCTCGACGCGCGAGGCATACCGGTTCTGCCGACACAGCACATGCCACGCAATGAATGCATCCCTGTCATGAGCGCCAGAACCCCCTTCTCTCTTCTCTCGTCTGCCGTCGTCTTCGGCCTTCCACAGCTTCCCAGTGCCGCCGTTGGCCGTGGATGCCCAACTCTCCCCACCTCGATCCTCCAACGGGTATTACGCAAGTATGCATGCACGGGCGAGTCACTGCGACTCCCAAGGCGAGCGCGTAGGCGGTCGGGTTTAAGTTACTCACCTACGATCCGGACAGTAGGCAAGGGACGGTGATTTTAGGCATTCGGAAGAGCGGATACGCCCGCGCCGTTGCAGATCACGCCCAGTCCTCTCACTTGAGATCCCGCTAACCCTCGTAGAGGTATGGAGAGCGTTGGTCAATCAGCGCTGTGAAATGCACCGGCACATTCACGCGGACCGCAACAGTACCGTATCGACTCGATAAATTGGCCCTATCTTTGAGGACGAAAGCTAAGCTATGCAAGCCTTAGATTCCCTAAATCATTACGTATAAAAAAACCCCAAGGAAATTTGTGGGGGGAGGATTCAGGGCCAATTTATTGAGTCGGTACGGTAGTTTGACATTGTTGGTTTGTTCGTGAATTTCTTATTTCTGTCCTCGTTGATATGTCTATCTCCATCTTAATTCTATCAAACCCTTCTCTTTCATCCGGGCTCGTCAAAGACACCCGCTATTCTACCCATGCGCTGTGGTGAAGCAAACCCGGTTCATCCCGTGGAATGTAACATATCCATCCATCAATCATTCGCCCAATTCTTTTTGCCTTCTTTCAAAAACGCCAATCCGTGCATCACTTCTGCTGCAGAAAACAAGTTCCGCCTTGGCCGTCTCGTGTGACTTGGTCGTCCATCAAGCAAGTGTCCCAGTTTGAAGCCGACTCTCCAACTGGAGTCAGACCGTCTTCCCCGCATTTCGTCTCTTTACACGAATCCTTTACAGGCGGTCAAGGAGACCGCGGCTCTCGAGGAGTAGGACAATCTCGTGCACAATGGAGCGCACGTTCTGCTTCTCCAGGTTGACGGTGAGGTCGGGCTTGACGGGAGTCTCATAGGGGTCGTCGACGCCGGTGAAACCCTTAATCTCACCCTTGCGCGCGGCAGCGTAGATGCCTCGTCGGTCGGTCTTCTCACAGTACTCCAGGGGAGTGGCAACGTGGACCAGGAAGAAGGGGCCGGACTTCTCGATGAGCTCGCGGGCCTGCTCGCGGGCAGCGTTGAAGGGGGCGATGGGAGCGGCGATGACAGCGGCACCGGCCTTGGTCAGCTCAGAGGCGACAAAGGCAATGCGGCCGATGTTGATATCACGGTCCTGACGGGTGAAGCCCAGCTCGGAAGACAGCTCGTGTCGGACATTCTCGCCGAGGAGCATGGAGACGGGGCGGCCACCACCCTGCATGAGGGTAACCTGCAGAGCGCGGGCGATTTGGTCCTTGCCGCTGTTCTGGTAACCGGTCATGAAGACGGTGAAACCCTTCTGGGCAGGAAGGGGGTTCTGCTCGCGCAGGACTTTGACGACCTCGGGGTAAGAGAACCACTCGGGGATCTCCTTTCCGGTGCGGAGGCGGTGTCGCAACTCAGTGCCGGAGATGTTGAGGGTGCGGGTGTCCTTGGGGATCTCGTTGACGGGCTGGTACTCGTCGCGGTCGGGGAGGTAGATCATCTCCTGGAACTCGACCATCTTGATGCCGAGCTCCTCCTGGAACTGCTGGACGAGGTGCTGAGCATCGTAAGGGCCGTAGTGGTCCTTGCCGTCCTTGTTCTTGCCGGGACCGGCGTGGTCACGGCCAACGATGAAGTGGGTGGCACCGTGGTTCTTGCGGATGATGGCGTGCCACAGGGCCTCACGGGGACCACCCATGCGCATGGCGAGGGGGAGCAGGGCCAGGGCGGCCATGCCGTTGGGGTAACGGGGCAGGAGAGCCTTGTAGACGCGGACGCGAGTGAAGTGATCAATGTCGCCGGGCTTGGTCAGGCCGACGACGGGCTGGATGAGGACGTTGGCCTGCTGGGAGCGGGCGGCGCGGACCGTCAACTCACGGTGAGCGCGGTGCATGGGGTTACGGGTCTGGAAAGCGACGACCTTCTGCCAGCCGAGCTTGTTGAAGTGGGCGCGAAGCTCAGAGGGAGTGACTGAGGGAGGTTAGCTACCGAGTCTCGAGGAACGCCATCCGCGGGGCGGGCTCTGTCTTACAGCGCAGGTCGAGGAAGTCGTAGTGCTCCAGGCGGTTAACAGCCTCGAGCTTACCACCGACGTAGAAGTCCTTGGCGGTAGAGAAAAGGTACTTGACACCGGGGTGGGTGTCGTCGTCGCTGCCGAAGACCAGCTTGGCCTCCTTGACCCTGTAGACTCGCCATTAGCTCAGGCTCCTTGTTCTCGCAGTCAAAGCCACCTACTTATCGGGCTTATAAACATCCTCAACGGTGAAGATGGCGAGGTTTCGCTCATCGCGGAAATCTCGGAGGGTGATGCGGGCGCCGGGCTTGATGCTCAGCTTGTCGATGGTCTCCTGGTCGACGTCCAGGTTGATGGGCATGCCGAGGAGGGCGCCGTCGGCGAGGCGGTTGGTCTCAACAACGCTGCAGGGCCAATTAGCTCCAGATCACACCATTGGATCCAAGTATTCGCAACACGTACCCATTGTAGTCCTTCTCGTTCAGGAAACCTGGAAACAATCGCGTCAATTGCTGCTCTCGCGATTTGCGTGATCGAATCTGGGGCGCGGCGCAGGTGCGGGGGCGGGGCAGCGCCGTGGTGCAGGGAAGCGTCATGGCATCCCGCCGGCGAAATTTCGGTTTCGGCGTGGAGCAAAGCGACGGAGTCAAGAACAAACATACCTTCAATGGGGGAGAAGCCACCGTTGAGGATCAGCTCGAGATCGCACAGGTGACGCTCGGTCAGGGTGAGGGCCTTGAGGGTCTCGGCCTCGGCCTGGAGCTCGGCCTGGCGAGGCAGGTCGCGGGCGAAGAGATCCTTGAGGATGCCGCCGTTGGGAGAGTTGGCCATTGTGGATGTGTGTTTGTGGGAGTTGTGGGAGGGGAGGGGGGGTTGGATCTTCAAGACTGAGCCGGGGACGAGGCGCAAGACTAGAAGAAAGGGTCCGAGACTTTATGGCTGGCGAGGGGTAGATGTCGCAGAGCACGCAATGGTGGAGATCCGGACTACACGAGGTGTGACCGGGGAGGAGGAGGCTTGAAGGAAGAAAGAGAACAGGAGATGGAAGATGGAGAGGGAGGAAGAAGACGAGAGGATTGGAAAGCAGGACAAACGGCGAGGGGCCCTTGATTTATCATCTACAACTGAATGTACTACCGGCACCCTCCTTCAATCTGGTCCCTGTTTAAAACTGCCACTTGCTGGGGGGGAGGGAAAAACTGACCCTACCGCCCGCGCGTCCATGGCCTGGCCATCGAGGGCGTGAGGATGAGAAGGGCGTGGGCAGAACGAAAACTCGCAACTGGGCACGGGTACCTCTGTCCATCCTCCGTGGTCTCTTTCCCAATTCTCACACATTCTCACCGTCACCCCGAAAAAAAAAAGATGGGGTTTCTCGATGACGTGCTCGGGACTTGAGGCTTATACATGCCGCCGACGGCTCTCGAAGCCAATGAAAGAGCCAATGAACGAGTGTCGTTGGCACCATGGCCTACACTAAGTGCTTCGGACCGTCGCTGCGCGAGAACTGGCTGAATGGACTCCCGCGGAGGTGTTGCGGCGCATCCATGGCTCCTGGTACGCGATCCGTACGTGGGCAGACTGACGCCGCGAGTAGATGGTTCACGGGCCCGGGTTAGTCAGGGTGTTCGCTGCTGATGGGCGCTGCAAGGGGCATCCGCCATCCGCCAGGTACAAAACGCCGGGTCCCTGGCGACGGCCCGCGACGAGTCGTCATCATGTGGCAGGGAACCGCCAGGTCCGCGGATATGGCTGGCTGCTATCAGGGCCATACTCCCCGAGCTACCACGAGCCTCCCGTGCCAGGTTACTCGTCGCCAGGGGTGGCATCCACTTGAGGGGACGCTTCGTGGTACAGTACATGGCTTGTGGCGGCTACACGTACGGAGGCGTGGCACCATCTCTCGAGGAGCCACGGGCTTAAGAAGCTGTGCTTTCATGTCTCTACTGCGATGACAGTTGAATCATTGGCCTAAAGCAAGCCTTTTTCTGGGAGAACTCGTCGCTGTAATTTATGGCAGATTTACCGCGCTCATAGACCGGTCTCCCAGAGCTTTGCGCCCCGGGTGCCGGCATGGCAGCCGGCCGGAGTCCGGCTGTCGGGGCCACCACCGATCGTCCGTGGCGGGATCCAGAGTGGACTCTTCCCTGCCAGGCCGAATCCAAAACACCAACACCCTTTAGTCATCCCCGGTTGGATAGACCTGGGATGTTCCTCTTGACGGATGTGATGATCTCAACGGGCTCTTTCTTGCTCTGTTGCAACTCCCCAACCTCCCCGACCTCCCCGGCCACTGCCGCGCAATGCATACCAGCGGTCCCCGTTCAGCAATGCGCAAACGGGCCTCCGATCCGCGCATCGACGCAAGCGGCTGTGCGAAAGTACGTACGCCTCTAAACATCCTTGATAGGGAGGCCCATGGGCGCATACCGGTCTCTCACCAAGGTGAGTTGTGGCTTGCGGTTTGATTATGATGGTACACTGCTGATCCACGCTGCTCGGTGTAGATTAAACTGTGCCAGGCGCATTCAGGGGCGCATTCAGCCTGACGTTGATCCAAAGTTCCAACTTTGGTACGCAAGCTGTGGGTTTACTCGGCTGATTAGAGCTCTGGAGCCGCGCGTTGGGTGGCCCTGGCGCGCGAGCAGTCGTGGACAGATGATGTAATGCCAATTTCTCAGATGCTATTGTAAATTGGAAGAAGTATCAAGAGAGAATAGAATGGTGGCTTCTTTGGAGGAAGAGTCGTCGCGTCGTGATATCTGCCCTTCATGGTGGTCGGCCGTCATGGCGCGGCGTGCATGAGCACAGTGTTGTATCATTCGTGGACCTTGTCAGCTAGTGCGACCAAGGTGCAGATGCAGTCCAAGAACAGCATCAGCACTTGAACACGGATTGGAAATGCCTCGTGCGTAAAATGCCCACTCGAGACGGCGGTTGCAATGATGCCCGCGCGGGTGCCGCGTTGGTATTGCCGGCGTCTTGGTATGTAAAGGTAGGCACCCATCCCGTGATTCCCAACTTCAATTGCTGACGCCCAGTGCTTACGCCGCAGCCACCAAATGATAATCCAGGGGGTTGTCACTACGAGCCACTCTCAGATGACCACGGAGGAGAACCTGGCAGTTACAACTGAGCATTGGACTTTGTTCCTCCTGAACGCACGCCTTTGTTTGACGAATACCACCCCCGATGAAGCCATCGCCAACTTGACCTGTGCCGCTTATTGGCTTGACACCACAGCGGCAGCCGAGGCGCGCCTCCACACCCCCAGAACGTGGGATGTGGCGACCAAAGGCCAAAGAGGGAAAAGCCTCGCAGCAAACGTGCAGCTACTGCTGCACACATCATCTGGAAGAAAAATACGCCATCGATGGCCAAGGCCCGGCCACAATCCGACTCCATCGCGACACCCACACAATACGATGATGCGAAATCCGTTGGACGACAGACGCCTGCCGATGGCCCGAAGCGACGTGCCGAGTTGCCCGAGCTGCCGCTGCGTCGAGCACGAGGGACTTTTTCCCCCACGAAATCGATGGCGTCAGTCACGGCGTTTTGTCGTCGAAAATGCCAAGCTGCACTTTGCTGGGTGTGATAGGGCGAGAGATCAGTGTCCCCCGGTTTATACTGTCATGAGCGCTCGATCACGAGCCCCCCGGCCGAGACCATCCCGCCATGTCGACATCGCTTGCTGGGATGACCGCGCGCTGTGTGTAATATGGTTAAACAATACAAGGTTTGGTTAGCAGCGACTATTGGACCGAGAAAATACGCTACATGAGGTTGTTTGACATTCGCCGGTGAGGTTGAGGAGCACTGCTGCAAGCGTCTTGGCCAATCGCTGCATCACCAAACCGGTGGCCGGGTGCCAGGTCGTCCCAAACTCTACCAAGCAAGATCCCAGAAGTTCAAACATGCCTTCTAACCGCCCCGAGCAGGCAACCATTTTTTGTTCATTAATTAACCTTGTGAAATAGTTCGGTCGTTTGTTTTTATTTCTTGGATTTATCCCCAGTTCTTTTTGGCTTGTTTACCGCGCTGGCTTCCTTGGCTCTTGTGCATCAATTTGTCGTTCTCGCAATCGCTGCTCGCTCCGCGGTTGGCAGCGCTCCGACCCGACTCAAAGGCGGTTTATTGGATAATCTACCTCTTCTTCCAATAGATCCGAAAGATCGCTCTCGCCATCCGCAGCAGCCGCCAGTTCCACAGGTTGTGCGCGTTTCGCTGAGTCCTTCGCATGTCTCGAACCGAATTCGCAAAGGATTCTTGTCTTCGGCCCGCGCCAGCTACTCCGCTTTCTCCACTTCCTTCTGAATCTTGGCGATCTTGCCTCTGATACCCTTGTCGACAGATGAATAGGCCTAAGATTACATGGACGGGGCTTCATCGTGAGTCTCGCCATGCGTAGTCAAAACAATCGAGCTCGGGGTTGGTCGTTGGGCTGCCTTCATCCTTCGGGAACTTATAGATGTCGGCTCGGGATAGTTGTTTTGTTGATAAGCAGCCCATCATGACTGGACAAGGGCATCCGGTCCATGGCCTGGGTACAGCCGATTTCGCCGTATGCTTTCCAAAACAGTGCTCGCCAACCTTCTCTGTATGGTATCAACTTGAGGAGTTGTACACTCCCACCCAGTTGGTAGATTCGAGCAGGGTGAGTGAGTTCTGTAGCCAGTCCTCCCAGTGTTCTCCTGCCCGTACGTAGGAGTAAAGGTATTCTGCATCGCCAGAGATTTTGGGGCATCTCAGATCAGCCATGACGAGATACAGTTCGAATCGGCGATATAGGGGGCAGACTAAAGGCAGGCAAAAGAAAAGGATTGCTGTTTTGTGAACTTGGGGGGGCAGATTCAAGGGAGAGGAAAGCAGATACAAAGCCGTGGTTCGTCGAGTAGGGGGCAGCGCAAAAGTGATGTGATGTGATCGCGTAGTCAAAAGTGCGGTTGAAGGAAGCAACGTGAAAGTCTTGAGTAATGGTAACAAGCAAATACTCACAGTTCCTAGCATTGAAACGTGAGTCGATTCACTTTCTCCAGCATTTAGACTGTGTTCACACTGAGACATTCCTCAATGACCACAGCGGTCTTAGACCATGGCATTTCCGTGCATCACAACACCCAGCAGCTTACTTGACGATTGCAACTAGCAGAAACACGAGTGATACTTGTTTCAGATCATGGGCGCCCTCTACACTGTTGTAGGTTTCGACTCCGACTCGAAGACTCCCGATGACGGCTTGGCTCGATACGCACTGGCTTCGATGATGCAATGCACGACTGTTTGACGAAGGTACTAATTGTCCATAAACTCCCGCTACGGAAGAGGAAGTCCAGTCGGCAGTCTTTGCATTCCAGGTCGGTAGCTCCGAGTCAAGTCTCATGCCCTGATGCATCACATGGTTTTTCCCCCGGGGCATAGAGGACCTAGAGGCAGATTTCTGCCAGCGTCTGACAAGTTACCGGAACTACAGGGTAGGCATCGGATATACCCATTCGTGTAGAGTGATGCAACAATGGCCTGTAAGTTTACTTCGGCCGGCTTATACAATTTATCGATCGATCAGCCTATCCAAAATAAGATGCAGAAGAAAGGAGTGAAACAGGAGAAGCAATAGAAGCAGACATCCGTTAAGGCTAAGAAAGGTCTTGTGAAGGTCTCTGTAAAACAAGTGGGACTTACGCCAACTGCTCCGACCCCGACTTGAGATGACTTTGCAGCCAAAATTGTTTGCACAATTCGTTTACTTGTTTCTGAGATGCGGACGCCAATGGGCACTTGCTCAATGGTCACCTCGACGGAGACGGCATGTAAATGGCTCAACTCCCCTTCAAGAACCGCTGAAGGCTGTCAAAAATCGACCCCAACACTACAGCACTCAAGCGAGGTCAATTGCTAGTTCTTCCCAGACCGCCTCTGTCGATGGGTGGCAAAGTGTTGCACTTGGCAAAGACTAAATAAGTCTTCGTATTTTGCAACCAAGGAATCCCAACGGTCCCTCTTACACATACCGCCCGAGGCATTCGTGATTCCAAATCCTGGTCACCAACTTGGAATGGAGTTTCATCATGATGATAAGAACAATTCAGCGAGTGCCCCTCAAGAAGAAGAAGAAAATCGGGTTGGGTATTATTGCCATCAAGATGAATGGACATGCGATGGCTCGCTCAGTCCCAACTTAAGCGCTGGGCCATGAGTCAAGGAACATGGTGGGTTCAGGGTGGGTTCTTGATGCACGACAGCACACCTGCACTAGAGGCTCGCTAGACGGAGACATACTCCCAGCCACTGATGCTGGCCCGCTCGTATTCGCCGGCTCGGGAAGTAAATAGCACACGCATCGAACAATGACTGGCTGGCTCTAATGGTGAGTGCATGAGTTGGGCAGAATACACCATCATCGTTCTGTCTCTCCTTGTTATGAGCCCACCGACGCTTCAGGTCGTCGATAGATGGATGGGTCTGTTAAATGTCGCAGTCGGTATCGCGTTGTCGATCTTCCACCTCCACCGGACCCTCAACGGGACCCCCAATCGGAGGAGGTGCCAAACGACGTGCCGAGCTGCCCGAAGGACAGGAAAGATTAGGTTGGCAGCAGACGATGGTTGGCTGGTGCTGTAGAGGCTGCACGTGGCGATGCGTTAAAACGTGGAATCCAAGAGTGTGGCGAGTGAGCGGTGGGAATGGTAGGTAGGAATAGTGGGAATGGTGCAATCCCCCGCCTCCGAATTTTGTCACCGCGCGCCAATGGTTGGGTGGCCATCTCCGGTCGTTGACACTCAAAGTTGGCGGAATGGGCGGTGGAGGAGGTCAGCGAGCAGGTTTTTTGGTGTGATTTCTGGCGGCGCAGGCGAATGACGAGCAGCCATGTTCCAAGGCGAGAGGTAACGCACCAAGAACCAAGAGACGGTGAGATGAGGAATGAAACACCCGACTTTGTTAGCTTGATACTAGATGGATGGATGGACGGTTGGCATCTCGATAACGAGAGCCATCTAGACTGCCATCTCGGCTAGCCATTCGGACAGCCATTCGGACCTCTTTTTTCATGGCCGCCGGTTCGTTTAGGCTCGTTTGGTTGGTTCCGGCCAACACTCGCGGGGGTGGGACAGCGAATGGCGACTCAAGTCCCAAGACGGCAGGTGCGGTCGACAGGGGTTATAGTGGCTAGGTACCTAGATAGTGGCACCACAGGGCACCCATCTTCTGGTAATCAGGGCCCTTATCCGCTGGCAGCACACCATCTGGGCGCTCCTCCAGGGCCTTCAGGGAGGTCCATGGGGGTCCAGCGCGACAAAGGCCCTCCGCCTGCATCCGTTTTGATTGCATCCTTTGATGAGATCCATCCACATCCGCATCCACATCCGTATCCATCCATCCCAGTAACGATGTTAGCGTTTGCTCCATCGTCCTCTCGCTCTCTCGCCATCGCGTCTGTCTTTGAGGCGATTGTCTCTTGCTCTTTCCCTTTCATCCCAGCACCGCGCTCCTGCTTGTTGTTGCCGTCGCCGTCGCCGTCGCCGTCGCCGTCTCTGCGGACGCATTTTCCTTCTCCTCGCCGTCCTGCAGCTACGCGCTTCGCTTCCAAGACATCAAGCTTAAAATAAATCCACCCAACGCCGATCTCTGCAGTGGCTGCACTCCCGCTACGCCACCAGCCGCCTCCTGGTTGCGCCTACGTCAAGACCGAGACCGAAAGACTCCAGATTGGCTCCCAGTTGTGCACGCATCGAACCCGTACACGTCCTCGCACCATTTCTCGCCCGGGCCTTTTCTCACCTTCTCGCCATCCGAACCTCAACTCCTCGACTACCTACTTCTCGACTACTCCTCAACTACTCCTCGACTACTCCTCCCCCCCGCCATCGACCATCTCCCACCCCATCGTCTCCTTTTCCGATCCCCGTCCATCGCCACTCTGATACTCCACTCGTGTCCGCGACACTTGAACCGAGACATTTACGTCCCTGAAACCTTGCTTCCGATCTCCATGTTTGGGGCGTCCGTTTCGCGAGAGTCCGATTCTACAACTCGATTCTTCGCCAACCTTCATCATTCGAGATAACATCCTCCCGGACGACCCGTTCTTGCGCCTAGAGGAGACAAAACATCTTCTGGGCGGGAACGCCGCGATCCCGACCCTTCCGGCCCTTCGTCGCCGACGCCTTCACCATGGGTTCAACAAAGACGCCTTTTAGGGCAATGCGCCTTTTCCTCTCCGCCATTACCCTTCTTCCGACTGTCCTTGCGCGGGAAACGGTTTACATCAATGGAACCGGCATCGATGGCGTGTCTCGCGAGTTGGATGTTAGTCGATATCCCGACCTGCACACTGGCGACTTCGCGGACTGCATGAACGGCGAGAGCTTGTTTAATGTCACCAAGTTCGACGCTGCATACTACCGGGACAACCTCACTGTGCTGTTCCATTTGAGTGGAACCACCAACATTCGACAAGAAGCCCTCATGAGTAGGTGACGAGATGCCCAACTAAATTTGACGTGTCTAACCCGCATCTAGTGCACATCTCCATGGATGTTTACGGCGAGGGTCGATTCAACAGGACCTACAATCCATGCGAGGGCAACATCACCAGCATGTGCCCTGTAAATGTGGACGTTCCCATCCAAGCATACGCCGTTCTCCCCATCTCTGCTACTGACTCTGAAGGATTCCCGTCGCTCGCGCTTGGCATTCCCGACCTCGAAGGCTTCGCCCGCCTGCGCATCTTTTCAAACTCGACGCAAACCGAAATCGGCTGTTTCCAGGCGGTCTTGACCAACGGCCAGACATTGTCCCAGCCAAAGGCCATCGGGTCCATCTTGGGCGGTTTCGTCTGCGCGGCAATCCTTGCTTCGTTTGCGACAGCCATTTACGGCTTGCAGATTCCACACATGAGGATGCACTACGCCCACTCTTTCTCGCTCCTCGTCATTTTCGAAACTTTTCAGTCCATCTTCTTTCTGGGCGCCCTATCCGTGGACTGGCCCAGCCTGCTCCCTGCTTGGTGGAGCAACTTCGCATGGACCGCAGGCATGATTTCCACCGACAGCATGCTCGATGCCCTCGCCCCATTTAGTGGCATCTCCGGAAATGGTAGCCAGGTTGGCGGTGCTGGATCCGTGCCCATTAACAACGGCGGTGGCCTCACCCAGCAGATCTATGGAAGATCCATTAAGCTTAGGTCGGCGCTGGGCCTTGACGATTCACTCCACACATTTGCGCGTCGAGCTGGATACAATGCGAGCAACCCTTACGACTACAATTGGGCAGGGGAACCTCGCAACCCTGGTATGCCGATCCCTGGCGATTTTAACGGGTTTGCAGGCACGTTGTCTGTGGCCAATGTGCCCCTGAAAGACGCCTTCACCATTGGCCTGATTTGGCTGCTCGTCGCTCTTGGGGCTGTCATGGTGTTTGTCGCGCTTGTCAAGTTTGTCCTGGATGCGTTGGTTAAGCTAAAGCTGATAAAGACGGACGGATTCGACTACTTCCGCTCTCACTGGCTGGGATACATGGCTTCAGGGCTGCTCCGCACTCTCTTCATCGCATTCTTCGCCATGACGACGCTGTCCACCTATCAGTTTGCGCTTCGCGCCGCCGCGGGCCCGAGTGCCGTCGCCGCCATCGTTTTCCTCGTATTCCTGGGACTCGCGGGCATCTCAGCATATGCTTGCTTCGTTAGGCTGCGCGAAGGAAAATATGAGGTTGCCCCCGATACTCTTCGGTTGGAACAAGGCAAGCTTTTTAAGTCGATGCCATTTGTAGCAGCTACGCGCCAGAGTTCAGTTGGAGAAGAAGAGCAAGCAGTGAAGCCTCGTCTGTATGGCAGCATCCCCTTCTTCCAGATCAAGTTCATCGACAACGACCCCAATAGGCCAAGTCCGAACGAGGATCTGGGCTATATCAAGCGATTCGGTTGGTTGTCGGGTCGATACAGCCGAACGCGTTGGTGGTTCTTTGCGGCCTACCTTGGGTACCAATTTGGACGAGCATGCTTCATCGGAGGAGGTTCCCAGAACCCGCTGGCTCAGGTCTTTGGGCTCTTCGTCTTTGAGGTGTTTTCTTTGGTCGCCATCATCAAGCTCAAGCCATTTGAGGGCGCTCGCAACACCTCCATGGCAGTCTGGCTTCTATCTATCTCCAAGATCATCACAACCGGCCTCTCAATCGCTTTTCTGCCATCTTTCAACATCAGTCGCATCGCCGCAACCATCATCGGCATTATCATCCTTGTCGTTCAGGGTTTCCTCACGATCGCGGTTCTGGTCCTCATTGTTCTAGGCACGATTTCTACATGGATGTCTCTGTCTCGCAACCGAGAGGAGTTCCCAGTAGGCCTTGACGGCCTCCGCATCCGTTACTTTGAGCACATGGAGGACAGGGCGGGAATGCCCTCGTCGCAGCCGAAGCCGGTGCCACTACAAACACATGGCTCATTCAAGGTCAAGGAGGTGCGGCGTCACCCAACTCTTGATGATATGGAAGCGTTCCCTAGCTTGGAAGGCTCCGAGGGGGATGCGGTTACATTCCCGAAGCTTGCAGTCAACCCGCGAAGCCGAGCCAATAGTGCTGGCTCCAGATACTCAGTGGCCAGCCTTCCTCGCACTGGTCGCGTCCATCGAGCTTCATGGAGCTCCAAGGACCTGGCAGAATGGGATGCCGATATGAACCGAGGCGACACTGCGCGGTTGAGCAGGGTGCGTAGTAGCTCCCTTCGCGTGCAATCGATGAACATGCAGGGAATGCGACCGATGACACCGACAAGGGAGTCGGCTGAATTCTCCCGGAGGAGCACCAACCCGTCGAGGCCAGAAGAGGATGGGACAATTGCGGAAGACAAGATCCAAGAGGCGCGCGAAACCCCCAGAAGAAGGAGGACTGTCAGCTTCGCAGACCATCGTCAGACGACGTGGTCTGACTCCAATACAAGCGAGGACAGCACCAAGGTTGGAGAGTCTAGCTCTGACCAGACGGACGACAGTAAACCTAAAGCCGAGGAAACTGTTCAGGGGAGGGTATCGCCCAAACTGAACTCGGAAGAGACTATCCATGAAAAAGACGAAGAACACGAAACGAAGGCCGACAACTCAACTCAAGAGAAGACCGAAGAGTCAACGACCAAGCCTGAGCAATAGCCACACTGCCCGCAACTCATCAATTCACACATTCCCTACCATGCACACATCTATCACTCACCCCTACGATTCCCCCTTGCCCAGCTTCTCCAATGTCGAACGTTATCTATAGTGCTGCACAGGCAACGGGCGGCATGAGCATTCTGGCTTCTTGCTTTATATTGCATAGCATTTGGTTTTCTGGTCATTGTGTTTCCCGAACATTTCGAACATGGCTCAGCGCGCGCATCGTTCAACTTTTCGGCTTTGAACATTTACAAATTTGTAACTCGACATCATGTTTCTGCCTCTCTGGCTGGTTCGACGGCGGCAGAGGGGTGGCTTCTTCTTCCCTTCTAGGCATATTAAGATGATATGAACGACACTGGACAGACTAGGGGATACCCGGCTCACATGGGACAGCTAGCCTGCCAGGAATTTAGAAATTGGAGACCACTTAGATACGTACATACATACATACATACACGCATATACATGTGTAGTCGTCGCGCAAGTTTGCTCGTCAAATTTATAGAAGGGAAGGTTCCCATATTCCTCCCTCAGAAAACCATGACCGTTGTATGTGAGAACCCGACCTAGAAACGCGTACCAGTGGTTGAGCATATACCCTGTAGACAGAATAAAGTCCATCGATAATGGAATGGCAAAACACGCTGGCATCCGCCTAAAAACAGTACCGTCATCGCCGACATGAACTTACACAATGCCCAATATTTTGCAATCCCGAAGTTACTTCCCTCAATGACCATGCTAGACCGAGGGCCTGGCAGTTTTGGACATGGGAATGCACTGACGGATCCACCAACTCCTTGCGGACCTTGACGAGGAACAGCTCGATAGCCTCCGGGTTCTCCTCGAGCCCGCGTGTTAGTGGGCCCAGGGGGATGGCCTGTAGGCCGATGGCCTTCGGGTCTGGGTCGAGGGGCCAGGTGCCGACGGGCACACAGCGGACGGTGCGGACGAGGTTGGTGGGTACGTGTAGTTCGATGCCGAATGCGGCGAGACCAACGCCATGTTGGCGGCGATCATGACAGCCGGGGCGTGGTCCGACGGCATGGTGTCATCCTCGCAGGCAAAGGCCCATCGGAAATCTTGGATCTCGATCCAAGCACCTAGCTCAAAGGCTCTAATGTTTGTCGGTACCCAAGCAGGCTGGATGGGGCTCAAGTCAGCCCAATAACCTCAGCCCCGGGGTATGCATCGCGCACTCCAAAGCGGCAAGATCGGCCAGGGCGTCCATCCATGTTTCTGACCGGGCCTGAGGCCGGACATGGCTCGACACGGCTCGACACAGCCTGACATGGAGAGCCATGTCTCTCTCGCTTCATTGGTCGGGCCGACGCACCATCAGTTGCCCAGCTTTCCTTGCCGGTCCATGATTCAAGATAGACTGCGGGCGGTCCGAGAGCGACAGGTGTAGCTTGCTCTCGAGGAGGTGAACAGCAACGACGTGTTTCATCGTTAGGCTCCTGCTCGGGCTCGTCATTGAGGAAACTAGTAGCGACCCTCCTAGGGCGTTTTCAAGCGATCGAGCGAATAATCACGGAGAGCTGGACGCAGGGGAGGCAGAGGCATGAGGCAAGGCATCGGTGTCGTAGCCAGAGCCGTTGTCGTCGTCGTCATCGCACTGATGGGCGTCGAGGCTGCAGGCGGCGGTGTCTGCCTCGATTGGAGGAGGGCCGCTCACCGGTGCGCCCGGTGGCGGAGAGGCTTTAGGAGACATGACAACGACAACGGGGAGGAGGACGAAGAGGCCGAGACATGGCTGAGAATTGAGAAAAGAAGGGAAAACACAGACCGGGAGAAATGTGTACATGCGAAGCTGGAGTGGAGGGGCAGAAAGCAAGTAAGTGGGAACCCTGAATGTTGAAGGTGGATCAGTGGGCCGCGGAGGTCGGAATGGTGGAGCCATGGGATGCCAGGGACGACAGATAGCCTACTGAGATAGGCGGTGTGTGGGGGGAGTGCTAGGGGAGTGAGTGCTAGAGAGCCCTGGAGAGAGCCCTAAAAGAGGGGAGGAGGAGAGGGGAAACGGGGGAACGAGGGGGGCAACGATGGGGGAAACGCCCCATAAGGCCCCTGGCGATTGGTGCTGCTGCGAGGGCGCTGTGCCGTCTGGGCAGTGCCAAGAAGCCCGCTACGACGTCGGATTTAGTGCACGGGAGCTAAACCCTAGGATCATGAGCCTGCCGGGATAGTGCTCTGTAGGAGCATCCCTGGATGGCGCAGGTGATTGATGTGCTGACATGGCTGGCGACGGGGCGGGGACGCTGCGACGGCGTGATAGGACGTCCTAATAGCTGGTGTGATAGGCCGCCCATAGACCGGCAGATAGGCCATGGAACATGGAACATGGTGCACGCAGATGACAAGGCCCCCTCCTACCGGGTCCAGTCAGGTCGGCTGAGTCTAGATCGAACCGCCGAGGAGTGAACCCCCATAGATGGAGTGGCCCACAGATGGAGTGGGCGTGGACGACGAGAACATGGACGGGACATGGAGACAAGAGAGATACTTGGGCGTAGGCACTGCCGCGGAGATGAGAGGGGAGGATGTCTTAGCCTCGTCCCATCTTGGCGCGCATGTATAGTGCAGACAAAAGGAACTCCCGGACCACTCTAGACGTCCGCGCCCATGTATGTGATGGACGTTGGGCTTGGAGTGAGCATCGAGCCATGCACCAAGTGGGCAGAACCCAACAACTTCCATTGGTCGCCTGTTTTGAGGTGCATGACATGAATAGACAACTTGTGAATCTCTCTGGTCTCAGCCACAACTCCTGATTGGCCCCTGGCTTAGGTGCCCGGAGCAAAAGTCGAGATTTTTTAAGCCGGTGCGTTCTTACTCGCCGGACGTCAATCCAACAAGTTGCAGTCTAGTGTTGTCTAGGTACGCAGCTTAGCCATTTCATGTAGTAATCGGGCTTGCCATTAATACGGGAGACGTCCTGTTTGGATAGTCCAACAACCACTCATTCACTCACTCACTCACTCATTCTTTCATTCTTTCTCTCTTTCACTTACCTTCGTACATACCTCATACTTCACTTACCCTGTACACTTACCCTATACACCCTCACTCACTCACTCACTTACCCATCCCCTCCAACACTCACTCTACACTTCCCCCAGGAACTTTGAACCTATCCTTAGTTTCCATGAATTCAACTTCCATCAATTCAACTTCCCTCAACACTCACCTTTCACACTCACCCTTCAACTGCCCCCCCAGCATCCTTCAACTTCCCTCCCACTCAGCCTTCAACTGCACCCCCAGCAAACCTCGACATGTCTTCTTCCAACGTGGACGGGATCAACACGTCTACTTCCAACACGTCTTCTCCCATCATGGACGGGACCGCCTTCACCTTTCGCGTCCGCCCCCCGGAAACCGTCGCCCCGTCTTCTTACAACGTGGCCGGGCCCTCCAGCCCCGTCCAAGAAGACGAAACCACGGTGAAGACAGAAGTCTACCCCCATCTTCACCTCGGGCATTGCTGCGCCCTCTGCGCCCAAATGTTCCAACGTGTGGGCCAGGTGGTCGTTGTCGGTAAGTCGCATCTGCTTCCTAAACACCCAACCAAGTACATGTTCTAACGTCGCCATCTATCGCAGTACGCCAAACCATGGAGTTCCTCGACCGGAGTGCCCTGCTGCAAAACCTGGTCGCGCACCCTGGCCCTCCAGAGAAGAGCAATGATAACCACTACAAGATGGATACGCCTTCTCCTGGCATCACCGACAATCTGCTTGAACCTCGGGTCCCTGTTCACCTCGACGGCTCAGCGAATGACACACCCCAGCGACCTCTCGCTCCTACTCCTGTCAACTGCCACACTGGGCTCTGGGGCCAGGTATTTCTCAAGTGCACCGATCAGTCTTGCCCCGAACGCCACACCTGGCCAGCGTATGCCGTGGCACATCGTGAATGCATCAGTGGCTTGGAATTGATCGACAGTCACCCCAGGATGCGCCAGGGCTTATGGCAGCTGCTCACCTGGTCACCCCCCTGGAGAGATGCGCCGATGCAATTCTTCAGAACCGAGTCCCGACTCAGCCCAGTGTTGGCGAATATCGGGTGCGAGGACATGCCGCACGACTTTCCCATTCCAACCCGTACCCAGCCGGAAGCCAAACAGTCCGAAGAGATGATTCATTGGACCTCGGCCAGACAGTTGGACTTGTACACCTGTCTGCCCCAGATGCGCTCTAGGCCTCTTGTATCCATCTCCCTCGCCCAACTTCCAGACTGGAGACGCGGACAGGGTCACCCTTCGCCTCATCGGCTCCCGTACGGAGATGAACCACAATCCGCCGACGAGGTTGCCCTCCCTCCTTTTATCCGCATCACCATTGACGCATATGGCATATGCCAAATCCAAAGGATCGCCAAGTCCAACCGAAAAGACTGCTTGACGGCGAAAAGGACTGACAACAAAGCCTTCATCGTAATCGAAGCGGCCGTGTATGCTAAGCAGGTGGAAATGCAGTTCATGGTGAGTCCCCTACTCCCTCGGCGTCGATGATAGTGTTGATCGTCTCTAGAATGACCTTGCGCGCATGGAAACTATCGATGGCAGCCCTAGGTTTCAGACTTGGGATACTCCTACGCCTCCATTTACATTCGACGGAACCCGGTTCATCTATCCCGGCTGCACCACCTTTGAGAATGACACTGACCCGAGATGCCGCTTCTTCTCAATCAAATTCAAAGATACAGTTGGAATCACATTTGTGTACCATCCGTCCATGGGCTTGGTGGACATCCAGCAGCACAGAAAGGACGGCCCGGGCTCTTACGTCCAGCCACTCCTTGATTATCCGGCGGATTCGTTGGTCTGCGTGTATCTGCCTACCGATACAGACTCAGATGTTTCTTATCTGACTATTCAGGTGGGGGATGCACGTGGTACTCTCGGATGCCCCAGGTTTTTGGTGAGTACCATCTTTAATCAGAAGGCCCCTGTGCGAATGACACGATTCCCTAACAAGGCAACAGATCGAGATGAAGGGTGCTGGCACAGTCAATATAGGGAGCAGATGCGACACGAGGCGCGTGTATGAACTGGAGCCCAACCCAAAGCAATTGTTCTTCAACAGGAGGGAAAGAGGAACAGTCAACTTCATCGGCACTTACTGGAACGATGTATCACACTGCGACGGTAGCTCTTGACGACGTGACTCAAGCCCCTCCTTTCTTCTCCCTTGCTCCCTTCTACCTTGCCAGGGAGTTCGATGTATATCGCTACAGCAATGGCACTCTTCGATGCCTTGTCGTGACTTACAACAACGGGGCTAGACGAATGCTAGGGGACTATCGAGTTGGGCAGATGCCCGAGCCCGAGACCTTCGAGGATCCCAAGATGCTCTGCTTCAATGGAGAACACGGTCCTGCGGGGGGGGAACCCCTCCGCTCAGGGATGCTCTTGAGTTTCGGCACCTTGCACCTCACTTTTCACAAAAACGCTCAGAACTGGAAGTGCTATCCCATAGACGATTTCCATGTACTCGAGCTTTGCTTCACAGCACGCCCAGCACACCGGCTGAATATCCGGAAACGGCTTCCGACCGATGAGTGACCGACGGACGAGGTGCCGCCGTACTTTCGCTTTTCACACCACATTGAGTGTGAATACATTGCCGACCTCTGCCAAGTGGCTGTGCGAGGATCTCGGCTGCGAGGTGATGGCGTCGGTAGAGTTTGATGAACGATTCACCTGTATAGGATAGATGGAGAGGCAAGTCTACAAGGACACGGTTTCATTTGCCGGAGCATGAGTATTTGTTGGAGGTCTGATTGGGATTTGGCCGAAATGGAAAAGGTACCGAGTCATCATGGGCATGGTTTCATTTGTTTGGTCACGAGTATCTTGCCATGGGGCGGATTGACGCCCGAAAGGTAAGAAGGGAAAATGATTGAGTCACGAAGGAAATGATTTCTTATTTCTGAGTTTGCTTGTTACCGGGTTGATGGATGCTTCATATAAATTGAACCAGAAGTCATCCATCCAGGAAGGAAATGGTTTCTCATGTCTGAGTTTGGGCGGCATCTTGTTACAGGGCTGATGGATGCTTCATCTAAATTGACCCAGAAGTCATCCATCTACGAAGGGATCTAGTCGCATGGCCAACTCGGCGTCGTTCGTTTATTAGATAGATAAAAAAACCCGTCACTCGTTTAAACAATTTCGCACTCGATCTTGTGATTCTCCGACCGACTTGGGCACAGCCGGGAAAACAATGCCACTTCGTCCAAGCTGGCGATGCACTTGGTCCAGCTTCTTCTCCGGTCGGCCCACGGAAATGTCGCGGGAAGCACTGGGACTCGCTAAGTTAAGCTAGCTGCGCGGTTTCTTTTTCGGTCGGTGTGCAGGCATGCCGGCGAGTAGCGGAGTTCACTCTAAGCCAGCTACGTGATTGATACACACTCTGTTCTCTCGTGACTACAGACATGGCGAAGCAAAGCCATGTCCTCTCAGTCGGCGACGCCCTTGATCCAGCTTCTCCTCCAGTCGACGTACAGACGCACCGAGAAACAGAAACGTGCATCATCAGCTAGCTACATGATGATCCAGTTTATTCGCCAGTGACGTGCAGGTCTTCGTCGGTCGACGTACAGACATGTCAGAAAGTAGCGGCATTCAATCTAAGCTAGGCGCGCTATTGATTTTGCTTCTTCTGTAGCCGAAAGGCAAACTAATGAGAAGGGGGAGATGCATCGCCCATCGGAAGACTGCGGTGCAATGTATTCCGCGTCTTCGCTGACCGACAGGCTAGCGATGGGGAGACACACCACTCCTTGAGAGACTCCGAGGCAATACATTCTGCTTTTGCTTCAGCCGACAGGAAAATGAGCGGGCAATTACATCATACGAAACGCATTCTAAGACACTGATGCGCCTGGTTCTGTTTCCTCTCCAGCCGACGGGCAACTGAGCAGGCAGACGCATCCTACGTTCTAGGCCTCCAAGGCCTCCCATGCAATTGATTCCGCTTCCTCTCTGACCGACACAGCCTCCACAACCTCCGCAAAGTCAATCATGCATTGCATAATGTTTGCTTGCCAGGCGACATGCAGAAAGAAGAAACCGGCCAGTCCGTGCCATTCCACGTCGACCATGCACCTGGACACATTTGCGACCGGCGTGTAGACAAACGGTAAAGCGGTGACGGTTCATCCTGAGCTACTGGCTGTGCAATCGATTCCCTTTCCCCTCCCGCTTGCATAAAGCGCGTCCTGTCTGGATTGACCGACATGCAACCCACATGTAGTGGATCTAGACCGAATCTCAACATGCAAGCATATCCCTTCGTAGCGATGGAGACGCTCTCCAGCCCACCACCCATCAATCTTGTTGAGTGTGGTTTGCATGTCTGCCACGAGGCATACCGGTAGTTCTCAATCCAGGGAGCTGCATATGCCATGCCTGCCGTGGATCCGCTTTCCGCACTATCACTATCCATCTCCGCATAGTACCCGTCGATAGTCATCTGTACCTCGACACAAATGCCCACCGACTCTCCTCTCAACTCTGAGACTGTTTGCTCCATGCAGTTGTGCCGAAGGGCGGAAAACTCTATGGCCATCATCTCCAATAGAGGCTCCTCGTTCGCCCACCCGGGCGCAAACTACATTTCAGCTGGCAATGGGCATCCAGTAAGACCTCGACAGATTAAGACCTCGACCGAGTCTCTTGCCGTCTTATCGGGTACGTTTGTGCCCGAAGCTGCCAATACGAAACTGGCGACGGGATGGTGCATCCACCTGAGAAGAGAGGCAGCAATAATAGAAGCGGTGGAGATTGGGAGGAGGGCGTTGTGATGAGCCCGGGTAGCGGTCAGTGCCGTGTCGCAACTTGGTGTACGTCTCCTTGCGACGGGCAGGCAACTGGACTTGCACAGGGGAGTGTGTGAGCTACGCGCGTAATCCGGTGTCGTGAAACTACAACCGAGTTATTCCTGTCGGCGTCTTTTGGTCACAGACCATGGTTTGGAGGTCTCGGGAATTACAGAGTCGGTGATCACAGCCCTCGTCCTGGATGGGGCGGTGGATCGAGAGCCTCAATCTGGAGCCGGAGCCAGGATCTTGGGAACTGGATCTTGGGTGCTCGATGCTGAGCCTCCGATCTGGACGAACCTCCTCACGGGCGGCCATCGATGTCTGGCCTGGCCATTGGTCTGGCCAGGTGGATCGGAATGGATTAGGATGGATCAGGAGGTGTACACCCTGCAGCGGCATCCAGCCTGAGGCGGGATCCAAATGGGGATGCCCCCTCTCCGAAAATCATCGGGCAGCACAGCCGTACTAGGCTCGAGTCCGAGCGGGGAATAGGTGGTGAGAACAAGCAAATTACAAACCCGTGATTGGGACCGGGAACAAAATCCTGAGACTTTTTCAACTGGTGATAGCGTCAAACGGGGGGTTGAGTCCAGCCGTGTCGCTCCCCACGTTTGGACGTTCCACCCGTGTGACTCCCCACCGCCGCCCCACTGGCTTGACAGGTTGCCTGCCCGAGAGAGACTTGGGTACAACGCGGAGGCGTGGACGGAGGCGTGGATGTACGTCGTATTGTACACAGTGCGTGGCCGCACTCGGTGGGTGACCCTGGCCGATCAAGATTGGCGTCTCATCTCCCCACGACGGCCCCGTTTGGGCGATCAGCTCGGGAGTGTGCGCCACTGACTCGTAGCATTTCCCAGATCAACCTTTAAGGTTTGCTTTCTGTGAACCGGGTTTTCGGCGCATAGGGCATGGGGGGCATAAGGAGACCAAACGAGCGAGGCCTGGAGGGGATTCGCTCAATCTCAGGCCGCGCGCACGGCCGGCTCAATCTGGTCGGTGGCAGGAGGACACCATCGTATGACTGCTGAGATTGGCCCGGGATCGAGGCGTCCAGGCCGAGTGGCTAATGGCGGGTGTCTCTCGGCCAAGATACGTACTTGGTACTTGGGAGTAGCGCGCAGAGCCTGATCCATCATGGACGGGACGGCCCATCCCCGAGCCCAAGACAAGAAGAGCATGGTGCAGAGCTTGACAAGTCGAAACTAAAAACCAACGTCCGTTGGCGGGAAAATCGACGACGTTGAAGAGTTGGTCTAGTTAGCGCTTGCAAGAGCTGGAACTGTTGGCGAGACTCGACGGCTCTGGGGAGTAACTGTGGGAAACACTGTCCAAGTCAATCGTCAATCAGCCCGAGAAAGGGTCAAGCAAGGGTCATGGCGGTACAGACCAGGCTGAGGAGGAGAGTGGTAGGACAGGCCGAGCCCCGCCCGCGCCCTGCCCAAGCCCTGTTTCTGCGGGATGCTAAGTACTTATCTCGAAGTGTGGGCTTCGGCGGGCGTCGATGTGCTCGCCCGTCGGCCAATTCTCTTCCGTCTCACTGCTGCACCCCACCGGGGGGGTTTGTTTTCGTGTCTGTCTTTACCCATCGGTCTTTTGCTGCAGGCTCGCAGGGACAAGCGTACACAGCGCTAGAGCTCGCAGCGACAGGCGGTGGGTGCACAGCGACAAACAGGCGTGGAGCGTGTGCGTATGCGTGTGCGTTTGCGTGTGCGTTTGCGTGTGAGAATCTGAGGGAGAAGTGAGTGCGAGGTGACTGTACTGCAGTGCGTGCGGAGTGCGTCAGTCACGTCACGACAGGCAGGGGGGTTTGCTGGGTGCCCTTCCCTGTTTCCTCGATTGGATCACGGCAGCAAACGGGCCAGCGCCCCACTCAGCCGTTTGCTCGAGCGAGTGGGGTACCGGCGATCGCGGGGCGGCGGGGCAGTGGGGCAGTGGGGCATCGGGGGTGCAACGTGTTAGGCCAGGGATCTCCCGATGGGACCAGGCTGTGAGGAGGCAAGCGGCACAACAACCACCAATGCAAGCCAGCTTACCAAGGTTTTGCTTCGCCCTTGAGCGGGCGACTGCCAGTCAGCCAGCAAAAGGAAAGTTGGAATCCATCTACGGTCCCGACTGCAGAGCTAGCCAAGGCATCTGTCTCGTCCCAGCACGCCGCTATCCAGACCGTCTCACGGCTCGGCCTGGTAGGCCCATGCCGACACAACGCAAAGCAGCAAACCGCATGCGAAATGGCCAGTCAGGGCTCCTCAGGCTCCAAGGCTGAAGCCCCGTCTCGCCCAGTGCCCACAGTTTACCACCGCAGAGCCTCTCAGCGTCGGCGACGCTGTCGCACATACGCACCCCTCCCAGCTGCCATTGCTTCTGAAAAGAAACACCACTGCGCCAGGGCTGATGATTGTTTGCCTGTCGCGAGCCGGAACTGGAAAACCGCACGGGAGACGGGAGACAAGATGGCTGTGCTCATGTACACATTAGTGTTTTTGGCTCGACGGCTACGGGCAAGGCGAGACCAAACGCAATGAGCCCGTTTGATGGATCCCGGGTCGAGGAGGACGTAGACAAGTAGCAGACAGAATCAAAGTCCATTTTGGCACTCGAGCCGACAAGTTAAGAACCTCTCACTTCTCCTGTTTTTCTTCCTTCTCCTCTCACGACCGTGTTCCTCACAGTGAATCACGTCACCGTCCCTCCCCCGCCTACCTTCTCTCCAGGCTCACCACCGAGCCCTTCACCTCGCACAACACCAAGCACAACATCAAGCCTCCCCCCCTCCCCGCTCTGCATTCAGAGATCCCGCACATCGCAGTAAGTCTCGTACTCACCTCCTTCCTTGGCTCGTCCTTGTCCAACTCAGCGGCTAACTTCCATCGGTCTCACAACAGTCTCGTCCCCCCTCAGCCCAACAACTCCCCGATCGTCCACGGAACCAACACTCCACCCCCCGGTGCAGCAAAGATGTCCCAACCCAGCTTCGAAAAGGGATCCCCTCCCGCGGACCCTCCCCCGAGTCCCCCCAACCTCGACGAGAGGTACCCTCCTCTCGACTCCCCTCCCTCTCTCACTCCAGACCGCGAGGAGACGGACAATCCCTCCGTCACTCTTCCTCAGCCCGGAGTTCCCGCATATGCCCCCGTTTCCCCTGTCACTCCCCCATTGCCCCCCTCGGACTACACTCCTATCGCCTTTGCCTACGTCCATCCCTCCGTCAACCCGAACTACACCACCAACACCGCAGACCCACCCCGACGGGCCCCCCGGCGCAAGCTCCCCAACGGGCCCCGCCCCGGGCCCCGCTCCGGTGTCAAACCGGTCTCGGGTTGGAAGCCGGCTTCTGGTCTGAAATCCAAACCGACGGCTGTCATCGAGTCGATGATAGCCTCCGCTTCCCAGTCTACCTCCACCACTTTTGTCAAGTCTGAGTCGGTCGACGTTGTCATGTCGGAGAAGACTCCGGAGCCAACTCCTGTTGCGGAGAAAGCTCCCATCGCAGAGCCGACTCCTATCGCACAGCCAATTCCTATCGCACCCGGGACCACCCCTGCATTCATCAAGCAGGAGTCAACCCAAGACGCCAACGAGGGCCTTCTCAATGCGACCGCCACCGAGCTGAATGTTCTCAACGGGCCGGCACCCAACTTGCAACCTGTGGCCAACCCCGAGAATTTCCCTGTCAACCACGACGAAGCAAGCTCCGTTGCCGAAAACGTCGCAGCCGCCGAAGACTTTGACTTCGACTTTGATTGCACTTGCACCGGGACCATTTGCTATGGAGAATGCCGGGAAGAGCAACAGGCTCCGGCCATGGACATCAGCAACCTCCCGGCCATGGGAGCGAACAACCTGCCGGCTACGGCAGCACACAGCCACGCCGCCATGGGTGTAAACATGGCGCCAGCCGTGGCTGTGCACAACCTCCCAGTCATGGGACTTCCCGTTGTTCCGGTCGTGGCCGTACACCAGGCTCCGGACAGAAGATACCTCCCGGGCCTGGGTATGAACGGCCCCAGAGATCAAACAGAGGAGGTCAGAGAGTACTTTGCTGCCATGTTCCTGAGAAACATTCCACGACGAACTGCAGAGTGGAACGCGGGCGTCTCTGACAACATTCAAATCGAGGCCATCCGCCAGAGCATGCTCATCCTGGAACCAGAGGACGCCGGCCGCCCCATGAACTGGGAATTCTTCTTGCAGGCCTGTATCTTCCGCTTAGGCTACCTCAGGGGTCACGACCGACACTCCACCCTTTTCTCCTTGGTCATTTTGACCATTTGCAGCATCGCTCTTGTCCACGGATGCCGCCTGAACACTGTCTTCGCTACCGTACGCGCCGTCCTGCTCCTCAGCGGTGGAGACGGCAACGACCTGACGGAGCGCCAACTTATGCGGGTTCTCCAGGGCAACGTCGCTGGCATCGCTCTCCTCGAGAGAATGAATAGCTACATCGGCGGCAAGGCTTACGAGCTCCCAATTCACGGTAAGCTTCCAGTCCCTCCACTCGGCCCATTGGACCCCCTTTGCTAACAGACTCACAATAGACAGGGACATCATCTTTATGTTTTCGACCATCAACATCGACTCGGTGGAGTTCATTCTGAGGGGATTGATTGGCGTCCCTACGCCAACTGGCCCCATGACCCGATTGAATTCATGCCATCTTCACATCCCACGTCTGGCTTACGATGTCCTCGGCCGGGAAGCGTTTGGTTGGAGGTATGCAGCTGACCCTGGTAAACGTGCAAGACCTAAAGCTAACCCAAGCCAAAGCATGGAGCACGTCCAGTCTTCACTCAGAATGGATTGGTTTGTGTTCATACAGGCCTACTTCGAGATCGGTCCGATTGTCAGCCCTTGAGAGATTCTCGCGGAACGTCGCGTGGTGAGTTTGAAGAGGAGTATGGTAGAGAGTTTCGAACCACAGGTAGTGTGCAAAATGGTCGGAAACATGGAAAATGGGCTGCAAGGATGGTTCTCGGTATCTGGTGTCTGTTTGATTGTTTGTTTTGATGTTAAGCTCCATGTCTTTCCCTTCCACTGTCATTACCGGCTCTTTTGCCTTTTCTTTCACTGATCATTTCCTTTTTACTGTCGCTACTGGAATACTTTCCTTGATCTGGTCCTGGTCTTCTTTTCTTTACTGTCGCTACCGAAACACTTTTTTTGGTTTGGTCCTGGTACCTTTTTCTTTGCTGTCAAAAGATAGCTCGATTATTAGATCTGTAACGTAGCTGTAGCTGTTAGGCACCCAATCTATTGGCATTCTCTGAACTTTGTCTCTTCTCTCCACTTGATTTTAATTAGATGCAGCCCGGCATTATGAGCTGGGACGGTTTGATTTTATCATGAAAACTTCGTACAACCAGGTGTGTTTGAAAATTTGATCAACAAGAATGGTCGAGTGCGCAATAAGCGATGTTGTTGGTTCACCGTGCCTCTGTGAGCAACGCACAGGCGTTTGTTGTGGTATCATGGGCATCCCACAAGGTGGTTTCATGGTGAACTCTTGCCTCACAGCGCCATTTATTCTAAACAACAAGCTCTTGCACTCGCCTCGACGTCATGGGCGAAACATGTCAGGAGCGTCACCCGTGGTTGCCAAACAGCGTGGCTATTGCTGGCCGTTTGGAGCAGGCGCGACAAACGGGCCAATGCCAACTGCGCGCACCATCGATTCATCGACGAGGCAGATGCCGTGAACAATCGCACAGTCCCAAACGTTGTGAATAGTGGCGTTTGCGCTCCCAGTTTCGCCGCAGCTACATAAATCCCCTGTCACAAGGCACCGAGTCCTGCTCCTCAGCATGTCCGCAACCCGAAATAGCAGCATCTCATCCGCAAGCACCCGAGACTCTGAAGAACCGCCACCTGAAGAGGACAAGATGAACAACAAGGAGGACAAGGCCGGAGACAAGATGGACGAGACCACCAAGGAGGACATCTTACGAATGACTTTGGGTCTTACAGACCAGAAGACCATCGCCCAGCTTTCCCTGGCCGGCACCATGGCCCAGCAGAAGCGGGAGGAGATGCACTACTCCCAGACCAAGAAGAAGGCCCGCCTTGAGGAGGAGACGAAGAAGAAGGCTCGCCTCGAGGAGGAGACGAAGAACAAGGCAGACGGCAATCATGACTATAAGAACAACTCCACCGACGAACCAGACAAGCACAAGCACACTGAGGATTCGGAGGATGACGATGCCAATGCGGCGCAGGACACTGGCGACGGGGACCACGATGGAGTCCAAGCCAAGCAGTAAGGCTGGGCGTCCACTGTGGACTGACCAGACTCACTGGAGCGACATCAACGCTGGAGGCAACGGGTTCGAGATGAATTAGTCTCCGCAGTGGCATGTACTGAGCACAACGGGCGAATAAGGGGTTAGTGACTCGTCGCATTACAATCCAATGATGCATATCTAAATGGCCGGACGGTCTTGATGCTCTCCTCCATCCACTGCCTGTGATGCCTGCCAAGTGCCGTTCACGATAGCGTCTTTGTCCTCTTTGATCACCCAGGCAGAACCAATGTGTCTATGTGCCGGAATGAAGGGGAATCGCAGAGTGTCCACCGCCCTCTCCACCATGATGCGTGGGAACCGCAGTGTGGCAGCCCCTCCCAAGCTAGCTGGCTGCCAAGCCCACCCAAAGACTCGCGGGCATCCGTCTCTGGCCCAAGAGACAAGAGATGAGAGAATCCCGGCGCAGACAAAATCCCCCCCTCTCTCGCAAAATCGCGGGGGGGTCGCAAACTATCCGTCAGGATCGACCAGAGCCTCACAGGTACCTCCAGACTTGGGCTCCCAACGACGCAGGCGGGCGGGCGGCAGACAGTGTGGCCGACTCACGAAATGAATGGCTGGACTAGCAGCGGGACAATGCATCGCGGAAAGAATGGCTTGACTCAAAAAGAAATTCGGCTGCGAGAAGTCATGGCTGGTCATTGCAAACGGGACTCTGCAGACGGTGGTGATTGGATGCCCGTCATATGTCGTCGGCAGATCCACGTCTGGCTGCAAGATAGTTAAGTTAGTTGCCTGCAGATGCTTGCAGGTTGCAGGTTACAGGGCCCTATCTCGCAAGTACCGCACTGTACAGGTACATGCCGACCCAGGGGACCGCACCGGGACAGGGAAAAGCAACGAGGAACCTATTAGCAAGCGGAACAAACGAAGCCGGTGACGGGTTACCTGCAGCCTAGTTAAAGGCAGAAATAGACACGGGCTGAAATAGACACAGGGAGGGAGAGAGAGAGAGACAGGCGGCCACCCGGACCGAACTGTGAGTCCCGTCGTCGGTCCCATTTCGATGCCGCCTCGTTCGTTCGCCCCCGCCCAACGCAACAACGCACAGCAACGCCACCGCAAATCGTCGATTTCCCGGTATTGGGGGGCATCCTGGGTACGCGGAGGGGGAGGGGCGTGAAGCCATGGCCGTCTCACACGCCCGTCTCCAGGGTCGAGCGAGACCGATTGTCCAGCTCCGAGCCATTTGCAACCGACCGGGGGTGGTGGAAGCGTGGGGTCGCCAGGAAGCCCGAAGCTTGGAATGGCGCCGTCGCACCGAGGTGATGTCGCCGGCATCCAGCCAGTATACGGGGCGGAAACAGAAGAGGCAACAGAGACAAGCATACACGGCAGAGACAACCAAAGCAAACCTTGGGGCGCACAGCATCCCTTCCCGCCCCTACGGCGAACCCGCCCACAGCGCCCTCACAGCCCAGTGCGGCAGCTGGCAGCAGTTACGCAGCGGGCTCGCAGCCTACCGCTCGCAGCAGGACGCCCCTAACCGGCTGCCTGTAGCTCGCACTGCACAGCCTGGAGCTCTCACCTCGCAGCTCACACCCCGCAGGCCCTAAACCGAAACGCCCCGAAGCAAAAACACAGAGGCACCACCTCCAACGCCGCGGTAGGGGCAATGTGCAGACGCCCACTTGTCCGTGTTGTCACCAGGGCTCCAGAAACTCACCGAGTTTTGCCAACTGGGCGTTCCAAGCGGGCCGCCGATGGCCGATCGATGGCTTCGCTGCCCCATGCTCTGTTACACGTACCGCTATGCTAGGCGTACGGCAACGGGCACTGTGGCTGTCTCATGACCCTGCCTCCGCACGTTGTGCAACACCAGCCCTCGATAGCTTCGTGTTGGCCGTGTCTTGTTGATGGCTCACCGTCTGTTCTAGTGCCAGGACCCAATTCCCCAGTTTCCCAATCTCCGACGCCTTGTAATATGTAAATATGTAACTCGTAACCTTCCATGCAACATCTGCATCTGCATCTGCATCTGCATCTTCAGTCTCGAGCCCTTCACCTAAGCCATCATGCCCGCGTACGCTCCCAGAGGCAACCGAGCCAACACTCAGGTGCTCCTCCTCAACCCACGCCCATACCCGTCCTCCTCGCTCGAGTACTTGATCGTCTTTCCTCCCGGATTCTTAACATCTCTCTTTCCCCAGACTCATCACTACGATCCCTTCAGCTCGGACATCTTCACCCGAGACTCGGTTCCCTTGCCTGGATCCTCCTACTTCACTCCCACTCCGTACGACCGCTCCACAGTCCACTCCTCATGGCGCTGCTCATCGTTGCACTGCTTACCACCTCTCAGGTTATCGTTCTATATTGCCCTCGCAATTCCCGGAACCATGGCTACGGGACCGAAGCACAGCGTCGTGAGCTGTCGATTAGGCTTCAACGATATTTTCCAGGCCGCTTTATGCGACGTCGTCACCATGCCTCCCGCCGAGCGCGGTAAGGCCATGGTCACCTTTGACTTGACAGCTCCATGTCAAGTTCTGAGCGAGCTCGTGACCAGAATGATGGTAAGTAACCTCTTGATTCCACCCTATCTCTTGTTGCCCATATGCTTACCCCTTATAGCCCCCGCACATTCAGAATTGGTGCACCCAGTTTGAGGCCGTCAGCCGAGATCCAGGAATGCCCCTCGGTACGGTCGAGGCCATTCGTCTTGAGCGAGGCGCCATCTTCTTGCCCAAGTATGGGTACTTGGCCGTCCTGATCCCTCTGACCAACTCCAAGTGCCAGGTCCACATGGTGGGACGCAATGGTAGCTTCGAGTCAAAGGATTTGCAAGCTGAGGATGTGGTGATGCTCGCCGATACGGCCATGCATGTCACGGGTGGAAGCCTCCGGTTTCTTTGCACCGTGTATGACCTTCTCCCGCAGGCGGAGCATCAGCCCTACAGAACTGCAGCGTAGAGGCCCAAAGATTCATGTTGCCCAGATTGGTTCAAGGTGCAAAAGGGAGGTGCAAAAAGGATGGCAAGGGTTCTAGGTTCGAAACAATCTGTTTGTAGTTCATGTATTAGCCGCCGTCGGCTGTCAACGCTCTCTAAGAAAATGGTTCTCCGATTCCCTCGTTTATGGACTGAACTCCTTCTCCAAACACTGTAGTATCGGAGTGATTAACGATCAATTCATCGCCAGAAACCCCATGTTCTGTTGCGGACCTAGTCGCCCCCTGAAGTGTGCCATTCCCACTATCGAGACATCTACCCTAAACTTCGACTTGGATGCAAAAGTTCAAATAGTTGGTGGCATCTGAGTGACGCTTGCTACCAACGAAGCTCATTCTACTTGGTCCACACGCTAGCAGAGATCTACAGCAAGGGTCCAGAGGATCATTCGCTCATGTGCTTCAAGAAAACTTGTGACGGGCGCATCTGCCCAGGTACCGATCCCAACGATCGTTTCTCTAGAAGGTAACCTATTTCTGGTATAAGAGCGTCGAGGTGTTTGCAGTCTTCCCTAACCTTCTCCCGGCCACCCGCCGTCATCGCCCACGGTGCGGCGCGTCAAGTGGATACCAGACCGGCATCCACAGCACAACCAAGAACCAAGCAACGTAAAGATTATTCATCATTAGACAATCCAAAAACTCGATGGATACCAACCGCGGAGTGAGGTGATCATTGGTAAGCCCTGACATACGCAGGCGAGTCGCTCCCGGAAGATCTGCCGGCCCACGAACCGGCGACGGTTTACCCCACACTCGGAACGTGGGGAGGGGAAAGCGGCGGGTCCCCGACACCCTGGAGCGGAGGTTCGGGTTATCCGCGAGCACACATCCGCCGAACTGGGATTCGTATATTACAAAGAGTCGCTCTCTCACTTGGTTCCAATTGATGTGCCCTCGCTGACTAGGATCTCCCTCGCCTCGTACTTCGCACCAATATCTCGGGTCGCAGGAAATCCACAGCCATGGACGCCAACGCCCCACCGCTTCTCGATCTCACCATCGACAACATCACACCCAACGCCGTGCGCATCAACTCCCAGAGCAGCGATGCGCGTCTCACGTACCTGATGGACCGGTTGACGACCCATCTGCACGACTTTGCGCGGGAGACCCGACTTAGCACCGATGAGTGGATGGCCGCGCTTCAGTTCCTGACCCAGTGTGGCAAGATTTGTAGCGACGTTAGACAGGTAAGCATTGGGTGTTGAATCTGGGGTAAATGCTAGGGTTTTATTCCACCCGCTCTCCGCCTTCCAGAATTCTCCAGAGTGGAGAACAAGTCCGCTGATATAAAGCAGGAATTCATCCTTCTCTCTGACATCCTAGGCCTATCCCTTCTCATCGACGCCATCAACCACCCCAAACCACCTTCATGCACCGAAGGCTCCGTCCTCGGACCATTCCACACACACGATGCACCCACCATCCCCAACGGCTCCTCCATGTCGACTGACCCCGAAGGAGAACCCCTCCTAGTGGTATGCTCGGTGCGAGACACCCAGGGGAATCCCATCCCCGACGTCAAGATCGACATCTGGGAGACGGACTCGACGGGACACTACGATGTGCAGCATGCGGATCGCGATGGACCGAGTGAGCGGTGCGTAATGACGAGTGACGCAAAGGGCGAGTTTTGGTTCAATGCGATCAAGCCTATTCCCTACCCAATCCCCAACGATGGACCGGTAGGGAAGCTGCTGGGCCTTCTCAAACGGCACTGCTGGAGGCCGTCGCACATGCACTTCATGTTTGAGAAGGAGGGGTGGGATCACCTCATCACGTATGTCAATCCTCCTCGCTGTCCGTTGGCCACTACTGACGCTCTTCCAGTGCGCTGTACCTGCGCGGCGACCCATACGAAACCTCCGACGCCGTGTTTGGCGTCAAGAAAAGCCTAGTCGTGGACTTGGCCAAGGTGGATGGGCCGACGGCGAAGCGGTATGGGGTCAAGGAAGGCAGTTGGTTCCTCCAGCAGGACTTTGTGCTTGCGAGCACAAAGGAAACGGATGACCTGCGAGATCGAAACGCCGTCGAAGCGTTGGCCAAGCTGGGACTGAACATGAAGCTGGTGGACCACCTCCCCGTCCCAGATTTAGATTAACTTAGTGGCCTCTCGGAGCCGACTTGAGCAGCTTGACAACGTTGGCATAATAACCCTCGACACCTCCGTACTTTTGCAAAATAGCTGGGATGTCAATCTCATTGTCCCCGTTAGTCCGCCTCCGCCCGACGAGCCCAATATTTCTCGTGCTTGGAATCCTCAGCATCTCCGTCTCGATTTCCCAGCCACAGTCCTCTGCGATCCGTGTGACCCAGTCAACGAGCGACGCAAACGTCGACTTGCCCTTGGTCTTGTCCCGAGGAGCGGGGGCGCGATACTTATCGCCGGTGAGGTTGTGGCTGCAGCAGGGTATTGAGATAAAGGGGCAGTCCGAGATGGCAGCGAGAATCGGGGTCCATGGGGTTAGTTCATCAGCGTGGTTGGAGATGATGAAGGTTCCCTTGGGGAAGATGCCATTGTGAATATCCTCCTCGTTGATCGGTTTCTCATCTTCGCTAGGTGTCCCCCTCGGAACGACGCTGGGTAAGAGAAGGAGTTTTTGGAGGGAATCCGTAGAGGGGGAGGAGGAAGATGAGGACTTGTACTGGGCCCACGACTTGCGTGCCCGAGCATCAAACCCCCAACCGGCATAACCTTCCAACTGCAGGACATGGACTAACAACCCGTTTCCGCAACCGATATCAACGAAGCCAGGGAACTCGGCGTCCTTGTACATGTCTGCCCATAGTTCTATGAGGAAGGCAGCGATACCCAGGTCTTCAAATACGTGTTTGGACGGATCGGTGGTCTCGGCCCAGGACTCAACAAGCGTCCTCGCATACTTGTTCTTGAGATCGGAATATCGGTTCTGGAATCTCTGCTGGGGTACGATGACGTCGTGGTTGACCCTCTTGACATAGCCAGCGGCAGTGGTTTGGCCGTGCTTGTGCAAGATCTGGAGCAGGTGATAGGCAATCCTCCCCAGCTTGACCTTGTCAACCTCGTCATCCTGGAACATTAGAAAATGAACCGAGATGGTGCCCTGGTTTGCAGCCGGATCCCATTCGTGCAGCTGGGCTATTCCCCTGACTTTGGGGTGGTAAAAGGGGAGGTCGGCGGCGGCATCGGCATGGGGAGTGTAAATGACGAGGGTTTTCGTCACGGCCGCTTCGCCTTCAGCGGGGCGAGATGAGGTGTAAAAGGAACATGTCTGGTCCAGGGGTGCATCGCGCATGGTGTTGCGAGGAATCAACTTGCGCACCATGGTCCGTTGGCGGGTGAAGTCACGGATATTCCGCGTCTGGGGAAGCTGGGAGGGAGACGACGCCTGGGCATCCTTGACATCCTGGGGATTCTGGGCATCAGACTCATCTTGACGGTCGTCATATAGAATATCCGCACGGAACAGCCACTTGGAGTTGAGGTTGGGATTGTTGACCAGGTTCACCATGACCTTCTCGAAGTGGTGGGGTTCAAAGGTACAAGCGTGGCGGTTCATCGGCGTCCAGGCATTGCCGTCCAGATCGTCAAAGGCGGCCGGGGAACCCAGAGGAAGCTCCTCGGGGTCGTACACCAATTTCGCCTCGGCCTCCATTGATTCGGCGAGCGCAGCGACTGAGGCGTCGGGCGGACAGACCGGGTCGGCGTGGAAGCGTGGGCTCACCAATGAGACAAGACAGGGAGGTGGTGATTTATTGGAGGCACGGAATCTGGTACCGAGCGCACGAACGTGAGGTTTGCAAGTACGGAGTAGATAGATAGGTACCCAATCCGACCAGCCCAGCAAATGCCCGAGGAAAATTCAGACACCAGCCCTGTTGCAGCGTAAAAAGGCAACTGGAACCTCCAAATCACGCAACGAATCAAGGGCGAGCGGCGTGGCCTCCACAGCCCCGAGAGCGCTGAGTCTCAAGAGTCACAGCGCATGCTAGGTGATTTTAGTGAGAGCCCTGGCTTCGCGGCGACCGGTCCAACTCAGTTTTGGTGAAAGCCAGCCCCAAAAAGTGGAATGTTTGGTGGGATGGATCATGGATGGAACCCTGCCGGGGCGCGATCCGGGCAAGCCACTAGACAGGCACGACGTATCACAGCGACGAGATAGACCGGGATGAGCAGCAATGACGAAATTGAGCACCACCAAACGATACCCAAACGATACTGCCGAGATTCCTGGAGCCAGTGCCAGCAGAGACGAGGCAGTAGGAGATGAGCCAGGCGGTGGATGAGTCGCAGGCGAAGTCAAAAGACTGGCCTCTGACGGCAAAGGGCGATGAATCAACAGGGTGGCGAGTTTCCAAATGGTACTCTCTGGTTGGTATGGAAATGCCACAACAGCGGGTTCGCCGATGACTGATGACTGTCTTTGACAAGTTTCAACGGTCTGGCCACTGCCATTCGTGCCAGCAGCCATGCCAGCCATGCGCAGCCATGCCACTACCGTCGGCACAGGTACAGCCCTGTACGTCACGCGGCCCCGCGACGCAGACACACGATGGGTGACTCGCAGCACATGCTTGAATGCTCTGAATGCGGGCATTTCTTTGTACATATTTGGTCAGCCCGAGAGTGGGGCCAGGTCAGTTGGGAGGAAGCTTGGCTTAATGCTGCGTAATTGACCACAGCCAGGACGCTTTTTGAGAGGCAATACATACCGAACCTGGGGAGAGTTCCACATCCGGGATCGACCCGGATTGCCAGTCGAGCTGGGCGTTGTCTTACAACAGGGCTTCAGCTGTCGAGAGCGCCCGGGGCTGTGCCTACCGCCTACTGAGACAATCTCGCCAGGCAGGGGGATGCCTCGTTCGCTTGCCTCGTATTAGGGAGCTGGAGATATTTTGGGCAGCAAAACAAAGATTGACGCTGTCGTGGTTGGACTTGGACGATGGATGGGTTGACCGGCGGACAGGAGAACCAATATCCGCGGCCAAAGCCTCGAATCTGGCACGGAGTACTGGGTCCGGAAGTAGCACGGACGGAGCCGGGTTGGAACTGGCAAACTGGGTGGCTGGCCCGAGATGGGAAACCGCCATTGCCACGGGGGGGGCGGTGTGACTGGGAAGGCTGCATTCGAAATGCGAAAGTGGTGAGTGTGTGTATGTGTGTGTGTGTGTGTGTGAATTGCCGCGTGAATTACGGAGTATTATGTGTGCCCACTTCCCAAGTACCGTGGCCGTAAAGTGCTGTACAAGCAGACGGGAGTCATTTTAGCGGCTATTCAGCTCTGTTGGTTGCCCGCCCATCCACTGTGGAGGTGGTGGACAGTGGTGGACAGTGGTGGACGGCGGCCGAAGCACACAGCCAGGGGCGCAGGCAGCCTGACATGTAAGGCAACACGTAAGGCAACCGCCATCCCATCCCTTGCTCCCTCCCGCCCGCGCACCACGCACCGCCCACACGCTGCCCCTCCTCTTAACTCCTTCTCCCTCCTCTTCCCTTCGCTCCTCAACCCGTCGGAAAGTCAAGACAAGTCCTCACCCTTGGCCTCATCCACCGCGCATCCCAGCTCCGTCGCAAACCATCCCCCCAAACCACCTCGTCGCTCAGCTCTCGTCTCGCCGCAAAGCCCGTTGCTCGTCGCTATCCAAACCGCTTCCTTCTTCGCTCCGTCGCACAAACACCCGCACTCTCGTCCAACTCCACCCACAGCGAGGCGCTTTCCCAGCCAGCGGTCGCTGAAAACATCCTCCACTTTTACAAAACCCATTTCCCAAGGTCACCCCAGTACCTCCGAGTTTATGTCCATCGAAAATCTCAAGTCCTACGGTATGTGAATGTCCCGCTCCTCTCTGCCTTTGATGAATCCCATCCCGTCGTCCCCTATCTTCTTTGCGCCCCTGTCCGATTCTCCTCCACCGCCGCCAACCTCTCCCAACCTCTCTCCCCAGCCGCCCTGTCACTCATCCGCGTCACTCGCGTCACGCACGCACACACGCACGCCCTCACTCCGCTACGTTGCCTCACCTTGCCCTGGTCAAGCCTTGTCTGGCCTCGCCCTGGCAGCAGCAATCGGAATTCGGTGTGCCTTATCGCGTACCTGCATTTGCTGCCAAGCCACATCATCGCGACCCCGCGCCAGTCTACATCCCACCTCCCCTCCCTCCCCTCATGGACCCTGACATGGAACCGAATTGAGACTGACTTTGCCGATCTATAGACCCCTTCGCCGAAGCCGACGAAGACACCGGAGAAACCAAGCAGACGCAGAATTATATCCATATACGCATTCAACGTACGTCACCATTCCCTGCTGTCGCATTGCGTCTCCCCTCGCCCGAAGCAACTCGTGAACCCCCTCACGTGAGCTCTTGCTTCAGGTCATGAGATCGACGCCACGCAACTGCGCCCTTTTGTACCCACTGCTAACATGCATTCACAGAGCGTAATGGACGTAAGACTCTGACCACTGTCCAGGGTCTCCCAAAGAAATTTGACCAGAAGAAGATTCTCAAGGTCATCAAGAAGAAGTTCGGTAAGTCATCTTCCACTCTCCCCGCTCCACAAAACGGCGCTAATCGTTACACCACAGCTTGCAATGGCACCATCGTCAACGACACCGAGATGGGCGAGGTGATCCAGCTCCAGGGTGATCAGCGCAAAGATGTCCAGGAATTTCTCATCGACAAGAAGGAAGGCCTCGAGCTAGATGCCAAGACCATCAAGGTCCACGGTTTCTAAAGCTCCGCATGCCCCGTCGTCCTGTCAACATCAGCCGTTCCCGGGCTCGTTGGCGTGAATAGGACTTTGGGACGCATAGCCTCAGGCTTGTGCCTTCTCCGGACGTGTCCACGCGGACACCCCGAGGCTCGGCGCCGATTACCCTAGGACGGCGGGCATCCGCCAGTGGGAGCAGTCCCTTGGTGGCTTTTTTTGAGATGGTATCCTTTTGCACCCGCTCAAGGGCCATGGACGAGAGCATCCGCCGCGATGGCCCCCGTGCAGAAGGCTAGATAGACTACGGGCAAAGGCATCATCGCAGTACGGCTTGTCAGTCATTCGTTTTAGTACATTATCGGGCAAGCCCAGCAGTAGTCAGGAATATACCATGTCGATTCCGAAACCATAATTTGAATGTGACTTAAATGACAGAAACGTAGACAAAATCAGTGTAAACCAGGCCCACGACAGTGGAGTGGCTTGCCCGCATACTCGTGGTGGGGTCCAGTCAGTCCCACGTCAGGCTCATTCGCACACATCCATCCATTGCTCACCCACCGGGGATGGATGTGGTACACTGATATATATCTATATATCCACGCTTAGGCAAATGCCAGCCGGCGGGCGAGATCATCATGCACGGCACAAAGTCTGGTGACGGAGGGCTGGTAGACAAGTTTACCTGGGATTTTCGGAGCAGGGGTGCCGGGTGAGTGCGCCCTTCTCGACGGGCATCCTTTGTGTCTTCGCACTCTTGCACTCCCTCGAGCGTGCGACGAGACGCAGGACTTTATGAGGCGCAAGTCTTTCTGGATGTTTCTAGATTGACTCACCTTTCTGGAATGCCGGCTACCTGATCGAAGGCCGGTTAACGTAGTATCTGATCTACCCTTCTATATCCAAAGAGCCTCGTGTCCCATCCGTGCCCATTGCAATGCACAATGTCTGAGTGATCAAGCAGAACTCCGCCCTCCCAGTTGTCCGCCTTGGTGGCCGGGACGTGGGCGAATCCGACACGCCACAAAAAATCCAGCACCGCCTGCGCAGCGTCCGGGTCGTTCGGACCCGTCTGGACAAACTCGTAGACGACAGCGGTGTAGGTAGCGTGTTTGTCAATGAAGCGTTTGACCCTGGCCACCTCGATGGGCGGCGGGAGCAGCGAAGTAATGGGGAGGTTTGGGAGCTCGGGCATCCCAGAACTGGAGAAGGAGAGTTATTGGCGAGAAAGAACAAACACGACGTAGGAAGCAGACGCACCAATTTCAAGACGAAAGCGGGACCGCCCTTTCCAAAGCGGATCTTCCAGTTGTACCCGTCAAGTCCACCGTCAAGCTCAGCGGTGCTGCGGAAATGTTTGTGATTCGAGTTGACGCGCCCGATAAAGGTGGCAGAGCTTAGATCATAAGGGCATCGTCGGAGGTGCGGCCGCTGGAAATGCAAAAGAGAACGTCCCGGAGAAGCGCCGTCCATGAGGTTGTTGTCGAGGAACGTCTCCCTCATCAGAGCGCGCGCCCTCTGCCTAGCAATGATCCTGGGGTGGGGACGCGGGCGGCGGCCGGATTTCTTGGAGCCATGACTGGACTCTTTGGGCTTCGGCATGGTCTTCAAGAAGCGATGGGAATGGATGATGCATCGGGTCTGCTGCGCGCAATGGAACTGGTTGTGAGCAGCGCTTGAGCGTGGAGCAGGGTGGGTGATATCATTCACGGGCTGCGTTTGTTGCTCTTTTTGTCCCGACACCAGGCCGTTCTCCTTGGAGTTTTGGCGGCTTGAACAGGCTTGGCTGTGGGCTGGCTTACTGGAGCTTACGTTGTACGCCTGCAGGCCGGAAGAGGGAGGAAGTATAAAATTTAAAAAGAAAATAGGCGGCCTGGTCCCTCATTAAATATTACTTCAGGCTAACTTCTGGTGTTCAAAGCTCCTCTTGCGTCGTGTCGCCGTCGCCTTCGACTTTATCGACTTTGTCTCACGGCCTGTCCCTCCCACTAGGTCCTCAATCTTCACCACTCCAGTATGGCGACTCAGCCTTTTAATAAAATAGACGACATCTCAGCTGTGATGGTGTGGCTTGCTTCCGTACTGATCCTCACCAGTCTGTGCAGCAGCGAATGGCCCTTGATCCATCGAGACTTCCCCTCCCGGTCACTTGCACTCGTTGATGTCCTCGTGATGCAATCGCCAACCCACGGCTGCATTTCCATGATCCGCAGAAATGGAGGGCAAGTGATCGTCGAGGGAGGAAGGCGCAATAACCCGCGAGGCATACAAAGCCCAGTAAGAGGGAACCGTTAAGCCGCTCGGAGAGTGCCTTGCCGACGACTTTGCTGGGGTCACAGGGGTTCTTTATAAAGCGAGCGTGATGCGGGAGGGTGGCAGGACGATGGCATGAGCTGGTTGCGATCGAAAGTTGAGCAGGATGCCACAAGAAAATTGCCAGGTTTTTTCCTCGAGTCGTGTATTGAGGGCCTACTTCTCGCCCTTCCACTGTCTTCCCATTCTGAATTCCTCCGAGGCTTCCCCTTCTCTTTCATGGTACTCATCTGCACAGATGGGGGCGGAAGGGAGCGGAAGAGAGCACTTGTCAACCACCAACACCGGCTGACCGTCGACACACATGGAGATTAATGCGAAATGATCGCATGGAAATGGTCGTATAAAGGCAGACCAGACCTGATAGATGTGCAATTGCTAAAAATGGGAAATGGAGGTCGAAACGAGATAAGGACATGAAACGGCGAAGGGATAACGCTAAGCATCTTTCGGCCACCCAAGACGACTCCCAGAAAGCCAGAGTGCGTCGGTACTGAGGCACCGAGCAAAGTATACGTATCTTTCACAGGTCTTCGTGTTCGGGGCCACCCCTGACTTGGGCAACAACACGCGACGCCTCGTCCCACGCACGCCGGCTCGACGTGATTAGGGGTATCTGGGGGTATTCAGGGACGTGGGCGTGCATGTGGGCCAGCAGCGCGACCATGCTGATGAAGCTGGCGATGGAGAAGACGTTGATGGAGGTGGACGTTTCTTTGCGGATGTTGATTTTTTGGTGGACGATGTGGTAGAACACTGTCAGAGTCTGTCAAGTGGCCGTTAATATTTCGTGTGTTCGTCACGGTGGGGGCAACAAGGCAAGTAGAACGTACGGTAGCGATACCGATCCAGCCAGGGAGGAGGAGGCGTGGATCTTGAAAGCCGCCGGCGAGGTAGAGGACGTTGGAGGTTATGTAGGCGTTGACGGCGTTGATGGTGAGAAGGCGGACCATGGTGGCCTGGGGGGTGTAGTTGATGAGCCTGTGGGAGAACAAGTCAGTCCATCTAGTCGGCTTACAGAGTGAGTACGGTGAGGACTTACCATCGGGACATCAAGCAATCCGTAAAGAAGAACGACAGGTACCCAGAGGCAAAGCACTATATCCCCAAGCATCAGCACTCAGTTTCCCCTCCTTCAGGCTCGAGCTTCCCCGCGCGAGGCTGGTATACGTACCCATATGGTTGCCAAACTGGTCTCGGTCAGCGCATAGCGGGCATCCGCGTCGATGCTCAGCGCGGCCTGGCCAGCGCCGACGACAATAACGAGCTCCGGGCCGGGCAGCACGCGGAGCAGCAGCTGGAGGGCCGAGGGCAGCCCCCACCACAGGGCGGGCAGGATGGAGACGAGGCGGAGGGCGAAGAGCCACGGGTGCCACGGCGGGGGCACCTTGAGGACGACGGCGACGCGGGGCTGGAGGAGGGACGGGTGCACGGCGTGTTCGGAGGCCGAGGCGGAAGCTGTCGCGGCGGCCAGGGCGGCCGAGGCCGTGTGAGCCGTGTGAGCATGCGGGTGCGAGGCATGCGGGTGCGAAGCAAGCTGCGGTGGAGGAAGATGGCCGGTGGACGAGCCCCGTCGAAGAGGGGAGGGAGTGGCCATCTCTCGCGCAGGTCAGGCCATCGGGTGTGGGCGAAAGGAGGAAGAGAGTTGGAGGCCCAAGAAGATTTCCCAAGAAAAAAGGGAAAAATAGGAGGCGAGAAAAAAGAAAGAGGCCGGCCAAGCGAAGAAGGAGATCATGGGATTCGTGATGGCGTCAAAGGAGGAGAGGAGCTGCGAGCAGGGGGGGGGGGGGGGGGGGCCTTTCGCAGCAGCAGCAGGCACAGCGCACCGCGGTGGGAACTGCCGAATGTGGCTAGGGCCATTGTGGCTGGGGGTGGAGGTGTGGTTCCTGGGTTAGGGGAGGGGATTTCAGCCCATCGAGGCGTGAACGGCGGCCCGTAACGTATTGGGAATGTGGGAATGTGGACCGCCATGGCCGAGTTGTTCGAGGGCGGATGAGGGAAGTTGAAGGACGAGGTTCTTATCGATTTGTTCCTCCGTCCGTTGTATCAGCGATATGATTACTCCATAGGTACTTTGGCCCCGATGAAGAAAAAGCTTACGTGCCAGACGCCACATCCACAACACTTCCCTCCCCTCGGGCCTCTTCTCCACACTGCTACTCGGACAATAACGGCTTGTCTATCCTCTACCGCCTACAAACCATCACAAACCCTCTCCCGCTATCTGCCGTGCGGCCGCTTTGCCAAAGTACTCCTTCGGAGATTTGTCGAATTCGTTTTCCGCCACCCAGAACAGGGCATCTACGAAGCTCCTGGCTGTTAGTTAAAAAGGTCGTCCGTGGCTTGATCCTGGCACCGGGATTCATTCCTTCGAGTTCCTGCATTATCATCTCAATCGAAATTGGCCGGTGGCACACCCGGATGTCGTCCGCATCGCAATCATACGACGGCTTCCCATCGACAATAGGGAGACCAAGGGCGCCGATTTCGGGGAATTCAAGCTGGCGGAGTTGGACATAGAGATCGGCCAGCTGCTCGTGAAGCTTAGCTATTGCCTCAGTTGGGCGAGGATAGCTACGCCACTTCTTCCCCTTCTTAAAGCCAAGATCCTTGAGACTCTGTCCTTGAATATAGTCCATCATAATAAAAGCCGTCTGGATCGGACTGCCCTCGGTGAAGGAGAAGGCGTGCACGCGCGGCACGGGGATGGTAGTCTTCGCCGCGATATATCTATCCTCTGTCAGATGACCGATTGTATCAATACAAAATAGCTAAAAGCTCGGGGGCTTATTTCATAGTAGCCAGCTCAGTCTCAATCCTTTCGTCAATCCAAGCAGCGCGCGCCGGGATGGACATTCCGACAGCCCATCTTTCCGGGGGAGATGTCTCAAACTCGACAAAGATACAGATATTGAAGGAGCCGTGTTTTGGGGAACCGAAAGTGGTGCAAGGAACACCTCCACGATAAGATGAAGCGAGACGGCATATCGCTTCGGTGTCAAGAGAATCGATGAAGCGCTGGCGATTCTTCTCGGCCTTGTCTTTGAGTATGCAATTCCTCATGATGGAGAAGGATGAGTGTTGGCTCTGGCCAGCTCAAGACGCGGCGTATGTGGGAATTAATCACGTGCAGCTCAATTGCACAGTCTCAACCTGGAGAAAGGCAATGCCTCCGGGCGAACCAGACGAACTACCAACAAATCGTGGGCTGTACATATTGGACGTCAATGACACAACCACCGTGGCGTGATGGAGAAGCCAACCAAGTACGGGAATACGCGATCGAGTAAATTCATTATGTCTAAGCCTCAAGGCAAGACTTGCGTAGATGCTTGGCTCACCACGAAGGGGGCCCGCTAGGTCGCGCGAATGCCTGCGACAGAAGAGAAAACTACAAGAGAAAAGTGCACACCATTACCGAAATCCTGATCCCAATCCCATGCCCCCAGTTCATTTCCTTCATTTTCCAGTACTATTCTCACTTGCCCACATTGCTCATGTCCGTCTCGAGACAAGTCAGCGTTTATGAAGCGGGGCTAGCATCCGTTGTATCGACACGAGCTGCTGATCAGGGGCCGCGTCTTGGGTTGCGTTGAGGCCGTCGGGCCCGTGGCGAGGTGGACGCAGTCTTTTTGGTGATGCGCCCAGCTTTCACTGGAGGACGTCGCTTTGGTTGTTGGTCCTCGGCGCGCTCAGTTGGTCGGGGCCGTTGCGCAGGCGCAGGCGAGCTTGGCTCCACGGTAACGAGAGCTGGGTCAACCACTACTGGGTAGACGTGGTTGGTCATTCTCGGGTTCATGTTTGCCGCCATCTCCACTTGGACGAAAGGGATCTGGTGTTGGATCCAGCCCAAGAGGATCTCGTGACGAAGACCCCGTCGCCTGGCGAGCCGGTAGTGGACAGTGGCTGTAACGTATTCATCAATACTGTCATTGCGGAATCTGGAGGTATAATAATCCGCAATTCCACCGTCAAACTCTCCCCGTGCCTGCAACATTCGCATATCCGTGACAGGCCCTTGCTTGGCTGGATCTTTGAGGTCTCGCTCCGCTACCAGAAGCTTTGATCTTGCGTTTTCCACGATTTGTCGCCTTTGCAACAATTCCTCCTCACGGTCCTCGGCACACTGGTGGCTTTCAACGTAGTTGCGCGAGTCTAGCCGTCTGAGGTGACGGGAATTCACGAGGTTCCGCCAGGCATCCTCGTATCTGGGCTCCCAGGACTTGTACCAGGAAAAGTCGGCGTACTCCCTGATCTGGAAGCTGTAGTATTCGAGCCAGGTTGACAACTGGTCTTGTTTCTTGGGGTTCTTGTGCAAGTTGACCAGATGAACCAGGTCTGGTTGGTTCGAGTGCGCTGCAACGCGAGCCTTGGTCTGTTTCAGGTATCGGGGAAAGGAACACTTGTTATGCTGTCTCATCTGGGCCTGCCAGCCGCGAAAGTTCTTCCAATCATGCAATTGGTATCCAAAAATCATCCACGAGTCCTGGTTTGTGTCGGGGAACTCGCCCTGCCAGTATCGCAACAGGCCGTGATAGTCTCTCGGGTTCCTGGAGATGGGATCGATGAGGTCGATGGGATACCAGGGCCGTCCGCCATCCTTGACGAGCTTGTCGTGGCGCTGCCTCTCGAATCGCATGTACTCCTGATGCTGGGCTTCGGGACTCAGGGGTGAAAAGGATTCAGACCGGGATACGAGTAAGGGAGTCGAGTAATTGGAGGGGGGGACAGGTTCATCTCGTTCTATTTTTTCTCGGCGTTCTTGTTCATATGCAGCAACTTCAGTGGCCCAGTCAAAGAGCTTGCTGGAGACTTGGTTGAGGTCAACGACATAGGACCTGCTCCCGTGCCTGATGAAATAGCCTTTGGACCTAGCTAGGGTGTTAGCGGGACTCCGGGAGAAACAAGAGATAGTCCAGACAGGGGGTCTACCTCAATTGGTTGACAAGAATTTCTTCGAGGACTGGGTCAAAGCAGCTGTGGTAGTCTTGCTGCTCTTGCAGATCAGGAGTTTCCATGATTGGTGCAGTTGCGGTGCATGGACGGGAAAGGGGGGAATCTGAGAAGAAGGGAAGAAGGGCGAGTATGCTGAAGATATGGTCTGGGTGGAGAGAGATTGAAAGGTGAGAGATTGGGCGATGAAAGATTCGAGGGATACGAGAGAAGACGGAGTAGATAAGGGAGAATGGAACGCGAGCGAAGAGCGAGGGGGCGGGACGAGAGACGGGACGAGAGGCGGTACAAGAGACGGGACGAGCGAGAGGCGGGACGAGAGGCGGGACGAGACACGGAACGAGACAACAACAACAACAAGATCCGAGAGAAGATGAACAAACAGGAGCAGAGCCGCGTGCCAGAGATGGGCCAGAACTTGGCGGAACTGGCTGGTGGGCTGGCGGGATGAGGAAACGAGGGGGCGGCCAGCCAAAAGCCTCGAATGGACGATGGAGATGGATGATGTTGGTTCCAGGTTTGCTTTGTCGCCGCGTCACGTAAAATGCCGGGGAGCTTCGTCTGTTCCAGTTGGAGACTTGCAGCTGACTGTCGCAGCGCGCAGTCGCAGTGCCACCCCTCCCTGCGAGTTGCAGGTGCAGCGGTACATGCTCAGTGCGTTACGCGGTCAGTGGGTGTGCAGCAGGCGGTGCGCGCGCTGTCACACGGGAGAGACACGCTCAATCATCAGGGAGAGGAGACATGGATGCCAGGACCGGCCAGAGTCTCATTCGCCTCGCTCGCCCCAAGACAAGACAGGCTGGCTGGCTGGCTTGACTGTCTCTTCTCGCCCTTGACTTCCACCCTCCGGCTCTCGACTTCTCACGGCTCCGGCGCTAATTTAACAGTCCAGGTCCCTGGATCAGAGACGGTGGGGCAGGCACATCATCCGTGGTGCAGGATCCATCATTCCTCCCTCCCTCCCGTCGCCGGTTGGGATCCTCTAACGCTGCTCTCTCTTGTCCAGGGTGCGTGCGAGCTCGGTAGCGTTTGTTCTTTTTGTTCGTTGCTGGTTCCACGGACGGATGGATTCCCCTTAGTTAGGTTGGTTCTCTAGGGCCCGCCCGTTCTCTGGGGCTCCGGGGGAAACGACTCCACTGAGGCCCGCCGTGTCCACTGCTGTGCGGCGGTGGGTTCTGGCTTCGGGGAGGTCCGGGCGGTGTTGGGTTTGGGGGGGACCCTGGGGTTGGGCTGCGGGCTGTCTGGGCTACTGTAGGCTGCGCGGGCTGTCTTGGGATCGCTCCTATGGGCTGCTCCATGGGCTACTGCGGACTGTCTAGGTAGGCTCCCTCCTATGGACTACTGCTCCTATTTTCTGCTGAATGCTATCTGGACTGCTGTGGCTTCCTGTACGCTATCGGCCGCTGTGGGGATGGAGAGAATAGAAGGGAGAACAGTGGGCATCTGACACCTGAGCACGCAGATCAAGTCCGCAATAGGCGCAGAAGTCTCTCAACCACGACACCATCTCGGTGCTTTGAGGGTGCTCTGTGGGTGCATTATGTGCATCATGTATCTTGTGAGTGGCTTCCTCTCCCTGTTCGCCTGAGTGGCTTTTTTCAACCCAGCGGACATTGTCTCGTCCAATCCATTCCGCCTCCTGATTCCGCCTCCTGATTCCCTCCTCAATTCCTTCCCTCCCTCCCACCTGTGCGTGTCGCAGCATCCCTCCCCTCCATTCACCCCGTCGGCTCTTCTCCCGGTGCGTTGCCCCATCCCATCCGGGGCCCATCCCATATCTCACTGCTTGCTTGCTTGCTTGCTTTGCCTGCATCAGCTTCAACCGGCCTAAAATTGTTGACGTGGTATCTCGATGCATGCATGTCCCAGCTGCATGACCTCGGCGAGCCTCCTGATTGCACCGGGATGGGCGTCCTTGGTCCATGGCCTTGTTGACCCCCCATGTGCCCTCCTTTTGATGAAACTCTCAGGTCGGCAGTGGTTGCACCAGGGTACGTACCTTTTTACGGTCTAACTTACCGGCTGTCTCCCGGTCCGCAACGGGAAATTGATCTGCCCCGGTGCTGACGGTGCGGGCCGCACCTAGTCCGTCGAGTGAATCTTCCCCACCGGCTTACCCTAGAGCCGTTTCCTGCAAGGGATAATCATCAAGATCCCCCTGCCAAAAACTAAAGACAACTGCATCTCTGGTGTTTCCATCTTCCTTGAGATTCTTTCTAATTCCTTCTTGCATAAAGTGCCTAGTTGGGACCAAGGTGGACAAGTCAATGGATTTCTCATCTCATCATCACTGATAACCGTCTTCACAAGATTGTACTGCACGTTGGAGCTCATAGATTTCGGTAAAGACTGTGGGGATTCCCTGAGACTAAAGGTAACTAAGGAACACTTTACACTGAAGACCAAAACTTTGCGAACAAATTGGAATCAACCCGTGCGTGCGAATCACACTCCGTCCACCCTGGAGATTTTCTGAGGCTGGGGGTAAACTGAGGACAACTTCACACTGAAAAACAAAACTTTGCGAACAAAATGAAACCACACTCAATCCATCCACCACCCATTCACTCTTCATCCATCCGATCCCGTGTTTCGATACCATCCACCTCCCAATGAATTCTCAAAGAATTCTACTGCTGATTGTTGAGTCGGCCTAAGCCGAGCGTTGACTCCTACCTAAACGGGCTATCGAAACCTGGGATCATCCTTCAAGAGAAGAAGCATGGCGGGGAGATTGGAACATCTATTCCGAGGCATCCATGGAGATACCAGAGAGAGCCTCAGAGAGGGCCTCCTCAGACACATGGGAGAGGGTACCCCCACGCACATCCTCCGAGGCATCGGGGGAGGTATCCCCGGGGGCACGACGAAAGATCACGTCGACTTGAGCAAGGTATGCCTCGCGATCGGCATTCATCTTGTCGAGCACAGCTCGGGAGTCGCCCCAGAGCGAGGCACGAACCTCCTCAATCTCTCGGAAAGAGAGGGTGGAGAACCTGGTGAGCATCTCGTTGTACGCCTGGTCGTACATGCTGGTTGGGGACATGATGCTGGCCATGAACCAGAACCCCCTACTGTGCCACATGTCGGTCATGCAGCCGTGGAGCGAGACGTGCGGTGTCCTTGAGAGGAACTTTGTGGTCTCCGTGGCCATCAAGAACTCCTGCTGTCTGAAGCAATCCATGAAGAACCTGCGAGCGTTGCTGTACTGGTAGGTGTTTTCGGCGTCCTGGACGTGGAGGCCAAGGAGCCAGTGAGGCTCCTGGAACGTCTCCACCGGCAGAACACAGAGCGACTCGATGTCCAAGAGACAAGTGATGTTGAGGTTTTTGTCGACTCTGAGGTGCCGGAAGTCGAGGTCTGCCAGCTGAGGGATGAACAACCCGTCGTCGAGATCGTGCTTGAGAAAGTTGTCCTTGAGGCTGCGAAGGATGACTCTGTAGGCCATCTGGCTGCGGCACTCCTGCTCGGTCGCGCAACCGTTGGGCTGTTGGACGAGGCCGAGATCCTTGATTTGCAGCATCTTTTCAACAAACTCCTCAGTCGTGGTGAAAGGGCCGTCGCCGGGGCGGGTCGGCGAAACCTTCTTTCGCTGGAAGACGGACGTGGTGTGCATAACAGGGCGGCTGTTGAGGGTAACAACACAGTTGTTGTTGATGATGAAACAGCCGATTCTGTTCTTTGGTTGCTTGGCGATGCTGAGCATCAGTTTGGAAATGCTGTGAGAGATTTTGATCTGGTGGATCTGGTCATCTGCAATCTGATCCCAAACATCCGCGAGGTTGCAGGTCCCGGGAGTATCGACCAACTCCACGACGACGTATCCAGCGGGCAGCTTGTTCCCGCATTCGTGAGGGTAGTAGGGAGACATGAGGGCGTCCGGGCTGTATCGGGGAATGAACTCCCGGTTGTACTTGTACTTATCCTGCTCTTCCTCACCCAACTGGGCTACATGGGTAAACTAGGTGAGTTCTTGAGTTAGCTTTCCTGAACAAACCCGCCGTCATCGTTAGGGGTGCTTACTTGCTCTCCGTTGGGTAGACCATACCCAAACATGAAGGGAATGCGAATCTCAGTGCACTTCTCGGACATCCAGACATGAGATCCAACATCGATGCGCATCTTCTCCTCAAGAGCCTTTGGGAAGAAGTCCTCCCCGAAGGCGGAGGGGATGTAGCACTTGAAGAGGACCTTGTGGACATTGTCGTGGACCGTGTCGTAGACCTCAACAATGAAGCAGATGTGATAGTCGCCAACCTGCCAATGCTCCTGGGGGGCAATCCGGGCGATGGTACCGCGCTCGAGCCCAACGTGGTGGACTGCAAGGGCTTCGGCATTGTGGCGGTCGACCCACAAATGGTTGAAGAGTTCGTGGGTTTCGGCACCTCGGTGGTGTTCGATGATGACGTTGTCCTCGCACTTGCGGGCAGCCTCGTACGTGATGGTGCCTCCAGGGATGTGGAGCACCCCGAGAGGCTCGAGAGGCTGGCGAGGCCCCGGAGGGTCGACGTTGCTCATGGCGAGGTGGGGGTTGGGCTTGGAGATTGCCGCTGCAGAGAGGAGAGTTGAGTGTAGAAAGAGAAGTGATTGAGAGATTCGGAGGGTTGGAGATGGAGCGTTTGCGAGTCTGGAGTGAGAGGGACGTAGTGTATTTATCGTCCTCTCATGGCTCCCCCAGAAACTCCCCCTCCTCGTCGAGGAGCAGGCTCCATGCTCTCCGCCTTCGAGCTGTGGCGAACAGACGCCCGCTAAAGCTGGCGCTCACCGGCCGCTCGCCAGCCTGATTTCGGATAGCGACATGAAGCAAGGCGGGCTGCATCTCGAGGACCAGGATTGGCGCTCGAGGTTTGCAGCCAGTTGCGCCGCCTGGTTCCCGCTGCAAGTACACAGTCAAATATTGCTCTAATCCACACGTGGACCCGGCCTGTCTCACCCACGTTCTGGCCCGCCTCAGCCATCCCTGCGAGCGAGGGCTTGATGCCTTTGGATAGAAGTGTTTTCACACGCCCTCCAGCACCCTATCACCCAGCGCCAAAGCCCTTCGTGCCCCGCCCAGGACGTTGGATGTACTGGTCCGTTGTAGTGACCTTGTTTTAGCTGCTGACAGCAAACGACGCCAGAGGATCCAGCGGGGGCGGCAGAAGCAAACGACAAACTGCATAACGACATTCGCAAGCCTCGCCAGCCTGTTGATGCGCCGCCGATCTGCGCGATGCCGTTCCCCTCTTTCGTTGTTTGTGTCGGTGAATCGGCTGGGCTGGTCTGGACTTTCCTGCTATGCCCGTTTGCGAGATGGTGTGAAGCTCCTCGACCGCAAGTTGAAACGAGAGGCCGCACAAGAAGGCATAGCGGCGGCCAGCTGAACAGCTGAGCAGCGAGCCGGAGCGAAGTGACGCGAGACTAATGTCGACTCCCGTGCTTACGGAGCGAAGATGAGGTCGTTGTCGCCTCCGTAGACGAGTTGCCTGCCCGTCCCAGCCCGTCCCGCCCGTCCACGGCGTTGCCTCTGCCTAGTATCGGCCACTGCCTTTCTCTCGTTGAGTATCGGACCGCCTTTACGAGAATTCCGAGCCGGTCTGTGTTATCAGAAAGTCCCAAGGCCGTGTCTCGCGGCACCGCTACCCGTTTGCGGACCCCGTGTCTCGATATTCTGCCCGTTCCCGAGAATCACGGCAAGATGCCCAATTTTGTCGACCTGCAGAAGGTCATGCCCTGCTCTGCCCTGCCTGCTCTGCCCTGTGTGCCCTGCGTGCCCTGCCCTGCCCTGCCCCTCCAGCCTGATCCATTCGCACCGCGCCGTAGCCGCTTGGGTCGTTTGCTCGAAGACGTCGTGCATCTCGCCCGGCGTGTCTCGGTTCTGCGCTCGCGGGGTTGGCTGGAGTGGTTTCGTGCAGCTGCCTCAAGCGATGAGGTGTATATTAACAGCAAAACAACCGTGCGCCGGGAGTTGGAAACAAGGCAGGAGACGGGACTGAGAGCTTGCGTCAATATGTGATCATCCGTGTTACGCCCACGCCAGCCAACCATTGAAGCAGCGCCTGGTTGTGCAAACCCACAGAGGCCGCAGGAGGAGAGGCGCATATCTAGTCTCAAACGTTCTGTGTTGAGGGAGGGGGACTCAACCCGGTAGAGTGACGAGCTGTCCAGGGCACCGGCGAACGACCAGAGTAAGGATCCTGATGCTTGGATTGATCTACGACATGGATAGCGATTCATCCTAGGGCTGAGGCAGAGAGCAGACATTCACTTTAGGGTGATGCCTTGATGGATTTAGTGTAAGTAGAGTGAGCCTCTGCGTCCCCGACTACATAGCCTGATGCCTTCCACACCATCTCCCTCCACAGCATCGCCCTTCCACATTGTGAACCACCCCGCACGCCTTGTGCTCCATCACTCGTCATTCCATTCTCTTCCAATTCTCCTGACCGCTTGGCGAGCCTTCTGTACCACAGCTGATCCTTGCAAGCGAATTGGGTCATGGGAGCCAACCTAGCCCAGCTGAACGGGAAGCCACATGGGCGAATGAATCCGCGTTTCGCTTCTTGTCACCGACCCCCTCCCGACTCAATCGAATAGCTTCATGCCGACAGCCAATGGCCTGATCCCTGGAGCTATTCTTGGTAGCCGCCACACGGTTGTTTGCGAAAACGAGGCTTTCGATTCGGGTGCCTCCCATGCTGCTCGTTGATCGCACGCCGACTTAGCACGCCGACAAGCGAACAAGCAACCAACCATGTACGACATTGTTGTTGAGAAGAAGAAAGTCCAGATGCATGCACTCTCTCGCCTCTCATTGCTTCGATTAAGCTTTGCCAGCATCTGTCCGATCCTAGTTCCGTTTCGTTTGTGGAGGCGGAGTCAGCCACGCCCTGCGGCTCGCACAATGTCGGGGAGGAGGTGGCAATGGTTCGGGATGCAGCATGCTTGCAAGACTCACATCAGTACGATTGCGAAAACACTTGTGCGCCCGCTCATTAATGCCCGAGGGAACACGAAGGGCAGCCTGAAGGAGACCCGCCGGCTCGCAAGTTTCTAAATGTGTGAACTGAGGCCTAGTGACACAGGCCGTTAGTGCCATGGCGAGATACCCAAAGCATGGTGTTGTGAGACACAGCCTGCCCAAGCTGTCAGTACATGGGCGCCTACGGAGGTCTTTACAACGGCTTCTCCCGTTTCACGAGGTCGCACGACGAGTGGTCTCAGAAAAGAGGCAACTGCAATTCCGATATTATGGCGCGATAATTCTCTGCCGTCTTCCGTCTGCTGCCTATTGTCTGTCGTCTGCCGTCTATACGACATCCAAATACCAACCTGAAACCCTGCCCAGCGAGTCCAACCAAGTCAACAGGTCAACGGGCAACGGGCCAACGCGGCGCTTGCACAAGGAAACTTCAATAGTGTGTAACACTGGGGCTTAAGCTCCAGACAACGTTGCTCCGACCCAGCCAGTTGGCTTGCAACAGCGACAGCTTTGGTGGAGTTGCCGTGTCCAGGCCCAAGCCTCAATGGCGTGTGCCACCACACTGCCCGCCAACCTGGTTGCTTTTCCTGGAGAGGAGAGATAACGGCAACGACAGAAGTACCAAACATGAACTTAGAGGACTGTGTCCGTGGTCAGCTGCGGAGGCACGCGCCCGGGCTTGTCTTGGTTGCCTCGTCGGGCACCTCGCTGGCAACATCGCACAAGCCCTCGTCTTGCAATCAGGCTTGCAGTAAGATCGGCATGCTGAACCACCGCCCAGCCGGATCGGGATCTAGACGCGCCAGGGTGAATACAACAGCCATGGAATCTCAAGGCACAGGGTGCCTTATCTCGCCTCCACGACAGTGAGATTGAGGGGGCTTGCAGTCGTCATCCCCGTGACAGCATCTGTACTACATGCGGAGCAGCCCTCGCTCCCTCTCAACGCTGACTGCATGGAGCGGAATGGCGGCATCTCTAAGGAAGAATTAGATCTGTCGTGCATCCCATGCCGGCCAATGAAGCAACGATGATGAGAGTGTGGCATCTCTTTCGCACTTCCCGTTTCTCCCCCACAGTGCCGAACTGAACGCTCCCGCATATCTTGTCCCTCCATCACTGTGCTGGACCGATGGCCTCTTACACTGCTCGCTACGTCGGAAGACCGACGCCAAGCATGGTCAGGCGGGCGGCTCCAGGAAGTCCAAAGCGTCCTTCCAACTTGTACGAAGACTGTAGAACCTCTGGAGCTTACGAGCCAACAAGATGGCTCACGCTCTTTCAGCTACCGAAGCTGTCCCACTGGTATTCGCCCACCTTTCGCTCTACCACAACTCGGTGTCGTCTCGGGTATGTCTTGGTCCTTTGCTGTGCGGCGGTCCCCCCTTCTCTGGCTACAGCGGTCTGCACGACCAGGCTCTGCCCGTCACTCGTCTCTTGCGTGTCCCCCCCCCGCTTGTGGCTTTCCGTACGACGGTCGATTCGATACGTGCTGTCTTCGATGATGTAATGGTCGACTCCATGATGAAGCGACTGTTTGTCGACGAGCTCCCTTTGGGAGTAGAATGCCTGGCGTGTCGGAGTTCGGTCTTTGTATTCTTCGTCAGCCTGGTCGGCAAGTTGAGTCGAAGATCGGTCGATGTATCTCGTGGCTTGTCTCTCGATGGTACGGGGATCTGGGAAGGGTTTTCTGTCAGCGCATTTCCAGTGACTGGCGTTGGATGAGGGTTCCCATGCGCCTGCTTGTGCAGAGTGCCTCCCACACACACCATATGGGGACTTCAGCAGTCACAACTCTCCTTGATGCTGTCCTTCTGCTCTGTCTCCCAGATTCCTTGCTGCGGGGGAGCTTGCCAGTGTTTATCTCCCTCGTCTCGTCGCAAGTCGTACGTCCGAGTCTGCGGTCGACCTGTCTTTAGGCCGTCAGCTCGCACCTTGCCCGTACCATTACCAGTGTTATGTCGGCTCCGTTGTGGTTCAAAGGGGGTTCTGAGGATGCCCTTCCAAGTCTCTCGCCAAGGTCTCTCGCTGAGCAGATCAACCTGGCCGGTGGTGTTGATTGAAACATCGGTACCGTGTCGCTTCTCTGATGATTTCCTTTGCTCTCGAGTGATTGCATCCGGCTGTGTGTAGCATCAGTGATGTTTGCTCAAGAAGAAATCACGGCCCTTTGGGATCCTGCCTGGTGGATGGGCTTTGTCAACGGCCAAGGGCCTGAATAAATGCCACGTAACCTGTCCGCTTCTCCCCCATCAGGACGACTCTGATCCAAGCCCCAGACTTTTGTGCTGTGTCCCGACAGAGTATCGTTGAGGACTCCGTGACTCTCGTGGGACCTGATCCTCGCGACAGGACGGCCCTGGGCCCTAGTGTGCACTTGCGGGAAGACTGCGCGCCGCAACCAAGGGTTTCGTTGGCCATTTCGTGATCTCGTAGTCCACCTGCTGTAGGTCTTGCTGGACCCAGAGATCTTGGAGGATGGCCAGTCGTCTTGGCGTCGATCTTTCTGGTATCGAGGGTATTGTACCTGACGCGTCTGGAGTGACCAGCCTCGTCAAAGTTGTTGGCAGAGCGTGACACAGTCGCCTTGAGAATGTCTTCGAGCACATTTCAGTGCATTCTCGGTTGAATCCTTGGTGATGGAGTGACTGAATATTGGCAGAAGTTAGCTGATGGTGTTGGAGTCAGGTCACCTCCCACGAAAGAGGGTGTGGATACCGCGGAGGCCATGCTGCAGAGCACCCGCAGCGGCTCTGTCTACTCATCCATCCTCTGCGTCCAAACTTCAGGTAGAGTGTCTGAAAATTGGACTCGGACGATATCAGGCCTTTGGAGATGGTGCAACAAAATATTATACTGCTGGAGTTCATGGGGGAGGATGGAGAGAGGGTCGTGGGGGGGCTGCTTGCATCCAGGGGCGCTGGGGAAAACACCACCACCCTCTGCACTGCACTACGAGATCCAGGGGAAACTGACACGGCATCACCACACTGGCAAAATAACAGCCAGCAAAGGGCTTGGTTACTCCCTATTATTTTGGCATTTCTCTCTGTCTCACTACGGAAGATGGAATTATGCCACTTACACGGAGCTGGGCGTCCTACGTCGACCTGGTCTTGTTGCTTTCCCAGCTGCCAGTGGGGATATCATCGCCTACCTCAAGCTGCAGACACCACCAACATCAATGGAATAGTTTGCAACCACTGCAGCTTGCCAATGCCTCGTGCAGCGGAGCTAGTGGCATCTTTGCATCAGCCAGACCTGGGGGGGGGGGGATGTCGACGAGCCTTGCTGAAAAGATTTTACAGGCATGCAACGGAATTTCGATCAATAGCAATCCTCGAGGAGCCTCCACGGGCCGTTTATATTGTCCTGATTAGTCGAGCTGGTGGTTTTGGCGCCTGAAAATCGGTGTTATAGAGCTGTTGGCCCCGAGGGACGCATCGTGTGGGAGCTCCTAGGGCTGCACCTGCCTTGTTGTTTTTGGCTGCTAGCTGCGCACCTTCCCTCTTCTGTTTCCTTCTACTCCTCCACCTCCTCCCCTTTCCTCCTCTCCTTCCCTCTTCACCACTTCCCACTTTTTTACCTTCCCACCCAAACACCAGACTCTCTACTCAACACTCTCTCTTCGAGCCTCAGCTGAGATCCAAGGAACTTCCTTGTGTCCTCAACTGGACTTGGGGGGATTGTAAATTCATCTCAACGTCGAGCTTCTCTTGGTTTCCTCGTCAGAGTTGTCTTGTATCCTCGTTTTGGGAGCTTCTTCCCCATCGCACCCCTTTCTTGAGGCTTAAGCATTGTGCTGCAGCACTCCTTTCGTCTAGTTGATCTTGGTCTTCTATCTACTTCTCGCACGTCAGCTTCAACTAGTTTCAACTTCTTGTTTACTCTTTCCATCGTGGTTACCACGCTCTCTCGACCGTCTTGCCTCTCTAAGGGTTGTTGCCAAGGTAAACCAGCCATCTATCACCTTCCCCCTTGTACTACACATTCCTTCGCAAGGTTACTGGCCTGGGTAGCATACCTGCCTGCCTCCCTAAACTTCTCGCGTCACACCTGCTAACATTTTCGTGAAATGCAGGTGCTTGTCAACTTCCAAGATGCCACCGTACTCTACCAAGGACTTGCCAGAGGCAGGACGCAGATCCGAAAGCCTGCGGAAGTCTGTTTCGTTTGACCAAGCCTCTTTCGCGTCTCACTCTGACTGTATATCTTCATCGGGTAAGTCGCGTCTCATTTCTCCCTTTTTTATGACCCCATTACTTGCCCTTTGCTTTTTGGCCATTCATTCACTGGGCTGGCTTCCTACTTCCTACTGCTTGCTTCATCATTGAGTCCGTACTTCACATCTCTTTCCTTGTGCCGTCGCAAAGGGGTGTGCAACTTGGGCTTCTGTGCACCAAAGTTGTCCACCCTAGCTCCTTTCTACGCTTGTTTGGAGATAATGTGTGGGACTTGCGTTCCTGGTTTCTCTTTCAAGATGACACCTTGGCACTCCATCTATGCGGTAGCTAACTAAACCAAGCTCTTCGTTCTCGGAGCTCCTCTCCTGGTTCTCGGTAAGACCCCCTGTGATGTTCTCCTGTCTTGGCTATTACCTAACACCACTCTAGTGATGCCATAAAGTCAGCCTCAGACATTGGAAAAGACTCTAGCACAAGGTACTAAAACTTCCATTGCTTCTGTCCCGGGACACATTCTAACACCTTCTTTTTAGCCAGTCTTTTACTAAGGGGAGCGTTTCCGAAGACGACGTTTTCTCGAGCAACGAGTCCTTCCTGCCCCATGGCCATGGTAATGAACGTCGAACCGAGACTGAGGTCGGTCTTGTTGTCCGAAATCCTCCTTACGTCGACCCGCAAGTCATCTACTCTCCAAAAGCCTGCGTTTTTATTGCCAAGTAAGTTTTTCGCTATAGTTTTAAGGAAGTTAACGCGAACCCCGTCTAGTTTGTCCAAGTTTGTTGACGACGCGACCTTGAAGGCCGAGGTCACCAAGCTCTTCAGCGAGTATGGAGAATGCTTTACCAAGATCAAGCGAGATCACAAAAACACCCCTATCGCATTCTGCCAGTTCACAGTGAGTAAGACTAAACAAGCGTGTGCTCCTCGACTGATATCTTGTAGCAAATCGCCCACGCAAACATGGCTCATATACACGGTCACGGACGTATCATTATTGATCGCGGTTGTAGAGTTGAGATGGTCAGGGGAAACCGTGAGTCGTCTACCCATGTTTCCTCCACCCTACATGCTTATCTAGATCAGTGACCTTTCTCGTCTGGAAGCGCTCCGGAGAGCGCACCTTGCTGAAGGAAGCCAATTCTCTACTGGAACCCTACGGTGCGATTTCTAAGGTGGAGAATCTGGAGAAGGAGGTCCAAGACCTCTACTTTCTCCCGCTCTCGGTGATTGTCGAGTACGAGATGTTCGACGCTCGCCGGGATGTTCTCGGAGTAAGTACTCATGTCCTAAACCTTAGCCCTAGGTACCCTTTGTGCTTAATTTATTCGGATAATTCTAACCATTGTGTAGTCCATGAAAGGCCACCCTGTGTTTATGGTGAATTTGCTTTCAACTGTGCTCTCGACACGCCCTCCTAGCAAAGAACAACACAAATTGGAGATGGAAGATCAAGCAGAGTTGGAGCAATACTACAAGGATTCTCGGTCCATCTACGTTGGAAACTTGCCTCCTTGCGCCAACGAGGATCTTGTTCGCCTCATCACCACCCCCTGTGGCGTAGTGTTGAGCATCCAGATGAAGCAGGTTACTTCCACCAGCGGTAAGTTATGTGCCGGTGTTCAATCTTCTCTTTGCTTACCATTTCCTTCAGGGGCCGTCTTCCGCCATGCTTTTGTCGAGTTCGACAATACTGAATCCCCCAACATGGCTGTGCAGTATTGCGTAAGCGTCTCCTTTTACTGTTTTTCTCATTCGATAGTGTCACTGACATTTTTAGCACGGCCGAGTGGTCGAAGGGTACCCAATCAGGGTTCAGAACAAAAAGCGCAAACTCCCAAACACTCCTCAGCGAACTCCCTCTGGAGCCACGACTCCCGCTAGCTCCTTGCATCAGCACGGAAGATCTTTTCATCGCAGTGCATCGTCCAACTCCAGCTTTCCTCGCCACCCTCGCCACCATCGCCAGCAATCGGTTGTCGATCCTTGGTTGACGTCGTCGAGAGCCATGACTCTTCGAGCTCCGACTGGCCCGTCTGCGGGAACCAGGTATCTTACGAATGCACCCTCGCAAGTCACTTCTCAGCCTCTAGCGGGTGGCCATACTCACGTTGAGCAACCTGTCACTCGGGCCTTGCCCCAGATCGATGGCCCTCAGGCTCACCCCCAGCCGGCCGTCACTCAAGACTGTTCTGAGCAAGTCGCTGCTCAAGCCTGCCCTCAGCCAGCTGATACTCAAGCCCACTCTGAGCGAGAGCGAGTTGCTACTCAGACCCGCTCCGAGCCAGTCGTGCCTGAAGCCCACACTCAGCCAGCCGATTCACAGGCGTCTCGCCCCGCTGCTATCCGAGGGTATCCTCAACCTTCAGCTACTCGATCATTCTCCTCCGTCGCTGAACTGGCTGCCGATCGTGCCGAGCAAGCTGCTGAGCGTGCCGAAAACATGAAACTCCGTCGCGCGACTTCTTTGAACATCCTGGATACCCACCCAGAGGCATCGGAGGATGGTTCGCTGTCTCCTGGCAACGGTGACGAGTCTTCCGATGACTATTCTACCTCGCCTGAGAAGCCCGCCGAGACCTTCGAGAATGAGGCCAAGAGTTCCGGGAATGTGACCGAGCGGGGTACCAAGACTGTCAACAGCGAAGCCATCGTCACTGAAAACGGCTCGCAGCCCGTCTTTGATCCCACATCGCTGGTTGTCGCCCACCCACCCCAGCAGTTCATGCAGATGGGGCAGCAATCCCAGCCCTTCGTCAACCCCGGCTACACCAACGCTGATATGCAAATGCAATCCTACATGCCGCCTCCCATGGTGCACCAGAACATGCCGAATGGTATGGCCCACATGAACAACAACCAGGGAGTCCAGGGACACATGAACAACAACCAGGGATACATGAACAACAACCAGGGACACATGAGCCTCACTCAAGGACACATGAACAACAACCAGGGAGACATCAACCACACTCAGGGACCCATGAACAACACTCAGGCACACATGTACAATGCCATGGCAAACATGCACAACGCCCAGGCTCCCATGTACAATGCTCAAGGACAAATGCTTAATGCTATGCCGCAGCAGATGCACACACAGCCAAACACCTTCTTTCCGCCACAGGGTATGACCAATGCGATGCCACCTATGCATCAACAGGCGAACCCTTATCCGGTCCAGCAATACCCACCCCAGGGTATGCAGATGCCCAATGCCATGGCACAGGGTATGGCACCAAACATGTCTTTCGGGTATCCCCAGAACCAATTCCAGCAGCACGCGCCTTTGCAGTCGGCTCATCACCAGCTGCCTCCTTATCCCCAGTCGATCCAGTATCAGACTCCTCACCAGGGCTTCACCCACAACGCCCTCGGGGGGCAGATGCACCACTCGACCGTCCCAAGCATTCCACTTGAGACACCAACTGCCGGGCCAATGCCTGGGCAGATCCAGGGTCAAGGCCAGAGCGGCACTCAGCAGCAGGCGGCTACCGTCGCCAAGGAAGCCAACTGACCAAACCATTGAATCAAACTCACCAAGCCCAAGGGCTCTGCCTGCGTCGCCACGCAATTTCTGTTTCTCTGTACGGTACACAATTTTCGGTTTCAATGCATGCGACGCAGTTTTCAGTTTCACTGCATGCCACTTCATCAATCTTCACAAAGGTTCGAAGACGCAACAAGTCCATCGATCTTCACAAGGTTCGAAGACGCACAAATTCATTGATCTTCAGAAATGCTTGAAGATGCAACTAATTCATCAATCTTCACAAAAGTTTGAAGACGCAACAAAGACATGCTCAGCTTGAGGATCCCGGTCCTCTCCTGCTAGCTGTCCTGACTGCTCATGCACCTGTTTTTGGGAGGGCCTGGAAAGACATATCAAGTCTGGATTCTAATTGACTTCGCTAGTTTTAGTTCTAGTGATTGAATAAAGGCATTCCTCCCCCATTAAATTGCATTTGTGCATGTCGCACGACCCTAAGTCGTGCTGGTGTGATCCTCGTTTTTGCTCATACGTGTAGTCTGGTGCTGCTTCGGGCTGACCATCCAAGACGCCTGTGCGATGATTTTATGTGCATCTCCCTTAGGATAAGTCAATGAGCTGGGTATTGGTTTCTGTCCCTTTCGGCTGCTAAAATGCCCGCATCAATACACATCACTGACCTCACAACACAATCCAGTACGGGCACTTGCTACGCGTTTTGGCGGTGGACGTCAAGACTGGAAGGAGGTCGGATGAATCTGAGGCATATGTCGTGTAGTAGGGAAGCATCTCGTGAGATAGAATATCGGGTGGATCATAGGAAATACTTTAAACGGCTATTTTTAGCAAGCTATAATAGCACTAATAACAGATAGAAATTTATATAAAAAGATATATAAATAGGACTTAATAAAAACTATAATAAAATAAAATAAAATTTTATTTCTGGTATTTTATTTATAATTAATTAGGACTTTTTAAGGCTAAGAAATAAAATAAGATTTTATTTTATTAAAATGCGATGATCCTCCCCTCTGTCTGCTCCGACCCCCCAACCCCCGAGACGTCCCTGCTAGCGACTAGCTAGCCTAAAAGTCCCTGACCGCCTGTCACAGCCTTCTAGGGGCTGTAGTGGCCCGGCGTCTGGAGTCACAAGCGACCTTGCGTCGGGTTTCGCGTCCGAACTTGCCGCACCATCTGACGAGGCCGATGCCGATGCCGACACCATTACGGTAGAGTCGAATACCAGGGTTAGGGGTGTGACACTCAATGCATGGCGCATGGACTGCTTAACGTAGCAGTACTTCTGCGGTGGTCCTTTCAGCCAGCCGTTCCGCTTTAGGTCGCGCAAGGAAATCGGAGTTGCGAGGGCTTCTAGCCTGTGAATCTCGTAGGCGTACTTGACAAGGTGTTCCCGTCGGCCCTCATCAAACTCATCGTTTCGAAGGCCGGTGGGGTCCTGGATCTCGCCCGGTCGCTTGCCAGCGCTGATGGTGGCGACGTACTTGACGGACGACGCAGGGCTTGTCTCGTAGATCCAGAGCCGCCTCACTTCGGCTGGGAGAAGGTAGTTCCGAAATTCGTGGTTCTTGACGCGGCTCACAATGTTGGCAACGTGCTGGGGATGGATGGAGATGAGAATATCGCTTTTGCAAACTTGGTGCGCCATGGTTGTTGTGGTTTGGCAAGGATGGAGCCAAGAAGGTGATGGAGGAATGCGTCGCGGTGAAAGATGTCAGAGAAAGGAAATACATCACAAGCGGATCGGCAAAATGACGCCGTGGCCAAACATCGGCTACTTAATATGTCGGCAGCACTCGGTGCGGCTCGCAAGGTTCGCTTTTAACCATGAATCACTTCACTGGGGCCGCCTCAAACTACTTCAGAGATGATCTCGTGACCTGGCTCTGCAACCGCGTGCCGGAGACGCAGATCAGCATCTTTATTGGAGCTCAGCCGAACTCGTCCCCTCATATGGGCAGCATATGCAACATTGCAACGGCCTTCGCACTGAGCCAGCAGCTACAAGCAGCGGGCAAGGCGGTTTGTGTGTGTTTCGACGCAGTCGACACCGCCCCAACCCCGGGACGGGATGGCAACCTTCGGATCGACGGCATTATCTATCAACGAAGCCTCCATTGGAGCCAAGTCGACGAGGCGTTCCTCGGCCAGTTCAGCGAGATCCTCGCAGAGTTTTCCTGCATATCAGGAGTTGCCTTCACGATGAGGAAGCAAGCTCAGATCTTAGGCAGCAGCATGGCACTCGAGCACCTCCGCGACATAGTTTCACAGCGCGCCCAGCTCGGGGCCGTCCTTTCGCCCAAAACTGGGCATCTCGGCATACGCGCTGCATGTCCGGTCGAAGGCTGCGGGCTGAGCGATAAGGCCGGCGTCCGCAACCGTTACCTCGAAGACGACAGCATCTCATTCCATTGCCTGGCGCATGGCGACTTTGCTATCAGCCTTCACGATCCTCAGCAGGCGGCAAGACTGGAGCTCAATACGCCCATGCGGAACTTGCTCCGCAACCGACTCTTTGGCACCGATCCCGCCGCTCACTGGATCCAGGTCATCGGGGCCGACTACGCTGGCTTCTACCAGGAGCAGCTCCTCTGGCAACCACTTGCGGCGGCGGACATGCCACTCGAAAAGCTCCCTCTCATTGTTTACAGCCCGCAGATTCTCGACTGGTCCGGCGCGAAGCTCTCCAAGAGCTTGTACGTGGAGCCGTCCGCTTACTCGTATCTGCGAGGCACAAACCTTGAATACATGCTGGGCTATCACCTACTGCCGGCGAGCGGGTTCACGCTCGAGCACATCTACCGAGTCTGTTCCCAATGGATCGACCAACCACACAAACTCTTTCGGGCCTACTCGATTTACCATCTCCATGACCTCCTCACCGCCTCCAGGAACAAGGCAGTCTCGAGCCCGGACGAAGGACGCGGAGAAGAGTGATGTTCAGTTGGGACGAGATACAAGTTGAGAGTTCTTTATCCGTTTGAGTCCGGTAAGCCTCCAATCTGGTCACTACAGGCAGGGATGTTGGGGCAACAAAATACAGTCGCTTAAAGGAGCCTGTGCTCTGATAGTACTTATGGCTCTCATCTCCAACGATGATATCTTCTACTCTCTTTCAAAACAATGCCTGTCCATTTTTAAATTATCTCCAAGTGAGCACCGCAAACTCTACCTTCTTCTTCTACATTGACTACTACGGCATCACTGAACATCCATCAATCTCAAGCCGACCTTCATCCATCAAAACGCAACAATTGGCGCCCTCAGCCACGGCCAGTAAACATCCTGCGCCCACTGCCGGAGGATCTGCAGCGCATAGACAATCTGGTAGATGCCCTTGGAGGTGTTCGTAGTGCCGATCGTGACTTTCTGCCGGAGCTGTGTCTGCTGCCCGTCGGTCGTTGTGATGACGAGGTGCCAATCGTGGCCCTGAACGATGATTCCGGGGATGAAGTCTGGGAGGGGGTACGGCTGGACGGCGATCTCGGGTTCTTGGGGCTCGGCTTGACCTTGTGAGTTGGTTTCCGTCGAGTCTGCGTCGCCATATGAGTCTTCAACTGTACCCTGCCTAACTTGTTGCACAGTCCTTGCCCCCTCCTCAGCAATCTTCTCTCTCCTCTGTCCCTCAACTAGCTGACGCAAAAAGGACCAGTGTGCGCTTTGCCAGACGACCAGTTGCAGCATCGCGCCGTCCCAGCCCGCACCGGTCTTCTTAGTCTTGATGCTCAGGGCAATGGGTCGCTCACGCAGAGGTCGGTATTCCGTGTGGTTGAGGACTGCGCCGGGCAGATGTCTTCGGAGGTTGGTGATGGCGGATTGTAGTTTTGAGGCAGCGCTCGATTGATCGAAAGCAGGGTCGATATAAATACAAAAGTCAATCATTCTCAGAAGTGTTGATGTTGCGGCGTATTCAGGGAGAATGTTGGCCGTGGAGCTGGGGAAGACAAGTTAGCTTATTCCTGAGCAGGGAATGTGTGGTTGGATGCACCTTATCAGGAAGTTGATGTGATGCTTGAACTCTTCTTGGTCTGGCGATTGTAGCGCCAGCTCGAGAACTCGCTGATGCACCGAGGCATTCAGGTCCGCCTCGGCGTGACCATTGGTGCTGCACTCAGCTGCTGCAGCGAGAATGCGGAGGACAGCCTTGGGCAACGGAGTCGGTCCAACAAGATGCCGCTCGTCAGAGAAATGCCAGGTATAGCGGCGCCATCTGAAGTTGTCATCTGCAGGCAGCGCGCCTCAGACTGACGTCGCAACGACCCCACCTCCGCTGGAGATGATCTTCTCCATCGTATCGAGCAAGTCTCGAAGCGCCGGCGGCGGATCATGCAATGCGGTGAGCTCATTGATACGTACGCTTCGGTCGCTACACTCGAGGAAGCTGGCATTGGGGCTATACGAGAACAAGGCATCTTTGCTGCGATGGGCGGCGCTGAGACGATGGTTGGTGTAGTTGGATGGTTTGGGCGTGGGAGAATTGAGTCGGCGACGTTTGCGCCATCGCACGGCGTTTACGTTGGCGTCTGGAGGAGGAGGAGTCTCGGGTGTCGGCTGATGGTAAGGTATTGAACTCAGCCAGTCGGCTAGGCTCTGCGCTGCCATTCTTGGTGGAAAATTATGTGACGGGCGAGACGGTTGAGGTTCATGTTTGGTGATGGATCATATTGGTGTTTGGCGGGGTAAACCGATAATGGCGGCCCACGCAACGCAGCCCCCACGCTGTGCTAAGGTAGCCATGGAGCACTAACACCCATATCCTCATGGATGAACGACTGTGCGGCCAAGGTGCGAGGCTCTGTGTGGTACGATGCAAGCGAGAATGGTAGAGTCTGGTCGTGGCTGTATCGCGACGCGTCGGGGCATGCTGCTCTCGTCCCGATGCTTCCTGATAGCTGTGAGCCTCGCCACGTCTGTTTCCGTTTCACGCGCTGAGCTGATGGCAGCTTGGCGGACTGGGCGTCTCGGTGTGCTCGAGCAGAGGGACGGCATGTTCGTACAGCGTCGAGTCCGTACAGAATTGTGCGGCCTGAAGATAGCACGTCATCTGTTGCATAGAATCTAGGTCGCCGCGTTCTCGAAGCCTCTGTGAGAGATACTCCGACAGATGTGGCAGAGGGCTCTTAATACGGTGGCACATTAGACAGGAGCGGGCAGAAACAGGGAATCAAAATTAAAAGCCTAAATTGATTATAGGGCTATAGCCGCTGTACACCACTATAACTATAGCAGCCTACAGTGGTCATCGCCCTGTATTTTATAGCAGGCTACAGTAGGTATCGTCGCGATAGCCCACTGTAACCCACTAACAGGCTACTGGGCCTCCAGCATTGTGCCCATTCGCTCGCTCTTCATTATAAGTCATTCCACTCTCCTATCGTATGAAAACATTGCAATCCATATTCTAGGTTGTCGTCCAGTCATTTTCTTCTATCCTAGTCGGGCCGAAATGGCCCACGAGCTACCCTCATGTCTTATCAAGGTCACCTTCATTTGTCGGGGTGACTCTGCTCTGCTGGCCTCGAGGCCTCCATCGCCGCCATGCTGACCACATGAAGACGGCCAGCATCCTGACGCCCGAGATGCAGACTGGCCACTTACTCACCTTTCCGAATTAGCTTGTGGCTCAGTCTATAACCATCCATTTCCTCGGTCCCGACGAACCGCCCGTGAAGCTTGTCTCTTGAGTTTCGTGTAATAAGGCCCGTTTAGCCCTGGAGGTGCCTGTGGGCAAGCCGGCATTCAGGGCGTTCCAGAGCACTCTGGCAGCTCGCCCCCCCAGGAGCTGAATGAGAGGACAACAGCCCGCTATTGGCGGCTGCCCACAGAGCTGGCCCCCCAGCTGCGTCCAGCTCTTGGGCCAAGTCAGCCCAATGCAGCCACATGGGTTGGTTCCCTTGATGCTGATTCGACAACAGTGACAGGGCCAATATGCCCCACATAAAAAGTTCACAGAATTTGAACTGATTGGTGATTGACAATCACTGTGTATATTCTTTGATAGCACTGTATTCCGCACTGTAGCTAGACATCCTCTCTTGGATGGCGGCAGCCAAAATCCCCACACGACACTCACCACACCACTTAACAGATTCACGATCAACACTAAACTCTCAATGGTCGCTGTGCCAGTGGCACTTGACCCTTTCAATCTCGGGTCGCGAACTCCACGTCATCTCAAAGCTATCCTTGCCGAGAAACTCAAGGTCGTCCACGCCTTCTGCCGCTCTTTCGACTCCGCCGCACTCGAGTTCAGGTCTGGCCGCGATATGTATGTATACCACACACCTTCGCCCGCAAGCTATTAGAGAGCTTTTGTCTTCCTCTGGCCTGCAGACAACTGCGGCCCCCCTCGCTAACACGATACAACTATGGATTATGCCCTCCCTTGTACTTTTGCCTCTGCCCTCGCAGATTTCCCCCAAAAGTAGGAGACTGATAAAAACCCCCCAACATCCTCCCCTCCAACAGACCCACCCACCTTAACAGGAACAGCAATTACAATATCAATGAGAATCTATAGTAGTTGCGGAAATTTATAGACGGCATTCTGCCCGAATAAAGACAGAAGAGAGATTTTAATACCTGTCTCCTAGATAAACTTCAGGCCAACTCCATTTTCTACGCTCCGTGTTTTCCTTCTCTTAATTTATCCAGTGAACTAACCTTCCAGGATGAAAGCTATATTACCTCGCAATATTTCTTACGACTTGAAGAGGACGATGGGGATCTCGGCGAAGTTTGCGGAACTATTTGTTCAGGTGTACAGGGTCTGCGCGCCGAACATACTGGCCTCGTAAAAACATGAAAAGCCATTACTGTATTACGGGTTGACGCTCTGCTCTTGACCTAATTATGCTATTTATCGCCATGTCCCTGCTACAGCATAACTTTGCTTAGTTCCGCCTTGACATCTTCATCACTCCACCGAACGAGGACTTTCTCCTTGTCCTGCTCCATCTTTAACTTAACAAAGGGCTCCATTGCATCAATCTTGTGCTGGCTGAGCAGGTGAAGCCTTGCGTGGCGATCAGCATCCTGATTTTCGCCAAAGTACCGAGAGTCCAGGTACCTCCAGAACAGAAAGTCGAGGGCCCAGCTGTTCCTTGCTGCATAGCGAATCATCCAAGACTTGCTTTCCCAGTTCCTTTGCATCCGTCGTGAAAGAGACCAGGTCTCATTGTCTGAGACTGAGAGACCTTGGGGATCATCCCTGATTTTATCCCCCACCCGTAGCTTGTTCTCCTCCTCTTCCAAGACGGAAATAAAAGTCCTAAAGTGAGGCTCATAAACCCCCATCCAATCCTCATACCCTCCTGGCCAGTATTCAGGATATTTTAGTAGGAGCCACCAAGGAGGATCATAGGAGAACTCGGCCGGAGCTGCATAGGCAAATTCCCAGTCAATGACGCCGACCACCCGAAGATCCTTATCGATCAAAACATTAGACGGTCCCAAATCCTCAGAGAAGAGCCGGAATATGGGCTCACGATTCTCTCGTGTCTGGGGGTCGAATCCGGAGGCTAACCGCCCATCAGATGCGAGTTTCCGAAACAGTTGGCGAGCAACATACTTATCGTATGCATCATCCTCGTTGTCAACCGCGTTGTTATGTTGAAAGGTCAGCTGAAGGAGGTGCATGTCGGCCATTGCGTTATACCACTCATTCGACGTTGCAAACCCGTGGGTTGGGAGGAGGCTGGCAGGAGCATCCGTGAGTTCAAAAAGAGAATTCATGTTTTGCATTAGTCGTCTCCCAGAAACGGAAAACTGGCCTTCCTTGTTCTGGACCGAGGACCCGATGCGAGAAAAAGAGAGGGTAGATAACTGGAGAAGGATATTCGCCATCTGCCTGTAGAGAAACTGAAGCTTCTGCTCGTTGATATTGGGGTCTAGGGAGTGAGAATCCGTAGGACCGAGCAAAGGGTCGGTCATTGAGCACATGAGATAAAGTTCGCTCGTGTTCAACATACTCCATGATGATTAATGGCCCCCAGCCCAACGGGTTTTCTTCTGCAGTTCCCCAGTAGTATATTTCGGGAACTGGAATCGTAGTGTTAGCAGCAACATACCGCATAGTCGCCACCTCATAACGAACCTTCTTATCCGGGAACTTGACACCTTGTTTATGTCAGTAGCTTACTTGGAAATGGCCGGAATTAAGGAAAGTAAACAACTCAGTACCGCACATACCCGGACAGGGAATTCTCAGAGCCGCGGAAGCTCCGTCCTCGTACTCCAAGCGGTAGAAGATATTATAGCCGCCTCTAATCAGCTTATGAAGCTCGACAGGCTTTCCAAGTCGGTGCTTGCCAATGAAGCTGGCGACTTCACGGTAAATAGCAGCCTTGTGAAGCGATTTCTCCCACTCATCGGACTGGTTGTCGGAGTGCTTGTAAGCAAGCTCATCCATGTCCATGCGAATATACCTGAATCCAGGTGCCATCGTTTTAAGCAATGAGCCTCCAAAGGGAGTCACAGCAAGGGAACTTAACCAATTGGAGCTCTTATCATCGACAATTTAACGCTCAAGAAGTAGGTTGACTCTAGACTCGTCATAAGCCCCTATCAGCCGCGCTCCCAGAGATCCCCAGGATAGGCGTTGACGGTTAGAAACGCAACACTGGGGCGGGGAACGGCTTGGAGGTGCTTGAGCACTGAGGAGATGGGGAGAGAACCCAATAAAAGAATTACTAATATTTATGGCACGCAGTACCTTCGGAAAATCTTGCTCCCGGTCGCAACCACTTCAACGTCGCCCTACATTTCGCCTCCACTCGTCCGTCATGCACACGGAGCCCCAAGATGAGGGACATGATCGTCGAGGCCCAGGCTCATGAAGCTCGGAGTCGCTTCACCGAGTCAATCAACCAGAACGACATTCTGAAGCTCGCTTCATCGTACCGCGGCAATGAACCCGCTGGGATCTTTCATGTACAAACCCCATTTGAACCTTCTGAAAGTTCTGATACATACTTGCCACGTCTTGGGAATGGGCCTTATTGTAGAGCGAATCTCTTCTAAGCCTGATATTTATGCGGTTATTCCTCCCGCTTCTCAGAGGTAGTATAATTCTTGATCTCCTCATCAATTCATCCCTCGGTTCCACGGCTAGTTGATAGCTTCTTCCCGATTGCGTGAGATGAACCAAAGCCGTGGCAAACTTGTCGCCCGACTATCCACAACCACCAAGCCAGAAGCACATGGTCCAGCAGGAGTTGAGCCCCCCAGAGTCGCCATTCGATGTAGCAACGCCAAACCGTCAAAAACGCAACGCGACCGATGCCGACGTCATTCCTCGTCCTCATCATGGCAGCAGAGTCAGTTCGCCTGTCTCATCTGTCTCCACCTCTTCTTCCATCCACTCGCGCTCATCATCGCTGTTTAAGAGACAAATAATGGGACTGCGACTCAACGACGCAGGCCTCGAGGTCCGCCAGCTACGCGTTGATGCTGCGCCCAACCCGCGAGCTGCTTCTCTACTCGACATCCTCGGCGATATTGGGAAAGCCAACGACATCCTCTCGGAGAGCCAGCGTGATTCCATTCTCAATAGCGTACGCCCCAACATCCGCCAATGGAGGCACTCGTTCAAATCCCCCGGGAGTTCGGACAGTTTGCCTGGTCGCATTCCGTCGCCTGACGAGATGTCCCAGTTGCTTCAACGAGCTAGCGAATGCCATGATCCTGGCCACGATGAGGCAAGCTGGAACGTAGAAGTCTACAATTACCTATTGAGCCTCATCCTTCGCGAACCTGGCACCGCAAAGGGAGGACTGTTGAACTTCACAACATGGGGAGTCTTACTCGCGTAAAACATAGATTGCTACCTAATATTAATCGTATTACCTCCACAGTACCACTACTCGGCCGCACGCAATATGGCTTCCGCAATCTACAAGGGCTAAGTTGGTCGACTACTGCATCTATGCCGACCTTATTAGCCAGGATGCCTCCACTACACAGACCTTGTCGGCTTTTTGCCAGAAGATGCCAACCCTCTCCGCCAACCATACCGAATCCAGGCCATCGCAACTTCGTCCAATTGTTTTAAGCATCGAGACTAAGAGACCGGGAAGCGAGCTGGACGCAGCCCAATTGCAGATGAGCGTCTGGCATGCTGCTCAATGGTCTTTCCTGCACTCTGCCGTTCTCATGTCGCTGCAGTCAAGGCAGTTGAGCGAAGCGATATCTCCCGAGCAGCAGGCTGAGCAGGCAGACACTGCGTTGTCTCGCTTTCTTACCTGACGGCATCTTCATGGGCCATCGATGGTTATTTCTCTTCTCAACACGCGAGGGCGCCAAGACGATACTCTGGCCGGAAATCTAATTTGGTAGTACCCAATACCTTATCGACAACTACCAGATCGTTGCTGGGGTAAGGGAGCTCGCTGCGTGGGCAAGAGACGAGTACCTACCATGGTTCCAGAACTACATTCTGAGTGGGTATTCGTCGACTGATATGAAGTCTTCCACCGTTGTCGCCCACGATGAAACTGACGCCATCATTGAACACACCGAATGATAAGAGAAAGGCATTACTGAAGACATCACGCCGGTCAGGACCTTCCCGTCGAGCCTTTATTACAGCCAGGAGGGTGTCTTGACGAGGTGATCTGCTTGGGTGGTTCATTCATCGTCCCTAGTGTCCCTTTATCTAGCGGTCACAACCGAAGTCCCAATCCATTGGCGGTACTGGCCGTGTCCGTCCGCCCTAATGACCATAAACGTCCAATACGATGTGGACTCCGATATGTGTCTTCCAATCAGACAGGGAACGGAACGAGTGTAACTACTCTCAGCACCTGAGTTCAACATGGCACCGCAGCCGGTTATGTGAGCATGGTTTGGAGCAATCCGAGCAATGTTTTTCCCAACGGAACCTCCCTCGCTGACAGGCAACGGGTGCCGTCCCGGGTAACGATGCTCTGGGTCAAAATACAACGCCCCTGAAGGCGGTTGGTGCCCTGTATCCAGATTCACAGCATCGACTGGTATAAGGCCGACGACGACGTTGGGCGTACAGAGTGGGTCTACGTCGCCGACTCGAGCAGCTTGAGTCTCGTCGAGGCCCAGACACCGCTGGACGAGATCGTGTTTGCAGAGAACCCGTGGGTCCAGGAAGCCGCCTGGTTGCTGCCAGACCTCATAACCATGATTTCCGTCATGAACTCGACGCTCCTGCTCACGTTCGACAACATTGATGGCTAGGTCGAGTTGTTGATGCGTCAAGCGTACCTGGCCGCCTGGGACATGTACCACGAATCCTTTGACGAGGACCACAAGGGTGACGTGTACTCAGCGATCCCCAGTGTGTCCAGGCAGCTGGCTGATGTGTCATTCGCAAGAGTCTTTGCGTGACTGGCTATGTGTGCACTTATATCAGTCTCAGGGGCTTTGCTGCTCGTGGCGGGTTTAAGAGGGGATGACCTGAAGCCACCCGAGCAGGACCTCGGGGACGCAAGGGCAGAGAGGTAGCAAAAAGAATTTGGAGTGTTTACATCGGGTTTGTGGCCTGGGTAGTTGGAGGAACTGTTTCCTTGTTCAGAGGGTCAAAATAGTGGCTCAACAACTATATCTAATAAGGCCGTCCTTAGTCGGCTCGTCTAGGAAGATATTTGGAGGTCGAATTAGACCTTCTCATTGACGTATGCGGTATTGAACATGTCCACTTCGGGTGTAACGCATCATCTGATCGCAGACTGCGTCCGACGCATTCCCTGTAGATGCCAACTCGTCAGCATCAAGGCCGCTGCAGTACCGAGAGAAGGGTAGAAATCTTACCGGTTGCGGCATTAACCACTCCTCTGAGGAAAGCTTCACATTGAGCAACACTGCCCTACAGTACCACAACAGTTTTGAACGAATCTAACCCTCGACCAGGGACCATTCCTTCTGGTCCAGGGCGATCAGGCCCAAGAATCTCATGGTCGACGACGGTCTGAGAATCACCGTCCTGATTGCTTGAGAATGGAGTCGTGAGGTAGGGCAAACTAGTGGCTTCAGAAGATGGCTGGCAAGATCAATGGCACTTTGAGCAAAGATACCCGATTTCGAGATACCTGAGGTTGGCCTGGCTCCAGTATTGGCCGTCCGGTCCTGGTTGTTTCACGCCTTGCGGATCGATACGTCGTCCATTAGAATTGTAGAGAGAAGCAGTGTTGTTTGAAGATATCTGCTCAGTTTGGCGGTATGCTCTCCGTATTCTGTGGGCTAGGTCTGGTCCTAGACTCCTGGGGCCACGAGGTTGCCATGATCCTTGGGACACACTTGGCGTAGCGACGGGTAGTAGGCTATCCAATTGACCCTTCTGAATGTGTTGAGACGCTGCTCGAAATGCGATGCAGCCAGGCCAACCGGTGGCAATTATTGGCCGGGGATGCGCTGTAATGTGATGTGGCTTGCTTGCTGGCTCGTCTGGTCTTGACATTGCGCGAGCTTGCAGCGATGGCTGGAATTGTCTTCCTGGACTGGTAGTGGAGTTTTCTCTACATCCTGCAACTCATTAGAACTTTATTGATACTAAATAGCTCAGAGTTGAGGCTCAACCTATTTTGTGGCGGACCCGTGTCTATGACATCCAAGAAAACACCCTTCAGACCAGATTCTCCTCCGGAGCCTGACATCATTGAATCGGTCATGGAGCTTCGAATCAAAATGGAGCTGCCAAGCGATGAGGCGTCCAGGCCTCAGGCTGAGCAGTTGCTATTTTTACCCTGACGCTTTAATCCAGGAACTTCAGCGCCAGGTTGCAACCTCCAATGAAGATTCTTTCGTCACTTCAACCTCCTAAACTGTATAGTGGCTCCCTCTTCCAACCCGCTCTTGATACGCCTCCCAGCCTTCCTGCTGGTATAGCTTGGCCGTAGCAACCGGGTCATCAGAGGCGTAGATGCCTCGTCCCGCGATGATGAAGTCAGAGCCACCTTTGATAGCGGCCGCGGGGCTTTGGTACCGCTGCCCGAGATTGTCCCCCTTTTGGTTCCTGTTGACTCCTGTAGTGAAGACAACGAAATCTTCATTGGTCTTACATCCCTGTTCCCGACCTTCTGCTCCCAGAGACCGAGTTGCCACAAATCCCATTACAGCCCCGCTGTTCTTACGAGCGGCTTCGACACATAGCTCAGTGTAGCGACCGGTGGCAAGGCTGCCGGAGGTTGTCATCTCAGCAAGGACAAGTAGTGCCCTCTGATGGGGGTATGGGAAGGAGTCGCTTGAGATAGTTTGTGCCAGTGCCTGGACGACACCTTCGCCACCCAGAATGCTCAGATTGACAATGTCAGCCCACTCAGAGATCCTCAGAGCCCCTCCATGGTATTGCTTTTGCGCTGTGTTCCCGATGTCGACAAATTTGCGATCCTCAAAAATGAGAAAGTTGTGCTTGGCGGCGAGAGACTTTAGGCCGGTAACCGTTGCGTCGCTAAAGTCACTAACGATGTCGACGTGTGTTTTGAACACGGCGATATAAGGGCCCAATACTTGAGAAATTTTGGTCAATCACCTTGTATGTGTCCAGGGCAGGTAAGGGCTTACAATCGGCACATTCCAGTAGGTCGTTCGTGTTGTTGAAGTCGGCCGAAATGATGAGGTTAGACTTTTTCGCTTCGGCAATCATGAAGAGTTTCCTGGCAACGGGATGGGAATGAAACACTGCCCGAGTGGAGTAAGTGAGTGAAGACTTTGAGGTCATGGTTGTGGATCAAGATGGTGGGCGAGGTGTAGAGGGTGTGACCGATCTTGTCCGCAGAGAACCTGAGAGAAAACTTTTTGTAGCAAGGGAGGCCAACACCTTTTAAATGACTTTACACTGGATGAGAGCCTATCAGGGTAACTTCAGTTGCGGTGAAATGCCGAAATGGAGCTTATTGGAGTAATTATCCAAGGTCTAGCCGCATATGCAGCCGTGACAATGGAGCTTATTGAAGTTAGGTTTTATTCTCTTCTCCATTTGCCCCAAAGAATGCGAGAAATCTACCATCCCAGAACAAACATATCCCCTGGTGATACTTCTGCTGTGGCGAGCCAGCCAATGCATTCCCATCGGCAAAATGAAGGGCGGGGGAATTTGTTTTCAAATGAGGAATGGCAATACTTCACAGATAGTGTGACGAGGTCATAGTAAAATTCGGTTATCATGCAAAACACAGTGAAATAATAACGATGCCAGATCAGTAGTTGAAAACAGAAGTATCAAAATTTATCTACGAAATAGCCTTCCTATCAAAATCTCAATGCCCGGCCGCACTCATCAACCAAAATCATCCGTCATATCTACCCCACTATACAATGCTTGGAGACACAGCCAACCCTCCGGCGAACTCTTTGCTACTTTAATGAGCCACCAAACGGGGGAAAGTCCGAAGTGTGTTGCTGAAACAAACGAAACTCTGGGTAAAGAAACCACCCCTACCTGAAGATTCCAACCATCATTCGAGACATTCGAAGGGCTGAAAACCGTTTCTCTCTTGTCGTCCACTCGTTCCGCGTCCTTCCAGGGATTTACAAAGAAGACCCGGCACAGCCAATCAACTTCAACAGCGAATCGGACAGTGTTGGAAAGTTTCTTCCGGAAGCTCAACGGCTCCTAATGGAACATGTGCCTGGAGCCGAAAAGGCTGTCGTATTGGACTATGCCTTAAGAAGGGCAAGCCTTAACAAAACCCCATCTCGCCAAGTCCTCTGAATTCGCATTGATCAATCCCCGAAAAGAGCATTTGGCCGAGCGAGGCTTCTCCCAGATCTGGTATATGTGGAATCAATTGATTATGGCAATTTAGCTGTCCTGATTATGCATCTCCACGAAGTGGATCACCCACTCTCTGGCCACCCATTCTCCTCCTCCTCCTCCTCTTCCACAACCACAAACTCCTTCCAGCGAGTCCCCGACTAATATTTCCCCTCCCAAGCGAACCGTCCAAACTTCTTCTCGAGATATGCCACCACGCCCCACTGCCCCTTCTTCACTGCCGCTGCCCGCACGCTGCCGAACCGCCCGCCCTTGACGCCAACGATGTCCTTCTTGGTGAGCCCGACGTCCTCGACGAGCCACTTGAGGACCTCGATGTTGCCGCTCTTGGCCGCCATCTGCGCTATGGTTCCGTACTTGCCCCCCTGGGCGGTCACAGCGGCACGGACATCGAGCCCCGTGGCCGCGACCAGCATCTTCAGGCAGCGCAGGCTCTCGCGGCCGGCCGACCACTCGCTGGCCGCCATCTCCAGCTGGGCCGACACGTGCAGCGGCGAGCCGTACTTGGAGCCGCCGCCATCGCTCACGTCGGCCCCCGCGGCCAGCAGCGCCGCGATGGCCTCGTCGTGGTGCTCGTACGCGGCCACGTGGAGCGCCGTGCCGAAGGGCCCCTCGGCCGAGACAGCGCGAGCGTCGGCGCCGGCGTCGAGCAGCGGCTGCACCATGGCGGGACAGAAGCGCGCGGCAGCCTGCAGCGCCGAGGGCAGCTCGCCGCCGTCGAGGTTGGGGTCTGCGCCGGCCGCGAGGAGGGTTTTGGCCGCCGAGACTGCGCCCTCGGTGAGCGCGGCTGTGAGCGGCGGCGGATGGAAGGCCGCCTTGAGGTTGACGTTGAGGTTGGGTGCGGCGTTGCGCAGCGGCTGCGGGCTGGGGTCGGCGCCGCGCTGGAGGAGGAGGTCGAGGATCAGGTGTCGTTTGTTCATGTCCGTTGCCTCGCAGACGTGCATGTTGCTGACTGCCGCCGTCAACGGGCATCCATAGTCACCGCCGCGGTAGCTGGGATCCGCGCCTTGGTCCAGCAGCCAGACGACAAGGTCCAGGACGGCCCCGTGAAGCGCCTTTTGAAGCGCGGCGTTCAGGTACCGCTCGCGCTGGGTTGCCGTCATGGGCTGGGCAAAGAGGCAGATGAGCATATCCTGGCCTCCCGAGACGGCCTCGTGGAACGTGTATTCGCCCGCAGTGTGAAGGTCCGCGCCGTGCTTCAGTAGCAGCTCGACCAGCTCGACATTTCCCTTTGTGCTCGCCGCGGCGCTGAGAGGGCTGACGCGCTCTTGGCACAGCGCGTCCGGGTCTGCTTCTTTCTCGAGAAGAAACTTGACCATGTCCATGTCACTCTTCAGACATGCGTCTGTAAGCGCATTGCAAATTTTGTCAGGGGCGTAGTTTATGTCTGCGTTGAAATGGACGAGCAGGTCCACAAAATCTTTCTTGCCTCTCGAAGCGGCTTCCTACTCAGGGGGCCATAACGTTAGTTCCAATTCTCTTGGACGAGACCACAGCTCAATCTTGAGCGTTATTCAGGAGGGGGGACATACCAGGATCGGGGTTTGGAGTGATGTGTGGCAGTTCGGGTTCATCCCATCGAACAACATCTCCTTGGCATCCTCAATAGCGCCAGCCTCGATCAATTCGATCAGGGCAATTGCGCCGCTGCTTTTCGATAGGGCTCCCCGCTCTATCAACAGCTGATATGTCTCCTTGTCCCTTCTCCGGCGGCCTATCGCTTGCGCAGGGCAGCAGGCGCTTATATCAGCCCCATGATCGAGCAAGATCTGGAGGGCCGGGGTGGACTGAACATACGCTATCCCGTTGCCGCCGTTGACGTCTGCGCCCTTCTCCAGCAAGAGGTCTGCCAAGCGCAGAACCTTTCTGTCTGTGCAGGCGTGGTAGATGGCCCACGTAAACGGCGTCTCGGTCTTGGTGTAGCGGTTTGGGTCGGCGCCGCTGTGCAAGAGGTCTTTGGCGAATTCAAACATCTGTTCCTTGATGGCGTAGAACAGGACAGACCCGTCCTCGGCCATGGCGTCGATGTAGGCGCCGCTATTCAGCAGCAGCGGCAAAGCTCTCTCAGACTTCTCCTTGATGGCCTTGTGCAACGCTGAGCCATCGCGTTTCTCCCACGCGTCCACGTTGCCGTTCCTTTGAAGCATTCGCTCCAGAAAGTACGGGTGACCATTGTAACGCTCCACGGCGATCAGGAACGCAGCATCTTCGAACTCTGCATTGCGGTCGAGTAAGATCTTGACCATTTCAATGTCGCCGATCCACATGGCGGCGTGGAAGCAATTCTTATACATGGAACCTGTTCAGCGTCAGCATTGCAGTCAAGCGGGCCAATGTTCCAGTCGAAGACAATAGTCATAGCCTCCATATATGGTCGAAGCAACAGCGTTCGACTGAGCCTTACCTTGTCTGTTCGGGTCCGCTCCAGCTTCCAGGACCGCACGGAACGTCGCCATATCCCTGCTCTCGACGGCGGCCTCCAGCGCCGTGATCCCTTCGTCGCCGCCCGAGACGTTGACTTCGGCCCCGGCCTTCGTCAAGACGCGCACCACCTGGACATGGCCCGCTCTAGCCGCGACGCTGATGGGGTAGCCGAACTCACCGCGGCCGCCCTTGTTCACATCAGCGCCCTTGCGGAGGAGCAGCTCCACCAAGGGCACCGAGCCCCTGAACGAGGCAGCGTACAGCGCCGTCCCGTCCGAGTCCTGCAGCTCGTTGATGTTGGCGCCGGCGTCTAGCAGCGTCATCAACATATCGCAGCCCAGCCGACTGTTGGTTCTCGGCGCCTGCGAGGTGCCAGTGGGACATCCAGTTGCGAGCCGCGTACTCCAGCAGGGGCCACTCGTCGAACTCGGGTTCCTGGGCCATCTCCCCCGAATTATACTGGAGCAAGTAGAACAGGCACGACCTAGCCAGAGCGGCGTTTGCTAGCCCTTCAGAGGTTTGGTAGTTGGCCAGCGCCCCCGTTCCCAGCCTCGGAGAGACCAGGTACTCCTTGACGGAGGAGTGACTGAGGGAGACGACGGTGAAGGTGCGGCTAGTACCTTTAGGCAAAGACGTGGAAGAATGTCCCATCTCGGTGTCTATCTTATCCGCGAGCCAGTTCTTGACGCCGTGACGGTGATCAATGGTGGAAGTGGTGACAAGAGAGCCGCAGAGCTCGACGATCATGTTGTGATCAAAGAACCGAGCGTGTTCCACGTCGAAACCATCGCCGTCTGGCTGAAGTACCGCAGCCTCTGCAAGCTCCTGGATTTGGAGCGGCCGGGCGGAAAAGGCCAGCCAGTGCAGGGCCGACTGGACGAAAGGCTGGTGATGTTTTGGGACTTGTTGGAGTATCCGATCGTAGGTCTGATCGAGCGTCTCGGGCATACGGCTCAGCTCAGCGTGGACCATCGCGGGTGTCAGACACTTTCTCATCGCGTCGAGCTGGCACACGGCCCATCGGAACCTGTAGTGTTGTCTTTTAGGTCTTGACTGGCGAGGACATGGCCTTGCAGGCTCGGGTAATGGCAGGGGGAGCGTGGACGGTAACGACTTACATGCCATTGGAACCTTTTTCAATAGCATCCAACACCTTGTCTTGAACAGCCGGCTTCCATCTAGAGAGCTGAGAGTCCCGAGAAATGGAATTGATGACGTAGACTCTCACGTCTGCGTCGACTGCCGAGGTATGGATCCCGACCGTGTGAGACATGGACGGCAGCAACTCAGCCTCGATGTCAGGCTCTCTTCTGCTTGTAACCAGGAGGCTCAGGTTGCTGGGAAGCGGACGCTTGGGGTTGAACAGAGTGTCGAAAAAGACGGCCCGCTCGTCCTTGGGACATTCGTCAAGAGCATCAATCAAGATGAATGTCCTCTTTGAACTGGAGATCTCGGCCATGACCACAGCGAGCAGTGCATCGAGGTCAGGCTCCGAGAACCCGTTGTACCTTTCGTACAGCGCAGCGACATAGTCGGAGACGGTCGGGTCGGAGGAGGTGAGCTGGTGGACGACAGATCTGAGGAATGCCGCCACGCTCTGTTTCTTCAGATCCGAGAAATCGAAGTAGAAGTAGGCGACCTTGACGGCCGGTTCGTGGTCCCACTCCAGACGAACGTGTTCGATGATGGCAGAGCAGAGAACCGTCTTGCCGGCGCCGGGAATCCCGTGCAGCCAGAGAGACTCGCCAGGCCTGTCGGCCCAGCTCGTGAACTCCTCAGCCCGAAAGAGCCACGTGGACGTATACGGCTCGTGTTTGGCTCGAGCCACCTTGTGGTTCTGCTCGGGATCGCTGGTCTTGAGCCACGAGAGAATGTCCGCCCGACTGGACGTTCCCTGCAGATCTTCGAACTTCTGGCAGAGTCGGGTAACAACACGAGTCTGGTGAGCGAACAAGGCGAGTTGGAGCGTCCCCTTCAGCTTGTTGATCACCTTCACTTCTTGCTGAATGAGAGAGGATTGGAAGGGCCAATTGACCCACGGCGACCGGTCTGGCTTGGTAAGAGCCTGTAGCATCTGATATGCCTCGTTGAGTGGTACTTCGCACGCCTTCACAGCGGTCAAGCAGGTTGCTGATGCCGGTACTCTGTGGCCGCCATCAACCAAGGGCCGGAAATCCAAATCTTGGCCATCTTCCAGAGGGAGGATCCCATGGAGACGTTGCAATGTGGATTCCAGCCCCTCGATGTCGGTGATGATGCGAACGATGTCGTCATCTGGATCCTTCACCTGACTGCCGATGCGATAGGAAGCCAGCAGGACGGCCTGGGCGACCTGAATCAAAGCGTGCACTCTCGCTTTCAGGGCCAGAGGATCCATGGCTGCGGGGACTCAACTGTGCCCCAGTGTAGGATTTCCTGGTGTTGTGGTAGCTGGCTATGTTTTCGTTGTATGTCGACGAGAACGAGAGACTGAAGGGTGAGGTTTATATATGAAAAGCGTCCCTGGAGCTCCACGGATAGACTGAAGCCAAACTCCCTCTGGGCCTCTAGACACGGCCTTAGCACGGCCCCCTTATTAGCACGGTCGCCTTATTATTAGTTCGGTCGCCTTAAGTCGTTGCAGGCCAATCATCCTGCCACTATCACCCCGACGCCCCGCATGATCGCCCTCAACCGCATGCTTAGAAAGTGGGGCATCACTATTTTGAGGCCGAGAGCCTAGTTGACCCCCACTGGAGCATCCCTTCCCTCGGGTCAGCTAGCTTCCTGGCATAGTGAGTTCCAGGACAAGCTGCCGGTTGTTACCACTTCGAATATCGCTATCCCGTTCTCATTATCTTGGTGATGAAGCCCAGATTCAACCTCAACTAAGGATGGCTGGAATGAGGGGTTACTGCCTGGTTCAATGTATGTATGTTAGTTGATGAATGTCTTGGCGGTCCGCAGCACCGCCGAACCGCGGAAGGCGATTGTGAATGCCCCGCTCGCCAAAAGAAAAACTACACCTTGATAATGGTCCAGACTTCTTGGGTTGAAACTGTTATTCACCGCTTCTTTTTGACGCCAGCGAATCACCGTCCCAGATGCCACTTGACGGAGCCGGTTCTGGTGCGGGGACGATTAGCCCGGGAGACAGCCTCGGCCGGCATGGCTATGCATGTAAACTATTGGCGAGGGGGTTTGGGCCGTATCTGGGATCAATGAGGAGGAACCGCGAGGCAGATTACAAGGTCTGGCTGAAGCAATATGCAACATTGGCGCAATCCTCGGCTTATCACTCCGACGTCACCATCCAATGAGGCTTTGGTGTCGGGAGGGGATATGAGACAGATGAGGGCATAGCTTAGCTGAGGGCATGGTTCAGCGACGAAGTGGCAAACCTTGCTCGAGAGGGGAGATGAGATTCGGGAACTGCGAAGAGTGGAATTGGGCGAAGAGGGAAATTGGCCGCCAACTTGGTGTTGATTGGAAGGATCGCCAATGCAGTGTCATTGCCATCATCGCTGGCGTGATGCATCGATATATTCTCCCACCGTAGCCGGGTGTGCCTCTCCAAGCCTCATTTCCACCCTCAACAAGCCCAAAGGCAACACCCAAACAAATGAAGCAAAGTGCCAAGAGTCTAACAAGACGTCAAATTCAAACCTGTGGACCACCTCTGGAGCCATTTTGTGGCACCGCAACAACGGGACGCACACTCTTGCCATCGAACCGACACTTCACATTAGAAAGCGAAGTAATTACCGGCAGATGGATTTGAATTTCGCTAGCCTGGTCTATTTCCATTCTAACTGACACCTCTCCTTAGGAAGCGAAGTAATTCCCGGCACATCGGGTTCGCTATCCTCAGCCTCTTCTATTTCCCTTCTCACTTCGAGCACACACTCTGGACACAGGGGCGAGTACCTGATTGCCCAGGCCAATACTATTAGGTTCCAAATCTCCCATGCGTCAGTCCTCGGCTCCATGACGGTGAATCTCTCTCCATCCTCTTTCCAGTGGCTGCTCCTGGCCGGCCGGTACTGTAAACATTTCTGACAGGGCACTGACATGAACCTCGGCTGCCCGAGCACATCCAGAGGAGCCAGCCTTCTCAGCAACGTGTCCATTCTATGGCAGAGCAACATGGGGAGGTCTCTCAGCTTCACCACAGAAGGAATCTTCACGACTAGGGATGACGAAGTCTGGAGGAGATGTCTGCGTGACTTGGGAGAACACGTTGTGGAGCACCTCGGGTGGAAGTTGAACAAGAGACGAAGAAATGCGGGGTACGGCATTTAGAAGCTATCCATCCATGCGTTAGATGAGCCGATCTGAGTACGGGAAGCGGGTGCGTACCTCTTTTGGAATGATGAAAGGGACGGTGGGGTGCGTACACTTCACCAGCCTCATGTTGGGCAGTCAGTCCCTGATGGATCTGCACTCCAGGCGTTAGTACCGAGCGTGAGAAAGACGACGATGGTCTTTACGGAAGAAAGAATCGTCACGGACGCGACTTACTTCGGCGGCTCTTGGATGGAAGTGCGTAGTTTTTAGACACCTGGCATCGGCAGTGTGTGTTGGTGAGAGTGAAGCAGCCCTGGCAGATTGTTGGGAAGACGGCTCAAGCAGATCCCGAGGAAGACACCTCAGGCAGATTCCGGGGAAGACACCCCAGGCGGCAGCATCTTGCGGGGTTCGGAGGACAAATGATCCTGTGGCTCAACGCGGCTGGTGTAGTGCGTGGTGTGTAGTGCGTGGGGGTTGGTAGAGACCTGTTTCAGCTTGAAAATTACATGTCAGGTTTAACATTACATCGAGGTTTGGTGATACACGATGGCGCGACGGGATGTTCGCAGATATCAGCTTGCCGCTGTGTTAGGCATCAAATGTCCGCGCAATTCACTGGAGCATTGTGTTTGCTTGGCGGATCAGCACCTATGGAGTCGTGATAAAGAGGCTCACCCTGCTGGGCAAACATCAATCGGCTTGCTAAGCTTGCTTCTAGTGTGGCACGAGCTATCGCGACTAGCGGGAAGCGTGGACCGTTACGGCAGCGAGTGGCTTCAATAATTGAAACCTTCATGTCTGAGGCGACGTTTAGTCTACTTGACAAGTCATCGTGGAAGAAAGCACACGGATGATACCGTAGATGTCTCCTACCTCTCTGTCCTGTACTGGTTTGCATTCCGCATTCCACGGTCGCAGCACCATGCATTTAGGTGTCCCGGATCTCTGGTGGTTGCATGTGCATCGGCATCGCTCTCACTGAACCAAACACTAGCTGTTGCCAATTCCACCCTCGTCTTCTCTACTTTGCCGTTCCGTATAATTGTGATAAGCTGTTTGCTGTCGTTCATAGTCATAGTAAGGTTAAAGCCAAAACCTTACTCATCCATCCAGAGCAAGCCAAGGACTATAGATATTAATTGCAGTCTGTAATAATTACGATAGAACTGTTCGGATGCACCTCTTCCAAAGCGATCAAGGGTCTACATTCCCATAAAAGAACCGCAAAGAGTGAAGCCCAAGATGAAGCGACGGGTATACTGCGCAGTGGGAACTTCCCTTACGTACCTCCCCAAGTCGAGCCATGCTTTAGAGGCGACATCGGCGGATGTGTTAAGCCTTAGCTCTCTCGTTCAGGTCGGGCATCTGGGTTACAGACGGCTCTGCGCTATTCTTGTCATTCCCGGCACGAGTTATGCGGGAAGACTGATTCGGAAGAGCATTTGATGTGCGAGGCTTCACGCATGTGGGCGCGGACATACATCCGCACGCCCGGCATGCGAGTCCTCGACCACAACGCCAACCCCAACGACTGGTGAGAACGTGATCTGTCACATACTGCGCTCCTTGCATTGAAGCCAAGAGTCCGGACAGTTCCGCTTCAGCCTGCCGCGTACCTCTACCTATCATGCAACTGCCGAGACAGCAATGAGGCCACCCAACGTCGCTTTCCCAGCTCGCCGACCAGGCTACGAATCATGTCCCTCAATTCACGAGACATGGCGCACGGCGTCTCCGGTGATCGGCAAAGGCGGCTTACGCATTATATTACGGGCGCCTTGGTCCCCCTCACCGTCTTCTTGTCATCACTGCCATGCAAACAACAGCCTGGGTTTGCTACGGACATTCACCCTGCATCAAGCGACTCTAAGCTACTCTCGATCCCTCCGCCCAGCATGTGCACCATCTACAGAGTAAGCTTCTCTTGCCAAAGGCTAGACCACCAAGAATACATCACCCGCTGCGATAAAGGCCCTGATTGCCCAGTAAAGAAAAGCAAGGCGCTTGTTGAGCGGAGTGACGCATGGGAAGTGTGTATGGATGAAACCCATCAAATTATTGATCCTCACCTACCAATGCCGAAAAAGTGACCTGTCACTCTCTGCTCTCCCCCTCTTCCCTCTTCTCTCTTCTCTCACCAAATGCGGCAATTACCAAGTGGAGAAGATGGTCGAGGGAACATATCGCATCCCATCCCGGACGACAGGGATATACTACGATAAGCTGGCTATCTATTACTGTACCGTTGCATTTGGCATTCGGAGTTTCTACCATGGAGAAGTATTGAAGGAACGAAAGCTGTATGGACGTTAAGCTGGTTGTCCGTTACCTTGGCGTTGGAAGGGAAACAAATATTGGCCTGTCTCTACCTTTACAAATGTATGCACAGCACCGTGGAATAGAAAGTCGCCTTCTCTTCTATTGTGTTCTTCCTGGCCCAGCAACGCAAAGCAATGCTTGTTGTAGTAGGCACATCTACGGGTTTGCACACTCATGTACAGAATTTAACTCCATTGCTCCCACTCCATACCTGGTATGCTGCCATCTGACAATTGCTGATCCTTCCACACTTCCCCGGGTCTCGAGGTAAATATATGAAGTGTGGGCCTGGGGGGTTGACACCCGGAACTTGTCGTGGATTTCGTACACCCTCGGGTCCTGGTCAAGCAGAGAGCCAAATGGTGTCTAGAAAAAGTGCTGTGTCGAGTTGACACTCAGCGTCCGTACCTGAGGTCGCAGACGGCTCACGCCAATCGGTGCCGTATTCACTCTCCCAGATGCTCGCAATCTCACTTGTCACGTCGCTACTCACATCACTCCACCCTCCCCGTTCGTCTCGCCTTCGCGTCTCGCGAGTGTTGTGATGTCGAAGCAGTGCCCAGCCCATACTCCCTTTGAGATATTAGTCGTGTCACCCATACTGACAGATGAGGACGTTGGCCAGCAGATGCGTGACATGACGATTTCGCCAAAGCCCAACCCGATCAATATACCAGCCAATTTTATCCCCCTGCGCAGCGACATTCACAGGATGTTTGATGAGCGGCACTTTTGCATGGTACCAAAAATGGACGAGACAGGTTCCGAGAGAAGCAACTCAACATCTGCACCTCGTCCAGTCGGACATATCTTCAACTCCACCCCGAGCGAGCAACTACCGAAACAGTGGCACAACAGAGAATTGCATACCCTGCCGTCGGTGGTCTCGGTTGAATGTCTGTTTGCCCGATTCGCCTGGACCATTTTCTCCCCAGCTGTTTTTCGGGAATTCCTCTATTCAACTCTGACGACACGGCGACTTTTGACTTGGGACTCCGACTTACGAAAACACGTCATCGAGAATGCCGACCCAGAGAGATGCCGTCGTATCTTTGCGGCCGCTAGGTCTAGGAGTGAGAGCCCGAAGAAAAGGTCGAGAGGAGAATCTGGAGTCAGAGAGGCCCATGACGACGACGATGGGGAAGCGGTGAACGATGAACATGATCCTGACGAGAAATTCTCATCGGATATAGATAGTGGCCATCATGCTGATCCGTGGTCCTTGGTTGAGCGTCTTTCGGGTACGACCGATGTTGATGCCCAAGATGAACTAGAGCGCGGAAGGGCAAGGAAACGCAAGTCTGATGAGACTGACCACGACAGCCTTGGACTGGAGGTCACCGCTGGGGACTTTCAACGGTCCAAACGGGTCAATATGGATTCGATTTAAATGCTTGTTGGGAATATCTTGATCGGTAGTCTAGCATATCGGTTAGAGCTGGCATTTCTGTACGACCTTCCTGCTACATAATAGTATTGCGAGAATCAGCGCCTTTGACACCATAACACGCCGTCAAGCTTGACATATTTGGCATTGCCGTCCCGCGCGACACCACCATTCTCTTGTGTTTCGAGGGATGGAGCCGATGCGGGTTTGCGCCATCGAGTCCATCGGGACGATGCCCGCTCTGCCGGGCGAAAACGTGGTTGAGACCGGCACGATCATCGTAGCGGTTGAATGGAACTCTCGAACATGCCTTTCGGTAATCCCAATAGCGAGTTGCCGGCATACTGGAGCAATGATTTCTCGTTTCTACACCTGTCCAGAAGCAGCTTTGAGTATTCTTGCAAGTGGAGTTGGCGCCCATGCCTTGCCGTAAGACTGAAAAGAGTAGATGCCTTTGTAGAATTGGCTGACTGGGGTCGGGATGTCCGAGTTGCTCTCGCCGGAGCGTAGCCACAAGTCGGCGTATACAAACAAGGCACTTTGATGTAGCAATCCCCAGCCAAACAAGCAAGAACCGAACCACATATAATTCTTAGTTGGTAGATCGCTTGGCTTTCTGATGTCGTAGGGCATAGGCGACAGAACCGTTCTAAATGAAAATTCCACACTTTGCACAGGAGCTGTTTTCGGTCGCCAGACTCAATATTAGACGCAGGCTGATCATCACAAACATACCCCCGAGATGATTATGTGATACATGCTACAAGAGAAAGGAATTCCCCGATATCTTCCACATTGCCCCTGACAGCGACACGCCAAGGTTTTGAGCAAGTGCTAACATTCTTCTTATCAGATCCAGTGCTCTGTCCCAATGACTCAAGGGAATCAGCTCACTGATCGGAATGCTAGTTGCTGGAGCCATCTTCATACGATCTGGAGGCTACCTGGGTATTCAGCTTTTCACCAGACTATATTTTATGGCGATGTTTACGTTCCTTGTCGCTTTGCGCATCATTCGTGGGGGAACAGTGTGGAGTGCTAAATTGTGATTGCATCCTCATAGAATAACGTGTGGAAAATTTGGCTGTTTGGTTGGCTTCGTTCAGAGGCTTAATGTCATGGAAAGAAATCCCTCTCGGAAAACATGGCAGAGATGATGCGAGTGGATGTAGGCTCGAGGTAGCATGCATAGACACAAGAGGATCGTGAAAGAGATCCATTATAAGTAGTTGTCGGTGGGCCTCTTGGTCACAGTATTTGCATTGGAGCAGATATGGATCTGGGTATAATGCACCTTATAATAGGTGTCAAGAATAGGAAAAGAGTCAACCTTATACACACTGTCCTTAGCCCTGGTCTAAACCTGATCTGCGCCTCCGGCATCTGACCCTATGCCCAAGGCCCGGATAGGCCCCAACAATCTTTGCAGTCGCTAAGCGAACGTTTTTCAATACAGCAGAAGCTTCTCTCAAATCTCCTACTGTACAATTTAGTGCCTAACCCTCATATCAAGGCGACAAGACCACGGCCATCTCCATCGTTGAGTCGTACAAAGCCTGTCTCAACGATTTCCGGTCTTGACGTTGACAAGACCGTTAACCGAATTTTAGCTCTCTCATCACACGCATTTTCCCAAGTATCCTTGAGAAGTTCAGGTCCTTGACCGTCGACCTGCGCTACAGTAAAGGAGGTTTCTTCTCCACAGAGCTTCAGAAGTCCAGGGTCGGAAGCGATGTCTTCGTCAGAAAGCTCCTCTACATCGTCCTGCCGTGTTAGGTTGCAAATCATGTAGAAATTCCCCGCCGATCCCGATTCAAGGATCTCCAATGCGAGAACAAACCCAGTATCATCCCAATGTCTCCCTGCAAGCGATGCGTCCAGGTGCCCATCGTTGATGCGAGTAGACATAATTCTTCCTGCAAACGGATTCAGTCACAACCATATTAGAGTCGACGGCGTTACTAACCAAGTTGGGCAAACAGCAATGTTTGCTTCTCACTGCCACGGGCGGAATCATACTGAGCTCCTAGGATATTATTGGAGTTGACAGCGGTTAGATCGTGCGCGTCCAGGCTTGCGGCGTCAGCTTCTCTGGGTATCATGACCATGCTGTCCGCGTGCAACGATAGCAAGAACCTTTGGTAGCGGCCCAGAGGAATATAATTCGCGCCGCGCTTAAGGTCGTTACAGGAGAGTCTCGAGTTGACCAGGCTAAGAGCCTCGCCTCCGCTTATCCAGTTAGCCGTTGCCAGCTGGGTTCTGAAGTCAACATTCGACATTGCTGCAAACTCATCAAAGTTGAAGTATGTGGTGGTCTTGAAATAGACGTTGGTCCATTCAAAGAAAGCTTTCGCCTCTTCAAAATTGGCGAGTTCCTTCCAAAGCATGTCCATGGCCACTGCCGTACTCCCAGCACCGTTGATGCGATACCTTTGGTATCTTGATAACAGGCGCCTAAACTTGATTTCGTCAGGGGTTGAGGCCGATTTCGAAGAGGTTGGCAATGGTTCTGATGTTCCGGTGGCTGCAGAGGGGGAGGGCTGCCGAGCAGGACCGGCCGAGCCGGTCGCGAATCCTGAATCATTCGAACCGAGGCTCGATGGGTTATTGCTACTAGGCGTGCCCATCGTGGGGAGATGTGTATTTCGCCCCTATATTGAGAGGTACTCGAGGGATTTGGAATGTTTTGCTCCGAGAGCTGCACCGAGTGTGTCAAAGTGATGTGCTTAACGAGTCTGGCTAGGCAATCGTTGATAAACTACCAAAATTGCTGTCAGACAGCAGACACGAGACCAGCGGCGAGTCGGTCTTACGGTTTGATGCCGGGGTCTAATGCCGTGGAATGATGATAATGATGTATCCCGTGAATCAGGAAATGGGAAATTGGATCAGCTAGTAGGCTCCTCTTTAATCTCCATGTCTTGTGTGTTTTCGGCGATCAGCTCGTCGGGCGAGGGATTTCCGAGATGCCGGGTTACGGCCTAAGGCATCCGTCGGGCCGGGACCTTCCGTCTGACAGCATATACAGTTGAACAGACGCCGGCTTTCAAGTTTCGCCTGTCCACCATCTGCCTCGTTGAATTGCTTTTTTGCCCAAGGCGTCTGTCTACCTTGTTCCAAGTTTCCATCACTGGCTTGGTCTCGTGTGTGGGTGCGAATTCATAGTGGCCCACCAAAAGCTCTAGAAGCGCACTTGTCTGCCTTGGCCTTTCGTCCTTCGCCTTTAAAGAGCACCCCGCCCACCATGGCAGATGGGACACCGTTGGAGCCCGTTGTGGCCAATCCTACTAGCGATCCGTTTGTTGGCATATGGGCTTCGTTCTCTTTAATCTGTGAACAGGCGGGCGTCAGCCCCAACAAGGACGCGCTGGGGCATCTCTCTCAACTTGGTATGTATAACTGGATAGCTTCGCCCCAGCGCGCCTGTCTGTTTACGGTACAGACCTTCAGGAACTCCTGTCTAGTGTTCTATCGGTGTTGCAAAACCTTCCTCAAGCCCAGAGCAAGTATAAACTGGTGGGCCTTCGGATTGCCGTTCGGCAGCTTCAGATTAGTCTCGAGGAGGACCCCTTTGGCTTTGATCCTGATCGCGTTAAAGATCTCCTCAAGACAGTCTTCGCCGATAACCCAGACTATGGCCTTCTTTGGGATCAAGCCGCGTCTTGCTCACAGCCACCCGATAATAAGACTAGGGGCGCTATTCCTGAGGATAGCCGCCAGTTCTTCCTGAAGCAGTTACCTTCAGTCGAGCAAGACCATCACCTGAATCGTTGGAAGAGGTTGACCAAAGATTTCTTCCACAGCCTGGAATATCCTCGTTTTGATACCAAGAAGAGCATTGAAGACCTTCTCAAAGACGACAAAAACCTACGGCTGAAGTGCGCCAAATGGGCCATTCCTGTCTGCATGGTGCTCAGGCAACTCGCTACCGAGATGCGGATGGCAGTCGAATTGGTAGAATCTGGCAAGTGGGAGGAAAGTGTCGTCATCGATGCCCTGGAAAAGCTTCGCTTCTCAATTGACGACTTCTACGGGCCTCTTGCGAGAATTTTAGCCGACTACTGCCGTGCAAATAAAGGCGAGAAATACAGTAACAGCATCAAGCTCGAGTCGCCAGACCGTCTTGAGACCTTTGGCCAAGTTGGTAAACTTTGCATTCAGAGTATAACTGATGCGGAGATGGCTTTCGGGCACTTGGTTCTCCATTGGGGAAAGGAAAGGGATTGCTTAGATGGATCGCCGCTAAACTTGAAGTCCTCGAGTTTGTTCGCAGCCTTCGTAGCCGCCCCAGCCGCCAGCAAGGTGCCTGCCGCTACTTTCACGGAACTGGTTATTCGGCAGCAGGTTGGTGTCCAGAGGAGGTCCATCGTCACTACCCTGGATGGGAAGAACATGGTGCCGTCAACTAAGCATATCTGTATGTCCTGTGTCCCTATGATTCATGCTCGAGCTAACCTTCTACCAGCGGCCCTTCTATCAGCACTGAAGGAGAAGAGATCCAAATATCCCTTGGCTGCCAATTCTGGGGTTCCACGCACTTTGACAATCGTCCTGGACAAACAGACGGGGATTGCAACGACTGGGGCAACCAAACCAGCGTATCACGACGACTTCCCGTTGTTGAAAAGCGTCGCGAAGCAAATCCATGACCTTAGGCTCGGTGGGACCTTTCGCCAGGCTATCCATCTCTGCAGTGACAACGTGGCACAGCTAGTCGAGGAGGCCTTAAAAAAGACGGCGGGACAGAAAACTCCGGATCTGGGTGACGATTTAGTGGACAGCATCTATTCGGAGTTTATGACTGCCACGAAGGAGGCTACCGAACTGGTAAGGAAGGAGAGGAAGGAGAGAAAGAGCAAACCAGGTCCAGCTCCCAAACCAGGTTCAGCTCCGAAGCTGCCATTGCAGGAGTGGTACTCTCATTGGATTTCGTCATTCTCAGCCCCTCGCTCAGAGGGGTATAGGGCGATACCCGGACCTGGGAATACCGTGTTCTGCTGGGCCATCAGGTCCAATTCTTTCGAACACCATCCGCCGTGCCTACGATGCCAGCGTATCTATTCTCAATGGAGTTTATACGGCAGGCCTGATGACGTCGAGAGCAAAAGAACTGCTCTGGAGAACTTGCACGCACGCGACGCACTTGGGTATAACGCAACGAACGATACCTGCACATACTGCGCGGAGTCTGTGGCGGCGGCTAAGGTCTACCTTCTTCGCAATGCACGGTTATCTCTAGAGGAAATAGGGTAGCTTGAAATGGATAGTTTACATGAAGCATTTTTCTTAGTTCGAGATGCCTTCAGGACTGTTTGGGTTAAACCAGTGCTTGCGCGTTGGGTTCCGGTGTAAATGATCATTGGTACGGTTAGGCTCATGGCCAGGAGGGTGGGCCAGGCATGTGTTGGCAGAAGACATTTTCCATTCAATCTTCCCACTGCAAATGCCATGCTCCGTTGACCGCTCCGAAGGCGAGATTTTGCGATTCCCCAAAGTGCGCACCGAGTCGTAGTTTACAAGGCGATGGTAGACGAAGCGTCGAGCCAGAGCCAACTCCTCATCCCGGCCGGACCGGATCCCTCCGTCTGACATGATCTGAAAACTACGTTACTAAGGCCGTAATTGTCACCAATTCAATTAGCCTAGATTGGCATCATTTGATCGTACATTTCGCTGTGTGAGACGCACCCGACCCAGGCCGTCAGACCCCTATTACGGAGTCACGAGGTTTGACAGCACGTGGAGCTCGCTGTAGCTTAGTCATGGCCACGCCTGATTAGATTTAGCAGCTTCAATTCAACCCTTTCTTCGCCTCTCGCAGGCCAGGTTGAGAACCCAAATCTCGAGAGTCATGGCACTGTAAGCATTCGGGTGTAACAAGATATGTGGCACATTGTTTGCAATGGCAATGTTTGGTGCTGCGCAATCTCGCATCGACAGGGAGCGTGATGATTTTAAAGAGACCATACGCAATCGCGAAGACGACATCCGCCGGCTCGCCTCCTCCCATCATGACGAGGCCTTACCTTGCGCATTCTTTCAGCCGTCTAAGCACGACAACTATATAGCACGCGGGTCTTTCAATATCTGCTTCTTTGTCCAATTCTGCTCTGGTGAGAGGTGGGTTGTTCAAATACCCCTACGACCATGCCTGGCAATCTCACTACAGAGCAAAGTAGACAGTGAGGTTGCGACTATGTCGTAAGCTTTCATCTCCCCTGTGCTCCTACTCATATTAATTGGTTCTAGCCTCATTGCAGAAAGGACAAGCATTCCCATCCCCAGGGTTCTCGCGTACTCATGCAATGAGACAGCCGACCCATTGTCAACATTTATTATCATGGAATATGTTGGAGGCGAAAAGCTCTCGGCAGAACGATTAAAGCACGCGACGGAAACACAGAAGAAGAATCTCTACACATCCCTCGCCAGCGTCTACATACAGCTCCGGCGGCTGGAATTTCCCGCTATAGGTCGACTTGCCCGATGTACCAAAGGGGAGTTTGAGGTTTCGAATCAAGCTTTGACTGTGGACACGAATGGTCTTCAGCTTGAGGGTTTGAACTCATTTGCCACGCAATCATCTTATCATGACAAGAGGGATGTGTTGATATCAGCAAATGAATATATAGCCATGAGGCTACAAATCAGCTGGAATGCATTCCTGAAAAGTCGGACCAGTATTGAACACGGCATGGGCGCTAATGTTCTCTATCATCAACACCTTTTCCATCAACACGCGAAGAAATGGGCAAATCCAACCCTCGACCTAGGTCCATTCGTCCTGGTCCACGGAGATCTAGGGCCCCAGAACCTCATGGTCGACGACGGCCTGAGAATCACCGCCGTAATTGATTGGGAATGGAGTCGTGTGGTGCCCATTCAGTTCTTCACTCCCCCGTTATGGCTCACCTGTCGAGATACGGTTTCCCTTTCTGCACCCAGCACATACAAACTCTACCTGATGAAGGGATTGTCAGATTTCCTCCGTGTTGTTGAAGCCCGGGAGCTGGATATGTTTCAAGATGACTTGCTCTTCAGAGAGTGGAACACTCGAAAGGAAGACGGCAGGCCCCTTGTGGCCAATGCTTTAGAGAATTGGACCGATATTGACTGGTTCGCCTCTCGGTATTTAAGCCAGGGGAAGGATGATGACGTGGACAAACATGTCAAGGCCTTCATCGAGGCTGATCCAATCCGTGGGTCTATTGTTCGAATGAAGGAGGACGATGCTGTCGCATATGAGGCGGAGCTCCAGCAGCTCAAGGATGACGAGCCTAGATACGATTCGAGCAGCGAAAGCCAGAGTATTGCGGGCAAACTTCTACGCTATCGGACTGGTATTTCAAGCATGGCCGCTGCTTTTCTGCCATCAAAGCACACTAAATTGTGGACGGTACAAAGCACACCTATGGTTGCAGTGGCAAGTGTGGTTGTTCTTGGTGGACTCTTAATAGGAAAACGGATGGTGGCTGCCCCCAATCTTCTAGCTCGCTAATTTCTTCTTAGATCTTGTCTTGCCCCTGCTTCAGCTCTACGACCTTCGGTTCCAACGCGTCGACTTCCTCCTCAGAAGACCGTGACTACTCTTTAATATTTCTTAACCACTTAGATTCTGGCAGCTTTCAACTCCTTATCCACTAAGATCAATACAGCTGCATCAAATGCATTAGCCACCTTATAATAAAGCCGCTCAACCTCCACAGTATCAAAAGTGGTCCCTGTATAAGCTGTCCGCCTTCCACCGGAAAGAACAGTATGTCGCGTAGGTTCCAAGCCAGCCCCTCAAGGCCCTTGAATGCGGGAGAGAACTCAGAAACAATGGCCCGAAAATTTTCCTCCGCTACATCTTCAACCTTGCTCTGTGCCGCATCTTGGAAACTTCCCGCTTGCCAGCGTTGAAGGCGACTTTTCGAGGGAAGTCGCTTATGGCCTCCGCAGATGGCAATCCACAAGAAGACGTAGAGGAAGGATTCCAAGTCGTGACGATATGTATGTGGCTTGCGCTGAAGCAAATCGATCGCCATAAAGGCCTTGGTCCCAATTAGCTCCTCCGGATTTCGCGGACCAGTGGCTAGGTCCATGCCCAAGTCGAGATCTGACACATCCAGTATAGGCCATCATTACACTACGCATTAGCGGAGTGTTCATTCCACTTTTGCCGTAGCTGTCTGGTGCGACAAGATCTATTAATATACCCCGAGGTCCTCCTTCCACTACCCTGTCGCGAATGATAGTGTTATCCTTGGATATATCTTGGTGGAGTATCTTCCCGTCCAAGTAGAGGGAACGATGCGCCTTGACAGCATCACGGCAGGCCTCAATACACTCCAAAACATGATGGAATTTATCTAACGGGTGTCCGAGGGGGGAGACGACCAGACAGCCGAGGGTTCGAGTATCGAATGGTGAATGAGTTCCATGCCGGACACGCTCGAGGCCAGTTGGTGCAACCTCTTCGGTGTAGGCGATAACACCGTGACACTCACCCGCGCCTGCACTCGTGAGCATGGGTGGTGCCGATTCTCTGGTGGTTGTAGTGGCAGGTCGAAATTCTCGGGGAACACCGAATCGCAGGCCTTGGCGGAGATTTGTGATGGTGTCGACCTCTTGGTGGCCAAAAATCTGCACCACTCCCCAAACCTTGCGTCTTTTGACTAGTCGTAAGACTTCCTCTTCCGAGCTTCGGGCCTCCGACCTCCAGGAAAACTTGACTACAAACTCCCATCCCTCAGAGTCTGGTCTTTTCGCCTTGTAGCAAATAGGAGCCTGGCTTACGAGCCTTCGGGGGAACGCAATCGGTTCCTGTTCGAGGCAGAGTCTGCTCGGCTCAAGCTCTTCATCAGCCCTGAACGTGATATAATTGCCTCCATCGTCGCCTTTTTCGATGATTGTGTTGATTCCGAGCTCTCTGTCGGTCATTCTCAGGTATCCGGTGACGATGGCGACGAGGCGATCCGAGTTTTTGCGTGCGTCAAATGGCTTGCAGCTGTACAAGCCGGCGCTGTCGAACACCCAAAGCTCCAATGTGGAACCAAAGATGAGAAAACCGTGAAGAAAGAGGCGTGTCGGCTGGCTGGTGAATACCTCTCGCGCGTGTTCGCAGAGACGCAGAAGTCCTTGAGGATAATCACTGCCGTCATGCTCCTGAAGTTGTCCAATAACCTGAACATCGGCCCAGGTGTAATCTGTAGCTTCACGGCCGGAACCAGAGGGGACAAGAAAGAGCTGCGAAATGTGCTGACCGGAGTGGCCTGGTGTTCTAGGTGGATAAGATAGGAAGATGCTGCGTTTGGCAGGGAAATCCGACTGGGTGTCTAGGAAAATGTCACCCAAAGGAGAGTGAGGAGAAAGTTTGGGTGCGGTTTCGGCAGCGGCTTGGGCAACTATCTCCGCGGAGCCTGGCCACAATTGACACTGGAAGTACTTTTCGAAGAAGCCTTCGACGGCGCAGTGGATGCGGCCATTGATTTCGCCGAGGATGTCGTGATGTAGCTGCGCTTGAGCTTTCTCATCGAGGGTGTCACCTAAGCCGAGACTTTTGGCCGTAGCTGCTGACATGGCCATGGTGGCCGTCGAAGGCACCGTTGCAGTTGCCCGACGTGACTCTGTTGAATTTGATGGTGATTGAAGCGGCGCAATTGAGAATCATGGCAGAGTCAACAAACGACCTTGAGGTTCAGGTCATAGATGAAGAGAGTTTCATTTGGGGGAGTAGAGGATGCAGGTTATCACGTGTGTGGCTGATTTCTGTAGGCGACCACATCATCCGATACTCTGGCCCGAAACATACCATAAAAGTCCGCTATGGCACCTCTAAAGGATACATTCGTGTCTTCCGCCGAGTACAATAGGCTCCTAGCCCAAGGCATCGCTGGACTCGGACATTTTGTCCTCATCAGGAGCGCGGCGGCGCTTTGCAGGACCATTGTCAACTTCTCGATGTCTTCGTTTCGAACCAGCCCCGCCTGCTGCCATGGCTTCTAAAACGTAGCGCCGATGGAGTATGAGAAAATCGGCGACGGCTTCTGGCTTCCCTGGAATGCCAAAGATTCGCCATGGGCCAGGAATGAGGACTTAAATATTGCGAGTCACAAGGGTCTCCCGAGGGAGTTTAGTATCCAGCGACACCCTCCTTAGCCGATTTTTTAATGTTTGCGATATAGACAAAATGTTTAGATAAGACAACAGGCTTGACACTGATAAGCTTCGCCCGGCATGATCTTATCACCAACTTCTATAAGGAACCAGAGTTAACCCATACTAAATGTTGGGGATATCTGGCCGCCTGCAGAGCCAGACTATCTTTTTTGAGAGAAAGGGGAGTCTCGCATAACAGCAATTAATATTTTCGTGTAATGATATAGGAGACGGCCAGACTGAGCTAGATCTTCTGCAAAGAGGTTAAATGGTGTGAATTGAGACTCGTGACCGTGCGTCAACATGCTCAGCACAGTGACGTGAAGTTTATCGGCAGACTCCAAGATAGAGTAGGCCGACAAGACGAAACAACCTAGCGGGGATGATATCCAAGGGACGACGGGCGATCCCTGAAGCTCCGAGTCAGGGACCATAGTACAATGCATAGAGCCTTTTAGGATAGAGAAGAGGATAGGCTGGAACTACGAACTGGGCAAGGGAGCAATCATTAGGGACACTAGGCCTTAGAGCAAAGTATTATTATCTAAAGAGTGAAACAAATAAATACAAACTGATGTCCCTGCTGATACTCTATCTAGACGATCTGGTGGTGGATGCTTTATTGACGAGCAGAATATCGAGGCACAGGGCTATTCCTTTCTTAGCCGACGACAGTATCATTCCACTTCCTGCGAGAGCTATACTATGTCGTTTGTACTCCTCCTTGTGCTCGCTATAGTTGGCGGTGATTTATCGGCGACCCCAGCCTCTTTTAAAATCTGCCTATAACGTGTATGATAGGCGAGCGCGCAGTCGGGCCGAGCGCGCACTTATACTGTACAGCTAAAAATAAGAATTTTAGATTTTCTAAAATAGGCTATATAATTACTAGCCTTTTAAAAAAGTATATTTACATATTCTATTAAAAAAGTCATTATATAATATTTTTTAAAAGCTTTTTAAAAAATTATTTACTATATTATCTATAAAAATAGAAAAAAAAAACAGTGCGAATAAGATTTTTCTTAATAACTTTATACAAGAATTTTTAAAAGTTTCTAGAGAATTCTTTTATATAACCTTAATTCTAATTAACCTAATTTAAAGATTTTAGCTATTTTAAGCTTAGTATGAATTTTAAATAATTTTTTAAAAATTGCGATTTAAGGTGAAAAGTTTAATTGCGCGCTCGGCCCGACTGCGCGCTCGCCTATCATACACGTTACCGGTTGCGTTCACTTTGGTAATCGTCTCGCTCGCGTGTCAACTGCTGAATCTACGCCTAAATCCGCAGCCGCTTATCCTAATGATGGAGCTGGCGGCATATATGGTTGCCCGCGGTGGTCGTGGTAGATGCGACGATCCTGAAATGCGCCGCCGATCTGGGTTGCACTCAAAGCGGAAAAAATCGATTAAGCTGTAAGCCAATCATCTATTTCCAGTTGCGCTGACCATGGAACCCTCAGGCAATGTAAACAGGACTCTGCCGCTCCAGGTCTGATGCTTAGGTAGCATACCAGCCTGAGCAAGCTTACTCTGCGAATTTGAGGGCAGCTGTGCGGAGTTTAAGTCATGAGGAGGTCCCGTCACAACCGCCAAATGCTCCAAAGGTGGTTTCACGGACAGCGTGGCGGGATCTGACGTGCCAGGATCAAAGATAAAGACGTTTCGTCGCTCCATGCTACGGTAGCCTTTTATGCTGATCAAGACAAATAGACGTCGTTGTTGTCACTAGCACAGCCTTATATAAAAGTGTTGCTGCCATCTAGAACCTTCCACAACCCCACTCCAGCTCCACCCAAACCCTCTCCACAGTGCGGGCAAGCGATTGGGCGGAGATTCGTAAAGAGGAAGGAAAAGACATCTCTCGAATTGTTACATTTCTAGAATCTTCAGTGACCACTGATCTGCCGCCATGCAAGAGGGTGTACAAGGAGTCTTTCACAAGGATCATTTGAGTCCTAAAATAGCTGTTGGATCCTTCAGGAGCCGAAAACGGCCACCGTCGTAGCCGCTCCAGAATCAGCACATCCATAATTCGCTAACTCAGAAGTAGGGACCAGGTTTTCAGAACAGCTCTTTGCTTTACGCTCTGCGCTCACTTAGGCCGGATGCTTATCGACAGGCCAACACTCCTTTCACCAAGCATATCTGCCTCTTGTAACCAAACATCATCACCAGCAAGAAAGGAATTTTTGAAACAACAGCCATTTATAGCGCCGCAACACCGCTCCAAAAGGTCAATTGATAGCCCAGTGTCTGCCGCATCACCCAGTGCGATTTAGGCATCATGGCGACCCCGTGGCCCCAGGATGAAGTCTGGCCCACCGACTACTGAGAGTACGCTACAAATTTAAGCAAATATCTTTTAGAGAGCGCTGTTAAGTATCGACAATAGAAATAACTAACCCCTCGCACCTTATAGGGTTAAAATCGCGCCTATTAAAGTGCTTTCTATTATTATCAAATTACAGAGTAACGTATATGATAAGCGAGCTGGCTGGATAAGCAAGCTGGCCACCCGCCCGTGCCCACAACATATTTTACTTTCAATCTGCCATTTCTCTACCAAAAACTATAGAAACTCTTAGCAAAGAGAACCAAATAGTCCTGGCTATTAAAGCTATCTAAAAGGACCCCCAGCTAAGTGCATAAGTAGCAGCTAGGATCTACAATATCAGTTATTTAACGCTTAGCACTTATCTTAAGAGAATAACTCCTCGATATAATAGTATATTCAATTTATATAAATTTATAGATTTAGAGGAGAAGATAATTATTAAATATATTCTTAATCTAGATTTATAATTATTTTCTCTCTGGCTTTATAATATAAAAGATATAGCTAATTAACTGCTTGCTAACTATAATATACCTCCAGTTAGTAAGTACTAGACTTTAAATTTTATTAAATACTAACTAGAGCTTAAGATATATTTTATATATAGATATAATTATTAGAGGGCTAAATATAAAAATCCTAATATTATTTAAAGCTGGTTTTAGTTTATATATAATATAATTATAAAATAATATATTCTATAACATACATATATAGCTTGCGTAATAAATAAGCTTGTGTGACATTTTGCAATTTCTTAGTATTTACATCTTAAAAGATAACTTCTTTATAAAATTCTCTATAATTTAAAAAGAGAGTAAAAAAGCTTAAATTTAAAAGTTAGCTTTATTAAAAAATAAATATTTAATAAAAGTTTTTTTTATATTTTTAGAAAATTTACTTATATACTTATTAATAAAAATCTTATTTGCACTGTATAATTAGTAATTACTATATAAAGGATTTTTTTAAAAATCTAAATAAATAGCTATATAATTTCATTCTTAGTTAAATACTTAAAAACTCTTTTTTTAGATTTTTAAAAATTATATAGCTTATTTTAGAGAATTTTAAGTTTATCTTTTTAGCTATATAATACAAGTATTACATATACTTATTTATTACACAAGCTATATATATATGTTAAGTAGGTTAGTTATTTAAGTAAGTTAGTTAAAAATTTATTAACCTTATCTTTTTATATCTAATTATCTATTTCTTAATTATAAAATATATTATAATTAAATAATGAGTTAAATATTATTCTTACTTTTTAAGCTTATTAAAATACCTTAAAATTAAATCTCTAATATACTATTAGAATTTATAAAGCTTATTATAATACTTTTTTAATTAATATAATAGCAGACTCTTTTAAGATAATATTATCCCTAAATTATATAAACTATTTAATTTAAAGAAATAAATTTATAACAGTTATATCTTTCTAGCTGCTATAGATATAATCTAGAGTAGATAGAAAGCAGGTTGCTAGTAAATAAATTATAAGTTATAACTAGGCTATAATATAATATCTTCTCTTTAATAAATCTTATTTTAAGATTTTATAGTTTTTTTATTTATTTATTAACTTTATCTTTAATAAGCCTAACTTACTTTTTAATTATTATAAATAAATTAATAATATATTTAATTATATTACTTAATATTATATAGCTCTTTTCTATACTATTTAAATTATTAATTATTATATTATATTATATTCTTATTATTTTAAGTAGAGTTTATTTTATAAAATAATTAAAAAGTTATCTTAATATAATAAGTATATCTAGTAAGACTATACTTATAATAATTTTAATATTTTTATTAAGGTATATATATAATTTTATTATTTCCCTTAGTCTTTTTATATATTAATACTTTAAGTAGTAAACTAAATAAATACTAAGTTTAAGTACTTAGAATAAAAGGAAAAAAAGATTAAGAAGTAAATAATAGCAGTGTAGGCTACTATAAATAAAGCCTTAAATTATTTAATGTATCTTTA